GGTCTTGACCTGAGAGGAAATGATTGCAATGAAGGCCGTTTACGTTGCACTAGGATGAGCGTGCAAGTCTACTCTGTACCTCGGGGGCGGAATCGTAGTACCTAGTCGAAGGACGGAATACGCAAGGGGATTTCCGCGATGAGCAGACAATCGACTGGGACCTACTCTGTAGAGTGGGTAGATATACTGTAGGGTAAGGTCTCTTGGGTACCATTCCGCGCTGTTCAAGCACCCATTTGCCGATAAAACCAAGAGGATCTTCAAATCGACCAAGTCATTCAACTGCTCCCCGCCACGTACTTCGAGTCATTGTTGTCGGCTCGGAACCTCGAGCCGGAGCCGATATCATATGGCCTGAGGCAGCAACAAGGACCATCTATCTGCACTCTGCATCCTGTGGTATGCAAATGCAACGAAATCCACGCCAATTTGTAGCAGATGCAATGGGGGAGTAGCGGTGAAATCTAGCTGTCAAACACTCGAGTTACAGGGAATGGATGGCAGTTTCAGGGTGCCTCCGGGGGGCCATCACCTTGCGTTGCCCCTTTCTTTCGGTGGAAACTCAAATGCGCAACGCAACGGATGGAATCGTGGAACTTGGAAGGGTCCAGGGGCGGCGGGTATGGTTACCGTCAGATTACCGGCCGGCCACGACGGCCAGGTACTCGGACGGCGCACGGGCAGTCCACAATACCGCCCTGTGACGCCCGGATGGGTCAGGTTTCCACCCGTAACCCCATCGTCATTTGCAATCTCGCCAGCAAAAAATGCGCTTTTCGCGCCCCAACCAAACCCTAGCAGGGTCTAGCACTACCGTACGAATACGGAGGCCAGCTTCTAGCCTCGTACGTTGTTTATTCCCATTACTTCCATAATCCATTATTATTCATAATCGCCTTGGGGTTTTTTTTATTCGCGGCACAAACCCGATTATTCACCCAATCTGTCTTCTTCCCGTTGCTCGAACTTCAGGGCCCAGTCCATCCTCCGTCCTCTTCTTCGTCTTCCCTTTCGTTCGACCTTGCCCAGCAACCGACCTACTGCCATTGCTCGCCGTCTTCAACCCTAGGCACTGCTTTCTCAAACGGTCAATCCGGTCGATTGATTCCCTTTGGCTTAGGGATCCGACCGATCCCGTCGTCGAAGGGCTCCGTGCCCTCTACTAGTCCTGTTCCTCCACGTGCGAAGGTACGTGACTGATCAACCCGGATTCTCCGGAGTCTCTCTCGACAAAACGCCTCTCCCCTTTCCCCCTAAACCCCTCCGCGCTGCACTCCCTCATCGCTCGATTCCCTATTTTTGCTTGCGACACGCAATTCGTCGGTCGCTTAACCATTCTGCCCTTCTTCTCCCCGCCTCGTGTGACGGCGACTGACTGTGGCTCCGTCGTCATTCAGGTGACATTGATCGAGTGTCGTTCCCTGTCGAGTCGGAGAGAAGTATAAAGAAGGTCAGATCAAAGGAGTACGCTGCCTACAGCCAAGTCCGTCTGCTACCTATTAGGTGGTGCTTGCCGTACTCAGCCGCTTGAGAGCCGCGGTAGAAGTTCCTTCATTCTCTCCGTGCTGCACAACCTTGCTTGTTGCTCTCTCTGGCTGTTTCCTTGCGATGCCTCGTCGCGCTGCTAGTTCTTCCGCCAACGACCCCTCCAACGCGCCCTCTTCTTCATCCACCTCCGGAAAGGGTGGTATCGCCATCAAGGCGCCCGCCGTTCTACCTAACCGCCTAAGCCAGCTCTTTTCGACCTCTCCTAAGTCCAAGGCCGAACCTCAGACTGCGCAGGCCGCTGTCCAATCGGCCAGTGGAATCTTGACCTCAAGCACTGCCACCCCGCCAATCAGTTCGGCTTCTCTGTCGCTTCCCACGATTTCTCTCTCCACTGCCACTGCAGGTAACCCAAACATGGATGAACCACCGACCACACTCTTTCAGCCGCCTTCACCCGAAGAGGCTCGTCGCCTGGCGAAGCAACATGCTCAGTTCGGCCCCATCGGTCACCACAGTCACCGGTACACCAGTCGACACCCTGGCGGTCCCTTTCCGGAGCCTGTAATGGACGAACCGCCGTATTATTATCTCCTCACCACATATATCAGTTATCTTATCCTAATCGCCTTCGGTCATGTACGAGACTTTTTCGGAAAACGCTTTCGCGAGGAGAACTATCGGCATCTGAAGCCTCAAAATGGTTACGGCGCCCTGAACAGCGACTTTGATAACTTCTACGTGCGTCGCCTCAAGTTGCGTATTAACGACTGCTTTGAACGTCCCGTCACTGGAGTCCCTGGTCGCTACATCACCTTGATCGATCGGGCCACGGATGACCACAACAGGCACTTCTATCTTACCGGAACGACCACCGACACCCTGAACTTGAGTTCATACAATTATCTTGGATTCGCTCAGTCTGAAGGTCCCTGCGCAGATATTTCTGAGGAAACGATTAGAAAATATGGCATTACTTCCGTGAGTACTCGCGCCGAGGTTGGATCGCAGGATCTCCATGTGGAGGTAGAGGATTTGGTCGCCAAGTTTGTGGGTAAAGAAGCTTCCATGGTTTTCTCCATGGGCTTCGGTACCAACGCAAACATTTTCCCGGCTTTAGTCAACAAGGGCTGTCTGATCATCTCCGATGAGCTAAACCATGCCTCGATTCGTTTCGGTGCGCGTCTCTCTGGGGCTTCTATTGCCATGTTCAAGCACAATGACATGCGGGATCTGGAGGCAAAGCTCCGCGAAGCTATCAGCCAAGGCCAACCCCGTACCCACCGGCCTTGGAAGAAGATTTTGGTTGTCGTTGAAGGACTCTACTCCATGGAGGGTTCCATGTGCAATCTCCCCGGATTGATCATACTGAAGAGGCGCTACAAGTTCCACCTGTTTATCGATGAAGCCCATTCTGTCGGTGCTGTGGGCCCCAGGGGACGTGGTGTCTGTGACTACTTTGGAATCGATACGAACGAAGTCGACATCCTCATGGGAACACTGACCAAATCTTTCGGTGCCAACGGTGGCTATGTTGCCGCGGATAGGGCAATGATCGACAAACTTCGAGCTACCAACTCCGGTGTCGTCTATGGCGAGGCTCCTGCCCCGGCTGTTTTGGCGCAAATCATGTCAGCCCTGCGGATTATTAGCGGCGAGCTTGTTCCGGGCCAGGGCGAAGAGCGACTGCAACGTTTGGCCTTCAACTCTCGGTACCTCCGCCTGGGGTTGAAGCGTCTTGGCTTTATAGTGTACGGCCACGATGATTCGCCGATTATACCTGTTCTCCTATTCAACCCTGCCAAGATGCCGGCCTTTTCTCACGAGATGCTAAAACGGAAGATTTCCGTTGTCGTCGTGGGTTACCCGGCTACGCCGCTGGTGTCTTCCCGCGCCCGGTTCTGCGTCTCTGCCTCCCATACCAAGGAAGATCTTGACCGGATCCTGACTGCTTGTGATGAGATTGGCAATGTCTTGCAGCTCAAGTTCTCCACCGGCATAGCGGGTGGTGCCTTCCCTTCGAGTGAGGACGCGACTCCACCTCCGGAGATGGAGAAGGAGTGGCGTCGCAAGCGAAACAACAAGATCGTTCCTCCCAGATGGCAGATCGAGGATGTTATCAGACGAGGCGTTCAGGACGTCAAGTCGCCTCTGTACTAGATTGTCTGCCGCTTATTGTTGTCACCGAGCTTCCTGGCTTCTTGCACTGCTAAGCCCTGTCTGATGACGCCGTGACGATGCTGTTGCATATATGCTCGGAGTTCCTCAGCACATTCACCGGACTCGTTTGATGCCGGTTATGCCGCGTCGCTGGTCGATTCGAGGCTACTCCACCTGCTTCCTGTGTATTATTAGACGGCCACACGGTCGTCCCGTTTATGTTGACTTTGCCTGCACGTACCCAAAGGAAAACCCTAAAAAGGATCATGAACCCCTGATGCCAGGTGAACGCCCTGTGGCGTTCATTCCCTGATTCACATTGTTTGCGCTCCTCAAACCTGCCAAACACATCACCCAACTGTTTAACAAACAATTGGTCATGACTCGCATGCGTCTGTTTATTTTCTCCATCTCTTTCTTCACTTCACCTTCTCCCTCTTCCTGCCCCCTTTTTTCTTCTTGCCCCTTCTTTCATTGTTACCCTATAGATATTACTGCTGACTCGGTTCCCCTCACCAAGTGCTGGAGGGCTGGGACCAGAGTGAGCCGCTTATTGTTTAAACATGGGGCTATGCAACTGTACCTACATAATGAAATTGATGAGAGGGTGGGAACGAATGGACTGACTGACTGGGCCCGGCGATTCGCGGTTGGGGCGCGCCGCCACTTAGCGATTATAATTACATGACTGTTAATATTCTTTTCATGAAAATTTCAAATCTACTTTTGCAGTTTTAACTTGGTATTTATTACTTTGGTAGGATTGTAGGGAAGTGTAATGTCAATTTCTTGGTTTTTTTGTAATCTACCAGAGTTGAAATAAGTGTAGCCCATCCAGTCCAGTAAGGCAATAGTTTAAGTAAGCGAGACAATAGAAAGTTAGCTATGCTCTACATCTTTCAGAGCAAAGAAATTCACATATGATGTTATCGTATGTATGTATGTATGTATCTAGTATAAACTAGAGGATGTAATAGAAGCCCAATGTTATCAGATACCCAAGCAAACCCGAACGAAAACCCCAATCAAAAGCGCCAATGAGATCCTAGAAGCAAATGCTATGCCCTTGTCAAGAATCAAGTCTTCGGTAATGAAGATATTCTAGGTACCTAGTCACCCACCGTTCCTCGGATGAGAACTCCAAATAGCAAAGATAGTGCAGAAAGCACATAACCAATCAAAAAAAGCCCCCAAAGCAAAGTCTATTCCTGTGAAAGGAGATAGGATAGCCATAACGTCGTGAAATAATCATGTTCGCCTGTTGTATGCAGGTACCTGAGCTGGAATATGCGGTACCGGTATGCAGAAACCAAAAATAGCGAAAAGGGTAATAGTAATACAGCATGAGGTCGAAATCAAACTGTACCGTATCTCCCACGCTCGTTCTGCAGGAGAGATTGGTTTTCCTGTGCAGGGTCAGTGGCGTCGGAGGGGAATCCTCGCTCGGGGGACACAGAAGGGATCCAGCCCCTCATCCAGCCCCGAACGCGGGTCCAATGACCACGTCCGTCTTTGGGGTCCTCGACTTGCATGATGGACTCATCGTCCCGGGATCCGTACATGAGAAACTGCACGCCCATCATTCCGTCAAAGGCTAGCACACCAAAGGCTCCTAGGAAGAAAGGAGTAGCCAGGGCGACCCATTCAGTGCGGTTGTTGCCGCCTGCGTCGGCCCAGCCACCGCCTCCGTAGGGAGGAAAGTCGTACCAGGCGTTGGGGTTGGTAAGCAGGGAGGCGGAGTAAAAGAGGTTTCCGCAGAAGGCAGCCATGAAGAGCAAGGGGGAGAGGCCTGAGGTGCTCTTCCGGCAGTAGTTCTTGTATAATTGGGGTGGCCGGGAGCCGAGGTAGAGGAATGTCGACATCCAGGAGATGATCCGGCCGAGGATTTCGAGGGTGTGCTGTGAGGATTCAGAGGCCGTTTGCTGCTCTGTCGGGGTGGCATTGGCCACGACGGCGCAGAGCATAGATGCCAGTAAGAGCGTGCGTGGGGATCCCATTGGAAGGCTGAGGCCACTGCCGGAACGAGTGATTGAGCGCTTTGAGGAGCTCAGTTTCTCATTGGAGTAGGATGGGGATTGTCCGTTCAAGGTGGTCACGGCAGGGTCCTTGATGTCCTTCATATCCTTGGGATTTGACGGAGTAGGAGTCTCTGTAGAACGTGGGGCATGACTGAAAGAGTCGTTCTCGGAGAAGGAGACGCCTTCCAAGACACTGGCCGGTGTTTGGTCATAGTCCGTGTGAGAGAGGGCACCGTAGCCATCGTACCGTCCCTTGTAGTGTGTGTACCAGAAGTACTGGAAGACCAGAGTCACGTCAACACATACGTAATAGCCAGCCACGATGACCTGCCAGCCGGCTTGTCGGGTGAGCAGAGCCCCGATAAGGTTGCTAGTGTCACCCAGACACCACTCCACGAGGAAGAACAGTGACAAGCCGGCTGTCGACTGTATTTGGTAGTTCTTGTATATTTGTGGTAGCTGAGCGAATAGCCATGACACGATACTGAGTGTGCCCAACACGGAGGATATAAAGGCTAACGGGGTAGGGAGACAGATGTGGAGGTATGAGGACACGGCCGCGAGGAAGGGCGATGTCGGTTCACAGTGCTGCGGGAGTACCGCTTGAATGTGATGTAATATCGGAGGAGGCATTGCGGTTGCTTCTGCTGTTTTCACTGTGGTTGTGACGTCGTGACGCTCGAAACACTCTGGATTGGAGTATAGGAGGTTCTTGTAGCAGTGGGAAGGGACCCCGGATAAGACACGGCGATAAGGAGGACAAAGGGCGGGAAGGAGAGGATATAGTTCGAGGAAACGGAGGAGCGATCCGATCAACAGCTGACTGCTGGATGGCACGATGCGAGACGGGGAGGGGAGGGAGCAGAATGTCTGACTGCCTGAATGAATGAATGAAAGAAAGGGAAGGGGGGGAAAGGAAAGGAAAGGAAGATGAAGGGAGTCACACTGGCAGCCTCGAGATCGGGTCACGCGTGAGGATGATAGCCCATCCATTCCCTATCGGGGGCAGCTGATTGGGCCGAGACGGGGGCAAAGGGACTCGGAATGGAGCGGACTCCGTTCGGAAATCTTGACTAACTCCCATCAATAATTGTCGGGGGCGCCAGATGGTTTGTTCGTTGCTGATCTTCAGCGCCGGGCTTGCGGTGGCTGCCCGGACTGGGTCCGGTGCAGATGCCTTCATCCCTCCCTCATCCCTCTTCCTCAGCTCCACTACCAACCTGCTCCAGCTCTACGTCCCCGGGATCATCCTTTATCTTCTCTGCTGCGCTTCGGTCGGCTGCTCACATTCCCGCCACATTCATGTCCAAAACCCCCCGAAATACGTACGTCGGAGTGAGCGTGGGGTAACACGGACGATACCGGGTGATCATGTAGGCCTGGTTAGACTTTTTTTTCAACTCATAATGGCTCTCTACCATGGGTTGGTAGGAAGTCTTCGCAAGGCAGAGACGGCATTGTCCAGGTCAGCCCGTGGGAATCCACGGGCACTCACGGCTCCCCGGAGTCCTGACCCACTCCTCCAGTGTTCAAGGTTAAATTTAGGCCAGCACAGAGCATCTCGGCCGCAACCCTATCCCCGCTGTCTCCAGCTCTCGTCATGGTGTGCTGGAGCCTGAAGATTATGTATGACCAGGGATCAGAGAGTTTCGGGGCACCTTTGTTTTCGTGGCTTGCGTCATGCTTCTCCGAAAAGATCAGGAGGTTATTCCTTCTAGGGACCGCAAACGATAGACACTTCTGGAGTCAAGAGTTGGCCCGTTATCGTGGCCATCTCTTTATCATCTCTTTATCAGTTAGATAAAGAGACAGAGGAGGAACCCTGAGGGACACAGAACATGGCAATAAAAGATTCGTTGAATCCCCAATAGTCCCTTGATAATTAATTCAACGCTTATCAAAACCATCTCCACCACGCTATATCTACGGATTTCCCCATAATCCACATCTAATCTACACATACGACTTTCATCCATCTCCTAATCTGTGTGAAACATAATAATGGATTACCCCATGAATCTTCAAACCTCTTGGACAAAACCCACGCGATCAATTACTCGATTGTCAAAATAGTCTCACCGCCTATAGAGATTTTCAGATCGAGGCGCGTAACCAGGATCTGTGATGACACTAACACATGCAGGTACAGGGGGGGACGGGTCTGTGGTGATAGGACCCTGAATTATCGTCATTGTTCCCTTCAACATCCTGATCACTGACAATGATCTTACAGATTTCCATCGATTCATAAGCCTCCACTCACTCATTATTCGAAGTTGCACCTTACATCCTGCCATACCCATCCTCAGCACTACTAAATCAATTCCTATAATAACGCCTCTTATACCCTCATCGACCACAACCCCAAGGTCCCGGTCATCCTATTTCAGAAAGATCCCCTCACACAATGACATCAGGTCACACCATCAGCTCAAGAAATAGCCTCATCCCGTCAGTATCCATCGAAACAGCAATCACAACCGTATACAAGCTACCTCTCATGCCATCCAGAAATATTCACCAACTACCCCACTATCACCTCAGTCACTTTCGTACCTGCAGACTCATCCAGATTCTCTCACTATGTTTAATTCCCTAACTATCGCGTCAACGCGTCTCCAACCCCCTCTTTTATTGGTTCATCTGAGAGAAGTGAATTTTCGCGATTCCTTTGACATCCACAACAGCCTAGCTTTATGATTAACTAGCCATCATATGCGTATGCATATACAAAGCAATCCAATATCTATCTAACTACCCAAGTAAGTAACAAACAAACCAAGCAATCGGGTATCTACAAAGATCAATCATCAATCATCACACAACTCAACCCTCCCCTCCCCTCCCCAACCCAACCCAAACCCCTCCCAACCAACACTAATACTCCTCCTCAAACCCACTATGCCTCGACCGACTCCTATGATGCCCATGATGCCCCCCATGATGATGATGGTGATGATGATGATGATGATGCCCATGCCCATATCCATGACTACTACTCCTCCTCGACCTCCGACTATGATAACTATACTCCGAATCCCTCTCCTCATCCTCAACCACCACCTCATCCCCCTCCTTTCTATCCTTCAACTTATCCCCAACAAAAGTCCCTAACAGGGCTCCTCCCACCGCACCCAAAAACCCATGATCTTTCTTATGGCCTAGGTAATACCCCGTTGCGCCGCCGAGGACTGCACCCCCGAGACTGCGTTCGCCTTCACCATCACCATCACCATCACCCTCGGGTTCAGCTTGTCGAGGGATTTGATTCTCAGCCTGTGCTTGGGGTTGTTCGGCCGGTGATAGGTTACTGTTTGGAGATGGGTTAGATTTGATGTGAAGGGGGGGGAGAACAGACTAATACTCCGCGTTACTTCCCCTGCGAACGGGCGGTTCGTAATGCGGACCTAGACGATCGGCATCATATGCCGCCTGAGGAGGAGGAACAGCATCGGTTGGGGTCTGGGCCCATTGCGAAGGGTAGGAGCGGGGGATCTGGCTGACGTCGTATTGGGAGCTGTAAGCTGGGTCTTGGGCTGGGGGGGTATGTTGGTTGTAGAATTGTTGGGGGTCGTAGTCGTATGGAGGGTATTGGTAGACGCCGTCAGGGGGGGAGTAGTATGCGCTGTTGGTGGTGGTGTTGGTTGCCTCGTTGCTAGAGGCAGGTGGGTAGGACGGGTGTTGGGGGTAGGGGTCGGACATTTTGGTTGAATGAGTGGATGGGATGGATGGTAAGGGACAAGTGGTCAGGGTTTGGTTTGATGTTGAGGGATATTTATTAGGGGGGAGGTGTTATATTTGGATGATAGTAAGCTGATCAGCCGGCGAGTGGTGGGAGCTGATGACGGGGTGGTGGTGGTGGTGGTGCAGGTGACCTCGCCGCGCGACAGCCTCGCAAGCACATCAACTGATGACCCGGACTTGGCGACAGGGTGCACGTGTACGGTCTTGCGTGATCTAGATCAAGTAGGCTGACTAGCTGGGCAGTGTATGTGGATGAATGCAGTAATCGATTAACGATGAATGTATAGCTAACATTTAGATTTTAACATCACTTCATGAGTAAAAGTCGGAGGGAAGGAGCACAAGGTATTGAGGCGTGTGGTTTGGGGTATCCCAGCAACTGTAGAAAGTGTACTTCAAAACAGAACATACAAGCAAAAAAAGGAAATATCTCGAAACACGAAAAGACTGACTACAACAAGTGAAATCAAACACAAATCAAGACCTGATCTAACCCAATCCCATGTTGAATTTGTAAAGCTGGAGTCGCGCGAGTGACAGCGCGCTTTGGTTGAATCCCCAAATGAGAGACGGATTGAAAGAGGGACAAACTGTATGGGCCAACCAGTTCATGCGTCCAGCACATTGTTAGCCCCTGGCCAATGGACCAGTCCTTCAAATTCCCGCAGGAAGCCGGAGTGCAGATGTGACCAGTCCAATGTACACCAAGTACCCGAGACCTAAGACCTGCTCATTTGCTCGCGGCATTCCGCGTCCTCCGGCCTACCCACTCAGCCAGCATGGTATCCAGCTGGCTGGTCATCTCTCTCAGCCTCTTGCTCTCTTCCTTGAAGAGGCAGCCAGTAATCGGGTGATCCGGACCGGCAGGCGGAATGTTGGAGTTGTCATGAACAATGATAAATAGATCACGAATGTCGTTTTCGTCATCCAAGTATGATCGCAGGCTAGCATCGCTCCACGTCGGTGTTCCAGCAGACGCAGTCTCGAACAACGCCGGGGTGGCGTCGATGCTCCTGTGGTCGCCAGCACCAGCAACAGGGGACAAAGGCGGGGACACCGATGAGGCGGAATGCCTGTCAGAGGATGGAAGGCCTGCCCTCAATCCTGGTGTAAGAGGCGATACTGGAGCTTCCTGCGGGGACACACCAAGAGGTGAGTCTAGACGGTGGTGCTGGTAGTTCAGTGGCTTGGGTTGGAACCTCTGTGGTGGAGACGCCACCGAACGCTGAGGATACGACATGTTCTCAGACACATATTGCCAGTCACTCTGAGGCTCAATAGGCGAGTCCAGGTATTCTTGGGGTTCAAGTGGAGCTGCAGTCGGTTTCTTCAAAGGGCTTGGCACCCGGACGGAAGACGAGATAACTTCCTGGCTGTCGTCGAAAGGCCCCACGGAAGGTGACGACGGAATATCGTCCGCCTCTTCAGAAGGCACTTGTCGGATGGTCTGATCTGCCTTCGGACTCATGACAGGCTTTGGCTCTTCTATATTCTGAACAGGATTCTGACTAACAGGTCCTTGAAGTATGTCTTGCCCGGTTGGAGACATCACCACGGGGGTTGCTTCTGCAACTTGGTCTGTCTTTGTACCACCAAAGGTTTGGGCGACCGAGCCGACTCGGGGGATGACAAAGAATCCGACGACGTCTTCGGTTGAGGAGATGTCCGAGACAACTCTGTCGAGGTCTTTTCTGCCTCATCAGTGTCGTCGTCGTTCGTTCTGCTCTTCTTGTCCTTCCGTTTGAACAGACCACTGAGCATTCCGGGCTTTTTATCTTTGCGCTTCTTATCATCCTTGCTCTTGTCAATAGCACTAAGTGCCTTATCGATTGCTTCCATGCTGCCACGGCCCTGCTGGCTGATTAGTATCAATAAGACCAGAGTCGACGACTCGCGATATGCTTACCTCTTTCGCCTCACTGGACGAAACACCGCTACCGCCACCTACCTCATCGCGAAGAAGGTTTGGTGTCAGAGAGATCTTCTTGGTCTCCACAGTATCATCCCTGAAAAAGGAGTCTGTATTCCGCACAGTGCCATTTCTGGATCTGCTGACCATATTGTCGACTATGAGGGTTAGCATCCTCCCCATTGTGACCCGAAAGTAGTCTCACCTTCATTCTCAAACATCTCCTGACTGGAGCGCTGCCCAGAACTGGCTCCGTCGGGCTCTTGCGCTTCCTGTAAGCTGTCTTCGTCGGCCCCCTTCGACTTGGGTCTAAGAGGCTCGACGACAATATCGTCGTTATCACCATTGTGTAGATTATCTGCGTCCCCACGGGAAACGTCTTCGTCATTGAAAGAGGCATCGTCGTCCAGCTCCTCGTCACTCGAGAAGTCTATATCCGATGCTTCGATATATGTCGGGCTGGTGAAAGTAACGGTCTTTGCATTTCGGCGACGCATAGCTTTCTTCAGCGGGTTTTTAGATTTCTCGGAATTGTCTCCAAGCATGGTCGCAGATAGCTGATCCTGTTAGCAGGCACTATGGACTAGAATGACAACACTTACATCTACGTTTCTGTGTTTATTCAATCGGGCTAGCCTCTCCGTGGGCGTCTCAATGTGCTCCGCTGGCAAGTACCCTGCTCATGATTAGCTTATGTCGTGTAACCTTCATGAGGTAACCTACCAATACTGCCATCCTTCACGATCCTAACAAGCCACCAGTAGCTGTTGCTATCATCCAAAAGAACCATTGTATCGCCTTTCGCCGCATTGGCCTGTCCGTCAACGGTCGCGACAAAGTTATGAAGGGCATAAACGAATTCGAAATCAATGTCTTCTAGTCAGGGTCAGCCAGTGGTCTGAGCTCGACGCGACGGCAAATGAGGGCTTTTGATTCAGGCGGCTTGTGTGACATGGTGATGTGTAAAGACCCCAGCAGGATATAGAAGAGACTGAACGCACCGTCGTCAATGGATGGCGAGCTGGAAATCTTGTCCATCATATCATCATCCATCATATCATCACTTTCCCCATCTGCGAGGTCGCCTTCTTCTGAGCCCCCCAAGTCACCCCTGTGTTGGTCGTGGCCCAATTCATCGACATCCTCGATCTCGTCGTCGTCGTCATCGTATATATCGATACCATCGCCGTATTCAGCATCCTGGCGGCCTTCGGCGCCAGGGCCGTGCATGATCTCGGACTTGGCGTCTGCGTCCACATGGCGAAGAGTTTGCTCCTGGTGAGGGGCAACTCCGGCTGAATAAGTAGGTTGCCGTGTGTGGTCCTTGGCCGAAGGAGCGTTGTGGTCTTGGAGGTCAAGGGTGTCTATCACATCGAAAGCCAGGTTAGCACAGGGCGGCATAGCTATTGGGATCCGCGACCATTCGTCGTGATGATACGTACCAGCACGCACAATCCGTGGCCTCGTCATGATTGCTACGTTTTAAGCTATCGGGACTATGAATCGAAGGGGTGTTGCTCAATTTGCTGCACGAAGGAACGACTCATGGAACCACGGGCATTGGAACCACGTGGTAAACGCAACTCGCCGCTGCCCGACGTCCGGGTGGGAACGGTAAGGAGTGGGAGGGATGGGGGAGGCAAAACGAGCGAATTCCGCCGAAATTCAAGCTGCGATGGATGTATAGACGCGAACGAGCGAAGGAAGCGCCACGAAACGCAACGGCGGGGTGGGTACTTGACGTCCGCCCAGGCGACGATGATTCGGGGCAAGGGGACGAAAGAAAGACTTCCAGAGTGACTCAAAAGAGGAAAGCAAAAGCGAAGCAAAGGAAAAAGATAGCCAAAAACGCCGATGTTTTGGGGAAGAAGAGAAAAGCTGGTACCCAGAACCGTGTCAATTGAACCAAGGCCCGGCGAGTTCCCCGGACTTTTGAGACACACCCGAAAAAAGGAGGTCTTCCAAGCCAGTTTCTCCAAACAAGCGCCCCTTGCGCGCGCTTATCCACACCTTTCCAATCAACGCCGGGCAAGGCCCGTGCCTGGACCTGCAGCTGACTGGCCATGCGGCTAGCCCGAAGCGGCCTGGAATGGCTGAGGTAAGACGTTTCTGGTAGGGCTCAGGGCATAGGGTCAGGGTCTTCCTATCAGGTGATGGGGCGCGCCAGGCGCGATACCAGCATGATGACTGGTCGTTGAGTCACCACGGCCTGCGAGTGGCAGTGGTCGGTCGATCGCTCCGTCATGACCGACGCAGTGTGCTACCTCACATGCGACGGTGATAGGTCCAAGGCTGCCCCCACCGCTTGCCCCCCGCTGGTGCTCCGACCCTTCAATGGAACCACTGAAATCGGTCTCCGTCATCACCCGATATGCCCATCGTTGGCCATTTTCGTCCCTTAGTCTGACGATTTCTTCCTTTTTCTTCCCATCCACACCTGCCCAGACCCCCATTCTCGTCTGCCTAGTTCCTTCGTGCTTCATAGTTCACATCGCACTAGTACTCTTGGTTCTATTTTAGTTCGCCTTGACTCACTGTCCACCGTCTGTTTGGGTTTAGCTCCAGTCGGATCGGGACCCTCCGATAAGTATTATTACGGAGTCGATAAGATACAAACGGCCTCTCCCGCCCACTCTACATCCTCTTCCTCCTTCCCTTCATATGCCAGTGTCCAGTCATCCGCGAACACCGCTAGAGATAGATCGTGGCTGTCTGAACATTAACGCCTTGCAAAATATTCTGCTCTCTCTCCCGAGGGCATGGCTCAGACTGTGAGAAACAACGGGTTGGCTGGCTTGAAGCTTGAGACGTCCTTTCAGCATACCCATAGACCTCGGTGGCGGGGTGAGGATGGAGGCAGGGGAACGACGGATGAGCGAGATGGTATCGAGGGCGATCGTACAAACATCTTTCACGATTATCACGCACCCCGTTGCGGTACTGATGAAGACAACAGTGCTTTGAGTGGTCTGCACTCAGCGACACCCCCCATCTCGGTACCCCGTCATGATGACTATCCCAAGCAAAATGTCGACTTTCCTCACAAGCCAGAGGACCTGCAGGCATCATCTCCGCTTGATAGCTTTCTTCAGGAGCGCCGCCCTTCCATCAGCTTCGACACCACCGCTGTCCTCGACTCTGGCCGACGTCGGCCGCTAGAGGATCCTTTGGCGAGAGGAGACGCCCGGAACCGGACGCAAAGGTTCCAGGCAAGAAGTTCGAGCTTGAGGAACTCTCTACCTCAAGAAGACGATGCTGACAACGACGGAAGGCAGGTGGGACTCAGTGCTAGCCTCAGGAGGCAGCGAGACCGACGAGCCGTCCCTACCGGGATTCCTCGCGACAGTTTTCCCGAAGAGAATGGCACTATCGCATCTGACATTGAGCACCCTACATCTCTCACCTCTGTGTCAACCGCATCTCCGGTCACAGAGGAGTTGCGAACGCCCCCAGAAGAGTCTCGGGGAATCTTAGCATCACCTGTTTGTGTGGCATCACCTGTACAGACATTCGCATCGCTCGATGATCGCAGCTCCTGGTCAGGCAGCGCCATGACGCCCTTTGGGAGCAAAGCACGAGCCCTTCGGGTGTCTACACGCCAGCGGTCTCGCAGATCTACCGCCTCGAGCAGCAAATCTCCGGCGAGTATGTTCCTTTCTATGTGGAGCGCTGGTGGTGAGGAGCCAGCTCCGCAACCAGATGATGAAGGGCAAATGGTCGGGACTGAGTATGTCCTTGGAAAGCAGATCGGATTTGGTGGTTTCAGCACCGTGAAAGAGGCCTACAAGGTCGAGGAGAGTGGCAAAACGAAAAACCTCGCCGTCAAGATTGTCAAGAAACAAATCTCTGGACGGAGCGAGAAAGAAAATGACGAAGTCCAAGCGGAGTTTGACCACGAAGTTCGAGTCTGGCGATATCTAAGCCATCCCAACATACTGACATTGGACGCGGTCTACGAAACCGATTACGCCACATTCTGCTTCACGAAGCTGGCTATTGGTGGCACACTCTTTGACCTCGTCCGACAGAACCGCCGTGGGTTGGACATGGCACTGGCCAAGAAATATTCGTATCAGCTCGCATGCGCCCTGAGGTACCTGCACGAGGATGCTCGAGTGGTTCACAGGGACATTAAGCTGGAAAATTGCTTGCTCGACCCTACCGAGTCACCTGATGGAACACAGACATCTACCCTCGTTCTCTGCGATTTTGGGATGGCAGAATGGATGAACACTGACAACGACGATGCTTCTCCCGATCCCTACGATAACGCGGCGGACCGACCGCCGCCGAAGACTATCGGCCCAGCTGGATCCAGCACCAGCGTTGCGGGAAGCCTTGAATATGCTTCTCCCGAACTACTACTCTCCACTAATGGAGTCATCAGTCCTTCGGTGGACATGTGGGCATTTGGCGTCATCGTCTTCACCGTCCTCGTCGGATCACGGCCATTCCAGGATCCTTTCGCTCCTCGGATCCAATCGAATATCCTCAGCGGAAACTGGAACCAACACGCTGTTCTGGGTGACGAAGACGATGGCCGGCTTCACCAGGATAAACACGATGCACTGGAGTTAATAATGGGTTGCTTACATATGAATGTTAATAAGCGGTGGACGATCCGCGATGTGCTATGCTCTCGCTGGCTGCGGGAGTTTAGTGAAAGCGCCGAGGACAGCCCTACCGAGTCGGTGTGGAAGCTGTAAGCTTCGCTTCGTGAAGCTGCAAGGCTGCAGTGCCTCGACATTATACCCTCTCTTCTCTCCCAGTATATTGATTGACGTCGTCGAGGGCTGGGCATGCTATACGTTAGTTACGATTGACCGATGATCATGACTGGCGCTTTTATGATACGACAAGCGCTGGTGTTTCGGGAACTTTGATCATCTATGATACCCTCTTTCTCTTTGGCAGCGTTCTGATATAACGAGTCTTTGATTTTAGCGCATTTCGGTATACCTTCCTCTCTCTGTTTTCCTTTGTTTCGGGCATTGAATTGGTCGGGGACTTCTGTTGGGCAAGAGGTTTGGGCTTTGGTACTTTGAGACAATCGCTTCTCGGTCACAGGCATGGCGTTTCAACGGGGAGGGTTTCAAAATTCGTCTTCTCCATTCACCTGTATTACGTACCAATAATCCGGATGGTCTTCTTGCCGAGGTTCTTTGAGTTAGTTCTTTGAGCAGGTTTGCTATGAATAGTGACAAAACCGTGGAGCTTGTGTCTACGAGAATGCCTGAACTCCACTGCTTATATACAATGACACTGTCGTATACCAATACCAATACCATATACCATAGGAAGTAAAAACAGTTAAACCTAAATAAACATATCCACGAGCATAACATAACATACAAGCATATTTATACAAGTAATAAAAAGCACTCAAACAAATAAATACAACCCCCAATCAAACCCAAATACTCTACACAGATTACTACCAGAGTCTATTCTCCGGCAGAACCTTCTCCTTCCTAACACCCGCAGCCGACTTCCTCTCCACCGGCGACCGGAAGAACAAACTAGGTCCCTCCATCGGCTTCAACAAATGACTCAAGTACCCCCGATGCGCCGGGTCACGATAATACTCAATATCGCGTCTCTTAGTCGGATCCGGCAATCTATACTTGAATCCCATCTCCTGCATGACCTTCGACTCCGTCAAAGCCCCCCCTTCCACAGCCCCCTCAGCAACACCCAACAACCCCTCACTCGCACTCTCCTTCGTCCAAGCCATCGACACAAACGGATGCATCTCGCGCTTCATGATCCTCGCAATCGCAGACTTGGTATAAAACCGCGTGGTCACTGACCCACCCGCCGCCTCAACAGCCGCGATAGCCGGTCCGGACGCACGGGAAACAACCAAGTGGATGGGCTGCTTCAACACACTGGAAACAGGCACCTCGTGGTCGTCTTTTTCCACGCCACGGCCGAGAAGCTTCACTCCTTCTTTGGTTTGGTGGATGCAGCGCGATTGAGCCAGTTCGCGGACCGTAATGGGACGGGTTGGGTCGATCCGGCCTTGGTCGATCCAGGATTGGATTCGGTCGAGGTTGATGGGGGCGAGGTCGATGGCGTGACTACCACCATGACAAACAACATTAGCACAATCCAATCCAATCCAATCCAATACAATCCAATCCCTCACATCTCACCCCCCAAAAAAAGAACACAGGGAATAGGATAGAAAAACATACATATTCACGCCTCCCCTCTCACCATGCACGATAATCTCCGGCGTCTGACCACCATTAAACCGCGCGGGGACCTTTCCATGCTGTTTCTGACCCTTGTGACCTCTACCCGAGGTTTTACCTTTTCCGGAGGCAGGACCGCGACCTCTTCTGATGCGTTTGTTGTAGGCGCCGGGGGTGTCGGACAGAGAGGCTAGGATGTGAGCATTGCGGCTCTGGAGGAAGGAGGAGAGGACTGTCGTGGTGTTGGTGGTGGTGGTGGCGGCGGCGAAGGGCCGCTGCCATTGGAAGGGCAGCAATTGAAGCCGGGGAGGCATGGTGTGTGGTGGTGTGGTTGGGATGGGATGCTGGAGTGAGTGCTGGGCTGGCTTGTATGTTCCGCGGACAAAGATCTTTCGTTTGGGGTGGTTGGGGCCTGAGGCATGACGGAGGAATGTCGGGCCGGGAGGGTGTTGGTTGGGTTGGGTTGGGGTGGTGGTTTTGAGAGGGGTGGGTGGGTGGTTATTGGGTAGTTAGTAGTGAGTGGTTTATATCGTAATTAGAATAGGTGTGAGTATTGATCTATGGTTATTCTTGGGGTCTTGTTCTGAGTTTTTGACATGACCTCGAGTTGTTGTCTGATAACTTGATACTCCAAGTATCCTCACCGCTCAATTTGTCCGTAGGAACGGCTCGCGACAAAGGCGGTCAACACTACATCTACTACGACAGAACAAGTACATGGACAATGTGTGCTTCGAATAATGTGTGCTTCGAATGATTTTTCACGGACTTCTGCCCGTTCATTGTTCGTCATCGCGAATGAGTCATGCAAATAAGCAGACGTCAGTGTTAAACGTACAAATATCACGCCTTCCCATGCTTCAGTACAGCATAAACAAATTTCCTCCCATAGTATGCAAACAAGCCCGTCTCGTACAGACCATCTATCAATAAAAACGCCAGGATAATGCTAGGTCATAACAGAAGGTAGAGAATTTTGTACAGAATATAAAGGGGCTCAACATGAGCGACAGAAGAAAGGCAAGGAATGAAAAGAATGCAAACTTCTTCTCGTATGTATCGTAAATCTAGTCGTTAAACGCACTTCGAAATCGGAAGGTCATCTAGTAATTCGGCGTGGTGTGGAAAATCGGTTGCGGGAATGGTCCCTGCGGCCAAGCTTCGTGGTGTAGATAAGGGAGCAGCCCCGTCTTGCGTTCTGCGGCAGTCTTTCCAAGCGGCTGGTAGTGCATGTGGTCAAAAGGAATGCTGCGCTGCTGCTGAAGAGACGTCGATGGAGGCGGGATCAACAACGTATTGACACTGCGGACAGGCCGGTAAGGCGAGTTCCGATTCGCCAGGAAGAAAGAAGGGGAAAGGTGGTTTTGAGGAGTGTGAACGGAATAGGCAGACACAGCAGGCGAGATCGTCGCCGATGACACCGCGAATGGACTGTTGTGATGTCTGCTGGGGTCGGGCAGTGAGATGGACGAGTTGTACAGACCGTTGGCCATAGGTGCAACGGCAGTAGAAGGAACCGTCGTTGCAGGTGGCATCTGTGGAACCCAACTGGGAGCAGGGTTGTAAACCGGGGGCATGACTCGACCCGTAGAGGGCAACTGAGACAAAGACGCCGGCATGGTAGAAGCCAGGTTGTGAGATGGGAAATTCGGACGGGGGAGACGTGAGACAGGCTCGGGGATGGTCGGAAGATGAGGGGGGACAGTGGAGGACGCAAGAACTGGAGGCAAGGCCGCCATGCTGGTGAGGACTGAAGACGGTGGGAGTGTCGGCATCGATGTGAGTAGGCTGTTTTGCGTAACTACCCTCTTGGATGGGTGCTCCTCGACTGGCTCGTCGCGGGACCTCTTCCGAGGATTGTTGGCGGGTGGCATGTCGCTCGGGAGCTGAGGTGCGCCACTGTACGGCACAGCATTCATAGGCAAAGCCCAGGTCTGCGGCCGCAAGGTGTCCGAGGCGGGAGGCGATGGCAGCTTGGTCGAGGGTGACAACTGTGCCCGAGGCGATGGCCCCAAGTTGGGGGAAACGCGGAGCACTGGAGGCGTCGGATGTTTCTCGTTCTTGTCAAGGGCGCGAGGCGCATTATTGAAGAATTTGGTGAAAAGGCTCAGTTTTTCGTGCCACTGGGCCCATTCCTCTTTCGACACGTAAAGGTTATAGCGAACGTTGCTGAGAAACTCCACTTCCATGATATGGATTTCCTGAACAGTGATCCCGGACACCTCGGCCCATGTCTTGTTGGTGTACGTGTTATCGTCAAGGACTGCACTTCAGTCAGCTTCTCACCCATGCCATTCTCGTAAGAAAGGAACCGCATACATTTGTTGCCCAGCATGAGAGCAATAGTCATCAATCGATACTCACTGCCTTTCTTTCCCCGCACGCCAGGGTTGAACTTTTTCAACCGGTAGATGAACAACAGGGCCAGTATAATGACATTCTGGCTCACCTGCGTGGTGGACAGAATGTTGGTCACCCACTTCTGGAAAGCAACGGTAGGCATCGCTTCCGGGACAAGAGATGTGGCCGAGCTAAGACGATCCTCCACGGCCTTTAGCTTCGCTGTGCTTTCGAACCAGAACAGACATGTCATCTACTCCTAAATCAGCATGATCCAAGCCCGATAACAAAAAGCAACTCACCTGTGCCGCAAATTCAGCCAAGCTGCCTTTGCTGCCACTGATAGACGAAGGGATCTGGAGGTATGAGGTAGCAGCATTGGTGCTGCTTTTCTTCTGAGTCTCTCGCTCGGAAGTCAAAGTGTCCTGGACTGCCGCTTGGTATTGCGCCTGAGACGACGAGCCCACTCCATTTGGCCTATCGGAGACAATGCGCGTATAATCGGAGACTTTAGCGTAAGGTGGAAGCGGAAGCCCATCCAACTTTCCCCCGTAGGAAGATGCCGGGAAAGTGCTGCAAGCGGTAACACCGTTCATATCGCCTGGGGGCGTCGGTAGACCGTCCCGGAAGGGAGCAGTCCACGCGTAATCGGAGACCTCCGCAACTGTGTCGAGATGTCGTTTCCTTGCACTCGTCGAACCTTCGGTCCTGGAATAGGGAGCTATGGTGGGAGTGATCGGATGGAGGGCGGGGAGGTATGGTTGCGTTGATAGAATCGGGAGAGACATGTGGGAGGTATTTGAAGCCCGACGTGAGGTTTTAAGAGGCGTGAATCGAAGGAGACAGAAGATCGAAAGTAACACCCTTGTCAAAAAACTCGCATTGGAATTGTCCTGGACCAAGCTGTATTTCCTCCGAGTCGAGTGTTATTCACCACCGCTAGCTTCCTCGGGCCTCAATTTGGGTATGGTATGCGAAGGCTTGTAGCGGCAGGTCGAGGCAATGGTCAGAACGATCGTGATCGAATAAGGAAATCACCCAAGGGTGGGTTGATTCCAAGGGAATATCAGGTTGGCTGCGGGGGAGTGTAGTTGGTAGGATAGCAACAGCAGCGGATCCGGTGAATGTTGCCTTCCCAGATGGAATGAAGGCACTTAAGGGGGTGGGAGCAATGGAAGCTGGGACCAAGAAAGGCGATTATCACATAGTAGGTATACTGGTGGGTAGAAAGAGTAGCAAGGTCGCAGTAGTTATAGAAAGTCAAGTAGCAGTGACAGGAGAATGGAAGGTGAAGTTCTGGATATAGATGGCACCAATTTAGGTTGCAAGTACAACCAGTTATAAAAAAGTATTATATCCCAGGTAATTTAAAGGGCAATGAGACGATCATAAAGGAAAGTCAAGGGAGTTAATTTAGAGTAAAAGAGAAAAAAAAAGTAAAATAAAATAAATGAAAAAAAAGACGTCGATGGATTTGAACCCATATAGGAGAACGGATTCAAATTGAATAAGGCCGAATAATAAAAATAAAAAAAAATTCAGGAAATTAGAAAAAGTAAAAGAAAGGTACTAATAATGAAGGATGAGGTCAAGACATCATCCTCCATCCAGCAAATAACTAATCATCTTCACAGCAACTCCGCTAGAGGAGCCAGGGTAGGCTAGTTCTTGTCCGGAGAAAGTGCTGTGCCCATACAGGATAGACAAAGTTTGACCCGGACGCAGGTCCAGAGGGTTGATCCTCCTTTCTGGCCTCGTTTGGGTCGGTTCCGGTTTGGCTGCCCGGGTTTGATTGTCTCTGCTTTGTCTTGAAGAGAATGAAATACCGGTTGATGTCAGAGCCACGGGGAGGGGGAACAAAGTGGATGCATGCTACGGAGTAGTGGAAGGGTAACAAGGTCAGCAGCCCTAGACCAGATCCAGTGTTAGGTTCTAGCGCCTGTAGGTCACTTTACTGGACCAGGGAAGGGGGCTTTTTTGAGAGAGGGGAGGAAAAGGAAGAGGGGTGGAAGTTCGGACAAGGACCTCGCGCGGTCTTGGAATAATACGTGCCTGCTAACTCCGTAGGACCCATATCAGATCCAATAATAAGTCGGGTTTAGCGTCGCATTGCAACCGTCGTGGTGTGCCGCCCGGAATTAATTTTTTTTTGATCTTTTATTTTTTTTTCCTTGGCCCTGATTAGTTAGTTAGTAGTTACTTTACTGAAGTACATACTTATGCATCTTCCGTTGTTGCAGTTACTCTTCTGATTCTCACTAAAACGGAAGGAGGTGCAGTGCAGTACTCATCTACAAGGCAAAGATTCTCCTAACAACGAAGTACACAGTACAACCCAAAAAGCAACGGGTGAAATTATAAACGATGGATCCCGCCAAAAATAAATTAAAGGATAAAATAAATAAAAGAAAAAAAGGAATGAAAAAGGAAAAGGCAAAGATATCTTACACCAAGGGAGAAGGGGTGGGCATTGCTCAGCAGCCCCCGGGAGGCACGGGAGAGAGTGGACGAAGGGAGGTTTGTGCACTCTGAATGTGGTTGATCGCCAGTTCTAGTTCAACCCGGCGGAAGGCAAAGGAATGAAAACTTTCGGTACGGAAAAGTACACTGGCCTGTGGCCGCTGCGTAATAATCAAACAATTCTTACGGCATCATACCCAAAAAGCGTTAGGGCTGCACGCATTAGAGTGCGCAGCGACTGGGGACGGGCAGAAAGGGAGGGGAGGAAAAGAGGCGGGGGCATGGAATTATGGATCGCTGCGTACGGCAGCTGTAAGAGGGTCATGGTGGCTAAAACGGATCTAGTCCGTGGTTGGTAGTAGTAGTAGAGGGCTGGTCACTACTACTCTTAGGTTGGAGACTGGACAGCCCGGCAACATGGTCACTGACTTAGTAAGGCGTCAGGCAAAACCACAAAGTCAATCAATCAGTTGCCAGCAAGGTGGTGGTGATGGTGGTGATGGGTACGTCGCAAGTGCGGTACCGGCTCAGCTTTGGGTGGCTCGGGTTGTCATGGGGAAAGGAATTAGTATGTATGCCGTATGGACCAGCGACCAAAATGTACCTCCTCAGCACAGCTTTCGACTGCGTCAGGTATGGAACGGGTCCGGATAGGTTGGGAGGTATGGGAACAAACTGGGCGGTTGGACAGCCTGCGGGCAACTAACTCGAAGTGGATTAGAATCCAAGTCCCGGACAGGTAAGAGTTGCTCCAAAGTATCTGTATTACCGATATAGTGTGTCTCCGGCCTGGGCACACGCCCGTCATGACGAGCTCTCTAAGTGATTTTGGGATACTTTGGCATAGGACGATGTGCTCGTCTGGCTGTTATCCACCCGCTGTGTAATGAGGGGGCCAAGGCAGGATGCTGCGTATCCATCATGTAGGCATGTAAGGCATGTGTGAGTCCGAGAATTGGATGGATAAGCTGCACACAACGACCCAGAGAGGCGTAATGAGGTGAGAGGCCAATCATCGGACGGGAAGCAAATGGCCGACTCCATCGATCTGTAAACCACCAGCCAATCGCTGTGGGCGTGGGCCTTCCACTCGAGATGGGTTTGAGCCTTGGAGAAGGTGATGGTGGTGCGAAAGACGACCCCCGTACCTTAGGCAGAGAACTGGAGGCAGCTGAGACTGAGAGGGACCACTCACTAGGTACCGCTAAGTTGGGCTCAGCACCACCACCACCACCATCATCATATCTACCTATCTAGGCGCCCCTTGTGACTGGGACGGTCGGCCTGCCTCTCTAGTGCCTAGTCGTCTACCTAGTACTGGATACGGAGTACTAGCATAATGGATAGTCAGTCATGGATAATGAATACCTAATGGATGGTCGCGGGGCCGACCGGGCTCCTGCGACTCGCTTGCTGCGTACAAGTGCTACATAACATACCATACCCTTATCCACCGCCGAGGGTAGATGGAGATTACCATTTACCAGATGGTTCTGAGGTGGTATGGGGTGTTAAGTATCCACACCCAGCCAGGCCAGCCGGCCAATCCGCGCGACCACACCACCAACTCTCTTCTGTCTTCCATTCGCCTGCGCCTTTCCAGGTTCCTCTCTTCCTTCTCTGCCGTCATACTCCGCCCGGTCGTAATCTTCCGTGTATGGCCCGAACCATGAAAAATGGGCGCACCGTTTCGGTGCCCTTCTACGACGCCCGCCCAGGCTTCTAGCAAGAGGACCGACTTGCCTTAGTAGTAGTCTCGAGCGAGGAAATTCGATCTGGCCCATTCGTTGTTTCCGCCACCGGTTTGCAGCCACTGCGGTGACTCGGTTTCGAGGGAATAGGGCGCCGCCGCTGGTCATTCCCGGCAGGCGAAAAAGGGAGAACCCACCCAGCCAAGGACCCATTGAAGGCGCAGGCGGCTGTTGATTTGGGTTTTTCCTGTGCATCCTGTCAGCTGCTCGTGTACGTCCTCGTCCTTTATTATTGTCATTGACTTTGCCGAAAGAAGGAACTCGACTTTCCATGGGTTGATATCACCCACATTGCGCAGATATCCGCGGCAGTAGCCCTGAAACTAACAATGGAGAGGGGGCCGCTGGATCCAAGACAACATTCGGTCATTCACTCACCCCTCCAGGGTCCCTAGCATGTGTGAAGGCGCTATGTCCTTCTTCAGCACTGGTGAAGTGGAAGTATATAGAGAAATGATAGTAAATAATAAATGATACATAATAAATAATAATAACGATAATAATAAATATATACGAACAAGTATACGCCAGAAGTACTATATCACCTTGAGCCAAACCAGGAAAGAGAACAAAAAAAAAGTACCTTTTGTAACACCGGCTGGTCGCACTTCAACAACACTCTGGTGGACGGGTGGGCGGACATGCTTCCAAGTGATTGAAGGTTGCGTCAAATCAATATGTTCCGCAAATAGTACGGGGTATACTGAATGCTCGGAGCGAGAACGGGATATACATCATGGAAGAAGCACAGTGTTCTGTGTATGGTTGGGGACAATCATGGGATGATTATGGGCCTACTATTGGTGGCCATGGCTCAGGGAGACGAGCAGCTCGTACGCCGCCCTGTTGGCCATGGGTCGCGGAAACGCGCCATTGCTTCGAATCGATCCTGGCCGGCATGCGGTTCGAGTGGTGATGGGATAATTATTATTGGCATTGATTATGATTTCATATACCTCGTACCGGCCGGTGATCAATAATAGTTGGCGGCTGAGGATTAATCTGTGTCTCATCTTGGACCACTTCCGGACGCGTCTCGTTTCTGCGTTCGGGGCGGCGAGCTGACTTCGGGGTCTGATTGTCGACCGATAGATGGATGGCGCTCGAACTTTGGCTAGTCCTGGACGACGCGACGATTATCAGCGTCCCGGAGGCTTTCCTTTTCTTAACCTCGAACCCGAAAGGTTGGGGATGGCCGTCCATGATCCATCTGGTCCATCTGGTCAATCTGGTCACTAGCGTAACGATCGCTTCCTGCTCCTGTACCAAGTCGCACCTCGCCTGGGATGTAGGCTGGTAGTTAGTTCGTTAGCAGGTGCATCGCCGTCGGAGGACTTCCCTCCCTGTCCCTAGACTGCCGTCGTAGTGCCTTTGCCCCCCATGCACGTACAACTGACTAAGTTCAGGGGGGAATCCAAATCCAAATCTGATAGTTCAGGCATGGCGTTATGAGTTATGACAGTGCAAGGCCACTGGAGCAGATCAAATGAGTAAGTGATTGATGCGATGCACCCGTTATTATTCGCCCGGCCATTCCAAAGTGCGGCTACTGATCACCCCCCACCGCCCCCCCCCCTGGGAACTTGGGAAGGCTGGATCATGGATGAGGAGTCGTCCATCCGAGATTATTGAGAAATACCGAACGTGTTCCGAATCCTATGACAATCCTATCCCAGGAACGTGACAAAAAAAGGAGTACATAGTATCGAGGACGGAAGCCTCCCTATCATTTGATTTGATAGGCTTCCTTGGCCTCGGTTGTCTTTTTATTATGTAAATGACCCCGGTCGAAATTGGAGAAAACTTGGTCTCTTAGTTGGACTTCTTGATCATCGTTATCATTATAATTATTTTCATTATTGCCGGAGTGCTGTGGCCATGGGGTACCATTCAGATGTACCCTGCAGGTGGGCTTAACATGTCTGGCAAAGAAGGATTCAGGCGGACTGATTGGAACGACAGCATGATGAAACCCAGGCAATGGTAATGCTGGGTCGGGCGAAATCCGCCTGGATCATGTATTGATTGGCATGGTTGCGGAGCTCGTCCATACTTGTGGCTTCATTTTTACCGAATCATATCAATTTTTGTTCCCATTTCCAATAATAAAACCGAGTGAGACTTTGACAGCCGCTCCATCTGGACGGATGGGGAGACGAATACTGATTGGCACCTGCACCTGGAGTGGTGACTTGTCCGAATAGTAACATCATCTCATCATCATTCCCTTCGTCGCCAACAATAAGAACAATAACAGCAGCAACCGGGGATCGCCCGCAGGTGAGTTTGCAGACGGAATCAGGTGACAGATGAAAAAGAAAACGATGAGGACTGACTGCACGCCACCTAGTGCCAATAAAGAAGTCTGATAACGTCTGGTCGCTGGGGCTCTCGACCATCCAGCTGGATCTATTCACCAACTACTACTTAGTAGGTGGTTAGTAGGTGGTGGTAGATAGTATCTACAATACGGACGGAGCTTCGACATAGCGTCTAGTCGTAGCGTTATTGAGCCCCTGGGCCTTTCCCTTTTACGTTTCGAGAGTGGGATTTCTAGGTTCCTTCTTCAACCTTCTTTCCGACAATAATCGGTTAAGTGGTAAGTCCGCATTGCTGTGAGAAATCACCGTAGCCCCATAGGAAACCTCAAAAGATGCGTCGACGCCTTTTTGCACTTGCATATGGAGCATGCCGCTCCGCATTCCAATTGGCATCACAGCCACTAGCTGGAAGTTTGGATATTCGCGGACACTCAATGGAGGAGGGGGGCAGTCCATCGAATCAGGGGCCTGAGGGATGCACGCTCTTGGACTGTTCCTTTATTTTTGCAGCCTGGATTCTGGGTCATCACGACTCAGAGGGCAATACGGTGTATGTAGTAAGTGTAACAAATAGAACATGGTGGGTTTGTGATGTTCCAGAACTTCCGGCAATGAGGTGAGAAAAGCAAGTGGAGCGTACGTGCCACTTATTTCCCAGCTCAGAAATAGCCACGACCGCCTGATTCTAACAAAGGTCATCATCAGTGCTAGTGTTACTTCCTCCGTCTGAGACTAGTCCGTCAACCCCGACCATAATAATAACAACGATAATGATGATGATGATGATGACCATCCAGATTCGAAAACTGGGGCGGGTGGGCATCCCTGGGTCGTTTGTCACCCGAGCACTCGGGCGCAGCGGCGGGCACAGGCAACGGTGCTAAGTAGATAGATGGTGCTAGACGAACAATGGCGAGTTGACGCGGCGATCGAAGCTCCAAAGAGGCCATTCTGGGTCGACGCCTGCTGCTTTGAGCCTTTGAGGATCTATCTCTACGGAGTGGACTCTGGTTGAATCTATCCACTACCCAACCTTCCTGGTCATTGCCCGGAATCAATTTGCTGGTATGGAGCTGTGCTGTTCACCAATCCTCCGTACGGAGTACACAGTCGTAGATAGTCGTAGATAACATCTATGCGCAGAGCTCTCCAACGATGGGCTATCTACCAGCTTAAGCTTTTTTCGTTTTCAAGAAACTAACTTTTTTTTTTTCTCTTTTACACCAATTTGGTTTTTTTTTCCTTTTTCTTTTTTATTCTGCTTTTGCCTTGGCGCCTGTCGGTTTTGCCCCGGGCAATTAGCCCTTCTGGCTCTTCTCTTTTGGGTTCAATGAATGCTCCCCTTCTCAGAGGGGGCAGATCAAGACTGATCTTGTCATTGGGCCCAACTTCCATCGCAACCAGATATTTGGACCAATGACATTCATATCACTGCCGTCATCTGCCGACTCAGGGTGGTCGGCGTGAGGCGAGAAGAGCGCAGAAAATGAAGCTCGCAGACCTATGACCATTCGTGCTACGTTGGACCGCTGACGACTGGTTGATAGTATCAGCATTCGACTGATGGGATGGCCCAACGAATAGATACCTACTGTGCACAACACACATCCACCCACCTAGATAGATACTACACATTAGCAGAACATCGTAGTGACAAGTGACAACAGCCAATAAATGTCCGGCTGCAGTGGACTGGCCGAGGCCAAGGTGGTCACCGCCAGTACTTCGCCCGTACTTTTAGGTATCTACTCCGTGTTCTGCAGGCCAACCCAGCAGCACTAAAGCAGCAGCAGCAGCAGTTCTGGGACTAATTGCCAAGTAACTTCCCTGGTCCCCCGTAGGCATCAGGTACGCCTGGACTAAGTATCTACTTTCTTCCATCCCAGCATCCTCTGAAATTAACCGCTTAACAACTTCCGCCGCTGATCGAAATTATCCCCCATACACACCCCTAACCCCCTGTCATCCTCTTATTAATATATCATTATTATCGTGATGACAATTTAGTTGTTTATCCTTACTAAAGACTCTTGGTGTCACTGTGGTACCCTGGCTTTTGGTTCCGTTTACCGACAGGATATTTGCTCTGATTCGTGCAGGGGCCGCAACAAAATTCCTTCGATCCTGAACCGCCTGGGAAATAATCGGCATTCCTGATCGAGTAGGTTTCTGGTCATCAATGACGAGGATGATGATGACGGTTCTGAGTGGTCATACTTATTACACAGAGTGCAGCCTAATATAATGGGATTCCACAAGAGCCCAGCAAGATGCATCCGATGAACTGGTCCGTCGTTCGTTCGTTTGTGATCCTCTTTACCCGCCGGTGGTGACTCTATGGTGATGGAGTGGATAACCCCAGCCCCGGCGTCTTAACTTTTCGGGCTCCCCTCCCCTGGCCAAGTCATTGGGTGAATGGCGTCGACTAGCATTTCGCGGTGTGTTGTCTGGAAGGTCGGAAACAATGGGGTGGCCTTTGCAATAAGCAGATCGACAGGCGTCGATACTATCTAATACTTGTTCTCGTACCGCGCGGACCCGGCTGGAAATTGATTGCATGAGACATCCTGTCTTCCAAACCAGTACCTATGGCTGTGCCGTGATTCTGGTCGGTCTTCCTCTCCCTGACTCGAACTCGACCCCATTGCATGAACTGGCCGGGCCTATCACTAGGTGGACTAGACAGGTAACGACTATCTACTTACTCCTCGGAGATTTTCTTTCTTATCACGCAACCCGTCTGTCTGAAGGTGCCTGCCCTAGCTGCCCGTGGGTTGTCATCCCCATCCCCAGCTTCCCCCTCCCTCCCCCCATCGCCTTGCACCTTCAGTCCACCCACGAGTGATCGCATCACCAGACTGTATCCGAATCAAAAGGGTGTACGCAAGGACAGATCCTACTTTCCCGGGGGTTTCCTCTGCCTTGAAGATGAACATTTTTGTCCGTCCTTCCCACCTTGCTGCCTTTCCAGGCTCCTTGCATTTCTCTAATCCTTGCGGCTCGATGCTTTCGAAGCGGCCAGCTTATTCGGGGGTAAACAAACAATCCTCGTGTGGAGGATAAGCATGATACATCGCACCCTTTTGTGCGATATGATACTGCAGCTTAAGCTTTCATCCAAGCCAGGCGTGTGTGCAAGCTTACTGCGGCCGACCGACTGCTACGTAGTCGAGACCCGATATCCCTTCGTGCTCCCTTGAGGGCGGTTAAACAGGCAGCAAGTTGCGCCCAGTTCAACATGAGACGAGGCTATCGATCCTTGCTCAAGGTTGAGCCACCGTCGACCACCATGGGGAAGGTTCCAATGCCGCCATCAGCCGTTCCGATTACAGGGGCGCGTCGATGTCAGGCTTACTCCGTAGTTTGCAACCATGGGGAACCAGGGGAACGCTTCCGGTGGACTGGTTTGCAAAACGCCTGGAAACGACCCTTATTCCCTCGAAGTCGCAGTCCGGATTTCGTAATAATGATGATGACGATGATGAGGATGGAGATCCTCAGATGGCGGACGGGGTACTGGATCGGTCAAGCCGAGGCTGTTGTTCAGTTCAGTTTAACCCCGGCCGTGGAAGCACGCGGCTTATCGCGTTCTGGTCCAATCCTCGGTGCTGCGACCGTAATGATTAGCAATAAGCTCGGCGATGACCATTCGACAGGCGGTTCGCAGGAGTTGGTATCACCATTTTGCCTCTGGCGAGAAAGGAAATTGACGAGATCATCGCGATCGCGATCCCGATCACGAAGCCAACATTACCCACGGGGGCTTTTGCATCAGATGCATCCGTCGTTGGGGGTTGAGTTGGATGGAGCCTGAACTCAACTCCGGGTCGAAGCCCCGTCAAGGTTTCCTATCCAGTTTCCACCCTCTTGCCTCGCTCCCGTTTTCCTTTTTTTTCTATTTTTTTCCAACGGCATGAGATGTTGGAGACTTTGGAGCGCATGGCCATCTCATACACGGTGACTGTCTGGCCTGAAACCTTCCCCGCCGGACTAGATCGAGTCGTAGAATTTGTCGCCAATGAGCGAGCCACAGGACGTGTCTTACCTTGAGGGTATGTATGTATGGATGTATGTATGTATGTATCGGGTATTCGGTATTGTATGGTGTATGGTGTATGGTGTACGATGTATGCTACAGTACCACCATACTACTTCCCACCCCCCAACTTTTGAGCGGGATACATACGGAGTACGGAGTACTCCTCAGTATCATCTAGATTCTAGGCATCGCAAATGCAGTCACAATCAACGGAATACGTAAGTTGCTCTCCTGCCTTCTCTCATCCTGGAACGGATGGAGTCCCTTACGAATCCCGTCTCACCACCAGGCTTCATCCACCTGAACCACATCCATCCGTCCGTCCTCCGTTACTTCCTCGTCATCCACTTGATCCCCGTGGCTATGGCCGTGGCAACAGGCTCCGCACCAGGCAGGTAGTGTAGCGTACAGAGAGAGTAAAAGTACCAAATTCCTACTCTTCCGATCTCTCGCATCCCTGCCACTAACACCGGCTACCTATATACCGGTCCCGGTCTGATCTGGATCCCTCCACCCACCACTCTCACCTTGGTCCATGCCACTGCGACTGCTGCGGCTGCTCGTCCTGCACTTCTCGAGGATTCTGGTCCCTAGCCCAACCCGGAAATCTCGCATACATGACCACATGCAAACGTTATCATCTAAATCCCGCTCGTGGACAACACGTAAGGCCTGGACTTCGATCAGGGAATGACCAAATCGATCATACCTTCAGTGCACTAGATAGATGTTGCGATCGTCACTCGGAGATGGTGACAGGGTCTGTGGACACCATTCTGCTCAGATCAACCGACTCAGGCACATCAGCTGGCATGAGCTCAAGTCCTGTACACGCTGTCGAGTTTGTCGCTCATCATGCTTACCGATGCCTTGGTCGACGCTTGTTCGATCTAGACCAACTGCTCTTTCTCTCCTACGTATCAGCGTTCTGGATTCTGAGATAGTCCATACGAAGTCGAGCACCACCACACATACTTCTCTCGTCTCATTTGCGATAACGACGGAGCTAACTCACACTAACTCACTAACTCGGAAGGCCCGAGACTAACATACATACACAACATCCATACCTAATCTATCTCACAGACAGTCGATTTCAACGGTCCAAAGCCGGGATTCCCAGACCTGTTTGGATTTAATTAACTGAGCGAGACCACCACCTATGCACCCGGGTTCTGATTAATGGGACCATCTCGCTTGCATATGTACGATGTACACATTTTTGGGGTTCAAAAGCGAGCCTGGAAAAAGCAACCTTGCCTGCGAAATAGACAACCCTCCCCCTCTTCCCAAAAAAGCAAGCAAGCACGAAATCCTCGGCGGCCTGACAGCCTCACGGATCCGGAGTTATAGCGCCCACTCGTGTACTTGTACTTGGTCATTATCTTTACGCCGTTGATGTCGGACTGGAAGTGTACCCACTGATGTCCTGTTACTCCGTTCTAGTGAACAGGATGTGTGTCTAATATTGTGTGTATGACTGCGTTGTCCTTCCAAACACCCAATCATCACCGTGGTCTTCCACTCTCACAGTAAAGGAATGCCATTCTAGCGGTGATGCCCGGATACATCTCACACATGTCCTGTGTTGTACTTCCATGGGCAGTGGATATGATTCGGTGGCTGTGGGAGCCGAGAGTTAGTTACATATGCCAGCTCTCACGTAGAGCACCCATTCTTGACTTTAGACAAAAGTTAATTGAGATCGGACGCTGGAAGTGACCTATCGCGAAGTGGCTGTTTCATATCCAGTATTCTTGTCGCATCTAGATAGATCGTGAAATTAGGTTGTAGAAGTATCGGTGATATCCGATGGGTTTTCCGGGGGTATAGTATAGTTAGATCATTCTAGACAAACATAAATATCATCTCAAATTTTAGATTTAGATAGTACCAAAGCACCAAATAATCAATCCACACCCTCCTCCCATTATTTCACACTCCAATATATCATCAAGACCCCATACTCTCGTCAGATATCTACCAACCAACCTCCCTAACAAAATCATCCCAATCGATCCAAACTATGACTTATGACCAAGTTGCCATCGATCTCATATATATCGCACTACTATCCACGAAGTACTTCCCCAAATAACCCATTCCATGATTTCATATATATACTAGTACTCTATTCGTAGATCACAAATATATATTCATATGTATATCTTTGATGTTACATGTACTAGTAGTAACTCCAAAACCAAACCCATCTCAAGGAAAGAATAGTTTATGTATGTATGTACTATAGACTTCTCATCTCACCGTTGATCCAACATTTTCAAGGAGGTCTTCGATTATTTACTTGCGAGGAACATATATATATATATATGTATATATACGTGGAAATTGGTTTATTCTAGTAGATCTGGTTTGGTTAATGATGAAAGTGGACTTTCTTTATGGGGTGGTTGTATTGTGGTTGTGGTTTGGGGGGAGGGTTATATATATATAATGGTCAGTACTATGGGTACACTTATCTTCCATTGAGTTTTTCTTTTTTGGCCACGTTGTATTTACTAGATCATTTATTTATAATAAGAGTGACGAGGGAGAGAAGGTAAATGAGAATGATAGAAATAATGATATGGATTTTTGTATGTGTTGTTGTTGCCTTATTTTCGGTCCCAGGATATTGGGGGGTTGGATGCTGTACATGATTACGAGAATTCATCGTACTGTGTGGAAAGATTGGTAGTATACTAGGTTTAGAATTTGGATTTGAGAGAAGAGGTAAGAAATGGGAGTATCTTGGGTTTATTTCATGTAGGTTTAGATTGGGGGGGAGTGTGATGGTGGTGTCTGATAGGATTTCTCTGGTCGTTACCTATGTCTGGGATATACTACGGTGGTTCAAGTCTATAGGCTCACTGACCAAGGCGATTTAAATGATGAAGTGTAGAGTTGATGAGATTGACCAGTCTGGGTGCAAGAATATTGTTCTCTTAGAAAACCGGACAGCAGGTAAGTGACATAATTGAAGGACCTTCGTATAGTGCTAAATTGCCAGATTTCTTGCCTGCTTCTATCCCGGAGTAAATAATGCCTCATAAGATGTGTATCTGTCTCATCTCTACTCTTTAAGGGATAGATAGACTCCAGGATGACCATGCATAGAATTGAATATATGTAGGTGGTGTGGAGCAGGCTTGTATATCTGACCAATATGTAGGAGAAGCTGATGTTACATGCCGTACATACACCCCTGTGATGGTTTTCGATCCAATTGCTGGGACTGTTAGCACGACATGGATATGTTGGCTTATCTGGAAGACCACTGGTCCAGAAACTAGATCGAATGCTGACCCCAGCAAAGCATAATTCCCAATCGTTATAACGTTAGAGGATATATTCGGATATGCTCCTTGCATGGCGATTTTCCTCACATCAGCTTCCCCTACACACATACCAAGATATGCATGTAAGCCACCCGAAATGACTAACCGTATGGATATGGTTCGTGATCTGACTGATGAATTCTCACAAGTGTACCCAAGGACTGTTGAGGTGGCGGAATGTCGTACAGATACAGCTGCAGATGCCCTTGGTTGGATCGCCGATTGACAAGTCAGATGTGTAGTACTTGAGACATTTGTGCTACATACTCGGAGGGGTACGGAGTGCGGGACACCGATTGCAGTAAAGCATACTGGAGCGATGGTGTGTCCATGTACATGTTATGTGCGATATGCATTCCTGCAACCGCTTGTGCATAGCCATACCGTGCCTTGTTTGTACCCCGTCCTTTGTATGCAATACCAACACTCCGTACGTCGTCGCTGTAAACGGTCGTTAGACGTTACATTGTATTCGCGGCGTCGGGATTTCGAAGATCGCCAAGGGTCTGGAATTGCTTCTATTGGTGGGCCCCTTACAGTATGGGCGTACTTTATCTAGTCAACTGGTTGTTAGCTTGAAGCTGGGTAAGAATTAAACCACAAATTTGAGGATGTAGCCAGTGAAAACCTCGAACACGCTCATTGAGCAATATGCCTTTTCATTGTGCTTTAGAGGATGTCATCCTCGCATGGCTTACTTGCAGGAGATAGCTGATGGCGAGGTGTGCGCGAGCCGACGAGCAACTGATCATCACAGCAGAGCAGACTCTCCAATGTGTTCATGCCAAATGACAGTGATAACTTAGTACCGCCCATAACAACATTTATGAGGCAGCTTGCGAAAGTGTTTGAAGCGTCGGATCCAAAATCATTGCCGATAGCTGACAGCAGCATGCAGTGCGTCCATCGACCTCGTGTCTTCATCGAGAGGGCTGATAGATATAAGAGTCTCGACCTGGCCAAACTGGATAGGATCCGATATCGAAATTCGACATCGAAGTACGCCCTTGACTGAACAATGTTCCTGGGATAAGTGGGCAGCGACAGTGCAGCAGGGGCATGGTGATTCGGCCTGATAACATCGTCCCAGCACCGGCAACAAGCCAGTGTGCATGATCGAACACAACCGCGGGAATAAACGGGCTCGTCGATGGATGATAATGGGGTAAAACGGGCAATTGAAGAAGAGTGGAGCTTGACTGCCCCGGATTCTCCCCGTGCTTCTGGTTTAAAACTAAGTGGTGGAGAAGATGTCAACGCTGGATTCTCTAGTCGTTCTAGATGCGGGAGAAGCCGGGGAGGAGCTCGGGAAGGACCGTGTGTCCCAACGGGCACCGGCTGAGTCAGCTGACCGTCGCCCGGGCGAGACCAATCACCGGAAGCCCGCGAGAGGCAGTCACGGTGGGAGACAGAATCGGGAAGGAGCGCGCGGGATTGCATGGCTGGCATGCAGGGCCTGAAAGACATAGTAGGACATAGTAGGGAATAATCAGTCGCTCATCCATTATCCGGACGAGCGGACAGGTTATCTACGGAGTAAGTAGGTAGTATTGACGGAGACTGACGGAGAGAATAAGTAACGTGTGGTTCCGCCATCATCGTCACCACTTTTTGTCTAGAATTGGATTAAAGCTTACGTACGTATCAAATAAACTATAGAAAAACATCAGCATCATCAAGTAACAACATCATCAGCAGCAGCAGCAGTAGCGGGCAGTGCCTTCCCCTCACAGCAAGTGCCGACCGCGCTTAATTTCTCCCCACTGAGGAATTTCCCCCTCACGAGCCTCTCCAATTTCTTCCCTCTCCAACTCGGCCACCAGGTTCTCCGGTCCTGATAAAAAGCAGGCATTGAAAACTTTTTCTTGACTAGTGAGTGAATCGGCACCCACTTGGCTTGCGGTCGAGCCAGTCGCGTCTTGTGCCAGAAGGAGAAAATTATCCGCCCTGTGATCTCAGCGACACACCGATTCGCCCAAAACAGCTAATTGACACAGTCATTTTTTTATTTCACTTTGTAAAGGCCGGTGATTTTTCCCCCGAAAGACTTTACTGTTAGTGATCGTTTTCTCTGAATCGCTTCTTCCTTCTCTCCTTCTCACCCCTCTCCACTCTCCCCTCCCCATCCCCTTCCCCTTCCTTTGCCTTCTGGCTCAGGTGCGACCACCTCCGACAATGGTTGGAAGTACGCTGGCAATCCGGTCCAAGATGGCCTCTCCATCTGCCGCCATGCAGTTGTCGTCGCTGTCGCGCAGGTCGCTTTCGACGCGACCCCAGGTTCTTCGCTCCACACGTTCCTTGAGACAGCAGCAGTTCCAGCGCTCTGCCCGTCGTTCCTACGCCGATGCCGCTCCTGCTTCTTCCCCGGCCCCCAAGCCCAAGAAGCGCTTCAGGTTCCTTCGCTGGACCTGGCGCCTCACCTGGCTCTCCAGTCTGGGTATGGCCGGTGCTCTGGCCTACAGTGTCTACGAACTGCGCCATCCCGTTGATCAGATCGTCCCCGACTCGGAGAAGAAGACCCTTGTCATCCTCGGTAGGTTTCTTTGAACCCGGTGTCGCTCATCGCGACACGATCGCGGCTGAACATCAACTCACGAGCCACTTCCTCCAGGTACCGGATGGGGAACTGTTTCCCTGCTGAAGAAGCTCGACACCGAAAACTACAATGTCGTCGTTATCTCCCCTCGCAACTACTTCCTCTTCACCCCCCTCCTCCCCTCCTGCACGACTGGTTTGATCGAGCACCGCTCGATCATGGAGCCTATCCGTAACATTCTCCGTCAGAAGATCGGCCACGTCAAGTTCTACGAAGCCGAAGCCACCAAGGTCGACTACGAGAAGCGTGTCGTGTACATCAGCGATGACTCCGAGATCAAGGGAGATATCTCTCACACTGAGGTGCCCTTCGACATGCTCGTCGTTGGTGTCGGTGCTGAAAACGCAACCTTCGGTATGTATTGATGTTTATACTCGCCGGAGACTTATCTAATCGCAAGTAGGCATCCCGGGTGTGCGCGAGAACTCTTGCTTCCTGAAGGAGGTCGATGATGCCCAGAAGATCCGCAAGCGCATCATGGACTGTGTTGAGACTGCCATGTTCAAGGACCAGACTGACGAGGAGGTTAAACGTCTTCTGCACATGGTCGTGGTCGGTGGTGGCCCGACTGGTGTCGAATTCGCCGGTGAGCTGCAGGATTTCTTCGAGGATGACCTGAAGAAGTGGATCCCTGAAATCCAGGAGCACTTCAAGGTTACTCTGGTTGAAGCTCTGCCCAACGTGCTTCCCATGTTCTCCAAGCAGCTGATCGACTACACCGAATCGACCTTCAAGGAGGAGAAGATCAGCATCCGCGCCAAGACCATGGTCAAGAACGTCACCGACAAGTACATCGAGGCCATGGTCACCAACCCCGACGGCTCGAAGTCCTTGGAGCGTATTCCCTACGGTCTGCTCGTCTGGGCTACCGGTAACGCTGTCCGCCCTGTGGTCCGCGATCTGATGAGCCAGCTTCCCGCTCAGAAGGACTCGCGTCGTGGTCTCGCCGTGAACGAGTACCTCGTTGTGAACGGCACTGAGAACGTCTGGGCTGTCGGTGACTGTGCTATTACCAACTATGCTCCCACTGCCCAGGTTGCCGGCCAAGAGGGTGCTTTCCTTGCCCGTCTTTTCAACACCATGGCCAAGACCGAAGCGATCGAGAAGGACTTGAAGCAGCTGTCCGAGGCCCAGGCCCTGGCCAAGGGTGAGGAGCGCGACCAGGTGTTTGACGAGATCCGGGAACGCCAGAAGCAGCTGCGGAGAACCAAGCAGATTGGTCCCTTCCAGTACTCCCACCAGGGAAGTCTGGCTTACATTGGAAAGGAGCGCGCTGTTGCAGACATCAGCTGGCTGAGCGGCAACATCGCTAGCGGTGGTACCATGACCTACCTCTTCTGGCGCAGTGCTTACCTGAGCATGTGCTTCAGCAGTAAGTGACCCCTTATATTGCGAAAATGTTTCGGTAATATGAATCTGACATTCATTACAGCTCGTAACCGTGTCCTGGTTGCCGTCGACTGGATCAAGGCCAAGCTGTTTGGCCGCGACGTTTCCCGGGAGTAAATCCTCAAAAGACTTTGGACACTGTATCACCATCAGCAGACATGCTACGCCCATGAATTCGAAGCGATAACCCCTCTTTTCCTATTCCACCCCTGTTCATTATTCTCATTACCCCTTCATCGACGCCAATTAAATGACCATCTTCCTTGACCTAAATGGGCGCCTATCCCATTCTGTCTGTCATACTTGCTCCTTGCGAGCAACCAGTGACGATCAAGACCACTTCCTTGACGCTCTGCCGTCTTCTGCTGCAGTGTCCAGTTGGTGACTCCACAGGAACGAGCATAGATCATACAGTGATCGCTAGATGTGGATATTGGTCCTCATCGCATTTGTTTCTTTTATCTGTACGAAATAGATAGACCGGGTCGGGTTACTGTTTAGACATGCTAGAATTGGCCATAATCTTCTTTGTTCTGTCTCTTTATTCAATCTATTTATCTTCTGTCAATCTCTTTTCCCTAATAATTACGGTTACATACGTTTTGTTTTCATATCTCAAGCTGTGGTTCAATTCTGGATATACTGGGTTGTTTTGACTTCTCCTATCTGTATGCTATTTGGCGGGTTACTAAAAATATAGTTGTATCATTAAAATCTCCATTCCTCACTGTACCCCTACCGCTCCTTCCTGTTTCAGAACCTAGAAAGGAAACAAGTCATTACTCCCTCGAACTACTAAACTTAGAATTTGGAAATGAATCAAGTCTATTTTAATGGATGGAAGCACAGCACTAACGCCTATCCTATCCTATCCTAGAGTCAAGTTACGCTTCAGCTATGAACAAGATCGGCCCCGTCGGATGTGGTATACAAGGAGGAAATGAGATAGAACGAGTGTGAGAGAAGGGGTATACGCTGAGTAGAGGGTGTGGGAGAGGTATCAAGCATAGAGAAGAGGTGAGATCGGATTCACACAGAGTGGGCGGAGGGATAGAGGTAGAAGAGGGGGGTGGAAGTAACCCGAAAGATCGCGCCGGATTCAACAAGGAGCATGAGGGTGCTGTGGACGGAGAAGAAGAAAGAAAGGAAGAAGAAGAAGGAAAGAAGAAAATCTAATTGGTTAGATAGGTAGGTAGGTAGTAGTAGTGGGCGAGTAGAAAGTTGTTGATTGATTGATTGGTGTTTAAAATAGATTCCAACCACGATTTCTCTGTTCCCTACTACCAACTGGACGATCTGGGTTCCTGTTCTTTCCGCGTCCGTCGAGTTGGCGGATACTTTCGATCTTTTGGAGGGCTAGTTCGAGGAGTTCCTTCTTCTTGATGACGTCGAGGTGGTTGCGGATGCGCGGGTCTTCGCGGGCGAAGCGCTCGACTTCAGCGTCGGAGAGGTGGCGGCCGAGACGCATGTCGAGTTCACGGGGGAAGTTGTAGTAGAATTCGGAGAGGAGCTCGACATTGAGGAAGAGGACGGCGGTGGAGGTGAGCTTGTCGGCGACGACGTCGAGGAAGACTTCTGGGCAGTAGTATTTGTTCTTTTTGGCGGAGCATTGCTTGGAGCGCACGGCGAGGAGGCGCATTTTGATGAGGTCGGCTCGGTCACGGAGGAAGACGCTCTCGCGGCCTGTTTATGTTAGTTATTGGTAGTTTGAAATGGGAGAAGAGGACATACCTCGGGCTATCAGAGCGGAGCTGAATCCGCCAGCACCTCCGGCGCCGTCGCCTTCCAGGAACACCTCGCCCTTACGCGCCTTGTCGACAAACGACATGACATCCTTGAGCTTCCTTCGCCCGACGGAGTCTTCGAGGCGCTTGAAGGCCGCCTCGCAGGCTTTGAGCTCATCCTTGAGGGTCTTGCTGACGTTTTCCCGTCCCTTGGTCCATTCTGGGTCTTCGACTTCAATCTCGAATTTGAATGGCTTGATGCAGTTTTCAACCTGGTCGCTAGTGCTGAAGAATCGGTCATTCAAGATGCTATTGCACGCATCGACAATCTGCTTTTGAGCGTACGGATGCGTGGCGAAGGTGGAGTTGGCGATTAAGCGATCGACATGGGCCTGGATGGCGTTTGCGACGACGGTGGTGGCAAGTCGACCAATTCCCAGCTTTGTCAGGGAGGATGTTGAAGCATCCAGCTTGCGATGCCAGTAAAGGGACTCGGGATCGGCTTTTGCAAGGTCACTGAGGGGATCCAATTCTGGCAGCGGAGCGGACAGGTCGTCTATGGGCTTATTCCAATATCTCTGCGCCAGGATGTCCATTACCCGTTGATCGAGTTCATTCTTCAGCATTTCGCGGACCTGAGGACGGCCAAAGCTCTCGGCAAATGCCTTGAACGAGTGCTTAAAGCTGTCCAGACTCTCAGCAAGATATGACTCTGCGCTGAGAGGACGGTCGTTGTATTGGACCTTGAACTCATACGTTGCCTCTTCAAGTTCTTGACTGATGGCATCCCTAGTACCTGCTAGGCTTGATGCCATCGTCTGCTCGAGGACATGCATGAGTTTTGTACGTAGAGTCGAGACACCAACAGAAACGCCTGATTGTGACCCAAATTCCGACGGGTGGGCGGAAAAGTAAGCGTGTTCATTCTTCAGAATGGCTCCGGTGACATTGCCACTGCCCCTGGAGAACAGTGCTGTTGTTTGAGGGATACGGCTCACAACACCGACATAGCCTAAACGAAGAGGGTATTTCTTGTCGGAAAGGATGTCGTTGCCCCGCTCCGGATCAACAAGGTCCATCTTTGTTATAACTCCGATCGTCCTCTCACCTCTAGGGTCGACCCTGCGGCTGGCCCGTAGGGCTGTGGAATTAGCCAAGTCAACGTCTGCCGCGGAGATGGCCAGAATGACATTTGGCGCTTGAATGTACTTGTCGCAAAGGTCGGAGATTTTCTGTTTCAACTCAGGGGGTTGGTCGTGTCCCGCGACTTGGATGTAGCCAGGAAGGTCGATGAGGGAGAGGTCCGGAACATTAGGAGAGTAGATAGAAAGCTGGATAGGGTCGTCAGAAACACAGTCCCTCTCTGGAACAGCCAAGTTCAAATCCGTCAAGGTCCGCTGGATCTGGGAAAAGTCGGTAATCTTTCCCAGCCCAAGAGCCGGGAATTCTCCATATTCAGCATGCGCATTCGGTGTGTTGACTAAAGTAAGCTCGATGGGCCGCCGGGTAACCATATTTGAGCCCTTTGGAAGGAATTCGTGTCCAACAATAGCCTCGAGAACCGAGCTTTTACCAGAGGACTGAGAACCAATGACCACAATCGATGGAAGCGTCAGGGTATTCGACTGGCCAACGCTCTGCAGTATGTTTCTGATCTCGATCATCTTCCGTGTGAGAAGCATCATCTGGTCATCCTCCGCAATCTTCCTTTCCGAGCGAGTGTCCTCCTCATCAGAGGGCTCGTAACCAAAAGCTCCCACAGTAGCAGCACCAGCAGTCGCAGCACCGAGACGGCTCTGCTTCGGGGGCTCGTCTCCTCCAGGGCCACCATTCTCAGACCGAGAGTCTTCGTTCAAACGTAAGATGTTCTGCAACCATTCTGGAACTTCCACAGCCTCCTTCGTTTTCTCCCAGCCTCGTTGTGTCTGGTCGGCAATACCCTGGATTTCTTGGAACAAGCTCGAAGCTGCATCGCTCGCCGTTTCCCCCGCACGCTTGAAGACATCAAGAGCATAATTTCCTGCCTCTGAAGAACCAAACTACTATTAATTATCGGTTGCTATAGAGTTGAAAGTCAAGCACTTACGTGTGGCTTGATATTGGAAATAAGCTAGCCCTGCCACCATAGCACCCCCAAACATAGCAGGGAGTTTCACCAGCTTGAGTGCCAGTTTAGGGAGTATCCTTGTGAAAGAGATCGCCCGCACAGCAGGCACATTGTTGTGAATCGCATTAGCTCCTATCGGCCAGGCCCGTCCTCGCAGGGCTGCGCTGCCATCGGAGCGAAGAAGGCCCCCAGTCCTCGCAGCAGCATTATGAACATGGCGGGCTAAAAGACCGGTCCGCAATAACGGAACAAGACGATGGGAGAGAATCCTCCCGCTCATGGTTCCTGATATCACATACACCTCAGGTAGAGTGAAAAAAGGGGACAGACATTTCCGGGCGAGAAGCCACGGTGATCGACCTTGTGTTGATGGCTCGGGGAAGCAAGAATGAGCGGCGGAGATCGACTGAAATCCAGTAGTCATTCGACGACGTCGAGGGCCGCGAATCGCCGCTATCCGGAGCGCGTCCCGTGACCTGCAGCAGTGGCCGCTTCGCCGCCCGTATAAAGTTCGGTGTGAGTCACGTGCGAGAAATATGTCGCCATTCAGATAGACTCAGACAGCAACCCCTAAGCTTCACGAGTGTCATTATTCCAGTTGATCGCAGAGATATTCGGTGCGGAAAGTGCTTTAGCTATTCCAGGTATCATTGGGCTGGACCTGGTGCCGTTCAGTGGTGGAAACTGAGCAGCTCCGCTGTCGGAAGAAGCTGTGACACTTTGCGCCCTGAGAACAACTAGTACCGTCCTCAACCCTTTGCGTTTGCTTCTTCTCCCGGAGAAATCTTTGGGAAATACTCGCCTGACTGGCCATTTTTCTTAACCTAATCGCCGAATATGTGTCGTTTCCTGGTATGTAGCACCGATCTGACCCATCCACGTCAGACAGCTGACCGCTTGTCGCCAGGTATACAAAGGCAGACATGAGATTCGCCTCAGCAAGCTGGTCACCGAGCCCAGCCATTCAATCCTCACCCAGTCATATGATTCCCGTCTGCGACTGGTAAGTCCAACTTTCCAGTATCTGAGTATACTGCGCGGGAATCTCGACCCGGTAACCTAGACTCAGTTCCATCTGACTCATGTATGCAGGACAACCGCCGTCCGGTCAACGGCGACGGCTTCGGTGTAGGCTTCTACACTGACCCAAAACTCGGCCCGGAGCCATGTATCTTCACGTCCACGCTTCCCGCCTGGAACTGTGAGAACCTCGAACGTCTAGCATCCAAGACATGCTCTAACTTGATTTTCGCGCACGTGCGCGCAACTACAGAGGGAGCTCTCTCGGACACCAACTGCCACCCATTCCAGCATAGCACGCTGATGTGGATGCACAATGGTGGCATTGGCGGATGGCAGTACATCAAGCGGCCGCTGGCTGACTCTCTAGCCGACAAATGGTACCTAGGCGTGAAAGGTGGAACCGACAGCGAATGGGCATTCGCGCTGTTCCTCGACCTTCTCGAGAAGGAGGGCGTGGATCCCAGCTCAGATCCCGGCCCGGAGGGCTTCGGACAGGCGCTTTTGCGCCGAGTAATGGTCAAGACCATTGCGAAGATCAACGAATTCATCAAGGACATTCCGAAGAGACACGATGTCCCGAATGTGGAGACCCGCAGTTTGCTGAATTTTGCAGCCACAGATGGCCACACTGTGATCTGCACGAGGTATATCAGTAGTAAGACCGACGAACCGGCCAGTCTGTACTTCTCGTCGGGCACAAAGTGGGTAGAAGGAAAGGACAAGGGACATTTTAAGATGGAGAGGCATGACAAGGGGGCGGATATTGTCTTAGTGGCTAGCGAGCCTATCACTTTTGAACGACGTGAGTGCGCATTCACTTCCAGTGTGAGTCATCACTAACCTGCTCTAGATAACTGGGTTTCTGTCCCTGCAAACTCCATCGTCACCATTCACAAGCAGACCGTCCTTTTACACCCAATCATGGATGAGTTCTATGTTGAGGATTTGAACCAGAACCGCTCGTCCTGTTATGCGGTGTCCAAGGGCCTTGTTAGCACTGCCCCTGGGACAACCGTGCAGCCTCAGAATGCCGGTAACGTTGACTCCAAGCCTGGTGCCGTCAACGATAACAGCTCTAAGCTTGGTAATGGTCTGGTTTCACAGCAGCTTAAAAGCGCGGCTTAGTGCGCTGTATCACATTAACAGAGTACGCAGACATGGGAGTTTTTGGGTGCGGAGTTGGGCAGATGGTAAACTTAGGGGCCTCATTTCGGGATTATTATATCATTATTAAACCTTCTGGCTCAGCCAGTCCTCATCTGTGTGCAATACTAGCATTAATAGGCAGCTTTCTTTTGATCAGTAAAATTATTAATTACCACGATATCGAGACTCGAACTCCATCCCGACCCGCTAAATCATATATATATAGAACCAAAGGGAAAGGGGATATGCAGCCTGCAGCTGGAAAAGAAAGAAGATTCGTCGAAAGCATTCATATGTCCTCCCCAGATATATTGGCATGCTTGAAATACTTCATCCCAACCCATGCAACAACCACCCATACCCACGACATCACAGCCGTTAGCACAATCAATGCAGGATAGTACCCCACGATTGGCAACGTTGGGTCATCTTCCAGCTCCGGAGGCGCGTAGGGAGTCTCCCCGACATCCCAAGCCCAGCTCCAGACACCAAAGCAACTCCCCATTCCGACAACGAAAACCAGCCATGTCACAATCAGTATAATCCAGCCCCACCATTCCGTCTCCGAGTAGTCCCATGTGATCTCCGAGCTGCTGGCAATATCGACGGAATGTGTTGCTAAAGGCGATTTGGCACGGTGGATAGGTCTGTAGGTCGAGTCGGCCTGTAAGGCGTAATACGAGTCGGAGCTAGACGAGGCAGGTAGGAGATGAAGGCCGGCGGTTGTCGCAGCAGCAGCAATGGCAGTAGTTGAGCTATTGGAGCGGGGAAAAGAGATGATGTCTTCGTCGTCGGTGGTCATCTCATCGCCGAGGATGCTTTCTTTGGATTGGTTCTGCTGACGATGCGTATTCCGGGTTCGTTGTGGTGCATCCATGAGTGTCCAGGTACTATTTCCTCCACGATTTTGTTGGCCTGGGCTTTGTTGGGTGATGGTATCGTTATCGGGGGAGGTTGGATCGGCGAAGGGGCGTATCTGGGAATCGGAGGGGAGGGGAGAAGGTCCTGGCCGTTGGGGTTGTCCGTTGAGATCTGTCCGCAAAGCATCTGCTGGTAGCCTGGCCGGTTTCTTGTCTCGATAATCGAGTCGTGTGCCTAGCAAGGCGGTCTTTCGTAATGATCCCCTTCTCCTGCGCGTTCGTCGGTGTTGTTGTATCGCATTCGACATGGCCCTTCCTCCTCGTAAGCCGGAGCCGAAATCGCTGCCGTTGTCGGGCTCGATACCCGAATGACTTCGCTCCGGGGTGTTCTGGGTTGCTTGGATCATTCTGAGGAAGGAGAGACGTGAAAGCAGCGAGCCTGAGGAGTTGCGCTTGTGTCCGCTGCTTGCGCTCCCCGAGCGCACTCGGCCCGGGAGCTGCTCATTGTTGTCCAGCGAGAGTGCCACACCTTTGCCGTTGCTTGCATCTTCCATTGGCGCAAGCTGGGCGCGACTAGCTGGCCGTTAGCACGCCCACATCCAAAAACCAGAAGTCAGAGGGGTCGTCGGGGATTTTCATCAGCCGCGGCGGCGTTGGGGAAGGAAGATCGAAGGGGGGATAGGTTAGCCGTGGTGGGCATCCGCGGCCAAGAAAGGGTCCAGGCGGTCACTTGAGAAATTCCCGGTCCATTTCTCCACCTCCAACTTTAATAAGGAGAGAATTTATCCGTGGGACACGGAGTGTAGGGGGTATTTATTAATAGAACTCGGAGGGTCCCGGCCTCGCACGGAAAATACTACTAGATAGATAGATTTATGTCTCATACTGGTCACCTCAAGCCATCATCCAATTCTACTGAGACAACGGCGGTTTCTGCTCTACCTCGTCGCGGCCACGCACTATCCTGGTATAGGCCTTCCTGTTCTCATACAAAATAGGTAGAATATCCGAAACGCCAGGAGCAGGGTGTAGTAAGGAAACTGAAGATCAGGTTCACAATATCTGGTATCACAAAGAAGACAATGGATCACGGGGAAGAAGCGAATAAATCGCCAGAACATCACACGAATCCATGGGAGATCAATATTTGCTTGTCAAGAATTTGCCAGAAACAGAGAAGTATGGCCTCTCGATCGTTGGAGAGAAGAAGAACGAGCGCCGACAGCCCTTGATACGTAAGGGCTCCCGGGCGCAGGCAGAAAAAGAAAAGAAGACAGAGCTCTTTGGCAAGCCACTCATACAGACTAATGACATACGATACAAACTGGGAGGGGCGGTATTTGTCCGATACACCAAAGACAGGGCTCAAGAACGGCATGAGAACAGAAAGTACTTTTGGTTTATTCCGCAGAACGCTTGAACGGGAAGCCCAAGAAGCTTAGCCGTTGATCAAAGTCACGCACATTCGTTGAAAGAAAAGAGCATATGAAAAGTTGACTCAACAAAGCGGATTTGGGGTATTGGGTGTACTAGAACACACAAATTTCATTTCAAAAGGAAGAGTTTGAGAATGGGAGATGCGCTTAGAAATCCACTTAGTCGGGGGCAGTCATGAAAGAGAAGAAAGTGGGGCGGAAAGGTAGGAAAACCAGCAAGTGAGAATATTAGAAAAGGAAGGAAGAAAAGAGAAACTTCCGCTTATTGCTGTTGCGGTTGCCAGCAGCCGTACTACAAGCTCCGTGCTGACAGACGTGCAGTCGCGTGGATCGTTGATCAATGGCTACGCTTGGTAGCCACTGAAGCCATTCCCGAAGTTGGCGTTGTTAGGCTGGTTCCAGCCGGAGGTAGGCGTGGCCTGACCACGGCCATATCCTGCGTTACCAGGGACCTGGCCATAACCTTGGCCAGCCATTCCAGACTGATCCCATCCCCGCTGGGTAGGAGTAGGACCTGCAACCAGACGAGTTAACCAAGGGCATGGAGAGGAGGAATGAAGTAGCTACCTTGAGGGGTCATGGGGGCACCGGGGCCGCCGTACTGGGGAAAGTACGGGGTCGGGTTGGAGTTGTACCCCGAGTTACCCTGCTGACCAGAGAAGTTGTCGAACTGGCCGGTGGGAGGGCGATCCTTGCCCCACTACGACTGTCAGTAAGAGAAGCATTAATGGGAAGAAGAAGCCCAGGGAACATACGCTGCACTTCAGGGGACGGCCGTTGACGTTGTAACCGCTAAGCTGGCAGATGGCCATGGCCGCGTTTTCATGGGTGTCCATCTTGATGAACGCAAACCCGCGATCGGCCTGCAGACGAGTCTCCAAAACATAGCCGAAATTCTGGAAGAGCGGGACAAGGTCGTTCTGCGTAGTGTAAGGGGTCAGGTTACCCACATAGCACGTGGTCTGCCACTGTGGGGTCTGCTGAGCGACCATGTCGTAGCTCTGAAGGCCTTGAGTCGGGAAATGGTGATGACCGAACGCCGTAGTGGGCGTCATTCCCATCGCGGCCATGGCCTGCTGCTGAGAAATAGAAGGCTGGCCCTTTTGGTTGGCCCAGTTGCAGCGAATGGCGCGGGAGCCGAGCCATTCCCCGTCCATAGAACTCAGGGCTTTGTCGGCGTCAGAGCGCTCACGGAAAGCAACAAATCCATAGCCACGGGAGCGACCGGTCTTCATATCCCACATGACGCGAGCCTCGGAGACAGAACCAAAGGCCGAAAAGGCTTGGAGGAGCACCTCGTCATTGACCTCGTTGCTCAGATCACCAACGAAGATATGGAAGTGGTTGGAAGTATCCTCCTTGTTGGTATTATTGGACTGGTAGGCCCAGTTCACACGGATTTCCTGCAAATCGTCAGAAGGTTCCGATGGTACGCATATGTATCTATAAGCTCGACTCCCACATACCGACTGGTGGATGCGACGTCCGTTGAGCGTCTGCATGGCTCTCTCGGCAGCACCAGGGTCATCGAATTCAACGAATCCGTAGTTGTACCCCTTACTGTTAAACTTCTGCGACAATCAGCACGGGGAGCCAATGGGAGAATAGTGGGTTGCTCACATCAGAAGGCTGACTTACGTTCTTATCCGGAATGATCTTGACACTGACGACATGGCCAGTAGTCTCAAAAATCTGCTTCAGGATATCCTCGGTGACGCGAGGGTCAAGTCCACCAACATACAGAGCCCGCTTGTTTGGTTCAGGGGCAGCCCGGCGTACGAAGCCACCGGCGCTGGTGGGAGACATCATGTTTCCGGACATCGGGGAGGTAATGGCGGTCGGGATGGGGTTGGTGTTCTGGGGAATCACCACGGGCGGGCGGGGAGGCGGTGGCATGTGGGAAGGATTAGCTTGCCCATTGCCCTGAGACGCATCGTACTGCTGGTTGGAGGCAGCAGCAGGGTTTTGGGGAGGAGGGAGGGACGAAGAAGTCGAGACGGCAACGTTATCGGCCATTGTTGAGAAGTCACGAGATGCAATTTACAGAAGAACCGACCGGTCAAACGAGCAAAATGCAAGGTGGAAAGGGACGATGGAAGCGTTTGACGAGGCAACGGAGGATGATATGCAATCTTTTGCTGACGGGACGATGCAGGCGTTACGCAGTCAAAATTAGAGTAGGCGAAGGCGGAAGAGACGCGGGGATCGAAGCACCCAGGACAAGACGGAAACTGGCAAAGCGCTAAACTAGATCATACAATGGGACTGCAATACGGGCGGCAGCTGGAGAAGAGGATCGCCGTTGAAGAAATGGCGATGGAAAAGCGTCGGGAGTGTTGATGATAACAGGTGCTGGAGAGCAGACTCAAACACGGTTTTCTCAACCACGGGCCCCAACAAGTGAGCGAGGTGGCAGCAGAAGAGCTTAAGATTCGGACAACAGCAGCCGACGGGGGAGGGGGGGAAGGCGTTTGAGGCAAACGAGAATGTGGAACGGAAGACGAAAGAAAGAGCAGAGATAGGAAAGGGAAAGGAAAACAAAGGGAAGAGAACGCAGATGCACTCGGGGGCTGTCGACGCTCAAAACCGCCTTGCGAGGAGGAGATGGAAGAAGAATGGAAATGGGGAAGAAACAGGGGAAGAAAAGCTGCGATGATCTGACTTGACGGGAAGTTTGACTGGAGAAAAGAACGAGGAGTTTGGATGGTCAAGAGCCGCTCCGGGTGGGGGGCGCGCTAGCCCCTCTGCGTTAGCCCTCCCTTGACGGGCCTCGTCTTTGTCCCAGCAAAGGCGCTTAAACTCCCCTCCAGTGCTCCTCCCGGCTGATCTGATCGATCCCGTCTGCCTCTGCCCAGTGCTCCAGGGCTCCAGTGCTCCAGGGCTAGTGCTCAGTGCCTTGTCTTGCTTCTCCGGCCCGGTCTAATCTCTCCGGCACTGCTTGCCACCTCCTGTTGGTCCTTTTCCAATTGGCTCGTCCGTACTCCCGTCTAGGACCAGCACCCCTCACGGGCCTACTGAACCCGTTTGCTCGCGTCTATCCGTGCACCACTGGCTCGCATCGTTTCTTATGCCGACAAAGGGTCTCTAGCTGGGAATTCTCAGGACCGCGTACCTTCCAACTGACGACTCACAAGTCGCCATAGCCGCTGATTTATACCAATTCGCATTCGAAACAGCCATTACTATAACCATGGCGGCAACAAATTTCTCCAATCCGAAATCTTTGGATGTTCTCACATCAATGGTTAACCAAACGGTATTCCTTTCACCTGATACCCCCTTGCAGCCAAACAGGATGGGGTCTGACGTCTACTAGCTTGTTGAGACCGGCCGGTTTTTCAAAACCGGGGGCTCCCTGCAGTCCAGAGCTCAACTCAAGCGATCTATCCCTATTGCGCACGATCAGTTCCAGAATGCTCTGGACAATCTGTCTGAGCAGATAGTAAGATCTACCCCCCTCTAGCAATCCATAGATTCTGTACTCATGACGGACAGTTCCTTGCCAAAGCATTCCTGGAGAGAGACTACGAGGCAGTCAAAGCAAGGAAAGCTGCCCTACAACCCGCAGAAGATGTCGTAATGAGTGATTCAGAGGTCAAGATCGAACCCGAGTCCGCACCACAGCCTCCCGAGCAGCCAGTGGTCGCCACCGACATGGTTCAGGCCAAGGTCGAGCCAGCTGACGATGTTCTTGCTTCGAAGCCCGAGGCGAATGTTAATGATAATAAACAGATCTCAGGGGATCAGCCTGTTAAGGTGGAGAAGTCGGATGAGAGTGTTGCCGGTGTCGCTGGAGCGCAATCTCTTTCCGCACCAGGGGATTTCAATTTTGACTCCATGCTGAATGATAATGCCGGCACTAATGATTTCGATCTAAATCTAGACTTTGGCGATGATGATGTTGGGAATGACAGTTTCTTGTCAGGTTCCAACATACTCAACGCCAGTACCGGTCCCAATAATGGCAGCAACGGAGCAAACAATCAGCCGACCGATGCCACACCAGCCTTGCCTGGTAGTGAGAGCAACCCAGCTACCGCGCCGATGGGCGGAGACGCATTCGACCTCGAGCTACAAAAGGCAGCGGCATTCACCTCCCAGGGGGATACCTCAGGAGAGCAGCCCTTTGATGGACAGGGTGGTGGTAACGTGGAAGACGTTATGCCAGGAGAATCTAGCTTCGATGATCTTTTCATGGAGAGCGACAATTTTGGAGGGGATGATCCTGGGGATGCTAGTCTGCTAGATGGGGATGGACTAGTCAACATCAACGAGTTGGATGACAGCTGGTTTACTTGATGGGCTGTCTGATGGGGCTGTTGGGGACATGGCTCGACCACGTTCACACGGTTATACGCACGGATAGGCAGAAGCAACCCATGACAGGCTAGTCGAGCTGCAACTCCGAAATAGCATGACACAATGAAGACACTCTTATGAAAGATCGATGCAACCAATCCGGTCCCCTTCCACACATCCTCATCTCCATTATTGCCGAGCCACCAATCGGTAAAGCAGACGGTCCACCCTGTAAGGGGGGATGGGGATCGGTACCTATTCGGCTACGGAATGACGCAAGGCACTCCGAAAGTGGAGGAATGTACGGACCGGGGCACGACAGAGCTTATCTCAGTTCCCCAAGTGACGTGAAGACGCTTCAACTTTAAGCCAGATTAGCTCTCCTGTGTAAAGCGTTCGCCTGGTCTTGGCTTCGTATGCAGCTAAACGGCTTCCTGCTAGTTCGGCATGATGATGACTACTGACCGGACCCTACGAGGGGGGCGGTCCCAGGAAAGTGGAATGGCTGTGCCCTGTTGCACATACTTGGTTAGTGCCTATGACCCGACTGCACGCAACGATCATCGGTAAGCCGTGAATATCTTGAGACCATTGGCCGGTTGTCGGGCTCTACGGAAATTACGTAGTGCTTAACCTGCTGGCTAATTTTGCTGCCTGTAAGTATTCTTGTGGTGCCGTGTCGATAGTGCTGTGTCGATAGTGCCTGTATACAGTACCATAGTCAACAGAAATTAGAGGCCTGAAGTCAAAGTAAGGTCAATGTGAGCATATGGTGATGTCATCAGGTGATGCCCAATCCACGAGGCAGAAGTGATGATTGTGTGGAGTCGGAGCACCTCAGAAACATGATATGCCGGTGTTGATCGAGATCGTCTCGAGGCTTACAAGCTGTTGGAGAGCACTAGTCATCCGATTTTTCGAGCTGACTCAGAGTAGGGGATTTTATCCGATAGTTTACTTCACATGTCAATTAATGCAATGTTTCTAGAAATATCACGGTCTAGACGCCTAGATGAGCAATCCATCTGGTAGGCTTTAATCCGGACAAGGCTCGGTCTGCCGGTGGCGGCCAAACAACGTGACGGCGATGGCGACTGTGGAACCGGCCCCGGGATCAGGCCATGGATCTGGGATTGGTGATTAGACTTCTGCATCCATTCTTCAGTCGGCAAAGTGGGAGCGGTTCTGGCAATCCGACGGAACTCCAGAGGGTCCTTGTCTTTTCGCCCCATTGACCTGGAGACGATGTGGGATTATCTTCCCCAGAGGCAGCAGGATAAGGATCGTAATCAGGCAAGGCCAGGTGTCAGCCGGGACAGGCACCAACAAACATCAAGCCTCGACTACTCAAGATTAGTCAAATCCTTCCCGTCGCGCCCCGATGATATCACCACCAGCAGCCAAGGATCCCCCGCATTGACAACAAAACGCATTTACAGCGATTGTCGGCAGCCTCGCAGCCTCGGGGCTGTCACGAACTGAGCCCGTGGATCCGACCGCCTCAGGTCTTGTACCTACTGGGATTAGATTCACCCTCCTAGGGGGGGAATGAAGTCAAGGAGGTGCATTCATCCGGATCCTGAGAAGCAGAAGGGGCATCTGATGACCGCACTGGCTTGGTCCCAAGCCTGTGCCGGCCTTCCCGCTTCAAAGGCCTCAGAGTGAGTCGACTCGGCCCCCGGGCACAGCAGATCAGACGTCACGATCCTCAGTCATAGTCAAGGCCTAGCCCCCCTCTTTTGGCGCTAAGGATTCAGCTAAACAAAGTAGGGACTGGAGAGGCCGAGAAAGAGGTTCTCCGTATTCCGTACCTGGAGGTTAGTACGTAGAAAACTCGCGGCCATCACATGGCACTTTTGGAGTACACAGAAGCGAGGAGGGACAATAGCAAAACAATGCTGGTGTTCGGTACACATCGTAAATAGGTCGGGTCGTTCGGACCAGAGGTCAACCAGCGTGCCCTCCCACGGTGCCTTCCATGGCGCCCATGTTCGTGCGGAAAGTCTGATCGCGGGTGGGAAAAAAAACGATTCAAGGTGTGGTTCAGCGATTTTATTCCTCCATCGATTGGTGAAGGCAACCTGCGGATCACCGGATATGACTGAACCTACCGGTTTCCCCCTCCGCGTCATCGTCCGTCTCATCAGTCATGGCGGGCCTGGCTCAGTTATTCTTTTCCCCTCTCTCTGCATTTAAGTATCTTGTGCCCAAGGAACTATACCCGCACCGCCTCATTCCTGTCGTGTCTGTGTTGTCATCGATGTCAATGCTGCCCCTTCGCATGACTCTTTCGCTCCGATCATTTTAGTACTTACTTACCTACATACTGCTCGCCCTACCTCCCCCTCATTCTGGTCGTGCTTTTGGCTTTTCCCCCGCATCATCGACCCATCTGGCCTACACCCTGAATTGCTGAACGCGGTGATCCCTTCCATCGCGTTGGCCGGCTGATAGTAGCGACTTGCCGACTTGCCTTTGCCCGCGCTGCGCCGCGGTGGACGTGCTCCTCCTTGCGCCGTCGATCATCCCCCAAACTCAGAAAGGATCCAAAACCCGAAAGGAGGCAAAGCGAAAAAAAGAAAAACGAAATTAAGGACAAGGTAGTCTTGCTCCGTCCCAAGGAAAATTCCACTGGTCGCACGACACTCTGCAGCTGGGACTGTGCGTAAGATTTACTAGGACAGGAAAATATACTTCCCCATCCCAGAATTCTGCTGCGACTGGTAGCAAAACACCGCTCCGTTTGGGTAAGTCGTCGATTCACCCCAAAACGTGCTTGCTTCTTTGGACTTTTTTTTTTTACTCCTTCTTGCGGCATTCCTCTTCTCTTCCCTTTTTTCTTTTATCTCATCCTTTGGGTCTACTTGGCTCCTTTGTTAAGTAGTGCTCTCTTTCTTCAATTCGCCTTGCGTCTCCCTTTATGATCTCCCTCGCAATTCCGGTGTGATCCCTCTCATACATACATCTCTCTATATCCGTCTTACCCGTGGTTGCAAAACGGCCTTTCCGAGCATCCGGGAATCTTGTCTGTTCATATAAATACTTTGATCGCTGCTTGCAAACGATGCTCCTCGATTGGTGTTCTTCACGATGACGACTCACATCTCCCATCTGGAACAGGACTTTTCGGGATCTGTGACAACCACTACTACTACAAGTTCGGACTCGCAACTCTCCTGCGCGGCGCCCGAATCCCTCCCTCTCTTCCATAACCTCTTGGGGTTCCGATCCGATCCTCGCCGGTCGATAGAAACCTCGACAGTTGTTGGCGACAGTGTTGCTGTTGGCAAACTACCCCGGCCAGGCCATCGCCGCCGCGAATCCATACTAAGAAAGCTGGCGGGTCCACGGGAAAACGCAAAGCGACTCCTCCGCTTGGGGACCCCTATCCACCCTCCGCTGACGCCACCCACCCACCCAATGCCAATGCCCGAAACACATCGCCCTCGCCCGGTGTCTGAGATCGTTTTGTCCCCCAACGATGCACAAATGCTCGCAACTACGGGTTTAAGGGCCGGCAGGCTGCGCTCGCACTCTTCGTCGACCGTGTCGGCTGCTCAACCTACCTCTACGTCGGCTACGCAAACGATGCCGGCTTCGGATCCCACGGTACCGTTCCCGACTCTGCGCAATGAGAAGATCGTGGCGACAGGAAGCGGGATAACCGTGGGTGTTGCGCTCACCGAACCGGTCCTCTTCCTCCAGGGATACGACCAGAATGATCCCAGCACCAAGAAGTCGGCCATTCTGCGCGGACAGTTACATCTCAAGATTACAAAGAGCGTCAAGGTTAAGAAGATCTCCATCTGCTTCCGCGGACATGCTCAGACCGATTGGCCGGATGGTGCGCTCTCCTCCCTGCAAATTTTTTGAGTGGCGTTGTAACTAACCTGTTGTTTCTGATGCAGGAATCCCTCCCAAGAAAGTCCACTTCCACGACAAGAAAGACCTCGTCACGCATGGCGTCATGTACTTCAACCACGGGGATACTGCGCTGATGCAAAACGACTACGGGGCGCACTTTTACCAACACGCCAAACCGGTGACCTCGGTGACGGGCAAAGATGGGGCGACGACCAGTACCCGGGAATTGCTCTCCAAGACTGGATCGTCAACCTCGCTGAGCCATAACGGCCAGTTCACCCCCAAGGACATGAAGCGGCTTTCGTTACAATCCAACCAATCCCGCAGTTTCGGCAAGAATGACCTACCCCCTCCCCCCGTTCATACCCAGCGCAACTACCGGTTGTTCCCGGTCGGTGATTATCTGTACAGTTTTGAGTTCCCGATCGATGGCTCTCTCCCGGAGACGATCAAGACGGACCTGGGGTCTGTCCGGTATGACATTGAAGCTATCGTGGAACGGGCCGGAGCGTTCCGTCCTAATCTGCTGGGGACGTTGGAGGTACCGGTGATCCGCACGCCGGCCGAGGGCTCGTTGGAGCAGGTTGAGCCGATCGCCATCTCCCGCAACTGGGAAGATCAATTGCATTATGACATTGTCATCTCGGGGAAGTCATTTCCTCTTGGATCGCAGGTTCCCATTGCGTTTAAGTTGACGCCACTGGCCAAGGTTGAGTGCCACCGGATCAAGGTGTACGTGACCGAGAACATTCAACACTGGACCTCAGACAAGAGCGTCCACCGGTTTCAGCCGGCGAAGAAGGTGTTGCTTTTCGAGAAACGAGCAGACTCTGCCAGCACCAGCACCTACCCTGGAAGCTCCATGCGAGTCATGGCAGGTGGCGGCATCGACTGGGACCGTCGCGCAGCTGCGGCGAGAGGCGAGGAGATTGTCGACCGGAACCGGACCAATCTCCTTGGTAACCTCTCCAGCGACGCGGGCGTTGGTCCGACTGAGATGGAGTTCAATGTCCAACTTCCGAGCTGTCAAGAGATGCGGAACCGGGATGAGTCCCAGCGGCTGCACTTTGATACGACGTATGAAAACATTCAAATCAATCATTGGATAAAGGTATGCTACCCGCTCAATCTCGGCTATCATTTCATGGTCTAACTCTTTTGGCAGATTGTATTGCGTCTGTCCAAGGTTGACGAAAGAGACCCGGGCAAGCGAAGACACTTTGAGATTTCCATCGACTCTCCGTTCCACCTGCTCTCTTGCAAGGCCACACAAGCCAACATCTATCTCCCCGCTTACACGTCGCCCGACTCGGAGCCGTCGCCACAGGCCCAGGAGTTCGAATGTGGCTGCCCTGGAGCGCCGGCAGTCCACAGGAACGGCTCGCGGAACGGCTCCAGCCGGCAGTCCTTGTCTTCCGATCGCGAAGAGCTGCCGATCGGAGGCGCGGTTTCTAGAAGCTTTACCAATGGTTCTGGCGGGTTGACTCGACCACCGCAGGCGCATCTTGCAGACGAGCCCAACGATCGGGCGCCAGCACCACCACGGCCCATGCACCTTCTCCGAGCACCGTCTTTTGCGCCGCCGCCTTTTGAAGATGTTCCACCACCGCCTCCACTCGTGACACCGCCTCCTGAATATAATTCTATTGTGGGCGATAACGATAGGGAATCGGTGCTGCAGGACTATTTCTCGCGGCTGTCTTGCTACGAGGAGCACGCGGATGATGATCGGGGCCGAGGCCGAGTTGATGTGCCTCTCACCCCCGGAGGGCGGGTGAACCGCAGCATGGACGTGCCACGCGAGTGGGTGCGCCTGGAGGAGTCGGCGGTTTAAGGCGACCGCGACGAGCTAAGATTTATGATTCTTATGAGGTTTGGTTCATCATCCTGTTTAGAGGAAAGTATGGGAGTTCGTGATACAACCGGTGTTTGATCGTGAGCAGCAATGTAGGCTGGCTTGTGTTTTGTTTTGGATATGGCGCCAGATGGATTGTGGATGGATGGCATTGTTGAGCGGGATACTTTTATATATACATTGTTTACTACATGTTATGTTAGATACCAACTATCACAACTGCCGATTACGGCATTCGAGATATACTACCTCCCTTCATTTGCACCCATCACTGAAGTAGATCGAGATATCTGGAATGGCACCGCGGGAGCATCTGCATCTCATACGCCAGATGGCAGATCACGTTGTTCACCCCTTGCATGCCATGATCGCGACAGACTCGTATTCCAAAATGCTCATGCAATGGGATAGCATCCAGATAAATACGTCATCACTCTGCTTATACTTTACGACTCGACGTACGACCGCCCTCGTATCCATCCATAAGTACTGTCTATTCAAGAGGGAATGCCAGAGGCCGACTGGAGCAGTTGTTGATAAGGCCACGGAGAACTATCTACTACTAGGTAGTGGAGGGCGCTTCCGCATGGAGCTGCCTGTTTGGGCCAATCCGGGCGCTCTTTTTCCGCCCGCCTCTACCTTACTTTTCTCTGGAACAATGACTCCATCATTAGTTGTACAACCTTCACGTTTCTTCCTGGCCACTTTGATAACAGTTAACAATCGCTTTTCTTGCCGATATTATCTACGTATTGCTTCTAGCTGCGTAAAACGCAAGGGGGCTTTTTGTTGTTGGATTGAGTTGTGATAACGAATTGTGTGATTTTGCTGGTGGACGTCATACCGCAGTTGTAACTGGTGAGTTCAAGTTCAAGTTCATCTCTCGGTGTGGATTTTAGGATTGGACTTTTGACACTGCAGTGCACTACGGAGTAGACAATGGCGATTGAAGTTGTATCCCTCACGGAGGCGAACATCCCCGAAGCGATCGAAATCATTCAAACTGCATTCGCAGAAGATCCTTATTTCGAGTGGGTTTTTGATTCTTGTAATGTAAGTCATACAGAATCGACCAGGTCTGAGATTTGGTTGGTATGTGAGAAGCACCACGCTAACCATTCCTCTCCTCTTTGACGCGGTCGCGTGGATCCGACCGACGTTGAATCATGTGTGGAATTGAATTTGGATAGTTTAATAAACAAAGGAATTCTGACTCCCTCGCTGTGCGATGTCTCTGGGGGATTAACAATGCGATCTTTCAAGTCGCGAGAGAGACGGATGCGACGGGCGAATCGCGGATTGTGGGTGTGTCATGCTGGCTGCCACCGCATTCGCCCCACGAGCCGGAAAGCTGGTACAGCTGGTACCAGGGGTGGGTGCTCTCGTGGCGACAGATGCTAAACAATGTGTGGCATTGGGGTCGGGGTGGGCTGAAGACGAATCGGTATTGGATCTGGAAGGACCGGCAGCATGAGGCGCAGAGCCAGATCTGGGATGATCCCAAGGGGTATTATTTCTGCAACATTGTGGCTGTTCGTCCGGGGGTTCAGGGCCAGGGCATTGGGCGGAAGCTCTTTGAGGCTGTGACGGATCGGGCGGATCAGGAGGGTGTCAAGTGTTATTTGGAGAGTTCGAGGAATGTGCCTAATGTGCAGATCTATGAGAAGATGGGGTTTGCGATGAAGAAGGAGATGGAGTGTCGGGATGGAGAGGATGTGTGCATGGTAGGTGTTCGTTGCAGGATGAAACGGCTCTGATGCATCTGCTAACTCTGTTGCAGCTGTACTGCATGGTTCGCGAACCCAAGTCCAAACACTGAGGGGTGGGAATGATTCTAGAAGCCGGATGGATGTAACAGGGTTGGGGATGGTGCGGCAGTGAGACGAACGCCCGGCACGTGGAAGAGTTGAATCAATCCTCGGATCAGACCAGAATCGCAGACAGTCAGTCAGTCCTCGGATTGCATGTGGTGGCTGGATTTTCAGTGGGCCTAAAAATGGAAACCGTTTTAAAGACTAAGTCAGCCACGAGTTTAATATGTGCTTTGTCCCTCGCTCCTTGCTGAGCCCTCGGGCTGCTGCAGAAACCCCCTTTCCAGGGCATTGGCCAAGACCCGGGGAAGATCCACGGCTCCACTGTTGATGTGGTCGGCTGGTTGCGCCCGTTGCCAAGCTATCGATCCTTTGTGTGGTCATTGTGGTGCAGTGCAGCCAGGGATCTTGTTGGGATGCGTTCATTGATGTGTTCCTTGCCTTATATCGCCGTTGTGTTATCATGTTGTCTGTTGGGTTGGAAAGCGCCATGATTGATAGTGGTGGTGCCGAGGTTCAACGAGTCAGGCCCTGATCCGCTGTTTCACAACCACGGTAGTCGATCATGGCGTTCTCCGGCGTGGCTAGACTCGGTCAGGGGCTCAAAGTCGAGCTTTTCCAGCCGGCGTCTGGACTTGATTTGCCCATTTAGGGTTACCGGCGATCGTAGAATCGGCGTGTGATGCCGAACATGCTTTTTGGGTTTCAGGAGAAACCATCTTTTTTTTGGGACCGGCTGGGATATATCAACCGCGTGTGGCACTTGACCCGCAGGTTTCCACATGTTTCTCACAGCTGGTCTGTTCCATCGCTCTGCGATTGCTTGTTGTTATTGCCTGTTGCCTCCAATCCATATAATTCTTCCCAATCATCTGGTTCATGTACCAACCATCGACTCGAAGCGAGGACATGGGGATGTCCCTCCCGGCGAGGGTTGGTTTAGTGCTCACTATTCTGGGTACGCATTGATCACCGACTTGCCTTCTAACCTGATCGTCTCTGACCCTGTATCCAGCGGCCGTCATCCTCATCACGATTGTCACCACCTTTATAATTCTTCGCATCCAGCGCGGCCCCGGCGTCACCTTCTGGGCGCTTTTCAATCTCCAACCCATTCCCAAACGACCCCAACCCTCGCCCGATACTGAAGCCGGCAAGAAAGACCCCCATAAAGACATCATCAGCCCAGTCCCAACAGCACACGTCCCCCGGTCCTCTCTCCACAAAGAACTCCAAATCAAAACGAGTCCCGTCCGTCATCAATCGACGCGATCCTCCCTCCCACAGAAATCCATTCGCACCATGTCCGAAACCAACCTCAAGGAAGAGAAACTCCAGGTCCAACCTCTCCAGCTGAATCGGATGCGCGCGAGTACGCGGTCGTCGGGCACCATTCCGAGTCGATTATATCCGCCGAGCGAGTTCTCGGTCCCGGACAGTCCGGTGATTGTGTTGCCGTCACCGAGCGATCTACAGAAGTTTCGGATTAATGTGAATCGATGAGGGAGCTTGCTGGGCAAGACGGTAATGGATACGCATGTTAATGGATATGTAATCTCTTGGATGAATGGTAGTAATGATTGATGATGGTTTGTTGCTGCATTGATTTACTGGTTTGTGTGAAGATGGATCTACATTTTCTGTTCAATATGGGGAGGTGGGAGTATTCCTAGATTTCACCCTTTAGACTTCTAATGCACTCGTATCACTTTCACCAACAATCACAGTCCCAACCCCAATCCCAATCCAATCCCGCAACGTTGTATCCAACCACCCCGGTCTAGTCCAGACCAGTCCAGACCAGTCCAGACCAGTCCAGACCAGTCCACTCCATCCCAAACCCGAAAAGCGAACAAAGAAACCACCCACCGTTGAACTTGAATGGAATGCAGGTCCGCGGGGTGGCTGCCTGGTGTAACACCGTTCCGATGATCTCTCCAGTTACTGGTACGAGTATAGTGCTTATTAGATGAACGCTAAAACCGGTCAGTCACTTCCCGGACTGTTGGCTGCAGGGATATAGAGTTCCCAACTATCCATGCTGGAGTGCTACATTACACCCTTCGTACTACATACTTTAATGGGAATAGTAATCGTTGGATGAGATGAATCAATATTGAGCACTTTCTTAATAACACTAATGTATATGTGTACTCATTTTAGAGAAAAAATCTTTGACTCCATTATTGTTGGTAGTAGTGCGTAGTGTGTACATGGAGTGGGGAGGGGATGTAGATCCTTGCCCCGGCTGGAGATGGAGATGAGATGGGTCTACCGGGTGGGGACAGACCTAGGTACTGTATACAGTGCTTGCTCAGGGATGATGCTTGGCTGGCTGTGTTATATCCTACTATTCATTGCTCTGGGTCAGGATTAACTGTCTGTTTATTCATTCTACCCGGATTGAATACGATGCCTTACGAATCTTAGGTAGAACAGGCCACTATTGACGGCCATTCCCTTCCATCCTATCCATGAACGTTAACAGTCAACACACTCATCATTTACCCTCACATCCACTCACACCTCAATGAACATTCATGAACCCCCTGACACATTCCCCTTTACCCCATCCTAATCAGTTCACAACCCATGCCGAAATGCCATAGCCTGATTCCTCCCCAGCTATAAATTCTCCCAATTTCCCTCTGACCGCCTTCCTTCTTCCACTTTTCACAAAGCCATCCCCTTCCTTTCCTTCCCTACTGAGCCTCGGTTCATCATGTTCCATGTCTGATCATTTTTCATTCCTCTCCCTGATGATGAATTCCTTTCATGCACTGTCTTCATGCTTTACATGATTTATGCCCGAGGACTCGGTCTCTACTGAGCCTCGGCTCATGCTTCTGGTCTCTTATCATGGCCATTTGATTCCACCGTTGATGGGGGGGGGGCTCTTCATGCCTTACATGATTTATGGTCTGTAATATGGTGGTTGTTTCATGTAAATGTGGTGGTGGTGTACTTGACGTGGTACATCTACTGTTTATAAGGTACTGTCGCACGGTGTACATCTACTTGATGTATGATGTACTAGGATTACGGAGGTCTTTCAATTGTGACATCTCTGGGGACTATTTTATGATTTCCGTTCATCGGAACCACTCCATGTGGGTTTTCTTATCTATGTGGAGGAACTTTGACTCCTTTGTTTCATGTGTCCAGTTGGACGATGGGTCTGATGGGATGGGGTCTATCCGGAATCTGGTTCGATATACTACTCCCTATGTGTCGGTATACATCTTACGGGTCGATATATTTTCTATGGGTCGACATATCGCCTACGGGCCGATTTGACATCTCATCGGGTCTCACTTTCTACAATGTCCCTGACTCACCTTGGCTCCATTACCTCCTTTATGGTGGTTGGACACATGATACCTTGCGATATACATGTCGCATGGTCGGAAGCACCTTACGCTATGCACTTTAAGCTATGCACTTTAAGCTATGCACTTTACGCTGGGCACTAGACCTGGCCGGTCTACAGAGCCTTTATTTCACTTCTACAAGCTCTATCAGCTTCGATCCGTTCATCAAATACGATGTTCATTATCGGAACCAGCTCACGCTGTGCGCTAAACCCGGTGTGTCTCAGAAAGATTTCTTCTATTACCTCTTATATGTACGACCCTCGAAAATATACGACACTCAGAACACGGTACTCACCGAAACGAGCCAACCTAGCCACTCGTGGCTGCGCTCTAAACCCGATTTATGAGAGGTCTTTGATGGATTACTACATCACCCACCTTTTACTACCGACCTCCTATGCCGTCGTCCAGACCATCGACACATCTCGATACTGATTATCGGAACCACTTCACTCGTACCCCATACTATCTAACTTACAACGGGCTCTCTTTACCTCCTATACCTCCGATATCATCGAGACACATCGCAATATCAATAATCGGAACCACTTCACGTGGTACTCACCATCTATACAACGACCTACCGGTCTCTCTTACCATGCTTTGCAATTTGTACTACCTATACCATTACACATTGCAATATCCAATATTGGAGCTACCTCACTATCCTTATCAACCCAACCAAAACACATCATAATCTTCATTATCGGAACCACTTCAACTGGCTCTCCTACTCTACTTAACAAGATCATCGACTCATCTGGTCCCAATTACTGAAGTCTCTTCATGTGGTACCCACCATCTAATTGCTTACTGGTGTCTCTTTTATTCTATGTATCCCTACTACATATAGCCTCCATCCAAACATTGCAATATCCATTACTGAACTGAAACCTTCCCTTGTCACCCCAACCAACACACACCACACACCATAATCTCCAGTACCGGTACCACTTCACTTCACTTCATCTCCCTCCCTTCCCTCTCCTCTCACCCCTATCTTCGCACACACAATCAAATCAACCCCCACCCGCCTACTACCCGAACAACAAAGAAACATACCACCCTCCCACCAGCGCCCAGCCCACAGCACAGCCCGTGTAACCACAACCAATAACCCGAAACCACCTTAATCTCACCCCACGACCAATAAAACCACCCCTTCCCGCATGCCAATCGAAACAGGGATTATCCCGACAAAAGATCCCAGATATACTTTCCTTCCCGTGTCATTTAGATCAACGGATGGGCAGGGGAGAGGAGGATACCGTTATCATGGGGGTAATTCACGGGATAAAGAAGGGAGGGGGTATCGGAGGGTGTCATTTAGGGAGTGGAAGGGTCTGTTCGAGATGAGGTTTCATTTCATTTCATGAAGGGAAGGGGAGGGGGTTATATAAGGGGGTAAATCTATCTCTTCCTTTGCTTGTGCTTGTTGTGTGTGGAATCACATTCTTTACTACCATCACTCTTTTATTTTACTTGATCTTAAGGGTTGATCCTACCTACCTACCTTACTCCTATCACTCCTTTATTTAGCTAGTTCTGAGGTTGATCCCAGTACACTTACACTTACACTTACACTTACACTTACACTCCACACTCCACTCCACTCCACTCTACTCTCATTTATATTATCACCAAGGACTCAAACAACAAACAACAAACACCAAAATGTCCCCCTTCTACTCCTGCCCCTCCTCCTCCTCCTCCTCCCCTCCACCAACTCCCACCCCACCACCACCACCACCAAAGAAATCTGGCACCCCCCCATCAACTCAACCTGGCAAATCATCCTCCCCACCCCCCTAACCCCCCGCGCCATCACGCCCACCTACCAAATCTACGACATCGACCTCTTCATCAACGACGAACCCATAATCACCACCCTCCACAAATCCTCCCACAAAGTAATCTGCTACTTCTCCGCCGGCAGCTACGAACCCCACCGCCCCGACAGCGCCCACTTCCACGCCTCCGACAAAGGCAACGCGCTCCCGGGCTGGGACACCGAGCGCTGGCTCGACACCCGGTCCCCCAACGTCCGCAGTATCATGCAAGCCCGCCTGGACCGCGCCGCGGCACTGGGCTGCGACGGCGTCGACCCGGATAACGTGGACGCGTTCGGGACCGACAACGGATTGGATTTATCGAGGGAGGACGCGGTGGACTATGTGCGGTTTTTGGCTGCCGAGGCGCATATGAGGGGTTTAGCGCTGGGGTTGAAGAATGCGAATGCGATTGTTGAGAGGGTGGTGGATGTGGTGCAGTGGGCGGTTAATGAGGAGTGTGCGTCGTTGAGGGAGTGTGGGGATTTGGGGACGTTGGGGAGGGCGGGGAAGCCGGTTTTTCATATTGAGTATCCGAAGGGGGAGGGGGTTAGTGATGGGGGTTTTGTGGGGGAGGAGGAGAGGATGACGGCTTGTGTGTTTGAGGGGTCGGGGGGGTTTTCGACGGTGTTGAAGAATTGGAATCTGGATGAGTGGATTCAGGGGTGTTGAGTTTGTTGCTGTTGGATGTTTGGACGATGTGTTGGATGTGTAGTACAGATGCTTGTGTTGCTGTTAGGTGATTGTGTATGAATTGAAGATTCTTGGAGAGGTGTTGAGTTCGTTGTAAGATGACTGAATATACAAAGACCGAGGACATCAATTCCCTTTCTCATACTCATCGTATTTATGATTATTTGAACACCGTCAGATTCATGTAGGAAGACATACTCCACACCGAGACTCGCCTGTAGTACTCTGCAGCAGTCTTCATCGTCCCCTTGGGCATTAGATTCGTGTCGGACGCCTTCGGAATCGAATAAACCAGCTTGTTCGCGTCAACACACTTGGTCGGGACCTTTAGTGCAATGGCTGCGCTGTTGTTGGTGTCGGACATGGTGCTAGCTTTCTATGCAAATGTGTAGGTGGCTGTAATACCGTGTTGTGTTTGAATCACGCTTTGATGTCATTCCAGACGTACTGTACTGCTTATCCGCTGCGATCACATGAGGGAAGACGGATAGGCTAGCCCGAGATGCGGAGACTAAGACATTCACGTGTACCTAGATGCCGTTGAAGCCAGTCAGTCGCTTATCTCCCGCACGGTCCTTAGAGCCCCGTGGGACTAGATTGGCCCAGAAGCATCCAGATGAGTAGTAAGCGGCGTCGAAAAGTGGTAGCCTGCGGAACTGCTGCAAACAAGGCGAGTCTGGCTGTGGGCTTATCATAATGCATCTAATTAAGCAGCTCGTAACATACCAGGGTGCTGTCTGGACTCTGGAGGCATGCAAGAGCCCCAGTCGGAAGGGATGGAAGAGGCGTATCGTGCTTCATCGCCAGGGTCATACCGTGCCCCCGCACTAGAGAGCAGCATGAAAACCGTGTTCCACATGACTGGCGACTATGTTAGCAGTTAGTCTTTCCGAAAATGGCTATGGCGCGGGTTAGCGTAGTCTGGACTGAGTTGTCACTGCAACATAGATTGGTATTGTCACGACACGTAGACTTCGGACAGCGTCATGGACATAGGGAGATGCAGCATGCTTTGATTCGGCGCTACACAACCATGGCTGCATGATGTACCTACTAACGATGCGCTCGCTTTGACTTGCCTGTCGGATTGTCCTTGCTAGCATGCGAGAGAAAGGCCTTAGCAACTAGCGCTCCCCACCGCGGTGTATGTAGCAGGACTTTTTCGGAGGTAGGTAGATATTTGTATTGAGGGTGACGAGAGCCCAAAGTACGAGACGCAGATGGATTGCATTGGCAACTGCATCGGAGTGATCGCGGATCCAGAAGGCATTGTTGCGTAAGGGTATGAAGGTATTGTTCGACCCAGATTACGGCGTAGTTGTCTGCTTGAAGCATCATGGATTATCTGGCAAAGGAACGATGTCTCGGTAGGGACGATTAAGGAGTCGATTTCGGGCTGAAGGTCTGAAAAGAGCACATACGTTAGACCTGGACTGCCTAGCTAATCACACTTACCTCACTATTCCATGCGGTTCGATTCCATCCTCCTAGAGTGTCTGGTATCAGCGTGTAGTCCGTTTGGCTCCAGGAAGAGGGCTCCGAGCAACGGCTCTAGACTGGCCATCCTATCCATGCTGACGCTGGATTATTGCAGCATCGGCCCGTTCGGTTGAGGAGCATACGACAAGTTGGTGAACTAATGCAATTGTTCTCATCAGCGCCAGGCTTTGCTCGCAGAATATCCAAGACAAGGCATATCTTACCAGCAGTTAACTCCAATGATAGCAACATCTCAGTGTTCTATAACAGTAGGAAGAAGAGGATCGAAACTCCTAGATAGTCCGGTAATGTGTCAGCTCAACCCCCCCTGCAATATGTGATAGAAGCATACGACTGCTCATCAGCCTCTCGTTAACCATTTCTGCTTTATTATTATTGATTTGAAGAGCCTGCTGCTGAAACAAGCGGGCTGGAGTGATCGGGGTATATGAGAAGAAAGCTCGCAGAGAAGTGTCGTCCTGGCAGGTGAATACTGGCGGATCAGGTGACAACCATCTTCTTCAGCTGCCATGGTGTTTGACCCTTTCAGCACCCTTCCAAAGTCAGACTTTCGCTTTAGTGAGTTTCATCCCAGAATGAGCAGGCGAAAGCCTTCTCGAACTACACGATATCTAACGCTGAGCTCAACTAGCCTTACAGATCCAGGCAGACGCCTATCAAACACAGAAGACTGAATATAGCCACTCGGAAATCCGACACGGATTAGTACACTCTCACGTCTCAGCCATTAGGCACCCCGTTAATCGACAGGCTCCCCTGAACGCCCTCGGTGATATGAACTCAAGTCCGGACAAATGGTGGCCCATTGATGCCACCGGCTGATCGACTTCAACGGTCGCAGATCCCCCTTATTGATCCGTGTGCCGTTCAGCCACATCCACCGTTCTTTGTCTCTTATAATCTTACATCAGTAACACACTCGGACCACCTGCCGTAAGCCATGCAGCTTGGCATCTAGAGCCTGCCCCTGATCCTTGTGGCACATCAACAAAGCAATATAAACGGGGCTCGGCACGGGGACCAGCAAGGACAGAAGCAGTATTCCACGCGAGTCATAAACCAAGCTAGCATATGTCCATGTAATAGATGTCCATATCATAATAAACCAAATCTATACCCATGGCCAATTGTCTCCGTAGCCAATGACACATCCCTTTAGTTCCCGGGTGGACGGAAGTCCTTTCCGACGGGTTTGGCTCACAAAGAAGACTCGGAAGCTGACTTACAGCAATACCAGACCACATTAAGAGAGGGGAACCATCAACAGAGGGTGGTGGCAGTCGGCCCCCCTTGATGATGCAGAACGCTCCACTAAATGGGGGCGAAATGACAAGCACGTTGCTCAAATATGTCGAAAGCGATTGGCGCAGAATCCCTAGCATAAAGCACATTAATCTATTTAGTAAGACCCAAGTCTAGTGCTAATCACGGGCATGACAAGCCTACGACCAGTCAGTTCACACCTATCCCCAGGCCATGTGTTTGATTCGTCGATAATAGAATAATCCGTTCAGGGATCATGATGGGCAAAAAAGGAAATAATTCCAACATGAGCCGATGCTACCCCTGTCCTCAGCGTTAGCGTGGAGATAAGCAGACAAGGACTCGGACCATGTTAGGTGTTGAACTAGGAGGTTAGCAGAAGAACAGCTTCCCCGACTAGTCAGGTAGTCTGGCATATGTCAATATCGACCCTCGGTCTAAATTGCGCCAGTGGCCGGGCCTTCTCCGCCGGGTCCACCGAGGGGTGGACGAAGGAGGAGGAGAATCCGCTGGCAAACGGCGAGTCCGACGACCGTTGAACTAAAGAGGAAGGCCCATGTCGTCCGAATGCTTGACAACCGTTGCCAAGCATGCTTGGTCTGAGAGCCAAGCCTCACAATCGGTCGGGGAGATCGTGGCGATGCATGATATGACATGACATCTGGCTCGGATTCGGCCCGGGTTGCCCGTGCCTCGGAGTCCTGGCACAGAATGGTATATGATCCGTGGCTGTGAAATATCGGCGGAGACCTCTGACTGGCGGAAAGTTGAACCTTCGAACAGGGGAAATGACCTGATCTGCTTTCAGATAGCGGTGATTCTTCAGAGGAACTTCACGGAAGGCAAGCTGCATCCGATTGTTCAGTCCATCCTAGGCACTCTGGTGACAGGTATCTAGGCGGAGGTGGATCGAGATCACCTGTCGGTTGATCCTTGTCTGCTAAGGGTGGTGTTATGTGTGGTTCCTTTGTCCTTCGACATCCTGTTGGAGGGATCAAGGGTCTCTGCCTTACCTGATGAAATGTGGTGGTCGGACCATGGAAGGAAGTTGAGGTCGAGATGCTAAGATATCACGCACTTTACGTGGCTTATGATCGTGGATAACGGTCTATAAGCTAGGGTCCATCAGGTCTTTTGCACATCATTACGTGTGCGATGCGATGACACCGAAATGACGAAAGAAGGAAGGGATTCAGCCATGGGGGATCCAAATTAACGACGGTTGTAGCCGCCGGGGATGGCCAGGGTCGAGAGATAATCAAACGAGATCTTTGATGAATGGGAAGTGGCCGGGACTGGACGGAGTACTTTTTACTTTATGATTAATATTTTTCATTTTCAGTTTTCTTTCTTCTAATCATTTATTTCCCTGCTTTATTTTGTTATTGGTGTCGTATATCCCCTACGCGTTTCAGCAAGACGGAATCTCACGCCGTGCCAACAGAGCCAAGCCTGGCTGGGAACCTTATCGAGAGCCATAGTCGCCAGCATTAAGCACGTACGTACCCCAAGGACCGTCGGGTAAATCCTACCGTTAGGAAAAGAAAAATCTGGAAAGGAACCGGCTACGCGTCCATCTGGGGACATTCCTTATCCTGTTCTGAGCAGAGTCCATGTCGGATATATAGCCGTCGATAGACATTAAAGTACCGTGGCACGGATCAAGAGGAATAATATTGGTTCCAACTATAATAATAACAAACTTTCCACCCGCCTTACCATAAGGACCTTCCGGCCGGCATCAAACAAACAGAATAAGGGCCATTCCTGCATGAGGTCATACATGCATGGGTTGCCTGCTTTGCTTGATTTCCCTTTCCTCTGCCCTCGATCTAGTCTACGCCGGTCAAGGGAGAAATCATGCCATGCTGGAATGATAGGCTTCCCTTTCTTCTTTTGGCAGTCCCGCCGCGCTTCAGTTCGTTCTTCGGACGATGCATTCGGGACTTGCGTGGGGAGAAAATCGTAACCTCCGAGATGCAGCTGACTATACGGAGTACTCCGTACTCGTCTCGAGATGGACATGTCGACCTATGAGTGGTGGACGGAGTACGGAGTTGCGCCGGACTCTAGAGTTCGTCCTATGATATGAAGGACAGCAGCCTGGAGAGGGGGTTCTCCAAAAGTAAAAAAAAAAATGAAAATAAAAATACAAAATGGAAAACAAAAAAGGGTGAGGGGAAAAAAAAGGAAACCTGGACAGCACGGGGGGGGGGGAAACAAAGGAATGGAAAAAAGAAAAAGAAAACAAAGAAAAAAAAAACAGAAACTTTAAACGATCGTCCCAACAGAACTAAGGGATACTTCGTTCAAGTTGGAAGGAGCAGGGATAAAAGCAAAGTGATCGACAACACAACCTTTCACAAACTGTTTGTTCTATCTGGTCGCAATTAAATAATACCATGCCAGTTGGTGGTTGATGCATCCACTGCGGATCGATGTATGAAATGCTCTCCGTTTTGATCCGCTTTGGCTCCCTTTCTCGTCCCTCAGTGGCATACATCCGAAGTACGTTGGAACGCGCCTCCGCACGGCGGAGCCTAAGCCTGCTCCTACCCTTATCTAACCAGTGTCCTATGGCCGTTGCTCTGCGGCCATACACCGAGCCGCCAGTTCCTGTCCTGTATCATCCTGCCTGGACGTCGAACCGACCGTGCTACTCCAGATACGGAGTAAGGCATGAATGAAGGTGGCCTGCGACCGCCTGCATGCCCTGCAGCAATGCACCATCGGGCCGAGAGTAAGTCTGGTTGGAAGGATTCTGGGAGCTGGCCCTCATAGGTGGTCTGAAGCAGCTGTACTTTAAAGGGTTCCTTTAGCAGAGCCTGGAGGGCTGTGATTCGTCCAGAAACAAATTATTATCACAGGCCCATGACAAATTGCGGTAGCCGACGACGATAGTCGTTGGGACTGCGGGAATATTAATGGCTGCGGCCCAAAAAATTCCACCATCTCCACCCGAAAAGTTGTTGGTTTCTTAGCAATCTGGCATCTCCACCATCTCATGCAATAATCTGATTAGCGCCATTCGTGCGTCCCGGCAGATGTGTAACCACGGTCTGTCACGGATGCAGGCCGCTTGAGAGCCACATTGGTCTGGAGATAGCAGCGCTAGATGTAACAACTAGCGTGGAGTTTGTCGTCATGAATCTGCCCGTCCATCCAACCCCCCCCTCGGACGGCGGGGATGTTTCCTGGATAACCGGCTGCGAGAATGTTTGACAGGAGATCGAAGCTGCCACTGGAGGAACGAGTGCCGTCGTCTCTGCCGTAATATTGAGTGGGAACCGCAAGGGTCACCGCATCCCTGCGAGAACCTGAGACTGGTGCGATTCCCCCATCCAACGCCCGGGGGGGGGGGGGTTGGTGGAGGAAGAAATAGCCTGGGGTGCTAAAACCACCCGTCCGGCTAGGAGAGCCACTGGAGGTTCACCTTTCGGCCGGTCGCTGGCTAAGCGGAGGAGCACAGACTCCATCTGGCCCCCAGTAGGTGCAGGACGATACCCTCTTGGCAGGCAACGGGTTGCGTTGCAGGCCTCTGCGTCAGAGGCCATTGTAGGTTGATAACCAGCTAGCTGTCTCTAGCGCCCCGTCCGGAGCACCTTGCGAGCAGGATACCCTAAGCAAAAAGGTCAAGGCGGACCTTGTGTAGCGTCTCTTCGGTTCTTCCGCTATTCTTACTCGCCCGTTAGTCCTGTATCTGGGGGGGATCGTTCCATCTGTTCTATGTCGAAGGTTCCGAGCGAGGAGCACATGTGCAGAACATGTGATGCTGTCGGGGCTTTCTGTGCGAGCTCTAGATCGGCGTGATACCCTTCTTCGAACACCGATGGCCACGACTCCAGTCAGGAGGATCAAGAACAGCTCCATTGTTGGAATTGAACAGACAAGTAAGCATTCAAAAACGATCTAAAAGGACGTCCGCTCTTTTAGGCTCCTCCAAGCGCCATGCAAATAAAATATGGTACCCAGAATTCCGCAGATCGTAACCCCGGCCTAACCTCCGGAGACCATGTATATCAATATCCAATAAAACAACCAAGAAACGAAGTTACAGGATCAACGGGAACATATGCACATGAGAAGGGCAGCATCATCGATATTACAAAGGGCATAAAAAGAGAGAGGGGAAGAACATAGGAACCCCGAGAAAGAAATGCGGCAGACATGAAAGACGTGTCGTCACGGAGGAGGTCTTGTCGCAGTGCCGATATAGTAGGTAGTGGTAGTGGGAGTGGTAGTGGTAGTCGGCAAAGCCCCAAGATGAGCGCCGTCGCTCCTGCCCGGAACAGGAAGGTCGCACTGTTGCTGCTGAGGGCCATTGACCGATCGTTGATGCCTTTCAACGACATAGGATACATTTCCCAACCACCACAATGAACCTGTCATGCGGGCTTTCCGCGCATTTGGGGTCTTTGGCCCCATCGACAGATGTGCGGATGAAATGGGCGGCTGGGTTGCGACAGCTGCTGTAGATATAGTAGTTCTTAAAGTAATTGCACATGGTCGTCAAGTTTCAATCTCAACGGATGGGAAACGTAGTGCAATGACGGCAGACGCAAGTGGTTGCGATTGGGACAGGCAGAGGCGTTGGCACTGTGTGAAGAGGCCAGAGGAAGGTTTCGGACTGGACTGGGATGTGAAACGGTGCAAGAGTTTGAAACTAATCTGAGCATTGACAAGGCTCGTGCTTAACAGATTTTGAGGAGTCTCCGATTCCCTTCGAAAAGTGTCCCGGACCTGAAATAATATATGCCACTCATGGTGGGCTGTAGTGTTTGCCATGCAAGCTCCAGGGATAGGTATTTTTAAGGCTCATCACAAGCCCGGATGCAGCAAGGTTAAACAGGGGGAAAAGAGAGCCAAATGTTTTTTTAATTTCGCACCCCCCCAAATTTTATTTTCCTGTAAAAAAAAATAGAAAATAAAATAAAAATAATTTTGTTTCCCAGTTGTGCCCAAAAAAGTCAATTTGGTTATATAATCTTTTTTGTTTTTATTTTTCCTGAACTGTTTGAATCTTTAATTATAGACCCGCTCCACGAACCTCAGGGCCGTTGAAGCCGTCTGTACGGAGCAAACCTTGACAGAGGGGAGTCCCTGTACAATTGCGGGTCCAGTGTCATCGGAAGCACATCAGTCACTTTAGAGGACAGCGATGATGCCGTTACTACTAACTTTGAAGGAGTACCGGCGGATACCGTTCCACTGTGATGCGAAGCCCCATCTGCCGCGGATTGATCGGGTCAATGGGAGATCGACACGGTCCCTCGCAGCCGTTGATGCTTCACTTGCACGTGGCGCTAACTAGGATCTTCATGCATCGGTGGTGGTGAGCCGTGGAATTCTTGCCTGGGACCCAAATAGGAACAGGGCCATGAAAGCCAGAAGTGGTGGCCAAGCTGTCTGGATTGCAATTTTCATGCTCGTAGTTCAAAAGCCGCCAGGGGAACCACTCCAATTGGCTAACATGATTAGACTCCAGTCGCCCCGGGATAGCCAGATAGATGCATTAGCCAATATCGGGTATGGGGAAATCATAAGTTAGTTCGTCAGAAGGCTGGGCCATCATTGGGCAATGCGAATATCATGGTGCCTGGCCCGTCCTGCCCTTTCCGCACCCTCTGTATCGGCAGGCGTCTTTTATCCCTCTCGCATTTCCCATTGATCAACCTGCATATGTTTGTCCCCTTGTATAATCCATGCAATTAATAACTTTATCCACAAGGTAATTTGGCAGCATGGTGCCACCTTCGCCTAATAGCTGAGACCATACACACGGGCACAGGTGGCGGCACTGCAGGACTCCTCGTGAAGAAAAGCAGGTGATATAGCAGGAAGTCTGACTAGGATCGCTATCAGCCAAAGATCCGCCACGCCGGCTCAAAAAATGACCAGTGTTAAACTCTGAACAGTAGCAACAATTGAAGTAAGGCTGAGCAACTATCCATACAAAAGGCCTCGGGAACGCCATGGCTCTGTGCGCTTCGGGTGAAGACTACGGTCAGTCTACGCCCGATCCTTTTCTTAATGAAGGGGCAATCAACGAAGGAACCTTGTACCGGCCACAAACCGGGTTGCCGTTAACTGTTGGTATCGTATGCGTAAGCTTCCGGGAGATCGGGGAGCAACGGTGCCAAGAACATAATGTGATTCTTCTCACCTAATTGTTGTCTCTTGTTCTCCGTTCCCCTATTCTGGCCAGCCTAAACAGACAAACTAGCATGGAAGGATCGGGTGTTCTCCGTAGGCACGCAAGAAGGTGAGAAGTGCCCACTCAGATGGTCCCATATGCAGAGAGTCTCGGCCCATTGCCGTTTGACCCTAGTAAGGCGGTTAGTGGGAGCCTGCTATCGGCAGAGGTATGAGGTATTTTTTTTCCTATTCTAATTTTCATTTTGAAATGCGTCAGCAAGCGGTTGAGGCAAGCAATCGGATTTCGTCTAATAGACCAGGGTGCAAAGGACGAAGCAATGGACCTCCCAGTACCCGGTGTGTTTGGGGGGGGATGGGGGGGCAGCTTTACCGGGATAAGACATGGTGCTTGCATCCGTCCCAAGGGGCCACCAACAAAAACACTAGTAGCTGAGAGAGCATAGGTGAAGGTGAAGGTCCGTCGGAACCTAGAGCAGTGCCTGAAAAAAGAACTATATTAGTGAGACATTGAGAGGGCCAGGGAGGGGGGCACAGTTTTCGGTCGCCAACTAACGATGGTGGGAGCTTGGTCCAAGCCTGAGATAGGATGGTCTGCGGGACTAGAGGGTGTTCCCTGGCGGTTTGCGAGTCAGAACCACGACCGTCATCGACAGCGTCCGAGAAGAGGCCCAAGCTCGGCATTTCCCGAGTTGGACTCGGAGGTCAGGCGGGGGCGCCAGCCTCGATTGGGCCAGGCGGGGCAACCACCTACTACTACTAGATACTATACTAGTACTTCGTAGGTACCACTGGCACCTCCGATCCTCCCTCGCCTCGTCAATGCCGCGGAGCAGCCGGAAAATCTCCCTGTTGATTTTTGAGAGTCCAAGCACTCAGTAACGAGCAGCGGTGCCCTTCAGGGACTAAGAGATGACAGGCTCCTGTACCTGCAGGGGAATAATGTACCTGTCCAAGAACTGCTTGGGTACAATGTCTCGACAGCAGCCACCTAGTATGGGGCCGATGGGGACGGAAAGAGACCGAAAAAGGAATCAAGTCCTTGTACTTTGTACCTCAGTAAAGTATGGCCATAGATTATACACACTTGTAACCACAGGTTTAGGTACCTAGATAGTAGATAGCGGGTATCGCTATCCTCCAGCTCTGGGGATTGACCTAAGTAGTAAGTAGTCTCCCGGACTATCTAAACACCACTACTTATCAACAACCTTCCTGTTTCGGCTAGCGTGTATGCTCTTTCTGGGGAGATGCACTATGCCCGAGAAGGCAACGGCTTTCCTCCCCCAGACCAATCCAGATCGGGCCTTAGTGCACCCCGTGATCCTCCCTCATCCCGGCAACCTGAGAGCCAGAGATCTTTCCATGACACACCCCCCCCCCCGTCTCCTTGTTGAACTCCGCCGCATCGTGGCCCTATCGCTTCGATAGGATCTTCAGAGATTCTTCCGACACTCGCTCACAGATCGCTCTTCTACTATTCTCGAAACAGCCACGTCATTCGTTGTGACCGCCCTCCGGTAAAAGGAGGAGGGGTGCTATTTGGCTCATCTGCGAACCCGTCGGTCGTTGTGGAGACGGGTCGGATCCGCCCATCTCGTGCAGGTTATCAGTTGACCCAAACAATCGGACACCACACAACATTCCTTTGTCTGTGAAACCAGATCCAGGACCACAATGGGGTTCGGTGATTTTGATTCGATATGCGAGAAGGCCCCGTTGCCGTTATGCTCCTTGGTGGGCCCGCCGTCGTCAATATCGGGTTCGACGGGCATCATACCGAACTGTTATGCGCGCAACATTGAGCTGGCCAATACCATCATCTTCGAAGGCGCCTCTTGCTTCCTTCATATCATCGCGTTGGGGATGACGGTGATTATGATTTTACATGTCCGGTCTAAGTTCACTGCTGTCGGTATGCTTCTTACCTGTCTCTGTGCCTTTCTGTTGGGCTTCCATTTTTTCCAGAAGGAAAAAGACGCTCTGGGAGTTGAGTTGCATTAACCGTTATCATGCTGTTTCAGGTCGCAAGGAGATCATTACGTTCTTTTACATCTACATGACTCTAACCATATGTTCCCTGATCCTTGATGCAGGAGTGGCTCCACCTGGGAGTGGTCCGTTTCCTTACTTTGCTGCTGTGCAAAATGGACTGGCCTCCGCACTCTGCACATCCCTGCTCATCAACGGATTTGTTGGCTTCCAACTTTACGAGGATGGAACCATTCTTTCTGTTTGGCTCCTGCGGCTTTCGTCCGCGGCAATGTTCGCCATTTCCTTCCTGGTTTCTCTCGCGACTTTTAAGGCGTGGGGAGGCCTTGGCCCCACCAACACCGTCGGCATGTTTGTCGTCCTGTATGTTCTGAACGCTATCTGCATCGCGGTGTATCTTGTCATGTCACTATTACTGGTCATGAACACGCTCGAAGACCGCTGGCCCCTAGGCCATATCGCTTTTGGTCTCGTGGTCTTCATCTGTGGCCAGGTGCTCCTCTACGCATTCAGTGACACGATCTGTAACAGCGTGCAGCATTATCTGGACGGTCTTTTTTTTGCTACATTTTGTAACCTTTTAGCGGTCATGATGGTCTACAAGGTATGTTCATCTATTCCTTTTCCGATCGAATCTGCAAGGTCTGACATCCCTGTCTAGTTCTGGGACTATATCACCAAAGAAGATCTCGAATTTTCTGTCGGGATCAAGCCAAACACCTGGGAAGTCAAGGAACTTCTACCCGATGAGGATCGTCGGCAAACAGGGTACCCGGATGCAAGTTCGGAGTATGCCGGGAGCATGTATCATCATCGGACGTCGACCTATCACGGCCAGAATTATTAGCCTAGGTCGGTTTATTCATTCCTTCAACGTTCCACGCCATGTCAGATGCTTCTTCCGCCCGTCCGTCCGTCGCCGATGTTTTAGCTTTTCCATCTTAAATTTCACTTCAACTACTGCAGTCTCATGTCATCATTACCGAATCTAAGCATAATCCAACAATGTGGGTACCTCCGAGCGATTTAAGTTGACATTGGTTTTATTTCTTTTCTCTTTTTTTTGAACATATTCCGAAACCTGTCCTATAGGTCAGTGGAGGGCGTGGAGCGAAAGCGACCCGTGTGATCTTCTACCACTTTGTGCTCTTCTATCCCGCTTTACCTGTCACCCTCAAATGGGACTGTGTGAGGTGATTCTTGGCACGCGCAATTTTTATATTGCCATTTAATTTGTTGATATATCGCTAGAGTGTGTACTATCTCTTATCAGTGCCCGGCCGGAGTGGAGGGCCACTAAACCATGAGGCATGCCCCCAATAGCCCCGAGTGGCCCCGTTACTCCATCTGGAGTAAGGAGAACGGACCGGACTACATGGAGCACCGTGAACTTTAAGTTAGTGGTATGACTGATGTCTCGGGGGGCATCGTACAGTGTCCCGAAGACGGAACATACAGGCCACTAGCCAGTGGAAATCAAATCCGAAGGCTCCTGCTAAACCACTAGAGCCAAACTTGTAATTGCCGGTCACTCGGAACGGGAAAGGTCCACGACATGAGTCGAGCCTAGCACAGTTAATGGCCTTAGGGCGGAGGCGCGGCATTGCTATAGGTCAATCTGTTAGCTACTTGGCCCCGCCCCCGTTCCCCTCGCCAGTCGCAGTCAGCTGTGATCGGACCCTTTGATTATCAGCCACACGTCTACCACCCGATTCCCTCCAAGCGGCGGATGAAACGGATTACGTGGAATAATCCGCATCTGTCGAATGCACCGAGCTCCTCTTCCCTTCTTCTTTTCTTTTCTTTTCTTGGGCGGCGGACACAGACCGCGCTGGCGGTTATCCCAAGAGCGCGCGCGCGAGAGGTGCATAATCGGCCGAGGCAAGCAAGTACGTCCGGCATGTTGCTTTTTGTGATTAGAAATGCATTCAGGCTGTCAATCCACAACCACGACGTCGTCCCCGTCCATGAATCTACTATCGGCCTGAACCTTGGTACGGTCAGTGTCGGCCCGCGGTATGTCTCCGTCAACCTCCTCAATTGGCCCTGTGGCCGTGGCGTACCATCCCTTGTCAACCGACTCCACTAGCACCTTGCATGCATCAGCAACGAGTAAATCAAAGGCCGGGTTCTCATTCGGCAGGAACATGCTAATATGTGCTTTGATTTCATCTGCAGCTTTATCATTCACGGCTCTGGCCCATCGGATGTCTTGTTGGGAGAACCCCGAGCTCTCCACTTCCGCGGGAAGCGAGCAGAAAGTGCGGTTTTTCGAGCGTATGATCTTCTGGCTGAACGATGAAGTCCCGGCGTTTCTGTTCTCTACTAGAGCGCTTGCATTTTTGCCCAAGCATGTATAGAAATTGGTGCAGCCAATCCCTCGCTCCTTCTGTACGTCGGATAGCAGTGCAAGGCGCCGCCGCAATTCCGAAGAACGGGCTAGGCAGCCAACGAATGCCAGATGGGATGACACCCAGCCCAGCCCGTCCGTCAGTCGCTCACGCTGTGAATACATGGCAGCCGCCCCGCCCGCAGCCACGGCTCCTGCAGCTCCCGCAAACATGGCATATCGGCCCCACCGTTGCCAGGATGGTGTCGCAGCAGCATCTGTACTCGAAGATGAGCTAGGAGCTGAGGGTGGTAGACTTTTGTTGGGGTCGCTTTTCTGCTCAGTAGACGCGGCTTTGTTCGGGGAGCCGTTGCCCCCCAGCCCGAACAAGCCAGCGACTTCTGACAGTGCAGTGTATGCCGAGGTGACATTTCGGTAATGCCCTTCTGCACCATACGAAACCACTCCGGGAGCAATGCCCAGGAAAGGGGTATCGAATGCGATGACACCCTGAATGTGAGGAAACATGAAGGAATCTGCCCCCACCGCAGTGCCGGAATCCGCTAGGGGATTAGTTGGAGCTCCTGCAGAAGAGGTTACAGGAATTGGTTGTTCCGAGGCTAGTAGAAGAAGGGTCTCAGCGGCGACGATTCCGCCCATCGAATGGCCGACCAGAAAGACATGCACGGAGGGGTCAACCGTCGGGGAAGCTGTTCGGTTCGCAACCTCCAAGTCGATGACTTTGTTCTGGAGCCTGCATAGCGGTCGGAGGTTAATGGCATGCTCTATCCATTCTGAGCCAGTCTCAAGTAGGCGGTTGGACGTACCATTCCCGAAAGATACTCACGCATTCTTTTAGCTCACCTCGGGTCTCATACTTCGGGTACACCGCAGTAGCGACTTGTACGGCAGGAAGGGAGCGACTAAGCAGTGCACAAAAGCGTCCCGGGAACTGCCTGAATGTATCGTCGTCCCCCTAAGTTTCTTAGCGAGGTTCGAGGCATATACTCCGGCAAGGACCGAGCACGTGCGCCCTTCAGGGGAGAGGCGAATGAGGATGGGTGGAGCATGCGCGTACCTTGAAGCCATGGATAAACACGAGAAGTAGCGTCTTCTTCATTGTATCACACCGGAAGGATCTGGACAGCACATTACCCCCTCAGAGGACCACGCGACAGAATTAGCTTGGAGTACAAGAAAGAGAGTATTGTTGAATCTAGATCTGACAGAGGGGCGGAAAGTGGATGAGAAGGGGAGAATCTCGGTCCCGGGCAGCTACGTCATCGGGCATTCAGACCACGTGATGGGCGACGGGCGAGTCGTCTCACGTGCTCACATCGTTGGCCATCCGGCGTGTCTCAGTTTCAGTACTCAGCACTCAGCCACCGGCAAGAGTGCGGCATGATTGAACGCGGTCCCCAGCCCCTGTCTGACTACGGAGTACTTACTAGGCATTAATCACCTTTTGTCGGCTACTGGACCCTGACTCCGTGAAGGGGGAGATCTCACCGCTGCGTATAGCCTCGGCATGTCCCGTTCCCCACCGGGCAATCCAGCCGACTGCCGATCCGAGACATCAAATTAGGAGCTGCTCCTGATGACGACGGCATCATATACCAACTAAGTTGGTGATTTAATTGAGTCTACATTCGACATCACCATGGCCCCCCGCGAGATATACAATGTTGTCAAACTTGTGCCTAAGCCAGGCAAATTCAACCAGGTCCGCAGTCTGCAATTCCCTCTTCCCGTCTCAAATATACTAATTTCAGGCTTAGGTCGTGGAAGCCTTCAAGGCATTCTCCCAACACATTGAGCACAACGAACCAGACACTCAGATCTATTTTGCGCTTCAGTCAAACGACAGTGATGAGTTGATTTTCGTCGAAAAGTGAGCATGAGTGCAGCTCAAATGACTCTAGGAATGGGAGAAGCTCATCGGATGATCTACAGATACAAAGATGGCGATAGCCTCAAGGCACACGCAGCATCGCCCGAGTTTAAGCAATTCGCCAAGGCAATTGGGTCTTGTCTGGCCCAGCCTCCAGATCTGAAAGGTGCTTCGTTTGTTGCTGGGTTTGAGGGTAGATCGAAGCTTTAGGTTATACGCATGCTTCTGTGTGGAGTTTGTGTTGTTGGCTGATTTCTTCGAAGCAGAATAGCAGAGGGCTTCAGTGAAACAAATTGATAGCATTCATAAAGGTTTTAGGGCCTGAAGAATGTATTGCTTTGGTTCGGCACCTATTCACCGGTAATACAAGCCTATCGTATATTCAAATTGGACCTACTTCTGGGCGATAATCGGTGCCTTCGATATAAAGGCGTGTACTTGATATATAAATCCGCAAATATGGGCTAGTTAGTACCAGCGGCAGTGAGTGGCTATGTAAGATGTTTTCATTGTACAGAGTGGCCGTCACTTCACAACTCATCAACTATCCTGCATTGCACACAGTCCTCACACCTGAGCTGATACATGCAACCATTTTATTGCAAAGGCATTCATACATCACCTCCCGTGCATCTAAGTCTTGTCTAAGTCAACACCACCGAACTAGAGCTTCTCCTCCCTTCTTGTCAACCGCAACAAACTATCCTGATAGCTCGTGGCCAACAACTTCCCATCCGGCGTCCACAACCAACTCTCGTGAACCGCCCGGTTCTCCTCCGACCGCGGCGTCCATCCTTCCTGTACAAACCACTTTCTCAGTACTCCATCCCGACCACCTTCCTCACCAGACCCCCAATCAATCATCCTCAGTGCCTCCCCCAGCTGATGAAACACCACCGTGAGAGTCAAACTTGCCATTGCCGTAAACCTCTTATGGCCCAGCGCCCGGACAATCAACAACAGAGAATTCCTATCACAAGCATACATATGCGCACACGCATACAGATTATCGAACTCCCCCGACTTCTCCCTCTTCCTCAACTCTTCCTTACTCCCCGGATCCGATGGCAACCCTTTCAGCGAATACATAGCCAATTGCCGATACTTCTCCGGATGGCTCTTAACTTCCTCCGTCTGGTTATACCCCATCATATCAACCTTCCGAGCATCCACTCCAGGAAACTCCCTCTCTGATAAATCCCCCGACTTCACCCCCTCAATCCACCAGTCCACGTCCACGCTCGGACTCACAGAATACTCCTCGGGCCGTTTCCCTGCTATGATGGATGCATACCGCTCCTGGGCAGGGGCAGGCTGATGGGAGAATGATGTCTGATCCTCGTCCCGTTTGAAGGAACATAGACATGAAAAACAGATCTGGCCTCCTTGTCGTGCGTCGACGGAGCGCGTGCAGTACATGTACCCGTCGCGGAGGTGACGTACGGTGTACTCGAAGGGAACGTCTAGAAGGCCTCCTAGGATGAATGTCCCCGTCACGTTCTGGTTGGGTCGGGTTAGCAGGCGTGTCTGTGATATAGCGGGGATAGAGAGACCTACATGAATCACGAAGCCCTTATCGACTGTTTTGGAGGCTGCGTAGGCGGATTGTGCGTAAACGTGGCCGCCAAAGGCTCTTGCTGCTTCGCCGGGTGGGTAGGGCGGTGCTAGGGATTCGAAACGCTCGGTCTGTTCTGTTTCATTGCTGCTGGTGAGTGGATTTGGGAGGCGTCGCAGAGCCATGAGCTCCGCGAAGGAGGATGGGCTCTGGTTGGCTCCGTCTGTGGGCATTGTGTGTACGGTGGTGGAGGAGTATATGGTCGAGGTATTTGTCTTGGTGTTGATGTCCTGTGGGAGGTAGGCTGGGCTAAATGCGATGACTGATGTTGCTTCATACGCTATGTGGCTATTGAAGATGTAGAGTCTGTACAGTCGTTGGAGATGGAAAATGGACAGGTAAGATTGTTGAGCTCAGCTCATGTGCCCTGACGATTTAACCGCAACCGACCTAACCAAGGAGAACCTCGGCAGAGCGGGCGGAGTTGGTTGGCTACTGAAGCATAATTCGAAGATCAACATGAATAGTGGCGGTGTTGGTGTGCTCCGCAGATCGCAACGCTATGCTGCGTAGTGTCTATTGGTGCATTTCCAGCACTGCTTGCAGCTTAAGTGAGGCCTCCTGGATCATCATTGTTCCACTACTTCTGTATACCCCGTTGCCAGGCAGAGCATATTCAGCCCGCAATGGGATGACTATCCTTAATAGACGGAGAGTGTAAATCAACGAATTTATCTATGATTTAAACCAATCGCCCTTCAGTGGAGATAATAATTGACCAACTGCCACCATTCCACCACCTTCTTAGCCGATCAAATGGCAGGATACGTTGACCCAATAGAACCACAAACCGACAGAACTGCAAGAGCAGAAAAACTAATCACCATCTTTATTGACCAAATCTGCCAAGTAAGGTATATGCGCCGATAATGCTGATATGATATACAAATAAAACCCATCCCATGAATAATACATTGACGATTCGAATCCGCTTTCGTACCCCGAACGAACAATCGCATCTCAGCGATCAAAATCACCCTCGAAACACACCTAGATGGATTCGGTGATGGTACGGGCGTTGGTCCACTCGACCTTGCCGCTCACGTCCTTGATCTCCTCCAGCTTGTCGCCGAGCTTCACAACGGAGAACCGGACCATCCGGGGATCGAGACCGAGGGTTCTGCGAACTGCCGCCTGCACGGGACCGGAGGCATCGAAGCGCATGATGAAGTGGTGGCCTTCCTTGTACCGGGCCTGATGCTTCGTCGTGGTTCTGGGCAGACGGAAGGTGCCCCAGTTGGTGTATCCGCGGACTACGCCGCCGGAGCGGAGGACTTGGATGCCGGCATTACGGGCGATACTATTATCGGTCAGTGAGCTGCCAGGGTTGATGATCGTTTGGCGAGTAGAATATTGCGCGAGAAGATGGACCGGTGAAAACATGATGGGTGGTGGGCACGTACTCGCGAACCTCCTGGAGGCTGCCGGGACGGACCTATAGTCATCAATCAGTATCTATCGTGAAACCCAATACAAGGCATTTCAAAGCTCGCCAGATCACATACAACTGCAATCAGTTCGTACAACATGGCGTCGACAATGTGGAGTGGGGTCTCGATTGAAAGATAGCGTCGGGGAACGAAAAGATGACGGAGAACCAAACACGGAACTGGAAGGGGATGAGATTTTTCCGAAGGCGATTGCGGAGGCTCGACCATCGCTCTTATCAGCACCCGCCTTGGCACCCGCTATCAGTGCCGGGAATCACCCTCACCTCCGTCATTCATATTTAATTTACCTTCCCTTCGCTCTCTTCCTTTCTCCCCAATTCAATTCACACTTTCTCACTTTTCTCGATTCTCTCACCTTCCTCCCCTCTCCCCTCAACTCCAACCACACACCATGTCTCCCATCGCCAGATCCCTCCGTCCCTTCGCTTCTCGCCTGCTTGCGCAGAAGCTCCCCCTCTCCTCCGTCTGCAGGGCCGCACCCGCCAGTTTCCCGCGGGGAAGTGTCCGGAGCTTCTCCCAGAGCCCTTTCTGTGAGCAACCCCCCTGAATACAGGTCGATGAGGCCATTGCGGCCTTTTAGATCCCTTCCAAAGCTAATAATCGAACCCATGCAGCTCAATTGAAGAAATACACCGAGTCGCACGAGTGGATCGAGCTCGCCGCCGACGGCAAGACTGGTTCGTTTACACCCACCCACCCACCACATTCCACCACTCTCTAACTCTTCTGCTCGAACTGTTTAGCTAAGATCGGAATCACCGAATACGCTGCCAAGTCCCTTGGTGACGTTGTGTTCGTCGAGCTCCCCGAGGTCGACTTGGAGGTCAGCGCCGGTGACCCCGTCGGTGCCGTCGAGTCCGTCAAGTCTGCCTCGGACATCCTCTCCCCTGTCTCCGGAACTGTTAAGCAGGGTAACACCGTGCTCGATGACAATGCCAAGTTCATCAACCAGAGCCCCGAGGGTGAGGCTTGGATTGCGGAGATTGAGGTGAACGATGCTGCTGAGCTGGATGGGCTGCTGGATGAGACTGCTTACAAGGCTACTATTGATGAGGAGTAAGGGAGTTGTGGTGTGCGGGTGGGATGATTTGGATGAATCGATTTGAGTTTGGTCTGGGTTTACATGAGCGCGCACGCTGCTGCTTCTGACAAAGTGCAACGGTGTGATTGATTATGATTTTTAAGTGATCTGGGTTGTTTCATTTGTAATGGGTATAATTGGCCTGGGTTGTTGTGTGTGGAAGGTTATGTTTCCATCACAGAGTCGTGACTGTCTAGGGCTACGTCATGCCGCTATCGGCGGCCTTTTATTCAACAAGGGCTGCGTCTGTTGCGGGTTGTAAGAAATATATGATATCCTCTGCATTTTTTCTGGCTTTTCTAAAGTGATCAGATATCTGAATCCAATGCTCGTATCTTGTTTCTGTGATTACTGTATTTCTCTGCCCATGGTGTGGAATGCGGCTGTATACCCATGCAACTAGTACAACAGAATAATGGACTCGACAAATCAGACCGTGCAGCCAGATGTGCACTTCAACTCTCGAGATAGATGCTATAAGACATACCATTAGCATACTCTGTAGACTGACTGTATACATTCCCATTGTGAAGTTGTCGTTTTGCCTGCAGTATAACTTGCACTACTGGCATGTCCTGGTACTAGATAAGCCGGACTTAATCTTTCTATTACAATCAGATAGGAGCCTCTTTCTGTTATTTGCCCCGTAATTTTCATTGTAAACAAGTTTTACCCAAGTATTCTTCGATGACCAGGCTCGATAGCCAACCCACGTACGCTGAAAAAATGTGATCTGGGGTAAACATGTGACTCTCTATCCGACTGTCTATCATTGCCCTTTGCTGCTATTCTTAGGCTATACTGCAGGCCAATTCCTAATGCAGCATGGCATGTGCTTGAGGCTGGAGAAGTGAAGCATAGATGATGCTGGCCGCCTTCCTAATGCAGTAATATTGGCAGTGCGCCGGGCGGTGAGATGCCCTCCACCTCGGATGGGGCCGAAAGTAAACCGAGGAGACTCGAAGTGATAAGACAATCCCGCAGCATTCCTGACCTCAGCCCTTGCTTTCTCCATACTCTGCCTCCGTACCCTTCTCCGCCGTGTTTCGCACGGTGTAACGCGCATCCTTTGAGCACCGAAGCCATCCGGCGGGGCGCCAGCTCTTCGTCAGCTGAACATGGCATCGAACCTCCCCATCCCTATTCCTCCGCGCACTCCGACGCCACCTCTAGATGACCCTCCAAGCATTTCCGACCAGACGCCCCATCTGCACGACAAAGACTCCCTGTCGCCATTGAGGGACACGTTCCCTAGCTCGCGGGGCACATTGGATCCCGGGGATGCCAATCGCTTGAGCCCTACGCGGGCGGGTTTCAACCTCAGCCCAGCAGACGCATTGCAGCAGGGCGATCAGAGCGACAATGCAGGCGGGCCATTCAATTTCAAGACTATGACAATGGCGAAGGGGCCAGTCGTCAAGTCTGTGAGTTGCTCGCTTATGATGTTGTGGTCGTAAGGAGATGCTGACGCCACCGTTATTGATGTAGAACATTGGCCAGCGACGCGGACACAAATATAAACATAGTAGTATTTCGCATCAGATCTTCCTCGAACCGCCCCCTCGAGCCCCTCTAGCTCTGCCCAACTCGCTGCCTATACCGACTTTCAAAGAGTACCGCTCCAGTATGTCCAGGGACCAGACTACCCGGTTCTGGTGGAGCGTATGCCACATGTGTATCGCGGGATATACGCTCTGGAGTGCCCATGGATCTCTGGCCATGACGGCTCTATCGCACTTGATCCTGTTCGATTCCCTCGGCGCAATGCTTTGTGTGGCTGTCGATATCTTGGGCAACTTTGAAGTGTGGAAGCGATCTAGTGTTCGCCACCCGTTCGGCTTGGAGCGCGCAGAGGTGCTTGCGGGGTTCGCTATGTGCGTACTCTTGCTTTTCATGGGGATGGACCTTATTTCTCACAACCTGCAACATTTTCTGGAGTCTTCCGGCCATGAACCTCACCATACTCACGTCCATGAACGTGTGTCCTTGGGTCGTGTGGATTTTACCGCTCTGCTGGCGATTTCTTCCACCTTGATCTCCGCCATCGGTCTCAAGAACCATGGTCGGATAGGAAAGGCAATGCGGTTTGGGTACATTGAGTCGCTGCCGTCGGTCCTCAGTAACCCGTCTCATTTCCTGACCCTGTCTTGCTCGACGCTGCTCCTGCTGCTGCCCCTGGTATCTATCAAGCTCTACAACTGGCTGGATGTGCTGCTTTCCGGCACTATTTCCATATCGATGTGTGTCATTGGAGTGCGCTTGGTGAAGACGCTAGGCTCCATGCTGCTCATGTCCTATTCGGGGCCAGGGGTGTCTGAGGTGATTCGGGATATTGAGGCTGATCCTTGCGTTTACGGGGTTGATGATGCTCGGTTTTGGCAGGTCCATTACGGGCTGTGCATGGCAAACCTGAAGCTTCGTGTCTCGGGAACCGAGGAGAATCTTGTGCGACTGCGTGAACGGATTGCCAGCCTGATCAAGAACCGACTGGGGGGAGGGTACGGATCCGGGGGGCAGAAGTGGGAAGTTTCGCTGCAGTTTACAGCGGAGAAGGCATAGCCATCTTGCCTGTACATACGATCGTGACCGGCTTTCAATGAACATCATGTTTGTCTATTAACATAATTATGTAGAGTGTACAGCTTGAATATAATCATTGTCTTCGGGGCCTAGAGCTCGTAAGTAGAAGATATAACACGCCCATGTGAATAGTCCCTCTACAATTCGCCAATATCAATCTAGCCATCATACCACAAACACTAGACTGCTAAGCCCAGCATCACCTACACAGGCCCTAGTCCAAAAACTCCATCCTCTCTACACACCCAACCACTGATAGACCAAACATCTACGCCCTCCCAAACTCCCTCCCCTCTTCTCCCCACCATCCATCCCCATCCCCATCTCAAAGATGCCTACTCCGCACCAAACAAAGCCATCCTCCCCTCTCCTCACCCCCTTCATATCCCACAGAAAACAAAAAATAAAAACCAAACCGGGCCTTTCTCATTTTGAAAATCTCTCTTTCTAACCCGCAAGAGCCCAGCCAGCCAGCAAGCAACAAGCCCCATAAGAAAACAAGACACAATATACACGACGTCGCCTCTTCATGCCGTAGCAGCAGCAGCAGCAGCCAGAACCCCTCCCTCGTCAGCACCGTTCCGCTCATCCCTCCGTCTGCGTTTCTCCAGAATAGCTTCCCTCCGCTGTGCAAGGATCTTCAATTGCCGGTTCTCGACTCCCTGGAGCCAGTAGCCGAAGCTTCCTCCAACGCCGGCGAAGAGAGGATACACCCAGAGGGATTCTTTGGCGAGGATGGGTCGCATTTCGATGCCGAGTTGCCAGAGGCGGACGGCGATTCCTGGGTTGCTTTTGTTAGTGCGGTGTGTGTGATTATGTGGGTTTGAGTTGTGTTTGAGGGGGGCGTGTGTAGGTAGGTAGGTAGGTGGTAGGTAGGTGATGGTTGCATACCGAAACCGCCCCAGAAGAGGACTTTGTGAACCATGATTGCGGACCGGCGGCGGCAGCGGCGGATAAACTCAACGTGAGGGGGAGGGAGGGAATTGATTGATATGCGATGCGCAGCAGCGGGGCTTTTAGCAGCAACGCGACGTTATCCCAACACACACGGTCGAAAGATGAGGTTGATTGATGTGATACCCGGCGAATCACGGGGCCGTGGTTCCCAATCTGCTTCGGGGGTGGTTTCGGAAGATTAGTTTCGCCGGGGGCGGTCGGGCCTGCGGCCATTCATTCATTCATTCCGCCCGCCTTGCGACTCGGGAACGGAACTTTGTATTTCGGTGGAGAATCTACCACCAAGTTGGGTGAGGTGTTTTTCTTTTTTTTCCCTTCGCCCCTGGTTGAACGGACTTAACTACTGGCTGATGTCTTATGGCTGGTCCAGAGGAGATGTCGGATACGTTGGTGGCTGTGGGGACGAAGCGGTCGTCATCGTTGGATCTGGACCTGGACAGTCTCCAGCGGAAGAAGTTCAAGACGGATGAGTTGCCTTTGTCCGCGGCGCAGCATACCGCGATTGAGAATTTGCTGCACGCGTTCAAGAAACGGGGTGGGTTTGATCATATTCGGAAGAAGATCTGGGCCGAGTTTCATGATGGGGTAATTTTTTTTTGAATTCCGGTTGTTTTGGTTTGGGTGTGGCTAATGCGCTGGTAGGAAGGCAAGGTCGAGTTTACGAAACTCCTTGTTGAGCTGGCAGAGTCGGAGATCGATCGCGAACCGGGATTGCTTGCGCGTGAGCGGGGGAAGGCTGCGACGCTGATCGAGGGCGCTGTCGATAGGAGCGATGTCTACAAAAGTGTGGAGAATTCGTTGGATGCGCTGGCTGAGAAATTTCTACTTGATATCCTCGGGTCGGTTCGCGAAATTCGTCGCGATGAAATTGGTGAGGAGCTCGCTGTGCAGGAGGAGAGGGCTGGGAATAAAACCGACGAGGACTACGCCATCCAGGTGAAAGCGAAACGCGACGAGCGCGAAAAGGTCTGGCAGGAGGAGCTGCGCAAACAAAAGGAGATTGAGGAGGAAGAGGCGCGCAAAAAGGCCGAGGAGGATCGCAAGCGACGGGAGATTGAGCGACAAAAAGAGGAAGAAGAGAGGGCGAGGAGGAGGGAGCGCGAGGAACAGCGACGTGAGGAGCAGCGGAAGCTGGATGAGCAAAGGGAGAAGGAACGCCAGGAACGATACGAGCGACGACGCCGGGAAGAGCGCGAGAGATATCGCGACTGGCGCGATCGCAGCCGCACCAGAGACCGCGATTCGGATCGAGACAGGGATAGAGATCGCTACCGCTACCGGGATCGCTCGCAAGGTTATCGCTCTGATCGCGCCCACTCTCCACGGTATCGCGAGTCGCGAAAGGACAAGTCGCCAACCCCGAAAGAGCCCACACCCGCACCTGTGCCACCACCGCCCCCGGTGGACGAGAAGTCGTTGGAGGAGACGGCGCTACAACTTCTGCTGAAGGAGGGAGAGGAGCTGGCAGCCAAGGCGCGACAGAAACCCGAGTTCGACTTTGAGGAGGCAGAGGCGATTGAGAACGGCCTCAAGCCACCACCGAAAGGACCCAAGGCTGAATCGAGATACTCCAACACTCCTACCAGGGCAGGGAGCCCGCCGGGCGACGCCGACGCAAATCGAACCCGCGGATCTACAGCAGACGATCGCAATCGGACAAGGAAGCGGGAGGATAGTCGCAGTCGCTCGAGACGGAGGTTCTCGTCCCGGTTCGACGATCCGGACAAGTCGCGCGATGTATCCAGCCAGCCGCGCAATCGCGATTCCGACGACCGACTTGTGCTTCGTGATTTCCGCGACAACCGATACGGCGACCGCAGCTATCGGCCCAACCGCCGGAGCCGAAGCCGATCTACCGTTCGAACCGATCGTGACAGAGACCGTGACAGAGACCGAGATCGAGACCGACGGGATCGAGATAGGGATGGGGACAGGGACCGGGACAGAGATAGGGACAGACACCGCGACGACTACCGTCGTCGACGAAGCTACTACTCTCGATCCCGTTCTCGCCCTCGATACCGCTCACACTCACGCTCACGTTCCGTCCATCGGGATCGAAACCAAGACCGTGACCGCGACCGCGACCGAGAGCGCACCAGAGATCAAGACAGAGACAGGCCCCGCGACCCAGAAAGAGACCGACCCCGCGACCCAGAAAGAGACCGACCCCGAGATCAAGACAGAGACCGGCCTCGAGACCAAGATCGCGAGAGAGAAAGAGACAGAGACCGACCCCGTGAGCGCGATCAAGACCACACACGCGAACAAACCCGCGAACGAGAACGAGAACGAGACACCGACGACACTCGTCCCCGCGAAGGCGAGAAATCCCCCCGTGTACCAGGATCATCTCGTCGGCGATCCCGCTCTCGCCGTCGCTCACGCAGTCGTTGCCGCTCACCAAGTCTCCTCGACATCGACCGCTACGTCCCGCCCACTAGCCGTCGGAGCCGGTCTCCTCGTCGCCGGGTGCGGTCGCCTGAGCGACCAGAGAAGGAGCGTGAACGGGAACAGCGGGAACGCGAACGCGAACGAGAACGAGAAGAACGTCCACCGCCACGGGGGTTTGTCGAGATTGATCGGTATATTCCTGGTGGTGGTGCTGGTGGAGGTGGCGGTAATGCTAGTGAGCAAAAGACCGAAGGGAATAACAACAACAACAACAACAACAACAACAACGGGAATCGGGACCGGGAGAGAGAACACAGGGATAGGGATAGGGAAAGGGAAAGGGAAAGAGAAAGAGAGCCCGATGAGAGGAGACCGCCACGACGGAGCGCGAGTCGGAGACCATCATGATGCATTGAACTAACTACTTATTCTATCGGGAAGTAAGTAAGTAGGTGGGTAGGTAGTAGGGCACGTGTCTCTAATGTAATATAATGAATGTATTATTTGGCATGCGGGTGCGATGAATCCTCCTTGTTAGTGAATATCCATCTATTTGTTTCTCTTCGAGTTTCTAGTAACTATAGTTTGGCTTGTATGGATATGGATATGTAGTTGGTAGCATCATATAAACACAATCAGCAATCGCTTAGCTGGAAAGTATAGTTGGTGCATAGTGGTATCATATATATGGATAGTAGTAGTCGTCGTCGATAAGTCTAGACTCAGTTGATGAATACAGTAGGAAAAACGCTTTGTTGAGTAGGGTGATCGTTGGTTCGAATACTATATAATTTTGTTCAGACAACTATCAAGGCAAGGCAAGACGTGGAATCGATATATGATATGTCAGATGGGGTTGGTATGTTATAGTTAGTTACCTGGTAGTACGATGGTGTGGATGGTGATGGTATACTGTCCTTGTGATTGGGAGTTAGATATACTAATATTAGATAGTATCTACATTCATACTGCCAGGATCATATTCCCCTTGGACTAAGGGTATAGGTATATCGAGTCTGAACATCTCATTCACCTAACAACACAACACTCGAATGCTATACATATACATCTCCCCTCCCGGAACCGATGAGTACGTACGCACGTACGGATAGGTCCAATAGAATAAGACTAGCTGCGGTATTAGTTCTACGTCTTACTCTTCTCGACTGCCTCTTGGAACCCATCGTTCTCGTCGTGTCGTTTATAGAAGTAGGCGTTGGAACCGGTGCCGGTGGGTCTTAGTTCTGGGGATAGACGATCAAGGATGGTTTGTTCGAGGGCCTTGATGGAGCGTTCGTTAGAGCCGAGTTTGTTCCAGACGGAGATGAGATGCGTGTTGAAGCGGATGGAGGTTGAGACGCCGAGGACGTGGTCGTGTTCTGTTTCATTGTTTGTTCGTTAGTGTGAGCCCACAGTAGTATATATACAAGAAGCAACAGGGCAGGGGGGCATACCCTTCTCCAAAACAGCCTGAAACTCATTGGCCATGCACAGAATGGTAATCTCATGGAAAAACGCCTGCGCTTTACTCTTTGGGACCCGGAAGCGCCAGCACCCCCCGTTCCGATTCTCGGGATCCTCCCAGGCGGGCTTCACGCCCTTGCGGAAGATGTGCACTGTGTCGCGCAGCCGGATCTTGTCCCAGGGGTAGTTGTTGTAAACGCGGTAGAAGGTGGCGATGTCGGCGACATCCTCGTGCAGGACGTAGAGCCGGGAGTCGTAGTCTGTGTTTGGGGTGTCGGTGTGTCGGTCATACCAGACGGTCCAGTGGTACTGGAAGGGGAGTGGTCGTAGCTTGCCGAAGATGTTCTGGTGGAGGGATTTGCGAGTGACGTCTCTGTCGCGCGGATGCTCCTCGATGGGGCTTTGGTCGTTGACGTGGAGGCTTGGGACGGTCATTTTGGGCGAGTAGTTTGGGGGGACAGGGTGTAGATGAGAGAGGGGTGTTGGTTGAGTGGGGGCGAAGTATGTGGGTGGTGGGATATGCTCGTTTTATATCTCCTGGGTGGAAGGTGTGAGAGAGCAGGCTCAATGCCGTGGTTGGAGGATTGTATGTAGTTCGGATTGAGGGGTCCTATTGTTTGTGTGAGCGTAAGGAAAGAAAAGAAAAGGGGATCAATGGGTGTAAAGGAGGCGGGGATAAAGAGGGACGATGACGAAGGGGGTATTGGACCTGTCAGATGGACAATGAGACAATAAGGCACAAAGAGAGTTTACTTACCGAAGTAAGTGATGGTGAAGCTATTCCGGGATATGCCAGCCGGATGATTCCTAAAGATTCAGGGAGAAGTAGAGACAAACCACGCCCGGAGACAACCTAGGAAGCAATGGGGGAGTAAAGGCTGGCTTTATGAGTCCAGGAGAGGGGAACGGCGCCCTTATCACAGCCGATGAATGCACGACGAGGAGGTCAGTCAGATCGGACCAGCAGTCAGACACGCCGGGGAAACAAGGGAATGTCCACGCAACACTGCCACCGAGGTTTCACCAAGAAGGCGTGCCTGCCGCTGGCTGCACGATGAAGAACGCAGGTCGGATAACTGGCCTGATCGATTGGCGTCATGGCGTCGGGCTGGGATGGGGGCAGCATTAAGGGCTACTTAGTTGTGCTTAGTTCCCCGCCAATCCCCACTTCGGCGCCAATCAATCAATCGCCCGCAGATTCATTCATTCCATCAACTTTCTCTCACCATCATCCCCTCCACCATGTCCCCCTCCTCCTCTTCCAACCGCCCGGGGGCCGATCCCCTCGTCGCATCCACGCAATCATGCGCTCCCTCTTCCAGTCTCCCTGTCGACCGGCGCGAACACTCCCCCGCCGCTTCGGCCCACGACCTCCGTCACGCCGCAAACTCCACCGGCAACGGAGACAGCGAGGAGGATGAGGACGACTACACATCCTCGTCAGGATCTAGCGATAGTGACAGCGACGATGAAGATGAAGAAACCATCGCCCACGAAAAGCCCGAAACCAAACCCCCCACCGATGACATGCCGCGCATTCCCTCGATACCCAAACCGCGCATCCACCGCATCGAGAAAAACCCCGACCTGCTCTCCCGCCTATCGGCCTTCCTGCCTCAGATGAAAACCGCCAATGAGCATCTCGAACAGGAGATTGCCGCCGGTCGGGCGAAGGATGTGCGATTGGATGACATGGACGATGACGAGGAGGGACACTACATCGAGATGGTATGCAGGATTTTCCACGCCTCCCGTTTTAAGGTTTTCTGGGGTGTGCTAATCGCGAATAGAATCTGGGACTAGGTGTTCTCGAAGAAAAGCAACCGGACGAGGAGAGCAACAATGCCGCCGAGGACGAGTCCGAAGGCAAGCGGAATGAACATGTCCTGCCGGAGAGACCCAAGGCTGCAAAGGACTCCAATGTCCTGGATACCCTCATGGGAAATGCCGAGTCCTCATCGGAGAAACCGACCATCGAGGAGATATAGAGGCGCTATTTTGGCTACTGATTGCATGGCATGGCGCTTTCGGTTGGTTGGGAGATATATAGTTTTGCTTGGGTCTGCATTCTGGGACATTGCTAGGCTTGGTTTACAAAAGTTGGTATACATCGCTACAAGATCACGCATCATAGATCGAATCACATAGTAATCATATCCATACACAACTCCGGCAAGTCTAATAACACAGGTCGAACAGCAAATTCCATCGATCTATTTGCAGGATATTAGAATGTATACGTCAAGAGCAGAAGCTCAATGTTTATTAACTATCGTCGCCACATCACCATCATCCGCTTAGGAAACCTCCTTCACCCGGCAAGTCCAGCCGGATTCCTGGCTCAGCAGGGGCAAGCTATCACTCGTTAGTACCACCGTAGTAATCAATAATCAAAAAATTGGGACTCACCTTGCACCCAGGCACCAGCCAAGTTCGTTGTTCTTGATCTTCTTAGCGATCTTAACCTCGCGCGACAAGGGCATCTCGTATCCCGTGTGCAACAGACCCAGCATGAAGTTCAGGTCCAAGCACCATTCGGGCCGGTCGCGCAGTTGTGGCAGCGCATCCTCCACGCCCTCGAAAATCTTCCACTCCGGTTCGCCCGCACACACGGTCGCCGTGAGCTGGTGCAGCTCCTCCAGGGTGAACGAGTCGGGCATGCCCAGGGGCTTGGTGCGGTCAAAGAAGTAGGAGAAGATGTACACATCCTCCCGGGTGAACGTCTTCTCCAGAGACGGCTGGTGGACGCCGTTGAACGAGCATGGCGCCAGTTTGCAGCCAGCATCCTTGTTGAGGATCTTCTCGGTCAAGCCACGGCACTGGGCAGCGGCATTGGTGCCCTCCTTCGGGCCCACCATCTTCACGGTAACCTTGCCCGCGAGCGCGTGGTCATTGTCAAAGGTCAACTCGACCTCACGCTCCATACCGGGTCCAATGCAAGGATTGGTGATCGGCTGCTTCAACCACGACATGTCAACAGTGCTGGCGGCCAGCTTGGCCTCGACAATCGCCTTATGGACAGCCTCCCGGGCAGCCATCAGCCCGTAGCCCAGGTGCGAGTGCTGGTACAGGTCGAAGTGTCGACCACCGAACTGAAGGGCATACTTGTGGTCGCCCTCGGCCAGGTGCTCGGGCATACCGCCCGATGGGCTCTTGGGGAATGTGGGCTGGAAGACAATCTGGGTGGAACCACCACCCAAGTCGAAGATAGCGGCGGTGGGGGTCTCATCAGGACCTCCAATCTTCCCAAGAAGGTAGTTGGTCGTGATCCAAGCGTAGACGCCCTCGTCCGAGCCATCCATGATTTGAACACCACCCATTTCACGCGAAACGACAGGGAAGGGGTAGACGGTCTCCAGGCGGGTCCTGACGGCCTCCAGGATCCGCTGGCTCATCTCGGGTCCGAGCATACGCAGTCCGGCGGTGGCTTTCACAGCAACGGGGGAGCATGACTGGTACTCAGCGGGGACAGACTTGAGAGCCACCTGCATAAGAGGATCCAAACTCTTGGCGGCTCCCTCGGCGTCTTCCTTGTAGGAGCTAAGTCCAGAACCACCCTGCCTCTTTTCAGTCTGCTCGAAGACCTCGTCCTCGAGTTCGGGAGTAGAGCCGCAGTTGTTGAAGCGATAGACGTGAATCCGGGAGCCCTGACTTCCAGCGTCGATCATGAGCGCATATTGAATCAAAGGCTTGGAGGGGTCATGGGGCTTCGTGCACTTGTCCGTTAGGGGAGCGACACCGGTGGACGGTTGCTCTGAATTGAGCGTCAGCCCTATTCAACATCCTCGACATAGGGGTACTTACGGGTCCCGAAATTGCTCACTGTAGGCTTAGATGGCGAAAGCCAAAGCAGCATAAGAAGCACAGCCCCGACAATCGCACCTGTCTTTAGGTAGCGGGACCGCTGCGTCTGGGACATCATAATGTTGGAGAAACTGCGACGAGATTTATCGATCGATTTGTCCAAGCCGGCTGAAGTGATTGCGGGTTCGGAGGGGTGCGACACCGAACGTCTGCTAGGTCTGGAGCCTGATGATGCAAAGGACGATGTACCTTGAGAGTGTCGACTGTCAACGCCAGTCGACATGCGGGCAGGGCCAAGGATACGGCGGTAGCGTTACGTCCGGGGGACCACGCTCGTAGGTTCCGACCGAGTTGGATAAAGGAAAGATGGTGGATTAACGGTGGAAACGAAGAGAGACCATAGGATCGTCCGGGAGCCTCCGGTCCAGGCCAAAAAGATTGTGGGAAGCGAAACCAACCAACGAAGGGAAGGATGATGGTGGGAAGTCAGGGGCAAGCGAGCGAGCGAGTCGAGCGAGAGAGAACAGACGAGGGCGAGACGGAGAGGCAAATGGAGGCCACCCGGCGTGATTAGTATTCCGCCTCTCAGGGTCTCTGAAACGATCGGGGGATCCGCCCGCTTCTGTGGCGTCGCCCCCGTGGCTGGTGGGCGGTCGCCGCATGCAGCCAGACACATTCCCGACCACCACCTTACGGAGTAGAACTTCACCACATGGTCCATGGTAGGTATTCTCTCCCCGCAGGCCTGCACCCGATGATCCCTCGTTTTGATTCGAAGAATCCGAAGACCCCGTTCAGCCTTATCTTGACCCTCTTTCGATCCCTCTAAACGCCTCTTGCATCGCCGGTGAGGGCAGCTGTTACCCCCGAAAATGAAGCACATGCGCCGGCTCGTCCCTCCGACGAGAGCCCTTCGCCAGATCCTCCTCACTCCTCAACCTACCTTTCGTCCAGATTTCTTCCGACTCGGCCCTAGATTGAATGAAGTCCCTTCTCGATTTTACAGCCCCACGAGCAGTTTGTTCAAGTTCCGCGGAAAGTCAAATCCTCGTGCACTGCCACAATATATTCTAGATGAAGACATCGGGTCCCAATTTATTCAGCTGGTGAACGAGAACAACAGCCTTAACCCCCCCGCAACCCTCCGCGAAACTTTGCGATCCGTCAATCGCTCGGAGGATTGTTTGTTGCAGGTATCGGCTGGCCCCGAGGGCGGGTTCCCAATCTGCAAAATTGTGAACAAATTCGAGTTGCGCGAACAGGCCAAGGAGAAAGCGAAGGCTCCCCGGGATGGCCTCAAGCAGCTGGAGCTGAACTGGGCGATCGATAGCCATGACCTGTCTCATAGGATGAAGCAGCTCACGACATTTCTCGAGAAAGGCCGGAAGGTGGAGGTGATCCTGACGAAAAAGAAGCGCAAGAGAGCTCCTACTGTGGATGAGGTCAAGTCTCTGATGGAGCGGGTGCTGGATACCGTTCGGGAGGCCAAGGCTGTACCAGTGAGACCCATGGAAGGGGAGCCAGGCAGACATGTGGTTCTGGTGGTGAAAAAGGAGAGTTGAAGATTTTGCATCAAGGTTGATTGGAGTTTAATATGTATACTATTGATGGTATGGGTTTGGGGGTTCTTTGTATGTATATAACGACGTATCAGTGCTTGGACAGGATCGAGCAGGCCTTCCAACCAATTTTGACAGATCGTTCTGCTCGGTTCCCGACTGGATGATATCCGTATGATGGGTACGATTTGCCATGCTCATGCTCTGGCTCCGAGTATGGCGTCTATCTTGAGCTATCTATGCTAGACCATGGTAGAGCGGGAGAGGACGAGTTCAGATGGGAGCCGTGTGCACGCCCCACCTCGGTGGAAAAATATGCAATGTACCAATGTTCGTATAGGTAGCTCATCCATCTCCCCCGACTTGCGCTTTGCACCTGCCGTACCTGTCCCCTGGCCGGTATACCTGCTTGAGCCTATCCCGACGGTGCCTGGGGACTCCGCAATACTGCGGGCGTGATTGGCCGGCAGCTGAGTCAGCGCCTCCCTAAATTTTTCCGGGCTGAAGGTCTGCTCCAACCCAGCTTGTGTTCTCTTCCGTCCCATCGCGTTTCCTTTGGTTTTCATTCCTGTTCGGTTGTCTTTCCATCACAGGGTAGCCATCATGTCCGGCCTCGCCAGAACTGCCAACCTTCTTCTGCGCTCCAGCAGGGCCTCCCTGCTGCGCCCCCGTGGTGTCAACCCCATCCAGCATGTTTTCGCCAAAGACAAGCTGGCTGCCCGTGGCATGGCAACTGCCTTCGAGCGTACCAAGCCTCACGTCAACATCGGTAAGTTTCCATCTTCAGATCCTGTCTACCAATACCTCAGCTAATCGGTTCCTCATAGGTACCATCGGTCACGTCGATCACGGCAAGGTGAGATGCCAATCGTCCACCCTTGTTGTTTCCCGATATGGTCCGAAAACTTCTCACACATTCCTCTAGACCACCTTGACCGCTGCCATCACCAAGCACCAGGCCTCCAAGGGTCTGGCTCAGTTCCTCGAGTATGGTGCCATTGATAAGGCTCCCGAGGAGCGCAAGCGTGGTATCACCATCTCGTCCGCCCACATCGAGTACGCCACCGACAACAGACACTACTCCCACGTTGACTGCCCCGGTCACGCCGATTACATCAAGAACATGATCACTGGTGCCGCCAACATGGACGGTGCTATCATTGTCGTCGCTGCGTCTGACGGTCAGATGTACGGTTAATCCTTGGTCCTCCTGACTCCTCCGAGTATCGGTGCTGACGCTGGTCAATAGGCCCCAGACTCGTGAGCACTTGCTGCTTGCTCGCCAGGTCGGTGTCCAGAAGATCGTTGTGTTCGTCAACAAGGTCGATGCGATCGATGACCCGGAGATGTTGGAGCTCGTTGAGCTGGAAATGCGCGAGCTTCTCGACACCTACGGCTTCGAGGGTGAGAAGACCCCCATCATCTTCGGTTCTGCTCTCTGCGCCCTGGAGGACCGCCAGGCCGACATTGGTACCCAGCGGATCGACTCCCTCCTCGAGGCCGTTGACACCTGGATCCCCACCCCCCAGCGTGATCTTGACAAGCCTTTCTTGATGTCCATTGAGGAAGTCTTCTCCATCCCCGGCCGTGGTACCGTCGCCTCCGGCCGTGTCGAGCGTGGTCTTCTGAAGAAGGATAGCGAGGTTGAGATCATTGGTACCTCCAACGAGGTCATCAAGACCAAGGTCACCGACATCGAGACCTTCAAGAAGTCCTGCGATGAGTCCCGCGCTGGTGACAACTCTGGTCTCCTTCTCCGTGGTGTCCGCCGTGAGGATCTCCGCCGTGGTATGGTTATTGCCGCTCCTGGCAGCGCCAAGGCCAACAACAAGTTCATGGTTTCCATGTACGTCCTCACTGAGGCCGAGGGTGGTCGCCGTACCGGATTCGGTGTCCAGTACCGTCCCCAGCTGTTCATCCGCACTGCTGGTAAGTGATTCCGTATTTGCATCAATGGAGACGGTTTGCTAACTATGTTTTTTTACAGATGAGGCTGCTGAGTTCAGCTTCCCCGACGAGGACCAGTCCCGCCGCATCATGCCCGGTGACAACGTCGAGGTGATCGTCAAGACCCACCGCCCCGTTGCCGCCGAGGCCGGTCAGCGCTTCAACATCCGTGAGGGTGGTCGTACCGTTGCCACTGGTCTCGTTACCCGTGTCCTGAGCGAGTAAACCTGCGGATCTGAACAGGTTCGTTTAAGCATGACCGGGGAACTGGCTGCTGTGTACCATGTGAAAGGAAGCGAAAAATAATTGACAGGGATTCGTTCATAATGTTTACACCATCTTGCAGCGCGGGCATCAGCGGGAGCAACCGGAACTGATACGCCAGGATGGTGGGTTGCGCCGGAGTTCTTGAGTCATATCCATGTATCTGTATTGTATTGAAATGTCTGTAGACTTTTGTATCTCTTCTCCTCTCTTCTCACTTCTAGGTATGTCGTTGAATATGAATTGAATGATCTACTCCACTTGATGTGCTGGGAAATTGGGGTGCGCCTCGATCATCCTCGATAGTCGATAGTCCTCGTAGTCGTATGAGCCATTCCGATCCCGATCCAGACCCTTACCCGATACGGCTACCCAGATCACGGGGACACTAACCCCAGCGGGCATAGTCTGAAACGGGATCGGACGGTCGCGGCCTGGATGCTCAGGCGACCGGAACAAGGCGAGGCCACTAAGAATAACCATGGGAGCGGCGGAAGACTCCTGACCAGGGCCGCCGGACAACGACAAGCACTCCCTGCTGCCCGGCTTCCTCAGCACTTACGCTCGCTTTCCAGCAGACCTCGGTGGGGGCCATCTTGTCATCTTGTGATTGCCCGTATCCATGGTGACCCTCTTTTGACCTTGACCTCATCCCACCTTGACCTTCTTTTTCTCTCCTTACTTCGCATCCCGCACCTATCTATTTGTCCCTACCTTCCACTTTCGCCACGGTCTCCGCATCTGACGTTGCTCCAACAGCCCTCCCGGTTGTCTTCCCAACCCACCCCCCGGAGAAGACAACCTTTCCACAATCATTCCCCAGCACGAAGTCTACGCACGAGGACCGATTCACGGCAGCAGCGCAAACAGCGTCTCTCGTCATGGCGACCAATGGCCATTTTGCCTCGATCGGCAACGGCAGCAGCGACAAGACAGCATATGAACACGGGGTGCAGGTCATCGACGAAAATAAGGAGTTCAAGTAGGCGTCCCTCTTTCCTGCGGTCCCTGTTACAATGCCCATTGTTGGCCTGGTTCGGGTCTCTAAGTTGGATGAACAACCAACATGCGACTCTCTATTCCCTCCCAATTACGCCTTCAGGGGTTTGCGAGCGGCGCATAAGCTAACCACCACCACCCCAGTGCAAATATCGCGAAATACCTCAGTCTCGAAAATGTCACACCTGCCGGCTTCAATTACCACCTCATATCCGTCTTCGGCTCCCAGTCGACGGGCAAATCGACCCTGCTCAACCACCTCTTCGGTACCGAGTTCTCTGTGATGTCCGAGTTGGAACGGCGTCAAACCACCAAGGGTATATGGATGTCTAAAAACAAGAATGGTGGCGACTCATCCATGGCCGATAACATTTTGGTTATGGATGTCGAGGGTACAGATGGCCGCGAGAGAGGCGAGGACCAGGACTTCGAGCGCAAGAGCGCTCTGTTTGCGCTCGCGACGAGTGAGGTCCTCATTGTTAATATTTGGGAGCACCAGGTTGGGTTGTATCAGGGCGCAAACATGGGCCTGTTGAAGACTGTCTTTGAGGTCAACATGCAGCTGTTCCTGAAGGATAAGAAGTATGTTTCGCACATGACTGGGATTGTTATTGTGCCCTATGCTGACCGTTTGCCTCTAGTACCACTCATCGGTCCCTTCTGTTTTTCGTCATTCGTGACTTTGTCGGCAACACCCCTCTAAAGAACTTGCAGCGGACCCTAATGGAAGATATGTCGCGCTTATGGGACACGATCTCCAAGCCGGCTGGCCTGGAGCACTCTACAGTACACGATTACTTCGATTTCCAGTTCTACGGACTTCCCCACAAGAGCTACCAGCCAGAGCAGTTTGTGGCTGAGACGAAGAAGCTGAGCCTGCGCTTCCGCGATGGCCAGAAGGACCCCAACTTGGATGCGCTGAAGGGGGAATTCTCCGACGGGGGAGTTTTCCTCCCCGAGTATCACCGTCGCATCCCCGCTGATGGCTTCTCCCGATACGCGGAAGGCATCTGGGACCAGATTGCGAACAACAAAGATCTGGACCTCCCCACCCAGCAGGAGCTGCTGGCGCAATTTCGCTGCGATGAAATCTTGAGAGAGGTTATGATCGCGTTTGACGAGGCCATCATCCCTTTTGAAGATAAGCAGTCGCAGGCGGCTCGCCTCGGGGAGCCGGAAATCCTGGGCGGCCTGGGGGCTGCGATGCGGGCCTCCCGGTCCAAGGCCTTTAAGGGCTTCGAGACCGAAGCCAGTCGGTACCATAAAGGGGTTTACCAGCGCAAACGGGCGGAGCTTGAGAGCAAGATCGACACCCGTCTCAAGGCTCTGTTCCAGGGCCAGCTCGATGCTATGCACAAATCCGGCATCAACGACTTCAGCGAAGCGGTGTCGGGGGCTGTGAAAGCCGGGCAGAAGAAGGGTACCGGGTATGAATTTGCGGAGATTGTCAATGAGGAAGTGACCAAGGCCGTGGAGAAGTTCAAGGAGGTTGCGCAGGCAACGGCCGTTGAGGAAACCGCCTGGAGCGACTCCCAACACCGGCTGGCGCTGTATGAGAAGGAGCTCGCGGAAGTGAGCGCACGGCTCCGGAGGGAGGAGATGAGACGGCTGGCTAGCCGGGTTGAGCGGTGGGTGCAGTCCCGCCTGGGGGAGTCCGTCGGGCTGGAGTTCAATGCACTGGGATCCGGACGGGCCGGCAGCGGTGCGCCGGAGGACGGGGAGAAGCCGACCGAGAAGAAATTCTGGGACCGGGTATGGAATGTGTTTGTTGAGACGGTCCTTGACGCGGAGCGAAAATTTACCGACCGCGCCAGTAGCTTCGATGCCAGCCTGGAGGAGGTGGACGTTGGGCTTTGGAGGTTGCGCCGGAAGTCGTGGGGCGTTCTGCGCGCGAAGATCGAAGAGGAGATGGTCGAGGGCAATCTCCTGTTGAAGCTGCGCGAGAACTTTGAAGACAAGTTCCGCTACGATGACGCTGGTGTCCCTCGGATTTGGCGGCCAACCGACGACATCGAAGGCATCTATACCCGAGCACGCGAGTCGACCCTGACCCTAATTCCCCTTCTTTCGCGATTCCGACTCTCGGAGACGTCTGCGCCGCCCCCGCTGGATCGCTGGGTTGGGCACACGCCTAGCTCTGCGACCCCGGCCGACGAGGAGGACCTTCCCCCAATCGGTGGGGTGGATGAAGAAGAGGGCAAGAGTTTGGAAGAGGAGATGACGATGCTCAGCGAGTCAAAACGTCAGGAGCTGACGGTGCGGTTCAAGAAGGCGGCGGACGGGGTGTACGTGGAGGCCAAACGCAGCGCCATCGGAGGCATGACCCAGGTTCCCCTGTACTTTTACGGCATTCTCCTTGCTCTCGGCTGGAATGAGATTGTTGCTGGTGAGTCTTTCTCTAAAGGATCCAAATTGATCATGACTAACCGACCGCAGTTCTTCGTAACCCGGCCTACTTCTTCCTCCTGTTTTTGTGTCTTGTGGGAGCGTACGTGACGTACACGCTCAATCTGTGGGGACCGATCATGAAGATGACGGAGGCCGCGTCCAACCAGGCACTGGTGGAGGGCAAGAAGCGACTGCGTGAGTTTCTGGAGTCATCGGACACGGGGCGACAGGCGATCGCCATGTCGACGCCGGCTGGCCGGGGCGAGCAGCATGAGATGTCGCGCCTCAACAAGCAAGGGAAGGCGACGGCCGAGGAGGAGGTGGATGACTTGTAAGGGGGGTCAGGGGTGGTTACTTGTAATTCATTGTACTTCGCTCTTTTATAGATATTGCTTTGAAGACTCCTCCCATCAGCGTGAATTGTTCTGAGGGTTTCCACCACAGCCCTGTCTAGGTTTTCTCCTAATCATTCTCCGGCCGTCGTCCTATCTGTTTAGCTATCTGGCTATCAAGGATCCCCTCCGATAACAAGCGCTCACCGTTCCTGCAGGCCCAAGTGCAATGGCTTCACAGCCGGACTCCCCGCGGCGCCGGGCCTAAGCTCCCTAGCTTGGGGTCTAATGCAGCGGAGTTCCTCGCGTCCCCCAATCTCTCGTCAATCTTCCTCCTGACGATGTCATCTGCAAGCTCCACCCCGCCGGCTGCCCCGACGCTCTCCGACGGCACAAGGTAATTTGACTCGGCAGCCACGCCTGGGATTCGTCTTTGCCAGGTTCCTCATGCCGTGCCTGTCTCAATCTAATGGGGTAGGGTAACACCGACCAGCAGGACCTCCGCTTCTGCTGAGCTCACGCCATTGCGTGAGCCCGCAGCACCGCCGACATAAATGTCTCGCTCCCTCCCCCCTCCCCCGGCGCTGAGTGTCTCCTCGTGCTGTGCTGTCTCCCGTGGTCGCTGGATCCTCAATCCTACCCAGACAGCTCACGATGCGTTCCTTCTCCGCTGTCGCTGCCGCGGCGCTGGCCGTCTCCTGGGCTTCTCTTGCCCAGGCCGCTCGCCCTCGTCTCGCGCCCAAGCCCGTCTCTCGCCCGGCGTCCAGCACTTCCGCTGCCACCACGGGTGAGGCCTACTTCGAGCAGCTGGTGGATCATCATAACCCGGAGAAGGGGACCTTTTCGCAGCGCTACTGGTGGAGCACCGAGTACTGGGGTGGTCCTGGTTCGCCGGTACGTCTCCTCCTTGGTATCTCACGATGACCTAGATTTCAACCTTGCCCGCTTTGTTGTGTGTGTGACCGTGTGGAACTGTTGCTGATCGGACTAGGTGGTTCTGTTCACGCCTGGTGAGGTCTCTGCCGATGGCTACGAGGGCTATCTCACCAATGAGACCCTCACTGGTGTTTATGCGCAGGAGATCCAGGGTGCTGTTATTCTCATCGAGCGTGAGTGACCCTATAACTACCTGCGTGATTGCTAGCTGAACTTGATACATCCAGACCGCTACTGGGGAGACTCCTCGCCCTACGAGGTCCTCAACGCCGAGACTCTTCAGTATCTCACCCTTGATCAGGCCGTCCTCGATATGACTTACTTTGCCGAGACGGTCAAGTTTCAATTCGACAACAGTACCCGCAGCAATGCGCAGAATGCAGTATGTGCATCTCCACTACTTCATGATCTCAATTGTATGCTAATATACCTAGCCCTGGGTTATGGTCGGCGGCTCTTACAGTGGTGCTCTGACTGCTTGGGTTGAGTCTGTCGCTCCTGGCACATTCTGGGCCTACCATGCCACCAGTGCCCCTGTGGAGGCCATCTATGACTTCGTAGGTTGCTCTTGTGTCAACCCATGTTCAAAGATACTAATCCCCCCAGTGGCAATACTTCTACCCCATCTCGCAAGGTATGGCGCAGAACTGCAGCAAGGACGTCTCCCTGGTAGCCGAGCATGTCGACAAGGTCGGAAAGACCGGCACGGCTGAGGAACAGCAGAAGCTGAAGGAGCTGTTTGGTCTTGGTGCTCTCGAGCACTACGATGACTTTGCAGCGTGAGTGCAGAACAGCATCCACAAAAGGATGTTGCAGTACTAACACGCTCGCAGTGTCCTCCCTAATGGCCCGTACCTCTGGCAGGACAACGACTTTGTCACTGGATACTCCGAATTCTTCCAGTTCTGTGACGCCGTTGAGGTTTGTACTTGACCCGCTTCTATGAGGCAGATGCTGACCGACCCAGGGTGTCGAAGCCGGCGCCGCAGTCACCCCTGGACCCGAGGGAGTCGGTCTCGAGAAGGCTCTAGCAAACTATGCCAACTGGTTTAACTCGACTATGTTGCCTAACTGTAGGTGCTAGTCGTGCTCTGATAAGCAAGGGCCGAGACTAATTCATCCGATCTAGACTGCGCTAGTTACGGCTACTGGTCCGACGAATGGAGCGTCGCTTGCTTCGACAGCTACAACGCCTCCAGCCCTCTCTTCACCGACACCTCGGTTGGCAATGCCGTCGACCGCCAATGGGAGTGGTTCCTTTGCAACGAGCCTTTCTTCTGGTGGCAGGAGTGCGTATTTCCCTATCCCAGATGGCGAGCCGCCTAGAATGAATGACTAACAGAGACTTTAGCGGTGCCCCCGAGAACGTGACCACCATTGTGCCCCGTCTCGTCAGCGCCGAATACTGGCAACGCCAATGCTCGCTGTACTTCCCCGAAACCAACGGATACACCTTCGGCAGCGCGCAGAACAAGACCGCCGCCACGGTCAATGATTGGACCGGTGGATGGTTTGAAACTCGCAACACGACTAGATTGATCTGGACCAATGGGTGCGTTCCTTGCATTCTTGTCTCTTTGGATTGATCTGGCAGTACTGAGACTAATATGGTAATGCAGACAATACGACCCCTGGAGAGACTCCGGTGTCTCGTCCACCTTCCGTCCCGGTGGCCAGTTGGTGAGCACGGCGAATGAGCCGGTGCAGATCATCCCCGGTGGATTCCACTGCTCGGATCTGTACATGGAAGATTACTACGCGAATGCGGGAGTTCGTAAGGTCGTCGACAACGAGGTGGCCCAGATCAAGAAGTGGGTGGCGGAGTACTACGCATGAAAAGGATGGCCCATGCCTGATGAAAGATCTATGAGAGATGATGAATCAAGGATATCTGTATATAAGTAGACACAGGACATGCTTCTCTGATGAAGAGTGTGAGAAGATGAATATATAAGAGACACTGAGTCTTTTTTTCCTCGGGATATAGGATCAGGATCAGGTAAAGCAAAAAGGTCAAAACTTCCCACCCCCAAAGCAGAAACATGATTAAGATACAGATCATAGAGAGGTCTCCCTATCCCCTCTCTCATTCTCACATTCTCGAGATTTCTCACCAGCTCTTACCATTTTTTTTTATCGTGGCCACCGATCTATTCGATCTCTACATGTCGACATTGAGCGACTCTCCCCAGACTCCGGTTGCCGCAGGAGCATGTCTCTGCCATCCTTCTTCCTTGGGCCGTCCTACGCAAGCGTGGTTTCCCTTCCAGCTCATTAAGAACAACACAAACAAACAAGCAGGGCCAGGGGTCCCTCTCTTCAAGATTCCCACACAAACCTCACTTAACCTCGCATTCCTATTACCCGTGTCCCAAGTCGTCTCCTACCGTCGTCATCTCGAACTCAGTTGTCTTCCAGTTCATCCATTATTCAACACGTCCCCCCTCACCGCGTTGATCTATTCTATATCACTCACAAAGGCATCGAGAATCTTTGGGTCCCTGCCAACTCTTCACTCCCAGTGAGCTGTTGGATAGCAAGATGGCCGATCTCAAGCGCCTAGCTCTTGGTGTGACTGTTTCCCTGGGCACCCTCTACGATGCTCGAACAGATGCCTTCATCTCCCTCTCCTTGTTCAACGACACCCCACCGCCAGAAGCCATCAAGGTGATCGACCACCACCATAGTGAGGTCAAGTTTGGACAGTCGGAGTCGTACCGCAAGAAGTTTGAGAATATGAACATGTCTGCAGATCTCAGTGCAAGCTTCCTGGTCGGCATGGTCCAAGTCAACGGTTCCGGCAGTTACCTCAACAACACTCTTATCAGTAAAAAGCTTACAGAATCCTCGCTGTTTTACAACATCACAACAAGGGCCGAGACAGTCTCCCTAACCCATGAAAGCCTGAGGGGAATGTACGCGTTCAATGAGATTGACTCATCGTTGGCAACACACTTCGTGGTGGGTATTGTCTATGGTTCCAACAGCATCGTCACCTGCCGTAGCACAAATACGGAGCACGGGGACTCCACCAAGAACCAAGTTCGCCTGAGGACGGCCCTCGAAAAACTCTGGTCAATGACGGTGGATGAAACTGCGGATACAAGCAGTATTGACGATGAAGAGGAGTCGGAGTTGGAGTTCAGCGTTTTTGGAGACGCGCTGATTGACGATGTGGTTCTGCCACAAAACTTTCGAGGCACGCTCCACTTCATGAAGAATGTGCCCAGGTACATCCAAAACACCAACGGTGGGAAGGGCAAGCCGATTGTTTACAGACTGCTTCCGATTGGAGCCTTGGAGTACATGGGGACAGGTGTCGAAATAATTGGAAACGGCCAACTGCATGCCGTGAGCCGGGATTATATGGAAAGGTTCGTGGAGCTTTTCGACGAAATTGAGGACATCAAACGTGTCTTGAACGACTATAAAGTGTTCGTATACTGTCACAGACACTGCGTTCCGGACCAACATTTGCGTCAAGTTATCTACAACCAGCGTGAAATACGCTGTCGTCAAGACTGCTTGAAAAGTGCATACTCGGAATTGCTTAGGACCGTTCGAGGGGGTACGGAGTCGCCAGAGAAACTCTCTGCACTGCATGCATGTTTACTTGAGGGAAATGACGCCATTGTCCGCCTGGCCGACGTGACAAACGAGTACAGGGATAAGATTGACTTCATTGATACTTTGGTAGGTAATGGCGCGAGATACATTCGCGGGCATGATCCCTTCCTCGACACAGAGGTAGCATGGGCTGGAGATGAGGACGTATTCGCCTTCTACTTCACAGAATCGTCTCGGAAAAACTGTGAATATTGGACTAGTCTGTTTGCCGTACTTGAAGAAATTGTTCGATCTGAGTGTCCTAGGGCCTCTGTGTTGCTCGTCGACGAGGAAGGTGGTGACCCTCCTCGATCAAATCCGATTATCGTGCATTATCGCCATGGAATCACGATTGTCCCAGATGTTTACCAAGAACGCAAACTTTTCGGGGAGAAATGCCTCATGCGTTACAACCCAGAAAAGCTGGAGCGAACCGCCATGAACAGACCAGTTGGGCGAAGACTTGTGAAAACCCCCTGCCCGGGTCCATATTGCAGCCAAAACGAAGTGCTAGAGTGGATTTGCCGTGGGTGCCAGGCATTGGCACAGTATGGCCATACGGACTCTTACATCTACTGTGACTGTGGGCGCACCACATACACCGAGTTCGAGTTCCGTTGCAACAGCCCTAGGCATGGCGGTGCGTATGCGAAGTATGATCCTACTAAGTTCAAGCAATATATGGACCAAGTAGAGCCACTTCCGGAGCTAAATGTTCTGATTTTGGGTGAAACTGGCGTCGGTAAATCGACATTTATCAACGCGTTTCTGAATTACCTTCTATATGAAACGCTGGACGATGCTTTGGACGCGGAGTCGTTGAATTGGCTCATTCCATGTTCATTTTCCACCCAGAATTCCAGTCCAGACGACCCCAGAGGAGAGATTATCGAGACCAAGGTTGAGGTTGGAATGAGCGATGACGAGCACAGCGCCTTAGATGGGCAATCCGCAACGCAAACCACAGCGATTTACCCATTCCAACTGGGTGACGTGACGGTACGATTGATAGACACCCCAGGTATTGGCGACACTCGTGGGGTAGAACACGACAAGAAGAATATGGCTAACATTCTTGCTGTGTTGTCAAACTTTGACAAAATACATGGCATTGTTGTTCTCCTAAAGCCGAATGCATCCCGTCTGACGACCGTGTTCCGGTTCTGTATCAAGGAGCTGCTTACGCACCTCCATCGCGATGCCAGTCAGAATATGGTTTTCGGGTTTACCAACACGCGCGGTTCAAACTACAGACCAGGGGACACATTTACACCCCTGAAAATTCTCCTCGCAGAGTATAGGGATTTCGGGCTCGGTCTCTACAAGCATACCGTGTATTGTTTTGATTCCGAAAGTTTTCGCTATTTGGCAGCCTACAAACAAGGCATCAACCTCGGCAATAGAGTGCAATATACGGAGAGCTGGAAGCAATCGGCTGACGAAAGCCAGCGACTACTGAACTACTTCCAAACCCTTACGCCACATCAGGTGAAGAGCACAATGAGTCTGAATGATATGCGGCGTACAATCTCACAGTTGACGAAACCGATGGCGGACATCATGAAAGCAATCAACGCGAGTATTGATCTGAATAAGGACCAAGCCCAGGAGCTATCTCGAAGAGAATTATCACACAAAGAGCTTACGGGGAAGCTATGGGTCAAGAAGATTTCCGTTGCTTTAGCTACAGTGCAGAGACCACGGACTGTCTGCGGACATCGTGACTGTATCGAATACCGCCAAATCCCCAATAGTCATCAAAACACCATCTATAGGAGCATTTGCCACGACCCATGCAATCTGAGTGGTATCAACGCAGATGCGGTCGGCTTTCCAGGACTCCGCGACTGTGCAGCTTTCGGCGAGGACAGGTCCAGATGTCTTAAATGCAATCATCATTGGCAGCAGCATTTACATATCCTGTACGAGCAGCGCGAGAGGACCGACACTGTTGTTGATCCCGACATTGAGAGGGACATCAACAACAACAAAGCCACAATTGACACTAAACAAAAGGCGATCAAGAACCTGGAAGTCATCATCCAAGAGTACGAAAGTGAGTATGAGCAGATAAAAAAGGCAGCGGCGGACTTTAGCATTTTCTTACAGAAACATTCCATCGCGACCTACAATGATGCAATGATAGAATATCTGGATCTTCTCATTAAACGAGAGAAGGACATTGTGAATGTTGGTGGCAATGACGACAACCTTCAAAGACTGGAGAGAAGCCAGGCTGAATACCGAGCGCTCATCCAAACGCTTGAGACCCTGATTAGGGATGGTGACGGCCAAACCGTCCTGAGTCGAGAACAGGTGGTTGCTCGGGTGGGTGAGCTTTATGCCCTCAAACACTATGGGGCAGTCTTGCGCCAGGCAGTGGAGGTCGTCGACACGGCACACATGAATACATTCCGTGAGAAGCCATATAGGCCGCTCCCTGGAGGGCGCTCCCGTTTGCAGAAATTCTGGGCAAGGGTTTGGCGCCAGTAAATCTCGATCAAAGGTGCGGCCTTTCTGCTGCATCTACGGCACTTATATTCCCTGTGCTGCTTCTGTAGCCTCTATTGTCCTTATCTTATCCTGCTTCTACACCTTATACTGGTATGTTTGTGTTTAGTACCTTTAATGTTTCCACTCCCCTTGATGCTAATCCTATTAACCCATGCTATGATGGAAATACGCTGAAACCAGTGGCGCAATTGATCTTGTCGATGTGAAGACAAGATGTCTATGTATATCATCATGTCTGTGTATTTCATAATTAAAAGTATTTTCCTGTTCTTTGTCATAGGCAATTAACAGCACAGTTACCATTTTCTCATATTCTATGATCCGTACATTATCGTTTATCTCCGTACCGTGCCTACTCAACGATCTACCCAGTCCCCTTCTCTAACTTACGCCACCACCTCATAAAATACCCAAAGACGACAATAATGATTGTGAATTACCCACTACCACCAATGAACAAGAAAGTAAAAAAGAAAGAAAGAAACAAACGACCCGAGCAGAACAAAACCCGATAGAGTGGATGGTTCTACGCGGAATGCGGAATGCGGAATGTGAGAAGATGGACATGGACCCAGAGGAACAGGATAGATAGATAGATAGATAGAATTCACTCGAAACAATGTACAATTAAACCGGATGAGCAAAATGGAAGGGTTCGTTGAACATTCATAGAATAAATATACGATAAGTCTAATGAGGAGGAGTTGCTTTTTCGGGAAAAGATGGTATTCTAGCATGTATGTATGTATGTACATATGAAATATAGAAAAAGAAAGATAAAGATATAAAGATAATGGTTGGTAGTATTATATATGGGATCGGATCTATGTCTAATAGGATTGATCAAAGGAAGGGGAATGAATACCATGGACGATGTAAAAGATATGATGATGTTCACAGAGAGCCAATATGTATAAATTCCACAAGGTGGAATGAAAAAAAAAAAAAGCGCATCAAGCAGCAAAGAACGGGTATCGCAATCAAGGGGCTCGCAGATTACTTCTTCGTCTCCTGCTTCTTCTTCGATGCGTCCTTTTTCCAATTCTTAACGCGGAAGAGGTAATAGATTGCTGCGGTCGCGGCAACCTGTACCACAACGTAGACCCAGAAGATTCCAAAGTTGCGCCAGTGTTGGTTATATTCGATGCCGGAGGCGGTGATGAATTCGTCGGCAGTGCTCACGGAGCAGTATTTGCAGTCGGCCGTGGCGTTCGGGTTGAGTAGGTTTCCTCCGGTTAGCTCGGCGTATTGGTTCAGGTACTGTCCACATGTTTGACCGGAGGGTGGGCTGAGGACTGAGACCTCTGAGTCGGAGCAGGTGACTGCGCGTCCGTGGACTTGGACGGAGACCATTGCTGAGGCCCAGTATGTGAATGGGGAGGCGCGGTACATGAAGATCCAGAAGCCGGGGAGTGCAGAGGGCGATTGCATGATACCGCAGAAGGTCAAGGACATGGCGAATAGGAGCGTGACGACGGCACTTCCGGTGACGGTGTCCGGGATGGCAGCGATGACCATTTGGGCGAAGGTGCTGGCGTAGATGAATAATTCGATGCATAGGATGAGAACGGTGGCTTGTTGGGCAGAGCCCTGGATGCCCACGACGGGGAAGTAGTAGCAGGCGAAGACGATGATGCCGAGAATGACCTGGTAGGGGATCTCGACGATGATGTTGGCCAATACAAAGGCTTTCCAGGAGTAGGCTTTGCTGGGACGTTCGCGGACTTCGTAGAGATCGCGTTGGGTGATGAACAGGGGCATGATCTGTTGGAAGTGTTAGGAGGGCAATTGCTGGGGGAAGAGAAGATGTGGCTTACCTGCTGCACCAATGATGGGAAGATAGAACAGAGCATGAAGATGGAGTAGATGACGGTTTGTAGGCCCTGGAGGGAGGACTTGGCGTGGTAGAAGGAAAAGCCGATGAAGAGACCTCCAAAGACTCCCAGTCCCCATTTAGCGAGGACATACGAGGGCAAGCGCCAGTACTGTTGGAATACGCGATAGGTGACTTGGTAGAGCTGAAACCAGAAGGGCATGGCAAACTCGGCGTGGCTCCCTTCGGTCTCGTTCTCGACAGGGACCTTCTTTTGCTGTTGGTCGTGGATGCGATCGATCTCTGCTTGGACGGCCTGGCTTTCATTGCTCTGCTTCCAGACGTCAAACCAGTCTTGTCCATGAGCGTTCGAACCCTTGTTGATGACTTCGAGCATATATTCAGCCGGATTCTCGGCCTCACCGCAGGTGCGTGGCGCGCCGTTGGTCTCGAAGTAGTCGAGCAGAGTGCGAGAGTTCTCGCCTACGGGTCCAAAGTAGACGGTCTTGCCGCCGCGGGCAAGGAACAACAGGCGATCGAATTGTTGGAAGAGAACGGCACTGGGCTGGTGGATGGTGCAGAGGACCGCCTGGCCATTGTCGGCCAAGCGGCGCAAGAAGGCGCAGATGGCCCACGAACTCTGGGAGTCCAGACCACTCGTGGGCTCGTCTAGGAAGAGGAGGAGCTTCGGCTTTGCAGCCAGCTCTACGCCGATGGTTAAAAGCTTGCGTTGTTCGACATTCAGTCCTTCCCCAGGAACACCGACCACGGCTTCAGCAAAGTCCTCCATCTTGAGCATGGAGATGACCTCTTCGACATAATCATACTTTTCCTTGAGAGAGACGGTCGCAGGTTGGCGGAGTAAAGCGCTGAATTGCAAGGACTCTCGGACAGTTGCCGTCTCAAGATGGAGATCTTGTTGCTGGACATATCCAGTTTTCCTCTGGAAACTAGCATCCAGGCCGCGGCCGTTAACAAACATATCCCCCGTAATCACCCCGATGGAGGTCCGATGGGCTAGGACATCTAGAAGCGTGGTTTTGCCTGCGCCACTGACACCCATGAGCGCGGTGAGGGTGCCCGGCCTGACCCATCCCGATACATGATCCAGGAGCCGTCTGGTCTCGCCCTTGATGTCAACATCATAGCTGACGTCTCGCCATGTGAAGATATCTTGTTGAGGGGCAAGGGCCGTCAGATTTTCAGGCCTTTCGCCTGTTGCAGTTGGCTTGACTGTACCCAGCTCGACCCCATTCTCGATGTCGGATGGTTTGGGGTTGTTGGAATCCAAGGCGCGTTTCTGGCTGCGGCGGAAGACCAGAACTTCAGCTGTGCTGGTTGTGGAGGAGTTCCATTCCGTCGCAAAGAAGTAGATGGCCATGAACCCAATCAGGAAAGCAATGAGGATGCCAAAGTTGCGCCACACATGGCTATAATAGTATCGAAAGTTGAGCGCAATATACTCGTCGCCGCTGACGAACTTGCTCCCCGCCGTAGATCCGGAAGCGGAACAAACAAAGGCAGAGCCATCCATGTCCGCGTAGGATGGGATGAACGAAGAGCATGGGAATTCACGGCCATGGAACTCGTTGGCGATCAAGATCTCAAACGCATAGTAGATCGGGTCTGATCGGTTAGCAAGAACAACATGACGCACAAGGGAAAGGTTGCATACTGATGTAATGGATCCATTCAAGCCAGGGATGCATGGACGGCACAGGAAGCATAAAACCGGTATAGACCACTAGAGCTAGAATCAGAACTCCTCCCAAGGTCATGGCCTGGGAGACTGTTTTGGTTATGGCGGCCATGGTTCGAAAGACTGCGCTCATGACGAACATGATTATGAACGAGATCAAGAAATAAATGAAGAATTGGGCGGGTTCACGTCGCAGATTGACCAGGAAGTAGAGGATGATGTTGAATACAACCGCGAGAGCAAATTTCACAGGGATATCGCTAACAATCCCCGCAATTGCCTCCGTGGCTGGATGATAGAATGCATAGGATGCTTGCTTTTCCACTATAGGTCGCTGAGCGTAAAGCAGGTTAATCTCAGCCATGGCTCCCAGCGCATTGAGAAGGACGGCGAAGAAGAGGGCGGCCCCTTTGGAGGTAAAGGAGGCCGTGTCATTAGGAGAGTTGTAGTAAACCGAGCCGATAATCAGGGCCATGATCATCTGTCCGGAGACATTGGATATAGCGGTCTGGATATCATTCCACAGTCGCTGATATGCGCGTCTCGTGTTCAACCGGACCTGCATGGGAATGCTCAACAAGAATGGCGACCCTGACCGGGTGTGGTTGGCTTGAGCAGCCCGCTTGCGTTCGTGGAACTCGGTGTCGGTCAGCTTGCCCTCATGCAAAGGATACTGTTTTTCATAGGAGGCGATGTCGGCAAGCACCTTTTGATACTCGGGTGACTTGCGCCAATAGGCCTCGAAATCGTCGGGGGTCCGAGGAACCCGGTCTTCCATTCCAGCGCGTGGCTGACGCTCCTGGGGGTTGGTGACCGAGGTCAGAAAATCGCCCGTGGTTTGCCTCAAGGGGCATTCCCACCCCTGTCTCTCGAAGAAGGTTTTGGCCTCGGAAGTTGGGCCAAAATAGATCTGACGGCCCTCGTAAAACACCGTCACTTTGTCAAAGATGTCATAGATGCTCTGACTCGCTTGGTAGATCGCAATCGCATGGGCGGAGCCTGTCAGATCGGCAAACAGTCGGAGGGCCTCGACAAATTTCAAAGCTGTGGCCGAGTCCAGACCGCGGGTTGAATTATCCCAAGCGGCCAGGGGAGATGCAGCGAGAGCCATCTCCGCGATACTGACGCGCTTGCGTTCTCCACCGGAGACACCCCGAATGAACTCATTACCGACCTTGGTATTATATGTGTGGCTCAGCCCGAAGATGGCCATTACAACCTTGGTGAGGTATTGGGCGTATTCGTCCCGAGACATATCCTTGATTCGATGTTGTGGGGTGCGCATGGCGGCCGCGAATTCGAGGGTCTGACCGACGGTGAGGTGAGGAAAGTGCTTATCCACCTGATAATGGTTAATGTGTTGGTTATGCTTGCAGCTCATGTGGGGGCATACCTCTTGATTGTACACTACTTCGCCTTTGAACTCTCTGATCATTTGGTGCTGAGGGATGCCTACACATGTCAGTAGACTGTACGAAGAGGATAGGAACAACCATACCGTTGTAATGAATCACACTGTTCTCATCAACGGTCAATCCATCGAGCTGCCCACAGAGAGACTTTAGAAAAGTACTGCAGCCAGCCCCCGGGCGACCGAGGACAAGGAGAAGCTCTCCACTTTTCATCAGCCCGTTGAACTCATTCAAAATGCGCTTGGACGGGGAGTGACGGTTGCGAAGAAGGTCGCCGATACGAAAGGGGGCCGAGAGGGTCGATCCCACCGTATCTTGGAACTGGACCGCCGCCCCAGTGCCTGTGATCGTGAGGTTCTTGAACACAATGCCGGGTCGTAATGTACGAGAACCGTCCCGCTGAAACTCTCTAAGGCGAAAGGCCAGCCATTTTCCCAGGTCGAACTTGTCCGTCTGGGGATCAAGACGGGGATCATCCTCCCGGATCGTCTCCAAGGTATCGCGTTTCCCCGTAGCAGTATGCTGGGTATAGACACTAGAGCGCCGTCTCGCGGAATCTGCGGTGGCAATGCGCACGAGCGTTTCCCTTTCTTCTGGGCCAATCAAGTCGACTGAAGGGGTAGCCGTGTCCTCCTCATTCTGACTGACCAGGGTGTTTGGTGTACTTTGACGGAGAAGGTGGTCATCATCCTGGGGCCATAGGCCCCTCTGATCGGAAGCCATCTAGGATGTGAACCAAAGACGAGATGCATGTAAGGGGTGGACATGCGATGATGATTCCCGTTGAGGAAAGCATTGCAGCCCAGTTCTTATATGACAGGGATGCATGTTGTCAGGAAGAGGGTACAGCCACAGGTCTGCCAGCATCACGGAAGGCCGATTGACTTCTGCCGTTTCCAATTCGGGTACCGGGGCTTGGTATCAGGATGATCTGGAGCAGATGGGCCGGGCATAATTGCGATTCGGATCTCGCAATGCCGCTGGGACCAGGGCTGAGAGCGCCAGGGTACACCAATCATGAAGGAGGGCGCAGTTGATGTGTAAGCGGGAAGCTGTTCCTGGTGCATCCGATCACACAATGATCCACGGGTCAAGCGAGGAATAAAGTTGAACAGGGCCATACTATGGAGCCCCTGTCAGATATCCCCGCTGAGTCAAGATAAATGCGCTGACTCATGGCCGTTTGGGGACCCGCCACGTTGGGATCTTCATCACTAGTTCGTAGATACTAGATAGGGAACGGATGGTTCAAGTTGGCTGGAGCCGTTGGAGGAGTTGAAGCGGATCCTCGGATGGAGAGACATCCGGCCCGGTCAGGTGACTGTGGTCAACTGCCTGCCTGCCTGCCTGGCTCCTTTGCTTCTCCACTTGTTTCAGGAGTTCCATTCCCGAGCTCCCGTGCTTTAATTCTACACGTCCCTCGGATGGTCGAGAGCCCCTACCCGGACAATAATAATATAGTGTTTCGGTTTCGTGATTAGGAAACCGGACCACGGAACATCTTGAATGCTTGTCACAATCCCCGTTGGGCAACCTCGTGCCTTAAGGCACCGATCTGTCGGAATGACAAACCATTCCCAATTGGGCAATACGGGTCATGGAGATCGCTTGCTGCCAGGATGATAAACTTCGTTGACCCCATCTAGTGGGCTGGTATCAACGAAAGGGGCACTCTTTTAGTGCGAGTCTCGACTCTTCTTGGAGAACTCAGCTGAGGTGGAGTTCGCACCAAGAATAGGGGCTCTTTCGAAGCTCCTGTTTAGGTAGGATCTCAAACAGGACAAAGGGGAGTCTACGATTTATTGACGGGATTTCCCCCAAATACTCTTGTAATGGATTCTTAGAGGCTCAAATCGATCTAATGTTTCGAGAAATGCCAACCGGGGCAAAGAGCGATCGGGATCCACGCTAGCGCTACAGGCTAAAGACGTCCAGCATGACTATGTGATCCATCTCCCAGCGAACTGTTCTATATGACTCTCAGGTTGCTTAGGAAGATATCCGACAACTCAAAGTAGTCTGTCAACATAATTCAAGTCCAAATGTATAGTATCAAGATTAGTGCAGCCCTAAATAGCCAAGTGGAGGTCTCCCCGGACTTTCTCCGACCCCGCCTCTTATCAACCCCTCATATCCCCTTCTACAACAACCACCTAGCATAAGCATCATCCACATCAACTGACGCCATTACTCTTCACCACAATGTCCGCACCCGTTCTCCCTAAGACTTTCGATGACCTCACCGACAAACGCCGCTACTGGCCGGCGCCCCCCAACTCCGCCGACGAGGGGCTCGGCATGCTCCGACTGCTCACGCCCGAGGTCGTCGCCAACGCTGCACAAACCCAGATCCAAACGGGCGAGCGCGTCTGTCTCAACTGGGATCTAGAAAAGCTGAACCCTCCAGGTGCGTACTAGTCTACTCCTTTCAAACAACCCCACTAACCCACATAGGCTTCCGTCGCAAACCCTTCGAACACCGCATCAAATGGGTTGCAGACGGCGTTGCTTTCGATGACGAATACCATTTTAACCCCCAACAATCCTCCCAATGGGACGGTTTCCGGCATCACAATGCGCCTGGCCCAACCCCCGACCAACGCGTCTTCTACGGCGGTACCACGTCCACCGAAATCCTGGATCCAACCTCGTCCCGCATCGGTATCGGCCACTGGGCTAAAAAAGGCATCGCGGGTCGCGGTGTATTAATCGACTATTATACCTGGGCAAAGGAAAATCGCAACGTCACAGTCAACGCGCTCAGTCCGCATGTTGTATCGCTCGATGACGTTCTCACCATTGCAAACGAGTGCGGAATCAAGTTCGAGCGCGGAGATATCTTCTTCCTTCGGGTTGGGTTACCGGCTACATGGGAGGGGATGAGCGAGGAGGAGAAGTTGCAGTATAGCCAGCAGGAGGTGCCGAAGCATGCGGGGCTGGAGCAGAGTGAGCGCGTGCTAAGGTTCATGTGGGATAATCATTTCGCGGCTGTGGCATCAGATGCGGTCAGTTTCGAGGTTTTTCCGCCGCTGAAGCCGGAGTTTGATCTTCACCATTATATGCTGGCGGGGTGGGGAGTGCCGATTGGGGAGATGTTTGATTTGGATGAGTTGGCAGAGACGTGTCGGCGACTGGGGAGATGGACATTTTTCATCTCGAGTAGTCCGTTGAATTGTGCGAGAGGAGTGTCGAGTCCACCGAACTGTATGGCTATTTTTTAGTATGGTTTGACGGGGAGGGGAAGGTAGAGGAAGAAGTGAAGCTATTCGGAGTCGGTGGGTCGGTATCACGTGACCAAATCGGAGTCCGGGGTCCGGGATGCGATACGGAGATACTGCAATCAATCGAGTGAATCTTTACTTGTTATCTTGGAACGTTTGAAGTGTCAGATTGGCACCGATTCAGTTTGACTCTAATCGACACCGAGCGAGTGTATCTCGCCGAGTAGTTTTTCCGAGGCAGTCCGCGGGACTTCCCAACATTGGGTCATCCAACTCCGAGGATCCTCCTGACCGTTGACATAAATCCACGCACCCGGCATCCAGCTGGAGTCCTTCTTTCTTCCGGGTGTGTCTGACTGTGTTTCTTGTTGACTTTGCCGCAGCATCCGATCCCTTCACTAGGTCGCATCGAGACCACCATCGAACATGGCCGACGTTCTCTCCACTCTGCGCGAGACCCTCCCCTCGCTTCTCTCCTGGAAGGCCTTGGCTCTGGTTCTTGCTATTCTCAGCTTCAAGAACCTGCCTGGCGTGTGGCACGTACGTATTCTACATATATAGCTCATCGCATCCTATCAACTTCCCCATGGCCCTTTCAAACTAACTATCACCGAAACCTCCCCGCAAACCAACTCCATCCCATCTCCCCTAACCACCCCCTCAACCCAACCCCAATCCCATTTGGAAACCGACTAACAAAAGCAACTAGATTCGCCTAGGCTATCACCTCTTCATCAACCTCCGCCGCCACCCCACCGACGCTCCCTTCCCAACCTGCCCCCCTTCTACCAACTCCAGCTCCAGCACGAAATCTATAAAATCCCACCCCATCTTCGCCCCTCACAGCCTAACAACCCACACCTCCCTCTGGGAAACAGACTACAACATCCACAAATCCAACAGTACTTATTTCTCCGACCTGGATATCTCCCGCACGGCGATCGTCACTCGCGTCTACACCCCGGGAGTCACACTCATCAGCAAACAACTCGATACAGAACTGGCCAAGGTCAGCAAAGAACAGGGGAGAGAGAACGTGGGCAAGAAGATATACATTGCGCTGGGGTCGACGTATACGAGTTTCAAGAGGGAGATTAAGCCGTTTGAGGGGTATAAGGTTGTGAGTCGGGTGGTGGGATGGGATCGGAAGTGGGTTTATATTTTGAGTTTGTTTGTGAGTGGCAAGGGAGGGAAGGGGAAGGTGTTTGCAACGGCGGTGAGTAAGTATGTGGTTAAGAAGGGGTGGTTGACGGTTCATCCGGAGAGGGTTTTGCGGGCGAGTGGGCTTTATCCTGATGTACCCATTGCTGAGGGTATTACCAACAAGGATAAGGATGGAGAAGGCGAGGGAGAGGAAGGAGTTGTCCTAGTAGAAGAGGGAGAGGGCCTTGAAACTCCAGAAGGAATCAAAGAGAATGTCGCGGTAGACGGCGGGGTCGTAGGGGAAGTCCTGGACAAAGTCAAGCACGGAAAGGCGTGGGATCGAAACGAATGGACATGGGAACAGATCGAAGAAGAGCGACTACGGGGATTAAAGGTCGTGGAGGGATACGTGGGATTAGATGAGAAGTTGTTGGCCGAGTGGGAGGAATGATATGTCTCCCTCTCTTAGATGTAGACGATAGATTTAAAGCATAATACCCTTGATACATATAATAATAGTATCATCCACAAATCGCACTCTGTAAATCCTCCCCAGCTACACATACCCAAAGCAACCATCAGCTTCCTTCACCCTCACCACGACACAATGAAATAAATTATCTTACCCTGTAAATCCCCCTCACACCCCCTCTGACCCAAACAATCCCTCAATCCCTGCTGAAACCCCGCATTCGTGCAATAGCAATTGATATCGTTGGCATCGCAGACAGTACTGGAGTTGACGCAGTCACTCTATCAACTATTAGCACCGTAGAGATAGCATTATGTAATGAAGGAATGGGATGCGAACCAGACATTGAGGGATAGATTGTGCTTTTAGTGAAGAAAATAAAGTAATTAAAGGGAGGAAGACATGTACTTTCATATTCGGTGCTTGATAGGGCGATAGTATATAATAGATAGGATATGAATAGTATTATCGAAAGATACTACTAGTCGCACTACCATAAACTGATATATATACTCTCAGGACCAGCCATATTGAGTAAAAGTGGCATCTAGGGATAGTACATACACCTTGCGGGGAACTCGTGTGGTATGATGTAAATGTGTAAGACAATTGTAGATCTTTATTTTAGTCTATGTTAATGAATTTGTGAGGGGATGGAAATTGGTAAGTTTGTAGATAGTATTAGATAGGTAGGTAGGTAGGTAGGTAGGTATATTCTTTTGTGTTAGGTAAAGTGAACTAGGAAGATTCGTGAATATTGATTATAGTAGGTAGTAGGGAAACCGGTGTTTGTATACAGGACTTTGATTGTATGAAGTGTGAAGTATCTGCAAGGGTTATCTGACCTGGGTTTGGTGAAATGTCACATACCTGACTATATAGGCACCAGAGTGAGACTGATGTCATAGATGGATTCATCGCTGGACAGTTTTGCCTTGGAAACTGATTGATAGTAAATGTCTCTGGCTGATTAGAAATGTAGAGATATATTCAGCTTACTGTACATGAAAAGCAACGAACTGTTACAGTTCATGAGAAAATCCAACCTACCCCACCTCTACCCAGGAACAACAACTTAGAACCGTTACAGTAACTCGGTTATTGTAAACTCCCCCCCCCCCCGAAAAAAAAAGAGTGTGTGACTATCAAAGGAACTTGATTACCAGCCGTCGTAGATGAACATAACCCCTTTCATAGACACAATCCTAGACCATACTCTAATGAAGATAACGATGGCGCCTTGCACGGCATATATCATATGCAAAATGATTGTATTCATGCAAGGGGAAGATCAGGTGATACGAATGGGATCAACAAGCTCAAAGAAAGGATGTGACAGGTTTATCGGGGATATTCGGCCGGGCGCAGGTGCATAGTGAGGCGATACTACCTAATTGGGGGGCTACGAAAGCGCCAGGGTAAGGTCAAGTGAGGTACATTGATATACTGCTGCGAACTATTCCACTATCACATATTCCTGTCTTCCTAGCGCGCCTTCTGCTTCCCCCCTTGTCGGAGAGCATTCCCCATCAAGATCACAACTAAACACTGCATGCCCTGTAATATCAATTTGAAGACGTACTCCAACCAGGTCACTTCCAATACAAATCCCCCCTTTAGCCGACTGTTAGCAACTGGGAAGGGAAGGTTTGCACCCAAGTCCTTCACAACTCCAAATGCACTCGTAAAAGCATCCTCATGGAACCCGTACATTGTCCACGCGCCCGCGTAACTGATGCCCCGTGTGCCCTGGATATGCGGCAGCATTGTCTGGGCCTTCACCGCAGCAGGGGTAAATAGTGGGTGCTCATACTCATAAACTCCCTGGATGGTCCGCTCATCGGGCATGAACATCGGATTCATCGTCACCAACACAGACCCGTATTTGGCATGCGAAGCCCCCACCGCGCGGTTCATGTTGTATGTGACACATACCTGGTCTGCGGACCCGTTGCTTAGGTAGTTCCATGTAGACCAGACCCTTTTGTTTTGGGGAAGCAGAGACTCGTCCGAGTGAAGGACTGCGGTGTTGGTGGTTGTCTCAAAAGCCGATAGAATAGATTTCTCAGTTGCAGTCGCCGAGGTTGAGATTAGGGACAATGCTTGAGGTGCCGGCGTGGCGATGATGACGTGGTCGTAGGTGGCTATGTCTTCTGCGGTGGTGACACTTACCATTCCCGAGGCCGGATCGTTGGTGACGGACACCACAGGTCGATTGAGAAAGACTTGCTCGTTGGGAAAATCTGCCATTACAGCTTCGACGTAGCTTTTGGCGCCGTTGACTACCGAAAGCCATTCTAGTCCGCGCCCGAGAGTATTCAAGAGGTTATGGTTGTACCTGTAGTGTTAGTCTGATGATCTAAGAGGAGAGAAGCCACTAACAGGAATCTTATCAGAGTCACAGCCGGGAATTGCAAGTCGCATTTCTCTGGACTGGTGCTCCATGTGGACGCCGTCAAAGGGATCAGGTAGTTGTCGCGGAAGAATGCCGAATACCCCTCCTTCTCGAGATACTCGCCAATGGAGATGGTATTGTCCTCGTCGGGAAGGCGAAGGAGGTCTGGTGCAAAGTGGTTGAACCGCACCATGTCGAATACCATCCGCCACATATTAGGAGAGAAAAGGTTCCGGCCTTGCGCAAAGAGGTTTCGTAGCGATGACCCCGCCCATTCAAACGGGCCAGATTCGGAGTACCGTGACACACTAAAGGACATTTCCGAAGGCGTGGTTGGGACATTGATAGTGTTGAGAAAGTTGAGAAAATTGGCTGCACGAGTTAGATTGGTTTAGAAAAAGGTGAAGGCAACGAACGATAGGTAGAATTGTTCAACACAATAAATCCAGTGTCCACGTTGACAGCATCGCTCTCTCTCTTGAATTCCACTGTGTTAATATGACCCCCAAGACGAGGAGCCGCTTCGTAGAGATGGACTTGATGAGGCGAGTGCTTGTGCAGGGCCCAAAGGGCGGCCATGCCTGCGGCACCACTGCCAATGATGGCGATTCTCTTACTAAAAGAGGTTATGATGTCTTCTGGGAAGGAAGTTCCTGACATACCCGTCTTGCATGGTGAGAGTCGATCCGATGTCCGATCAAGAATGGGTGACTGACTACCTGCAGGCGACGGACTATATATGTAATCCCAGTGGCATTCCCGTGTTGATAACCGGCGTTTGGCTGGTCTTGCCCAAGATATCAACATGGTATGCTTTGTCACTGCATGTAGTGCAGCCAAATCGGTGGTGTTACGTTGGTGCCCTGCCGCTGCAAGTGTGTCCAAGCATCACATCACAAATCTCCATTCTGTCAGAACAGATTCGCCTGAACCGATAATCTGTTGTGTACAGATGCTGTGCCTCGTGTGACTGGGGGGTGATGGAGAAGGTTATCATTGGCGGCTAAACCGACCATCTCCAAGTTTGGTGGCTGCTCCACCGAGTAGGGCGCCATATTGAGCAGACACCCAATGGGGATGCTCGGGTTCTTTCATGTCCAAGTTTGTCTCCTGCGATAAGATTCTTGGTTCCATGGCAATGCTCGGGGCTATTCGAACGCATGATCTGAACTCATTACAGAAACATATAATTGGACGAGCAGTGTCTTGTATGTTACAAGGCAATACTTTTGAGCAAAGGTAACTTTCAACCAAATGAAGCCATCGGCTAGATGCGGAATGTTCGATGAGCAGGCAGATCGGATGTCGTATCCGTGCTTCATCGGTTGCACGCGTAAAGCCACCGGGCGTAAGGTGGAGGCGCCTGTCGCGGAATTTGATTATGTTTCCGATCTGAGTACCAGCTAATAGATGCATGATAATCTTTGCTATGAGAAATATAGATCATGTGGCTCATCAGGTAAATCAAAACCATCGGCTCTAACCAGGCCATTCGTCAACTATTGGAAAAGCCGAGCAATACCCAGACATCGCAGCAAGACCCACACCACAACCAGGTGAGCGACCCAAACTTGGGCTTGAAGAAGGCCTACACTGCCAAAGGCAAGGTAGCGGCTAAGGAGCAGCTGCAGAAGATGCCTCCGGTACCCCCTCTGCTCAGCCGGGGTGCAACATGTCAGCACGTAGCAGTCCAGGGCAGACAAGGAAAGCCCGGCGTGTGATGCGGCCCGCCCCTTTCGGATACTGTCGATAACCCGGAAACCAAGATCGGCTGAGACAGAGAGTTGGAGAGTTTCCGACAAAGAAAGTTGCGTTCCACACACCAGATCACGCAGCCGATCCATGCCCGACACCCGCAGCAGGCCACTTCCTGCCAATAGTGCAAAGACTGCTTCGGCGGTGAAGGCGTGACTCTCCGCGAAGGAGGTGTAGAAGTCCGGCCGTAGTACCCGAAGCTCGACGCTGTTGTCGACTGATTCGTTGGGAATTCTCCGAGCCAGAGGCGACTGCATGACCTCGATCGTATCGTTGAGGCATAAACCTGCAGCGTAGTATCGCACGGTAAGAGATGGAGAAGCGTTCTCTACTAGATATCGCAGGTATCCCCGAAAGAAAGGCTCCAGCGACCGTTCTATTTGACTGGCGTGTCGACTTATTGTTCTCTCCAGCGGCACCGGAAGAGACCAGACCCTCAATTTCCGTTGCAGATGCAGCCTGGCCGCTTGGAAGAATATGCGTGGCTCCGTCAAAGCTCCCACCCATCCCCACGAGAAGATCAGCTGGTATCTCTGGGAAGTGGAGAGAGCTGCTGGGCGGATCGCCGGTCCTGTGGCGCGGATAGTGGCGATGAGTTGGACGCGGCGATCGGAGGCCACTAGTACGATCCGGCTATCGATCGGCTGCGTTCCTTCAGGGCCCGCCAGTAAGGGGTCAGCGGTTGTCAAGGCATACGACATGCCCTCTCGGGGGTTGAACGGTGAGACATGGAAATCTTTCGGCCAAATGCTGGTGAAGTGATTCGATGTCCTGGGACAAGGCGGATCAACAGGATCGGCGCCACTAGCGCCACCTGACATTCCTGATGCTTTCAGCAGGTACATATGTCGCTCGCCAAAATTGTTGTTCACTTCCAAGATCACGGCGGCTAATGTTCGGCTGACCGAATACAGATACCAGAATGAAACAGGGTTGAAGACATGGCCTAGTACTTTTGGGGCAGTGAGAAGGTAGACGTAGGGATAGTCGTCGTCTTGAAGGTGCTGTGATGAACTGTCAGTGAGACAGGGAAGTGCAAGATGCATTATTACTTTACCTGACTGTGCAGATACTGACGAAGTTTACCATGCAGCCCTGCGTGATTGCCTCTTTCCAAGTAGTCCCCAGCATCGACAGTGAACCATCCCAAGCTGACGGGCGAGAGATTATCTGATTCGAGATCTTTACCCTGCCAGCGGACTGGCAACACCATCCACAGATAAGAATATGAAAATGAATGAACAAGTGGGTGCACTCTGGTATGTCGGACACGACATGGGTATAAAACCGGTTCAGGGATCTCATGAGAGTTTGGAGACATGATGTAAGCCCAGGAATGGCCGACTGCGAGATGCCTTTGGAGGTTGACCGGCTCTAGGCAGCGTGATATGTTGGCAGGTAGGGCGTCGGCGATGCCTATAAATACACGCACTACGCTAAAGTTGCCAGCTCCGTGACAAAGCTGCAGCCGTAACACTGCTATGGAGGCACATGTATCTGCATGAAACCCTACTAGCTCGAGTATCCCTTGTCACATCATCCAAGCCTCCTGTTCCTTGCGCAAGACCACCATTCGATAATAGTTGTTGCACAATTTGGATGCGCTACTGCGAGAACCGGGAAATCTGTGACAACCGTTCTCTGCTGTCGTAATTGTCTTTCAAGGGAAATTGGCCCATGTTGGGCATCAGTTGGGTGGCACAAATAGTGACTAGAGGTTTGCGGCTATCCGCGCTTGAATCAACTGAGGGAGGAGTCGAGGATCTGTTGAGAAAAATGCATTATCAGAGGATATCCGTGATACTTGAAGATTCAGTTTCGATAGAAGATTCGCTAAATTCGTAATTTGTGAGGGAGAGGGGTAGCTGGTGGTCTCCATGTCTTTGTCGGCAAGTGAGAAAGTAAAGGCCATCCGGTTGTCGGGCCAGCGACTCAGCAAACCAAGCAAACAGGGAAGCAGATATCTTGAGTTTCGATTTTGATTTGTTGAGAAGTGGCTGATAAACGACGGTAAAGGATTGCGTATGAGAAGCTTAATCATCGCATTATTTAGCTTCATTAGAAGTTCAACGCACTTTATAGCAGTTATCGCTAGCAGGTCGGCATATGAGATTGATAAATGAATGACTCTGCTGGCATACTGATGACTGGACTGAGATGGAAACAGTAAGTTGGGAGTATCCAACTAAATCCAGATATGAAGCAACTCTTGCGCAGTAGCCATTTCAAGGTGACAGAAAGGTGTTAATAGTTACCATTGCTCTCTAACAATTCTATCAATCTAAACATAAACCCATGTATGGTTAACCACCATCACAGATCCTATCAATCCGCGAACCCTCTCAAAACACATATTCAGACTGTAAGTCTAAACCTGATCCCTATATATATCCGGATTATAGATCAGAATCAAGTACTGTATTCGAAGATGCTTGGTAGAGTCCTTTAGAAGCACTTCACAAAACTCTTTGAAAGTGCTTGACAGAGCCCTTTACAAGGCTTCTAAAGATACCTAGTAGAGCCCCTTAAACTCACGTGACAGAGATCTTTAGATACACTTAACAGCACTCCTTGTATATTCACAATATCTGTTGCACCGAAGGCCTCCCGCGTCACCCGACTGCCTCTAATCACGTAACTCCGTCCTCGGCCGACCTCCACGAAGCAGCTCACTCCTAGCAGATAGGAACCTCGCGATAGTCTCACGAAAGGTCCCAATCGGACAACCAGAGACTACCGGCAATCCTAGGGAACGGCCCGAACGGTTTGTTCCGCTAGAGCCTGATCTCGCAGTATAAAGCCTTCGTAGCCCCTCCGTAACTAGATCATCAACCTTTGCATCCTATCCATTATTAGTAATATGGTACGGTGAGAAAAGATCATTAGTGGGATCAGTTGGTCCACTGATAAACCTAACGATCATTTCGCATCGTACCATAGTACATACAACGGGCCAATTAGAGCCCACTATCTGCCGGCAGTACAAGACCGGAGACTTCCAGCGCTGACATGCTTTCGAAAATATGTTACAAGGTGCTTACTAAGACGCTTCGCAACCTTTGGACTGGAGTTCAATGAATTGCTTTGTCAAAATTGGATGCAAAGCTAACCTGAAGAGGTGGTGCTTCCAGTGGATTGGATTTAGCGCCAGTGGGGTGATAGCTAAGCATGCATTACCCCTCTCCTCAGCCTTGTTCGCTATGAGCACAGGCACCCGCAGCTGTTAAGGATTCACGAGGTAAATGATGATTCTTGAATTCTTGGTCACGCAACCTCTCTAGATGGGCTTTTAGAGGGGAATCACTATTGAAGTATCAGTCACCAGCTTGACCCTTCACAAGGAGGAAGTGAATGTCTATTACCAACCCGCTCGACTTGGAGAAATATTTATAGGCACTGTTGCCCAGCCCCTCACACTCTGCGTCCTCTACTTAGCAAGAACTCTGACCGGTTGTCAATTTCTTACAGACACCATGCCTACTTTACTCGAATATCTTTCAACCCCCGATCCAGTCCTGGACCGATCAAGGGCCGGGAAAGGTCCCAATACATTTAATAACGACTGGGAAATGATAGAAGAGACTCGGGAATGGGCAGACTTTACATACCCACATATGATGGAGATGTTGAGTGACATTCTCAGTACAAGGTATAGCCCGGACCAGCTAGATATACCGCCCCCGTTGTGACACCATCTGCGTTGTATCTTGAATAAAACCAGTGTTACCGCCGTTCTTCTCAAATGACACCATACAATCGTCGACTGCGCTCTAGACCTCGCGTCAAGCAGTACAAAGACGGTTTCCTGGACCTTGGGATGTCATGGGCCTCTCCCGAATGCTGAATGTGGCTGGGCCGGGGTTGAGCTGAATGTCAGCTTCGACATGAATCGCATACCAGGAGACACTAAGGTATCTGGCAAGTAGCATACCAGGAGACACTAAGGTATCTGGCAAGTAGCATACGGGCTTGTTAGACCAGAGTGAGAGTGACGTAAAGGAATTCTACAAGCCGTTACGCCAGGTCAACTACTACGCGCAGTTGGCCAACAGCAGGTACGCATATGTCATCTCTGACAAGGAGCTACTGTGCATGAGAAGAAGTATTTCAGAATATGAGGGCCCACCATTATCGTCCCAGCGCTCAGTGCGTGGGGCCGGACAACCTACTACTCCTTCTACCCCAGACAGGGAAGCTTCGCAACTCACACGACCTCCTTCGACGCCATCACCTTGCCCTCCTTTTCGGGTTGTGGTCCGGAATCGACAGCAACAGCATCTTACGCCCGAGCGCCGACCTAGGCCTAGACAAGCTAGCACTGCCTCTAGCATGTCTGCAATGTTAGTGGATTCTCCTAGTATTACGGTTTCCTCCCCCGACAACATAAGATCATCCCCATCGAGATATACGGACAACGGCAACCCGGATGCGAATGAAAGCGTCATTGAAGTGGTGGTGATCTCATGGGGCGAGAACCGGCCAGGACATCTAACCGTCAATCTTGCGCTTTTCTGGATTCACATCTTAGCTGCGTTTGATGTCGATTTAAGAGCCTCATATCCTCTGCTGGGAAGGGAACTGGCAGAGGCTTATGGTAAGTCTTCTTCAACCATAGGGTACTTACCAATCGCTGAATACCTTGAAGGACTCCGCGCAACCCGGGGAGTAGATGAATAATCAGGATAGAAGGCTGGATCTATGACGTTTTTCATTCTTAGTCTTGTCAAAGCTCTTCATGAAGCCAGCTATAAAAAGGGAGATACGCCATACTAAAGCTCCATGACAGCAGGCTAGATACAGGCTCCATTGAATACTTCTAAAGAGCTCCGTCAAGTACTTTTAAAGGCTCTATCAAATACTTTCAAAAAGCGTATCCAGGCACCCCAAAGGGCTTATTGAGTGCACCAAAGAACTCTGTCAAGCATTTAAAAACATAGTATTTGATTCAGACCTACGGTCTAAATCTATGTAAAGATCTAGTTCAGACCTAGGGTATGAATATACATTTTGAATGAAGTTTAAGGACCTTCTTTTCTCCTTTTGGAGGGGCGAAGCAGTGAGTAGCAATGATATAAAGCAAGTGATGTTATAAGCGAAAGAAAGATCCAATGAGGAAACCAGAAGTGTATAACTTCTGGATTAATCAGAAGTCTTGAAGTTGCAAACTGCTCTTACCTAGGACCTAACCTAGTGTTTCTGAGCGCTGTGTGCTTCGAAAATCATGAGATGCTACGGCGTACGTAACTAGGCAGCAGCGTGTCAATGACTAACATCTGAGTCAGATGCCAAGCCTAGGGGCGCATCCACCAACTCCCTCTTTGACCTTCACGCGTCAGTCATTCTATCTCCGTTTCTTTTATGAATGTTCAATCTCAAGCAAGTGAATTAGATACAACATTTATCTAACCTCAGGGCTGCATTATTCACCACCTCTGCTGGGAAATTACGGCATCCCTCAATGGATCAACTACCCGTTCGAGATCGAACTAGGTCACATTGGCACATATGGCTGAAATACAAAGACAAGATTTGCCCCTACCTCCCAGATCGGAGGGATCTTGCTCCTCAAATTGAATTTCTTGAACTCATCGCAGACTCGGTGCACTCCTACATGTTCAAAGTAAAAATCCAGGAAAGAATCTACGCTCTTAAATTGGTACCTCCACCTCGTCCATCGCGGCCCCACTAGAAGTGCCACTGATAAGCCGTGCGGTTAGCACACCATCCATTCTCCTTGTTGGCCACCATCCTACTCATTGGCCCGGGTCGAGGATATTGTGACGTAAAATGATCCGTTCATTGCTGAAAGTCGGGTATACGCCTGCCTGGCCGAGTGTGGACTGGATGGCCAAGTCGGTCCAAAATGTCATGGCTGGCTCACGATTAGCAGAGAACAGGAACAAGCACTAGATAAACGGTACAATCTGACTAACGGGTACACGTCGACCGATACAGCATTAATTCAAAAATTGAAACACATGGATCGTCGTCCGTGGCTGGGCTTCCGTCAACGTCCAGAAGACACTGATGAATCTGTTCGAGGCTTATTGCTCGAGTATATTGATGGGACCAGCATTGGAAAGGGAACGCTGAAGGCGTCGGCAGCATCCAACTTGCGATACCAACTAGATTGTCTTCATTCACTGGATATTGCTCATGGGGACTTTTACCCGCGCAATATGATGGTGTCGAAAGCTGGAGATCCGTATTTGATTGATTTCAGCTCAGCACAGTTGTGGCCTTGTCGAGGTTTTCAGATGAAGAAGAAGAGATTTGATAGTTACATGGGATGCGAAAAGTCCGCCCTAGAGTATTGTTCTGTTTCAACTCCAGAAGGTCAGTAGCAGTGCGTTGATAGTATTTACAATTAACTAAGAATCGCAGTTGGAACGCCATCGCGACTTGAAGATCAGTGACGCAGAAGATGATGAAGATGCATATGGTGGTCAAGTCTCGTCGACTGTCGCAGCTTTTCAGGAAGAATTCGTTGATTGAGATATTTGTACCTGTGCACTTTAGATGTGGATATCGCCATGTCTGGGATCGTGCTGCCCGGGTTAACCATTTAGTGCCGAACTCCGGACTCGCTCATAACTACACGGTGGTACCTTGCTATGTATGCACCCGATGCTTCAAACTGATATCATGGCCCACGCGCCATCTTCGCAGTTCGCCCAAAGCCCCTACCAAGGATATACAATAGAGATTCTATGTACCTCTTCCACAGAACTGTGTACGCGTCCAAAGGTACCTTGGCGACACTCCATACATGAACAATATCGAGAGCTAACGTTTAATAGCGGCACAGTGACTTTGTTATACATTTCCTCAAACGATCAGGGATTTCCACTTAGAGTGCGACAATGTATCAGCCTAGAGTGTGATTACACGGAAATCGACAATCCAAATTTATACACTGCAGTGCAACTACAATCAAAGTCGAATAGCTGACCAAGGAATATGACTGCAGTCAGTGATAACACTATATCAAATCACAATTGACACCACAACTGACAGCCATCTATCTAAAGCTCCCAGTGAAGGCAACTAGGATGATGTATTACATCTCATATTGTCTGTTTCTGCCTCGTGCAACCAACTGCGGGGGCTGCCGGGAACCCTAAATCCTTAGTGCATCCTTAGCATTCTTCGCAGCTATTTAAGCATCCCTGCACCCATTGGATTCCTTCCACCACAACCCACCATGTCCCTCTCCATCCTCCCCGTATCCCTCCTCTGCTTCCTCCTCTACAAGTACCTCCTCCACCCGTACTTCCTCTCCCCCCTCGCCTCTATCCCCAACGCCCACCCCACCTCCCCCATAACCTCAAGATGGATCACCGCCAAACGCACCAGCACCCAAGAAGTTCACACCATCTACGCTGCCCACCGCCGACTAGGCCCGATCATCCGTCTCGGCCCAAATGAACTAAGCATCAACTCCCTCTTCGGCCTCCGCATTATCTACACCGGCGCATTCGAAAAACACTCCTTCTACAGCGACGCCTTTATCAACTTCCACACCCCGAATCTCGTGGGGATGTTGCCTAATAAACAGCACGCGCACCAGAAACGAATGCTCAGTAGCATATACGCGAAATCATACCTCCAGAATTCATCTGATCTCCGAGTGTTCTCGACACATATTCTCCGAAACAGACTGTTCCCCATATTAAACAACTTAGCACACACGAAAGGAACCGTCAATGTACTCCCATTATTCCAAGCCGTGGGGATGGATTTTACCTCTGCGTTTCTGTTCGGGTTGCGCAATTCGACGAGATATGTGCTTAACCTCGGGGAATGGAAGGACTGGTTAGCCGAATATGAGCGGTTCAAGCACCAATCTCGCGAGGAACGGTATCGTGGATTCATTGAGAATTGGTGTTTGGGGTTGTGTGAGAAGATGCAGAATCTCGCACGGAAGGAGGATCAGCAGGTTCCCGCTACCGAAGCAGTGGTGTTTACTCGGCTCAAGACAGAGTTGGAGAAATCTCCTGATGACAGACCGTTGGATTTGGCTATCGCGTCGGAGCTGCTTGATCATTTGGTGGCTGGACATGAGACCTCGGGAATTACGTTTACGTATATTATGTGGGAGATGTCGAAGAGGCCGGAGTTGCAGGCGAGATTGAGGGAGGAGGTGAGGTCGTTGTCGGGGTCGTTGAAGTATGCAGAGAGGAATGAGGAGCTCCCTCGTCTGTCGGATATTGATGGACTGCCTTTGCTGGATGCGATTGTGCGGGAGACGCTCCGTCTGCATGCTCCTGCTCCGGCGCAGCTACCAAGAGTGACCCCTCCGGAGGGGACATGGTTGCATGGATATAGGATTCCTGGGGGAGTGCAGGTGAGTTCGTCTGCGTATTCGTTGCATCGGATTGAGGAGGTCTTTCCGTCGCCAGAGGAGTGGATTCCCTCGAGGTGGATGGACGTGGAGGATGGGAAGATCCATGATATGAGGAGGTTATTTTGGGCGTTTGGAAGTGGGGGGAGGATGTGTCTGGGGAGTAACTTTGCATTGCTGGGTAGGTTATCTTGGCTATTTGTGGATGATGCTAATGGGAATAGAGATCAAAATGGTCATGGCGGCGGTGTATGCCAATTATACTACGAAAGTGGTGGATGATGAGGGCATTGAGCAGAATCTGGAGTTTATTGCGTTGCCCAGGGGGAGGAAGTTGGTGGTGCGGTTTGTTCCGGTTGAGGGGCAGCCAGTTGAGGACATTCACACCGACTGAATACCAATTGATGCAGGTTGCAGCTTTGTTTGCCGTGGGATGCCGGAAAAGGGTTCCTGTATCTTCACCCCTTGCAGGTCGTCCTTGGCTCTTAGTCAACATGGGTATCTCGGGCCTGGATTATGATATTGGACAACCGTTTATCGTCAGTTGCACATGCTGACTGTTAAGATCATAATGAGACTATGTTGATTAAACTCCCAGAATATTGCCCAGTAGTATGAAAGACGAGTTGCGCCTTGGTATGTTTCAAGAAGGCAGATGACGGATCACATGAGACGTAGGGATGACATGATGCCTGCACCTGCATTGACCGCCAGGGTGTGTTCCACCTGCTCATACAAATACCGTTAACCCCCCCCCCCATCCAAAGAATGAATTATCATTCCCTCCCTCAAAATGGCAGACGCAATGGCAGACGCAATGGCAGACCCAGCATCTCATAGATCGAAAAACCCACCCCCCCTCCTGCACCGCATCAAATGGTTCAACTTTACCATGCTCATCACCATCCCGCTCATCGCCTTTCTCTGCACCCCCTACATCCCCCTCCTCCGTCCCACCCTCATCTGGTCGCTAATCTACTACCTGATAACCATGATCTCCATCACAGCCGGTACCCTCCCTCCCTCCCCCCACCATCCCACTTACTTACTTATATACACCAAAAACAAGGCTACCACCGCCTCTGGTCCCACCGCACCTACACCGCCGCGACCCCTCTCCGCCTGCTGCTCGCCCTCTTCGGCGCCGGCGCCATCCAAGGAAGCATCAAATTCTGGGCCCGCAACCACCGCCTCCACCACCGCTACACCGACACCCCACTGGACCCCTACAACATTACCCAAGGATTCTTCCACGCCCATATCCTCTGGACTATCCTCCACCAACCCCCCCATCCCAAACCAAAACCCACCATCAACATCACCGACCTAACCACCGACCCCATCATCCAAACCCAACACAAACACTACCTCCCCCTCTGCATCACAATGGGGTGGCTCTTCCCGTCCCTAATCGCAGGATTCCTCTGGAATGACTGGGTCGGCGGATTCCTCTACGCGGGGATCCTCCGTGCGTTTTTCGTAAACCAGGCTACGTTTTGTGTGAATTCGTTGGCGCATTGGATTGGGGGGAGGCCGTTTGATGAGAGGAAGTCGGCCAGGGAGTCGGTGGTTGTTGCGATGGTGACGTTGGGAGAAGGGTATCATAATTATCATCATGTGTTTCCGGGGGATTATCGGTGTGGGAGGAGTGGTGGGATGTGGATGTTACGAAGTGGGTGATTGCGGGCTGGGAGGGGTGGGGTTGGTAGGTGGGGTGAGGGTGAGGAGGTGGTGGAGATGGCGAGGGGGGGAGGGTGCAGAGGGGAAGGAGGTGGAAGTGGGAGTGGGGGAGTTGGATGTGATGGGATGGGAGAGGTTAGGGGTGCGGTGGAGAAGGGGGGAATTGGTGGTGGTTGATGGGGTGGTGTATGATCTAGAGGGGTTTGTGGGGAACATCCGGGGGGTGAGAAAATATTGAGATTGTATTTGGGGAAGGATGTTACGGAGGCGTTTAATGGGGGGGTGTATGATCATTCTAGTGCTGCGAGGAATCGGTTGGCTTTGATGAGGGTGGGGGTTGTGAGTGATTGATTTAGGATATATAATTCAGGTCGTTTACATGTTAAACCTCGTGTTTGGAAAGTCCAGTAGATACATAATTATAAGGATTAGTATCCATCCCTCGATCCTTTATATCTAGCTGACTACCATGGGCTAACAACCCAGCCAAGACCCCCACAAAAGCATCTACTCGGATTCCACCAAATCAAATCAGTAGTTATACTTAATATCTAAATATCTATCCACTATTTGTTCTTATTCCAGTATTTTTTATTGCCGGAGGATCGTAGATTTGAAGCTTTATGGAATGCCCTCACATATTATTGATCACTTTTTAATAAAGATGTTGTCAATGGTAGCTCTTGTTATTGAGACTGGCTCTGAAACGCATTTTGTATATGAGAATCCAGAATGATCACCACCAGGAATTTCCCTCCAGGCATACAAGTCATGCGCATCTGAGAATAATTCCAGTTTGCCAAATAGCAGATCTAGTGGTAGATCTGCACTTACGGTAGTCCAGACAGCTTATCGCGTGGCTGAGTTGGTCGTAGATTACATTACCTCCTGATCTACCTAATAAGCACACTATATCCTCGCAAATGACGCAGTGTAGACAAAATCCTTTAGCTAACACTAAGCCTCACGAAGAACCTGACTCGGATACATCCCTGATTGGCCAGCTAAAATTAGAGTTGCGAACAGAGCGGGACTAAGAAAAACATGCCGCACTGTGATTGGTCTGTGCGTACGAACGAGCCAATCGGAGCCGCTGCTGCGGTTAGTATAGGGTCCATCTCGTATACAACTTCAAGACTACGTTGACACATCAGGCAGCAAGATGGATGGAATGCATTTATATAAGAAGAACTCCTTCAAAATTTCCATCTCATACCAACATCATCATCTCTCATACAAAATACTCCCACCACCACAATGACACAATGCAAAGGTACCATTCCCACCCCCACCAAACACCCCAGCAACTAAAGAAAAACAAACAGCCCTAACAACCCCCAACACAATGTGGGATTTCTGCCCCTCCCTCGCCGCATCCTACCTCTTCACCATCCTCTTCGCCCTGACCACTCTCGCCCACATCGCCCAAGCCATCCTCCACCGCAAATCCTACTGCTGGGTCATCGCCATGTCCGGGCTCATCCAAACAGTCACGTACATTTTCCGTGTCCTCAGCATCCTCAATCCCGCCAGCTACACCGACTACGCCGCATGGTTCGTGCTTATTCTCATCGCACCCCTTTGGACAAACGCCTTCGTGTATATGGTCATGGGTCGGATGGTGTGGAATTTCACGGATGATGCAAGGGTTCTGCGTGTGCGGCCGTGGCATTTTGGGTTGTTTTTTGTGGTTTTGGATGTTATGTATACCCCCCCTGTTTTACCACCCTTGGTTGGAAGTGGGATGCTGATTGTGAGGACAGTGCATTTATAATCCAAGTCTACGGCGCCGCCCAAGCAGCCGGGAATAACGTATCATATGATACCGAAATGACGGGATTGCATATCTACATGGGTGGTGTTGGGATTCAGCAGCTATTCGTTCTGGTCTTTATTTTCTGTGCAATTGCCTTTCATCGCAAGATTCTGGCTCAGAGACGAGATGATAAACATCAGGCATTGTTGCTGCTTTATGTGCTTTATGCGTGTTTGGCTTTGATTACTGTGAGTTTCACAACAAACCCTAGTTGGGAAGTAGGGCTAATAGGAGGTATGATAGATGCGAATCATCTTCCGGTTATGTGAATACGCCCAAGGATTGGATAGCTCTATCCCCCTGCATGAAGCATATCAGTATTGTTTGGATTCGGTGCCGATGTTGTTGGCGTTGGTGTTGTTGAATGTGGTGCATCCGGGGAGGATCATGCCCGGGGTGGATGGGGATATGCCGGGGAGGAAACAGAGGAGGAGATTGGGGGTGGATAGTAAGGCGGGGGTGTTGGGGGTGGGGAATGAGTTGGTTTGATTCTTTACTGTGTATTTTTGGGATAGTAGAGGTTTATAGAATTAGATTTTTGGGGGTATGAATTAGGAGCTTGTGGAAGTGTGGATATGATGATGAGATGATGTTATAGATCTACAAGCAGCAGCTGCAGGCGAGATAAAAGAAACAAGTATCCGCACTGTATGTCATGTTTACGACAAACATTTATAATTAGAAGGTTTGGCGGCGAAGCAATTGGCCAACAGTAGGCTCCGCGCTCCGCCTCTCCCCTTGCAGCATTGTTCTCCCTCCTTCCTCCGATACCCCCAACCCCACATTTACTTCACCGGCCGCCTGCTCCATCTCGCTCGCCACTTCACATGGGCCATGCTCAACCACCATGTCGCGAGTGACCAGGTTGGGCTCCGGCCCATGGAACAGAAGAGGTAGGACGGAGGACTTCCACAAGCTGGCCCCGTCATGCGAGGTGATGAGCGCCGTGGCGATAAGAAAAACCGTTCCTGCCACGAGCAGCACGGCGGGTAGGGCTAACCACGGCCATTTCACGGCAACATAGGAGTCCTGGGTGATCACCACGCCGTATATCGAATTGTTGCTATAGGTGCGGGCCAGCTTTGAGAGTGCGGCGCCAATCTTGTCCATCGTGGTGGCCAATCCCATCTCGTACACTTTCTGCACAGATGCCGATGAGGGATAAGGATTTATTACCAGAGGCTGCCAGATCATGGACCCATTCAAGGATGTCTCCAATTCATACTCCGGGCTCACGGTGCCAGACAGTGGGAGAGAATCCCAGTAGCGCACAGAGTCCAACCCGCAGAACTCATAGTTGGCCGGATCGGTCTTTGCGTAACTTCCTTCCCGCTGTCCCGCGGTGGTCCAGTTGGTCATCGGACTTGAGTTGGGTTTCCAGCATACAGAGGTGGCAAGATTTGATAGATAATCGGGAGGGTAGAATGACCCCATGTCTTCGTCTAGGGTTTGAACGGAGGCAACTCCGTTGGTTACAGAGACGTTGTATGTCTTGGCGCAGACTGTGAAGGCGCATTGGGTCACCTTGGCTACTCCAATCGCTCTCAGCAGGTCATCGTTGGATTTCCAGGTGACTGGAAGATTCAGCTCCACATGTGTAACCACGGCCAAGGGATTCGAAATCCCCGCCACAAATTTGGTGTCAGAGTCATAGGTAATGTTTGGCCCATCGAGAAAGTAAAGGTTGCTGGGGATATATGCGCGATAGAATCCAACCTTGCGCCAGATTATCTCGATCAGAAAGTCGGACCACTGGCCATCCACCATGGATATTCTGGCCGGTATTGCTTGGTTTCCGTGGAGACTGTAGTTGAATGAGGAAAAGTCCCACCCAGCGAGCAGCACCCTTGAGGGGTTGACATTGGCGCATTGATTGCACATCTCAACGGACCGGTAATGGGGCCATGTGCAATTGCCGGTGGGACAGCTGGGGTCGAGAGAAACCGGGTCTGGCCAGAGTCCGCTGTTTACGGCATTCAAGACTTCTGTACCGTTGGAAGACTGCTATAATATAGCGCGATTGTGTGACTACTGCCTCTTTCGAGTATCGTTGGGTTGGTTGAACGGGGTAGCTGATTATCTGCTGGATAAAAGGATCAAAGGCCAGGGCCAAGATCACAACACACGCCCCGACCGTGACAAGTGAGCGGAATTCGTCTTGAAGTAAGATGCGAAAAGAGCCCCATGGTCCACGGCTTGCGCTATCATATAGTTGAATATAAGACAACGGCTTCCGGGACTGCCGAAGTGTGATCCATCTGAGTTGTCCGATGCATTCTCCCACTGCAAATACGAGTGAGGACTTGGATACAGTCGCGAGAATGGACACCACGGTATTGAGTCTGATTCCACTGGGCAGCTCCGGTAAGATCTGCCCGTCATAAATCTATTGAGATTCAGGGATTTAGCACTCTTTGAGGGCTTTACCGTGGTCCACTTACCAGCAAGATGCAAACGATTGCTACGAGACATGCAATACTTAAGCTCACGGCAATTGATTCGTATATCCACGAATCGGGCCCCAACGTGCCCCAGAGAGACCGATAACTAGTAGAGTCACCACTCTTAGACAACAATCCCTTCTCTTTCTCCTCGTCGCTGATTGATTGTATGTTACGCCCGGCTGTTGCTTTTGTCCTCTACAAAGATGGTAGACCGTGAAAGCCAAAACTATAACAATGAAGAATCCGAATGTGACACTAATCCCGATGCTGGCTTTTGCAGTGACAGATAAGCTGTCATGTCGGCTCTGTGAATCGGTAGAACTGGTGGAGAAATCCTCTGCACTCCATTTCACTGACACAGCATTTGCAGCGACCAGCCCCTGGTTTCGTTGCGTGGGGTTTGAAGTGCTCGTCGCAAGCTGCGGAGCTGTGGAAGTACACCGCTCCCCCAGGCCCCAAGCCTTGTCATATGAATAGCCTCTGTCAGAAATCCAGTCTGTTAGAGTTTTTCTTAGACATCATCTGCGCACGATCTTGACATACGTTGGACAGCAGTCTGCCCAGGTTTCTGTTCTTGTGTCATTTGTGATTGATACCGCCGTGGTGGCAACGGTATAGCCGCTAGGGCATCGGCCCGGAGAGAAGTAGGAGTTGAGACTCCATCCAGACGGCATGCACTCGGAGCTGTTGGTATAACCAAGATGATAATAGAAGTATGTTGTTCCAGGGTGGTCCAGCCCAGGCAAAATGGCATTATACATATTAGTGATTGTGACTTAGTGCAATATAAGCCACTATGCATGTCAGACAAAGGTAGCAGCAGCTCGCACTAATTACCCAAGGCGGCATAGTCCTAGAGCAAGGATCAAATGCTGCGCTGCTAGGACTTGCCAACATCTCACTGATTCATCCTCATGCCTTGCGTTGGCGGGCATATCTTTGCGATGCAGTGAACTGATCCCCGTACGGAGCTCGGGGGTTTTATCCCCGTCCGAGATCGGAGACAGCATCGGAGACAGCTTTGCCATTCCAAGGTTCTTTAAAACTGCAGGTTTCAGCTCGATCATTGGCACTGGAGGTGTTTCCAGTTGACGGTAAACGTTCCTATGAGACACTCTCAATAAGCCCTGTGTCTCTGTTTGTATTCTGAAATTTGATTAATTCATTCATGCTAAGATAATTGCTGGCTAGCTAAAGTATAGGTCTAACTCAAAGTAGCCAAGTGGATGCTGACAAATTACAGAGTACTTCAGTCTCCAACTACATCGGATCCTCTCTTCTTCAAACCACTTCGATATCCGAGATGCCTCGAGTCGCTCCAGAAGACCGCAAGCGAGTGTACTATCCCAAAACACGCACTGGCTGTTTGACCTGCAAGTCCGTTCCCCGTCCTCTGACTCGACCCTGCTGACCATTCAGGAGTGAGACCATCATGACTGTCGAACTCGCTCGGATTGCTCACTTGGATAGAACGACGCATCAAATGTGGCGAGGAACGTCCAGCCTGTTTGCGATGCACATCCACTGGCCGTCAATGTGATGGCTACCGGGATCCTGCATCTCACCCATCACCATCAAATGTATCTGCAAGACCGCTCCTCGCTCGACCCCTCAGCACCTACCACTCATTGGCCTGCGACCAAGAACGTCGGTCATTCCAATTCTTCCTGGAAAAGACGGTTCCTCAGCTGGCCGGCGACTTTGAATGCGCCTTCTGGGGACGTTTACTGCTGCAATCTGTTCACCATGAACCGGTCATCCGCCATGCCACAGTCGCCCTAGGCTCCCTGCACGAGCACTTTAACTGCGATGCGGCCCCTTTTCGCTTAGGCACAGACTCACCCCATACATCCTTTGCACTGCGCCAGTACCTGCGCGCCATGCGCTGTTTGATGCCAACCCCAAGTCACTCCCAGCCTCTTGACATCTACCTAATCTCATGCATCCTCTTTGCATGTTTCGAAGTACGCCCCCCCCTCTTCATCCAACCATCCATCCTAACCAACAGGCCATGCGCGACTACTACGGCCCCGCCATCACACACATCACCAGCGGGCTGAACATCCTCAGCGAGATCCGCAACCCATCCAGCACATCCACACCCCTCTGCATCGGCCGCACCCCATACGTCCCAATCGACATTCTCTGCGGTCTCTTCACTCGCCTCCAGGGACAGGTCATCGTAACTGTCCACCGCATCGGCGCCGCACGATGCAACCTCTGGCCCGAACTAGTCATCAACCTTGACCAGCCCATCGTCTTCCAGTCATTAGCCGACGCGCGCGAAACCCTCGAAATCTACACCTACTACTACCGACAACGCAGCACCGAACTCCTATACCAAACCCATCCCACAGACACAACCACAACCATCAACCCCGCCATCACCCTCCGCGACACCTCCCTCATCCTCCTCTCCCACTGGTCCACAGCCCTAGACACCTTCCTCCAGCAACACACCACCATCCTAACCCCCCGCGAACGTCGCGCCGCGTCTGTCCTCCAACTCCGCAAAATCGACTGCTTCGTGGCGCTAGATATCCTCCAAGCAGCAGGTGAAGCCGAAGCAGGCCACCACGTCCAATGGGACAAGTATTGTCCGTTTTTCGAACAGATGGTGGCCCTAGGGGAATCCATCATCCCACCCCCTTCCTCAGCAACGAAAAAGACCTTTTCTCTCGACCTCAGCATCATCGCCGCTATATTCAACGTTGCGGTGCGATGTCGTGATCCAGTCATTCGACGACGTGCTGTCAGCGTGCTTCGTGCCTCTGCAATCCAGGAGGGTGTGTGGAATAGTGTGGTTGTGGCGGCTATTGCAGATAAATGGATCGAGATTGAAGAGGAGGGATTGGGCGAGGTGAGATGTTGCGCTGATGTTCCGGATGAAGCGAGGTTGGCGGATTTCATGCCTGTGTTTGATGTGGAGAGGCCGAGGGCGGAGGTGTACTTTAGTTGGGGGGAGGAGAAGGGGAGGGCGAGAGGGAGAGGGGTGAGGAGGGAGGTGTTTACGTGGTAACTGCTTGTCTATCTCCAACCATAGGTGGTAATATCTTCGCACTTCAGCTTTCATGGCACTACCTCCCTTCTTTTCTCTCTCTCTCTCTACCAAGTTCTCTAATATTCATACTCTTTAGTTCTGAACAAATCACCTACACGCATGAAATCAACTTCTAGATTCCTTAATTATCAATCATTCATTTCCTTTTCTATAAATATACCCAAGCCTAAATCATCCCAATAATAATTAACTAGAATAAATCAATCTCATAATACAATCCAACCAACCAACCATCACCCACCCCCAACATAAATCCATAACCAAATAACATATCTCATTACCCTAATCCACCCACCACATACCCCATTAGTATATATCAAGGCAACTCCGCAACATCCCCCCTCTGCCTTCCCCCCACCAACCCACTCCTCTCATCCGCCAACTCCGAACTCCCCAAACTCTGTCCCGTCCACCGATTACTCCCCCTCTGCCCGTTCCCATGTCCAGAAACACTCCCCTCATCCGGCAACTCCGTCGCCATACTCCCCCCCGTCCAGCGATTCTGTCCCGCCTCCACCTCATCAGATAACTTTATATCTTCGTGGTGGATTTCCCCCGGTGGATCCCTTTCGCCGGAGGTGTTTTTCTGGCGACGCAAACACCAGTATAGTATCCCAGCGATGGCAGCAGCCCCGACTACACCGCCAACCACACCACCTACTATAGCGCCAACATGTGTAGATTGGTGTTCGGAGGTCGTGGAATTACTTGATCCGGTCTGTGTGGGAATGGCTCGGGTCGGTGAGCGAGAAGAAGGGGTATAGACTCGTTGAAAGTAGGTTTGGAGATCGGGGTTGTCGAATCCGGAGGTTGGGGTTGTGAGGGTTGCGCCGCCGGTTGACCTATCCCAGCTTTAATTAGCACTGGTATCCTACTATATGACAGTATAGTATAATATGGTGGGATACATACCCTCCCCCCACAACAGAAATAACCTCACTCGGCACCACATACGTCGTAACGTTCGGTCTGAATCGGATCCATTTCTTCTGTTCCGAGTTTTGTTTCCCCAGGTCCATGTTGTGCATGCCGTAGTTTTGGGGGACGTCGCAGGCTGTACTGTTCGGGAAGGTGCCGCCCATTACTCTGTTCTTTTGTTAGTATTGATTGCATTATGGGTGGGGGGATAGGGGAGAGGGGTACATCATCTGAGCGCCATCTATAACGTTACATGATAAGGAGTGGTGAGGGAATCCTGCTTCTGAGGTTGTTGGGTACCTGTCACCACCACCACCACCACCACCATCATTTATTAGTAACTAGCCAACTTTATTAATAGAACTGGTGATAGAGTAATACCATTTAATCCACGTAAACGACGGAATACTTAGGATGTAAATATCATCATATCCCACTCCAGTCGGAACACTCAATCCCCCGTAAATATATATATTATATGACGATTTATCTTGAGCCCAGGTCGCTCCGCCACAGAAGCGTCGTCTGTCCCCCGGGATCTGGCCTGTGGCTTTTTGGCTGTACCATTTGCTGTTGGCGATGTCGTATAATAATATATCCTGGATAGTTTAGAATTAGGGTTGATTGTGGGGGTGTAAGGGGGGATACCTCTAAGCCTTGGGCAATCACACCCCCACTTCCACTCCCAGTTGCATTTGTAGAGGCCGAGGTAGAGGTCTGCACCCCCCCAAAATATACCAACATCCCCCGATCACTAGCCGGAATATACACCATGACGCCCTCAGCCCTGCCCACTGAGTCCGGCCCCGATGAATTCGTCCACGTATTCTGCAACATATCATACTGTAGGAAACTCGACAGGACTAATGGGGCTGCCTTCCCCCAGCCCGGAACCGAGGTATTCGATAACCATCCACCGTAGTAATACCCCACTGCGCGGTCTTGGAGGGTGACGCCCGCGCCGTAGCTGGCTCGTTGGATGGAGGACTGTGTAGGGTCAGCGACGGTCTGGTTCCAGGTGTTGTAGATAATGTCGTAGACCCAGGAGGAGTAGGCGGGGGGACTGGTATTGTTGGAGAATTCCCCGCCGTAGAGGTATAGGAGTTTGTTGATGGTGTCGGGCCAGAGAATGCCGCCGTTGACGGAGGGCGCGGTGCTGGGTTTGCTTAGGTTGTTGTATTCTTGGGGCATGCCGAGGTTGTCGATATCGAGGGCGGCGTAGAGGATATTTGTATCTATGCTTACCTGTTAGGAATAGCAGTGTGGTTATGGGGGAGAGGAGGGGTACTTGATTCGTTAACTGGGTTCTGTGCCAGGGGGTTATAGTTGATGAATCCGCCATCGATATATAATCTATACAGTAAGCAGTCACTCACAACGACTATCTCTAGAGAAAAGGAAAGGAAAGGAAGAGTACCTTCGATCAACAACAGCCGTTTGATGTGAAAATCGTCTGCAAAAGTCCTTTAACGGATCATGTTGTCCCTCGACTCCCCACGTGACCAGCAAGGTCAGGATCAACCTCCTTAGTATTGCCATACCGTCTATCGATGGAGATTTGCCTGGAGAATGTCAAGCAGGTTAGGTTGGTTGCAGAGGGAGAATCGGGCGACTCAACCTCTCCGGGTTTTTATTTCCCCGTGGGCACATACATACATTAGGAGTCAGCCGTAAAGAACCTTGTCGAATGCATGGATGCCCCGTGGGCGTTCTTGGCAGGCTGACAGTGTATATATGGGCTGGACTATTTTCTCAACAGTTGACACACAGAGAGCAAAGGTGAAGCTTTGTCTAGTGCAGCTGTCGCATGGATATTATTTCTCAATCACATCACATCCATTAATTAATAGATAGAATATAATGGTAGGTACTTGTGAATCCTCGCAAGGCTGTGCTTATTAGGGTTTGCCGATCATGCAGCCAAGCCCGGTCAGCCACAAAGAAAGGGTCGTGGATATGACCTGTCCATAAGCACTATGCAATACTACTGCGGCGAAGACCGAGTTATTGCTTACCTGGCGTGTTGATCATTGATGTTCACCGCAAGTTTGTGCATTACTTGGTTAGTTTCGTGGTCGGCTGCTATGGATATAGGGTTAGAGATAAGCTTGGTACTTTTGTGGGGGTGCTTCGGATGGAATATGCTTGGGATAGGTATATCTTTCTGTTATTCTCATTGACCTGTGTGATATTCATAATTCATGAATACTACTCTTCTGTCTGTAATTCTGTATATACACTGACCCCATACAATTCTTCTTCCTCATCCTTATTACTAATCCAGTATTTATAACTACATCTAACTATTTGTAGAATCCTTCTTTTTATGTTTCTTTTTATTGTCCTTTTCTTTCTCATTCTCACAATCTTTCTTATGCTAACTCTCAGATACTGTAACAATATTATTAGAAACGTTATAAACTTTATTTATAGCACCTTGCTCCCCGGATAATCACATAGACTATCCAATCACAAAAACTATGTCTTTGAAAAATATATACAACTCTTTCTCTCTTCTGACGTACTATAGAACTATCGTTTCAGGTGGGTTGTAATGGAATGTATAAGCGTAGGGTTTCGAGCTACTAATATACATACATCATGTTTAATCGAATATCGGAAGTTGCATCAGTTGCATTCCGCGTCGGGATATTCCATCAGCTCTTATCGATTACTACCTAATTTCTTCCGTTGTCTAAACACCGGACAATAGTTTCCTATCCTGCAAGTCAGGTTGCAGAGTTAGACAACTGTCGGCACAATAAGAAAAAACCTAATGGCAGTCACGTCTTTAGCTTTAGGCATAGTATTCTTTCTTCGAATGTTCTTCATTAAACTAAACCATCACTCAACATAACTCATTAATATTAATGTAATCAAACAGCCGGATCAGCCTTTCCACCCTCAGTCTGGCCACGGCCCAAATACGTCGACTCCTCGAGATTATTCAAATCGTCTTCCTCCTTATCCAACTTCAAATTACAAAGGAAGAACAAGTTGCCCCCAACAAACGCCAACACAGCCACGAAGCCGTAGTTCCAAATCAACAGCGGATCGGTCGACAGAGCAGTCAAACCCTGCTGAATAGCGGAGGAGATGGCGTTCATGAATAGGTAGAGCGATTGCACTGATCAATTAGCTTGAGTTGAGTGGATAGGAACAATAGGATGGACGTACCCAAACTCTTCATGTTCTTCGGCGCTTTGGTATACGCGTACTCGTAGCCCGTGATGGAGGCGAAGATCTCCGAAAATGCAATCAGTACGTATGGGATCGTTTGCACCCATACGTTGATTGGGGTTGCTTCGGAGCATGAGCTGGGGTGGTTGCCGCAGGGGCTCATCTTGTAGATGTAGTATTGGGTGACGGCGGCAGCGACCATTGACGCCGAGGCGAGGATGTATCCCGCGTAGATACGCTTGATCGGGGTAAAGTGGAAGCCCATCTTGCGGAGACCGGGGTAGATGAACATGTCCATGATCGGGATGAAGATGATCAGGGCGAGTGGGTCTAGGTTGTTGATGATGTCGTTGGGCACTCCGTGCAGTTCCATTGTCGCGGCCTGGGAGGTTAGGTTGTTGGTCATTTGGCCGTAGGCCAGCCCTATGGATTATTAGTACAAGATTGACAGGGTTACTGGGTAAAGAGGGACTGACAGTAAAGAGGGTACCAGGCAAAGACAGCACAGGCCTTCACGGCACGACGCACTTCCTCCACCCATTGGTCGTCAAAGGTCATCCAGGTGGGCTTGTTTGCCATGCGGCTGGGCTTGACGCTGTCCCAGAATTCGGTGGATTTGCAGCGGTGGTAACTGACCTGTTAGCGAAATTCTACCCACGTGGGTGTGACTTACAAGGTGACTGGGTTCCAGGACCACTGGCCTTTGAGGGCCAAACTCCACAGCTGGAATGCTTTGGTCACCACCGATCCTGTCGGAGGAGTCACGACGTATCGGTTACGGCAGAAGAACAAGACCAGCGGACAGAAACTGAACATGATGGTCGGCAGCAAAAAGGCGAGCCAGTATCCCACGTACTTCTCCGCGTACACCATGGCCACGGAACCAATAAGAGCACCGACGTTGATCATAAAGTAAAAGTAGAGGAAGATGCGGGTGATGGTCTGCGCGGGATCGACAATGACGCGCTCTCCGGTCTTGGGGATGGTCTTGATGAAGAGCTTGGTTTCTTTGTATTGTTCGGCAATCAGGGGCGAGATGTTGGACCTATACAGGTTAGAGATATTCTCAATGACTGTGATATACGTACTTGAAACCACCCACACCGATGCCGAAAACGACCAATCCAATACAGAAACAAGCCAGGGCACCGTTGGCATGGACAATAACCGGCGGGATGGAGGAGATGATAATGATAATATGACCCAGCATGGCAAAGGCGATGGAGACCTGGATGGTTCGCATCCGACCCCAGTATTCATCGGCAATCCAGGCACCCAAGATGGGCATGACGTAGCACCAGAACGTGTTGACTAATAGGTTAGCTAAATCCGTAATTGAGTATATTGAGATATCACTTACAAGTAGTCAGCGCGGTGGATGTCCGTTCACCCTGGCCAAGAGCACCGGACTGTCCACTGAAGCCCGCACCAGTGGTGGAGTCATCCGGCAGAGGCTGTTGGATAAAGTTGACATCTATACATGTCAGTACAAGATACCCATCAGAGCATAATACATACAAACAGCAGTAGTTCCGTAGTACGAGAAACGCTCGCACAGTTCAACAAACGCGACCGTATAGGCGGTCCAGCTGACCTTGTCAGAAACTCGACGCAGAGTGCGCTCCTCCTCCTCGGTGGGATACTCGCGCCCATCATGCACAGAGGGGACTGCCGAAACCACGGCCGTCTCCTTTTCGTTGATTGGGTGGACCTTCTCATCGTGAGTCTGCAACTCCTGAGGCGCGTGGGCCTGTGCGACATAGACGAGATCGTCTGCGCCAACGGGGTCACTCATGGTGGCGATCGAGAGCCCTGGAATTAAGGGGTAAAAGCGGATGGAAGACGATCGACAAAAGGGATCTGGGGGAGGGCATTTATAAAGGCGTGGAGGCGAGATACCGACACCCACAGGATCCATACAATTGGTTTAGTATGGCTCGCTTCGGGGGGAGCCGATTATCAGCGGACAGAACTACCAACGATGCAAGTGGACTCTGGACGGTCCAATCCCACCGGTGTAGCGTCGGAGATGCGTCCGGCCTAGGTTGGCGCTATCAGACTGAATTCAGTGTTCGCCGTATCCAGTGGTTCTAGCGTCCATCTGGAACTCGATCGCATGGTACGCCTCTGACCAGGATCTGGTGGCAAGCTGCTTAGTGGTGGCCACGAGACAGAAACCGGATGGGAGACGCCCGTTGGCAAATGAGGAGGCATTGATATCATGCTTGGAGGTCCCTGCATTGGCGGATGAGTCTGTGTGGTGCAGACGTTGCCATGAATGACGGTTGCTCGACGCTATCAGCATAGGAATGGGGCCGCTAGTCGAAGCGACCAACGAGAAATGCTGCCCCGGCAAATGTCTCGCTAACGCTGCCGTAGCGTTTGCGCAATCCCCGCATTCCCACGCGTCTCTGGGGAGGCTTGGGTGTTGTGCCTGGTGCTTGTGCTTGTACTTGGTGCTGGGGCTGGTGCTGGTGCTGGTGCTGGTGCTTGATGCTTGATTCGATTTGACTGCCGAGGATAAATCAAGCAATGGAGAGATCATCCTCGGCGTGTCCGAGAGCGATGAGGTTGGCGACAGGAGTAAAGGATACATCCAGCCGAGCCAAGTTCTGACTGGCGCGGGTAGTGGGCGGGTCGGGATGTAACCTCACAGGCAGAAGGTTTGATATCAGACAAGTTGATAGTATCAGCTCGTCGGAGATGACACCACCGCGGCCACTGATAACGGCATTCCGCGCACCCAATCAACGGCGGGGCCAGCAATGGTGGTGTCCCGCCAAGGCCCGCCAGGGCTTGGCAGTGGAGCTTCGAGGAAGCCAAGTGGGTGGAGGCCGCCAAACAATTACCCGGCCAGAGAAGTCGCCCCTATCACGATGCCCAAAGGATTCCGGCTTGGTATTAATGCTCAGCTGCATCGCATCAGCACGGCGGCGGCGGTCGCTTCAATGCGGTAAAGATCTCCTAGATAGCTGCCATGCCTATGGTCTGATGGTGGCACTCGCACATGGCTCGAACAAGGTTCTCCGACGGCACAAGGGACGTGCCCGAAAATGTTACGTACTGGATTGCTATCAAGCATTGACCAAGGCCGTGCCTGATCCAAGTGGAACGCGCTCGGGATAAAGCCCGTCACGTGGTATGCAGCCAACCTTGTGGCCTGAGGTTTTCGTGCTCACGTGGATGCATCCATGGCGGTGTTTCCCTCCGAACACCATGTTTAGGCACCTGCCAGTGGGTATGTCACAGCCCTGTTTATCTGGCATCAACAACCACATTTAGGTATCTGTCTGATGCTGTTCCACAAGAAATTGGCCTCCGTCGACAAGAAGTAGCCTTCTCCAGGGCATGAAATTCTCCTCGCCACATGGGATACCGGAAATATGCACGTGCCGTGCAACTAGTGCCTTGTTCTACAACACAACTTACCCACCAGCGCTAATGATGACTCCGTGCTCTGGTGAGGGCATCCACTGACTGCTATGGGCATAGGAGAAGCAGTCCAGTTCTCCACTGGTTACATGTTGATCAGCCCTATGGTTGAGTTGGAGTCATCAACCCCTCGCCTACTCCGCGGCACCGGCCAATGAGCAGTCGGCGGACATCCCGCGAGGCTGACCAGCGCCGACAGCCTCAGCCCGCCTCAACTTGCTCTCAAATCCCCCGATCACCTTGAACATGGAGAAATCCCCGGCTACCACTTACTTGGAGCTGGACAATGGCCGTATATCCCAGCTCATGCAGGCCGCTCAGCGAGGCCTCCTCCGCGACGTCCAGTACCTTCTCTATGGCGTATCCCCCAATGTCCGAGACACCACCGGTCGGACCGCCTTTTCTTGGGCAGCATCCTATGATCTGACCCAGCATCAATCGACCGATCGCGACAAAGCCAGTGTCTTGATGCAATTTCTGTTGGACAGAGGTGCCGACCCGAATCTCGAAGACTACCATGGCGAGACTCCCTTGCATTGGGCAGCAAAAGCTGGTGACGCCGAGATGGTGGACCTACTTCTGCAGAAAGGGGTGCTGTCCGACATTGCTGACTTTCGTGGTCGCACGCCGTTATCTCGCGCAGCGGGACACGGGCACCTCAAGGTCGTCCAATTGCTGTTGACTACAGGGACCGATCCAGATAGCAAGGATGGGCGCGGACGGACGCCCTTGTCATGGGCGGCGGAGCATTGGCACTACGATACTGTCAAAGCTTTGCTTGATCATGGTGCCAGTGCCGATATCCATGACCGGGAGGGCCAGATCCCTCTATGGTGGGTGATCAGCAACCTGGATAAGAGACAGGCTGCGAATGGCCGCTCAGACTTCCAACGGTGGCTCGCGCTGCTCGGACCAACCCAGAGCATGGAGCCCATGACCAAGGCCCGACGGACCTTTCTGGCCTGGGCGAGTGAGCGGGGCGACAAGGAGCTCGTCCAGGAACTGTTAAAGACGTCTTGGGCAGATCCAAACTCCATCGATCGGTATAGAAAGACCCCGCTGATCTACGCGCTCGAATGGAGCCACTACGAGATTGCGGACATGCTGATGTCTAGCATTGATGACGGCCGCCGGCGCGATGTGGTGTCATTGAAGCTGATGATTCAAGAGAGTCGGGCTCGATTGTTGAAACCATTTCTGGAGCGGTACAAGCCGGACCTGAGCGACGAGGACGAGTCGAGTGCGTTTCCACTGATGCGAATGGCACTGCAGCAGGCCGACCGACCGACCGTCGCCATTCTTCTAGAACACAAAGCGGGCGTAGACGGGCTGGAGAACGGAGACTGGTTTGGCCCTTGCAGCACCGTCAAAGCGTCGGTGAATCCGTTGTTTGCTCAACACGTCCGCAGCGACGGCAACTCCATCCCAGTGATGGATATGACAATCCCGGATGGCAGTCGGGCAGCCTTTACTGCTTTGCTGAGCCATCGGACAAAAATGATGGAGCTGGATGATGGGTACGAAGGGCGGTACACTCGAGGGATCAAGTCGAGCGTGGCCGTTGATATTGCCGTGTTCCGCGATGGACGGCGAACGGCGCGCTGGATCACGCATGATACCTTGGACCGGGATATCAAGAAGATGCCCAAGACAGCAGACGAGACGCATCTGATGTAGGTTGATCGATCATGTGAGGGACTGTTCTCACATTGACAGGCTCTTTCGGGAGAACCACATTTGGAATACATACTGTCAACTAGACGATGCGCCGAACTCGCTGCGGTTCTCTCTGGGCAATAAAAGTCCGTGTCGGACATTCTCGCTGTTTATCCGGATGGATATGAAGATCGGGACTTCGTTGAGTGATGACGAGGACGATGACAGCACGGTCCGGGTGGTGGAATGGGCCGTCATGGAGGCGCCTCCGAAAACGATCCACTATTTCAGCAATCTCCCGTATGGATGGATCCCGCAGAATGATCTGGAGGTGGTGCAGCTATTCATGCAGACCTGGCGAGACGACTGGGTGGCCTTCTGCCGAGAGGCCCGGGGCTATCTCGGACGCCTGGTAGGTTCTCCGACAGTTTCAGGATACGGCTGACTGTGTAGCGAACCCATCAATTGACCTCCCGAGGAAAAGACGACCGCCTGATTGACTCGATTGCCGAGAGCATGCAGCAGTGGACGCAGCTTCAAGCCAGGCTAGCCGAGCAGCTCAGCCAGGCACGGGACTTTGTCAGTCAATACCAGCGGTTTAGCGAGACGCGCAAGTTCAGCGAGCAGATGCAGGACACGATAGATGGGCTGGACCGGGAGATATCGGGGCAGATTGACAAATTGGAGCAGACGGTGCGGGATTTGTTGCAGATTGTAAGTGTCCATCCTGTTGTAGATGCTGCTAATAAGGTAGGAGTTTGCATGGGTGTCGATCAACGAAGCGCATCGATCGACCAGTTTGGCAACGAGCATGAAACGGCTGAGCTGGATTACAGTAGGTGAATCTGACGTGGATGACTGTTGCTGACGGAATAGTTTATTTTCCTGCCACTTACTTTTGCATCGGTATGTTGCCTTGTCTTTTGGGGAATGTGTCTAATGGGGGTAGAGTTTATTCGGCATGAATGTGGATATCCTCGAAAACAATCCATCCTGGCGGTGGTATCCACTGTTTGGGGGAGTGCTGCTGTTGCTGACGGTGGCTGTGTGGGTGTGGTCCAAGTTTACCAATGTAGGGTGCTCAAGTATGTATGGAAGCGGCGCTAATGCAATGCAGATGGAGCAATGGGTTGAGAGTCAGGCAGAGCGGATTGTCCGGGGAAGCCGGAAAGGGGGTGGCTTACAGGCAGTGTTGTGATATGCAGCCAGTGGTGATACTCTGATGATATAGGGTACAAGCCTTTCTAGTGGTGACAGCAGATATCACTTCATCCCTCCACAATCAAATAAGGGAAAGACAATATATGCCAACCCTTTTCAGATGGTCTTTCATAAACAACGTATCCACTGTATCTGCACACCACCAGACCGAAGCCAGCTGCATGGTCATTCCTGGCGGCAAATCAACCAATACAAGCTTTTCCGAATCAATCCCGATCGAGCGATCGGAACCAATCCGTGGTCAACTGGGAAATGTCAAACGTCAAATAGACCCTGTTGATCAATCTGAGACAAGCTTAATTTAATGGTGGTGGTGCTGAAACGGCGAGTGGAAGAGAGCGGATCGACTGTTTCAGCACCCGCTCCGCAATCTATCCACAGCAGCCCTACTTAAACCCTCCCCCAGCCAGAATCATCTCCCACCCATTATTCTTTCTCAACTGTGCCGGTCACATACCTTCATTCATTTATTCATTCATTCATTCCTTTACTCCTTCACAATGAAGCCCCTTTCTCTTCTTGCTTTCCCCGCCTCCACACTGGCAGGCTCCGTTCTGTGGAGCGGTATTTTCAACTCATCTGCCACCGTCACCGACTTTGACGACTGTATACCTCCCATCCCCATCCCATAATCACCATCCACTAACCAACAACAACCAGGGTCCTGGTCCAACCAAATCGAGCCCTGGCAATGGTACATCCACGGCAGCGACAACACCTCGGAATACCTGGGTCTGTCCAGCTCCTACAAGAACCCCGCTGCCAGCGACGCCCAAGGTCTACGCACCACCATTGTACGCCCTTCCCCCCCATCCCATCCCCACCCCACTAACAAAAAAAAAGGATGGAACCTCCTTCTGGGAAGGCCAAACCATGGAACGCACCGAACTCATCCCCCAAACGACCTCCGACCTCGGCTCCGGCCACCTTTACTACCACTTCTCCCTCTCAACCTCATCCACCAACGCCCCCAACGCCACCTACGAACACCAAATCGCCTTTTTCGAATCCCACTTTACCGAACTCCAATACGGAACTGTCTCAGGCTCTTCAGGATCCGATAACACCCTCCGATGGAACGCCGGCGGCACCACCCACTGGTCCGTGACTCTCGTGCCCGGGAACTGGTACAACTTTGCCTATGATATCGATTTCACCAATCAGAAGGTCGGTCTCTGGGCGAGTAATGGCTCCGAGGCATTGACGGAGGTGGTCAGTCCCGTGAGTGCCAGTGCCAGCTCCAATTCGGCCGATTGGCATGTCGGTGTGTTGCGGTTGGCGGGGAGTGGGACGAATGATGATAATGCTGAGGATTGGTTCTGGAGTGGGGTTTATGTCGAGGAGGATAGCTTGACGAAGGAGATTGGAGATGGATCTTCCTCTACTTCTTCTGCTTCTTCGATTGCTGAAGCAACCACACCATCCACCTCGACTTCATCCTCTGCTTCCGCTGTGGAAACCACTTCCGCCGCAGAGACAACTACTTCTGCTGAAGTAACCCCTACCGAAGTTGTCGCCGTGCAGACTTCCTCTACCTCTACCTCCACCGCAGCACCTACCTCTTCAACATCCACCGCTGCCCCCATCATCGCAACTCCCACCGCTACATCTACCCCCTCCTCCTCCACTGCAGCATCAGCAGCAGGATCAGCATCCGTATCCTCCCTCCCCGTTCCCACCACGGCCGTCCAGATCCTCGATGACGTCAAGGCCCTGCTAGCTGCTCTGCTGACTCGTGGTGGTGGCGTGCATGCTCGGGATTTTGCCATTTAGGTGATTCTTGCAGTATTGGTGATATAGAGTTAGGTAGTTAGGTACGTAGGTTAGGGTGGAATTCGAGGTGACGGGATGTGACTAGATCAGGTAGCATACTACTATTTATACTTATATATTTGGGATTATTGGATCTGAGTTAGAGGTCTTTGATAATGAGAGAGATTGATATAGATGGAGATAAATATAGATGGTAGATGATGATTGCTAAGGAAATAAGGGATATCGATAGTAGGAGAGCCGATATACACATGTTTCATATTATATCATACCATACCATGCTGGAATTAATTGACTAGAGTGGGCTCAATTTGATGTAGATATCATGTCATTTTTTATTCTTCGTTCTTCATTCAGGGTATACGGAGGTAGGTATATATATAACCCACCCCCCACCCCAAATCCACAGTACTCAGAACTATTAACTAAAGAGCAAGAACAGCCTCCTTCAACTTCGCAAAATTCGGCGTCCCCAATCCCGTAGCAGGATCCCATCCGACAGTAGCATTCCAGCTGGCCCAAGGAATAACCCCCGCGCCTTCGGTATCGCCTTCACACCCCACGGCCTCACCCTCGGTGATATCATTCAGACTCTTGTATCCGGTAGAGTACAGCCAGGGGTTCAGGAATCCAAGAGAGGTTTTATTAGCACGGAGACGAGCATCATTAAGCAGAGCGACTACGCCTGCGAAGACGGGGCTGGCGCCCGAAGTACCAGCCACTAGGGTGAGTTGGCCGTCAATGACGGATTCGTAGCTATTCAGCAAGCATTAACATATGCGATATTCTATAGAGGAGGGGTTGGGATTGGGACATACTAAGGAGACCCAGCAAAAGCAGAAACGTCAGGGAATCCACGACCACTGAAATTAGTGTACTGTTCGTAGTATTCCTTGGTAGAGTCGGAGATGTAGTTGTCGAGGTAGGTGGATACCTGGGAGGATTGGTAGGACGGCTGGGAGAAGTAATTGCTGAAACCGCCGGAGCTGTCGACCCAGGCGACTTCGGGCACGTCTTGGGTGCCCCCGACTGCCGTGATGTAGGGACAGGTGCCGGGGAACATGGGGGTGAATTCGGTTTTGTCGGTGCCGTCGTTGGACATGCATGCGCCGCCGACACCTGGAGGTTTAGTTGGTCTTGGGTTTGGGTTGAGATTGGGAGTGGAAGGGAAGGGGCTTACCAGAGTCACCGGAGGATTCGAGGATGGAGATACCGCGCGCGCCCATTAGGCCGATCAGGTTGCATACGCGGGTGGCGTAGGCGATGGGGACGGTCTGGCTGGGTTAGGAATGCTTTTCTAGGTGGTTGGGGCACTGACATCCTCGTCATCGCCGTACGAGTTGCTGATTACCAAGGGCAGCTCGGCGTTGGTCTTGTTCAGCAGGAATTCGTAGTACTGCAGGTAGGGCTCGTTCTCGTCGCTTGTCTCCTCGACATCGGGAATGTATGGACTGCATAATGAGCTTGGTTCTTCCAGGTTGGTTCTTTGGCTAGGGGCACTTACGGAGATCCACCGGTGATGAATTCAGTCACAGGCAGAGGGTGAGAAATGCCAACAATGTTCTCCACATCCAAATCGGCTTCTCCATCGGGATCATCCTCTTGGTTGTTGATGCCGCCGTTGATGGTCACGACGGTGAAGCTCTGCTCGGTAATGTCAAAGTACTGGGTGAAGAGGTCCAGGTCGGAGTACAGGGCTGATTCATTTAAGAAACTGCCGAATCCGACACGACTGCCCGAGGAAGCCTCAGGAGTGTAGTCAATGCTGTACTGCTCCTTGAGACACGCCGGGGTGATGTACTCGCAAACATCGTCGGAGCTGCTGCTGGTGCTGTCCTTGATGATCTGGGAAGCACGCACCGCCGCCGAACGGGCAGCATTGGACTTGCCGAAGAAGACCGTGGGCGAGATCAAATCAATGGCCCCGGTCAGGCTGTCTGGAACCGAGTACTGCGTGGTGCGCACCTTTTGAGTGGAGCCACTCCTATAGACGGAAAAGGTGGTGTTGAGCAGCTGGTTGGCAGTACCAACAGTGGTGGCAAAGTTGAGCAGACCTCCCTCACGAGAGATCTTGGTCACTCCAGCCTCCTTGAGCCAAGACACCACTGCAGTATCTTCGGCCAGAGGAAACTGCTCGTTTATGTCATCCAGGTCCAACCACTGGCCGTAGGTGGCCTTGCCGGGGGTGGACACAGCCAGCAGCTTGGCCTCGAGCTGATCCAGGTTCTGACGTGCCAGAGCAACAGACAGAGTGATGGTCGCGCTGGAATCAGCAGCCTCGACCAGAGTCCAGTCACTGGGAACAGATTTGACGGACTCCAGCACAACACGGCCCAAGGCAGGCACCGCAAGGGCCACGAGGCCAGCAGAAATTCGGGAAAATGCGACCATGGTGATGGAGAAAGAATTGGGCTGAGAAGCAGAGTAAGAAGCAGACCACGGCGAGGGGCTTGTTATATACTCCGCCGATCAAGCCATTCTGCAGTGGGTTCTGCTCCGACGGACGACGGACGAGCTCCGGCAGTGGCGGCCACTAAGGAAATAGTCGCGGGGCTTGATGTCTTCCTGCAGGAACCGAGTGAGGCCATCCCCGGGGCTCCCGATGGCCCGCTGCAGGAACCGTGGTTGATCCATGGTCCGAACCATGGCGAGTAAATTGGTGGGCAGCTTTAAATTGACGACTGCTCTTGATGTAAGTTCAGTATAGAGTGTAAAATGAAGTGCTAACTCGAGCAGCAGCAGCAGCAGCAGCAGAAGAGACGGTCCGGAGTCGCGGCGGAGTCCGGGGATTAAATTGCAATCGGCAGGCGAGGCCACTAGTGGGGACTATCGAGTCGACAGGAGATAGTGGTTCTGCAGCCGATAGTGCTTATCAGGAGAGAGTGGAGACGGAGGGAGTGGGTGAGTGAGTGAGGGGTAGTCTGGATGACACCATCCAACTCATCCCCCCGGGTGTTCCAGTCAGGGCTTGTAGCTGCCTGGATAACGCCATCTCTATCCACCACCAGCAGCAATCATGTTATTAAAATTACTCCGTTGGAGACCGATGCCTTAGCAATTAAATCCCACCTAATTACAATACCCCACCGGGATTCGGTCGCATGAAACAGGAACAATCACCCATTCTTTGACTGAATGTAACCCTAATAACTTCACTTCCGAGGTTTCACAGCCTCCACAATCCAAGCAATCCGTCCGTCTTCCGCCACTTCCGCAAACAACAATGTCTCGGCCGCACTGACGGTCCCGTCGGGCTTGGTCAACGTCGAATCGTGTCGTTCTGCCAAATGAGGGCCGTCGCGCAGGAATTGCGTGATGGTGATGTTGACACTGCCTGCCGGGAGATTCTCGCGCAGCCACTTCATGTGTTGGACAAACCCGGCAAAGTCGCGGGTGGTGTCGTCGTCGCGTTGGATGAAGGTGGGTGTGAACACCTTGGACAGGTCGGCCTCGGTGTCGTCAGGATTGCCGACAAAGAGGCTCATCAGAGTGGCTTGGAAGGTGTCGGCCTGGTTGGCAAAGGTGGATGCCATGGTGCTGAATGGTGTCAGTGAGGGCAGAGCACAGTGGAGGTAAGGGGCAGCTGACAAATCAGAAGATTTGTAGTCTTGTTTTGTTATCGTGGAGTGAATGTATCCAGATGAGATTAAGATGAAACGACTGCAGTCTCTGTATATATATGGAGCCTGCGAGTCTGATGCGACCATGGGAACTTTATCTCTCCATCTGCCTGTTGACTTGCTTGTTACCTAAATGCCAGCTCATCGTGTGGCTGACGTGAGATGACAGGCTACCACCAATTAACTCCTTCTATTCGCAAGGCTGAGAATAGATCAGGCTGACCTACCAGCATTATACTTGCTATAGCAGTCTAAGAAACACATAAATCGGCCATCAGGCTGCATGCTCATCGATCTAATCGATATTCGTTCCTATGCATGGTCCCACCCAGCACAATACTCAGCATCGTGCCAGATCCTTGGAGCAAATAGGTCAATCTGTTATCCATTAATAATCAATCCATGGCGTGGTGTTGATAGCCCGACGGCATCTCGATTTGTAATCAACATCTCCGATAAAACCACCACGAATCCACGAGACAGCATTTGCACATCCCCCCTCCTCAGCCAAAATACCCTTCTTATATTTCATTCTCCTATTCAATATGTCATCCCCTCACACCGCTCGCTCCATCCTGGACGCCTTTTACGCCGCCGAGCGCATCTACATGTCTGCCCCGCCCGACCAGCGCGATTTTAGCGGTGTCGCTGCCACCATTGCCCCTTCTTGTCGGCTTGAACAGACCCCTGCGTTGCCCTACGCTGGCACCTATTTTGGCCCCGAAGGCATGCAGTCCTGGGGCGAGCAAATGGCCGACTACTTCTCCGTCGTGGACGTGCAGAACCCCGAGATCTTCGAGCGCGATGGATCGAACCGTATTGTGGTGCTCTCGACCATCCATCTGCGAGTGCGCAAGACGGGGGAGGATCTGTATTATCCGTTTTGCCAGGCTGTGACGGTGGATCTGCAATTAGGGCAGATCACGGAGATGAGGCCGTTCTATTGGGATGTGGCGGGGGTGAATGAGGCGTTGCAGGGTAGATCATAGTCCACCTGATGATGAGGCAAGAGTTGGAATTGTTGGAAAGCACGACCATGGTTGACATCAGGCAACACTCTCCTCATCATTCAACTCAATTTCCCTATCTCTCCTGATTCCTCTTATCATGATCCCTATGAATTTTATTGTTAATTCCCTCGTTTGTTCTATTCTTGTGCATCGCCATGGATCGACTCTCCGATATATCTCCAGACGTACTTTCCTCGGTCTTTTCGAGCGGCATAAAAGGGTTTCTTTGCATGAGCAATGGCCTTACTCTGCGACTGACGTCGACACATCTGGCACTCCATTTTCGCTTCGAAACCATGAGATTCCGTCTCTGGGGAGAAAGTCAAGGGCTCGGTAGCTCCCCCCGCAAGCCCTCGAAAAATAGCACCATTTATCTCCCAGAGGTACAAGACTTGATCTTTCAAAGGCTGGGACACGTAATTCAGCTGTTCGAGAAGCAATTTCACACCATCGACGCGCAGGTGGTCTCGCACAAGCCCAAGATCTGCCGGTCAGACAATGTTACCCCTCTGACCTTATCGATCGTCTTGGATGCCAAACGCAATCTGGAGCATCTGATTGCAGAGGCGGATTCACGAACCAGAATTCTCACCAAGTCTCTCTGGTCAACGCAGAAGGAGTCGGATTTGCTTGCTATAGTAACGGATCTGATGGCTGTGAATAATGATCTGGGGCGTCTGATACTACCGAACGAAGCCGATGCTCTCGCTCACAGCCTGACTGGAGAAATGCTCAGTGCCACACCGAACCTACCACCGTTGTATGAGTATTCATTCGGCCCGTGCAGCTCCAAGACAACTGAGATCATTCGGCTGCGTCAGCTGGACAAAGTGTGCTTCCCCAAGGCACCTGACCCAAAGGTTCAGGCAATTTTCGACGCTGCATCCGCGCACTGGAACATTCCCATCTCAGCATTGGATAAATGTATTGATGGGATCGACGTCAAGAATATTGCATCTTTTGACGGCAAGATTTGGGATGGATCGGATGTGCGATCCTCCTATATTTACACCCCCCCGGGCGATGACCCCAAGCAGATCGTGTTGGTTGAATGGCACCTTCAAGCTGAATGCCTCATCAGCCACGCGCTCGCGAAACGGTGCCAACATCTGGCGAGTCTTCTCCATCGTACCGCGGCAGCAGATGACGACTTCCGCGTTCTACTCTGTCTGGGCTCTATCCTGACCAAAGCCTGGCACGACGGAAAGCAGTATCCCCTGGTGGGCATAGTTTACGAGAAGCCCCAGGATGCGACCTTTTCGACCCGGACACTCACTCTCGCAGAGGCCCTGCGTAATGGCTCTGTGCCAAATCTGAATGAACGGTTTCGTCTCGCCCAGCAGATTTCCCTCGGAGTTTACCAACTACACTGTGCGGGCTGGATCCACCGCCGGCTCTCTGGCAACAATATTCTGATCTTCAGTCGGTCTGATGGGAAGTACGACGTGACCCGACCGTACATTGGTGGCTGGCAGTATGTCCGATCGGATTTTGACCCTGCGAGCAAGTCCGAGTGGAATGTTGTAAGCTGTCCGCACGTGCTGGATTCGGCAGCGTACATTCATCCGGACCGGCTGAAGGAGGACGCGAATATTGCGCAGCTGCAGAAGATTGATGATATCTACAGCCTAGGGGTACTTCTCATCGAGATTGCCGTGTGGAACGGAGCGCAGTGCGTGGCTGATCCGAAGAAAGCGATGGTTACGGGCAGGGAGTGTAGATTGAGCAATCATCGGCAGTGGTGCCAGGCGTTGTGGGAGACGTCCAAAAACGGAATTGGAGCGATAATGGGGGCCTACTATTGCACGGCCGTGGCGAGCTGCTTGGGAAGACTGGACTATACAGATGAGAATGATGAGAGCCTAGATGAGAATATCCAGAATGGAAATGACCTAGAGGAGGGTATTGAAAAGTGGTTCTTCTACCGGGTCGTTGACAAGTTGAGAGAGATGCCAATGGATGCCAATGTTAGAGTAGAATAAGTCATCCTTACTCTAGTTAGAATATCTACATGGCATAAGAATTACACCTAGACAGAAGGAAGCACTAGTGTACCTCTTAGACATACCTGACACCTACTCGATCAATTCTCTAGACTTCGCTCGCTACTACTCGCATAGTCATACAGATATTGACAGAATTGACTTGGACGGGGTGGATGGATGTGGATGCTGTCAAGCGGGTATATCCGGCGCTAGCCTGGATAGGAATAGCGCCTATATTTGTGGAGCTAAATATAGATACTACGTAGATGGGTGCAGTCTTACTATCTAGTAGGTTGTTTCCGATGAAAATAGTAGACTTTAACTGAGGTATCCTGATGTAGAACCTTGGTTAGAGAGGTCATTTCCACGGTAAGTCCTGAATAAAGCCACGGCGCTGTTGCATGTTGATAAAAAATCCCATCGTTGCTGGCCAAACAAGTGTTCAATAAGGAATCCAAGACACGGAACCTATCATTAATAATCAGGGTAATTGGAAGGACGCAAGAGAATAATCACCGGAAACCAGCGAAAGAACCTCAAGCCAGGAATACCCGTGTAACGCTATCTAGACACACGCCGATATCCCTCCCCAGGAGTGACGGTACTCGCCATTCATAGTTCTGCGATAAGTGAGGATTACCGATGGTAAGTCTCGCTAGGATGAGACGGTTGGCCTTATTTATAGCGAGTCTTGCCCTCTTCTCTACTGCTTATATTTATCATCCAGAATTATCTGGATCACATTCTTTTGCACATTTTACTTTTCTCTTGTCCTAGCCATGATTGAGAAAGCTAGGAACCTCCGTTCAAGTTCGTCACAGCATAGGACGGTCTTACTGATGCAGTGCCCCGGCCTTTTCCTCCCCACGTTCATTCCGAATCAAGAAATTATCGTTGATGGTGATACATACCATGGAGATGTATGCCCTCTTTACTACCATACGCATACTCGCTGCCCGTAATTCAATTGATACGACAATCTATCTTGCCTCACATTGGTGGTGTCTAGTGGCACCCAGAAATGCATCTGCTTTTTGCATGGTTTGCTGGATAGCTAGGGGGATAGCACTCTTCATGAGGGTCTGTCTATCTTATCCTCTGCTCTATGGAAGTGGATACAGACAGAACAAAGTCCGCAGCAGCTCAAATTGTTCTATTGTGTCAATGTTTGACGAACTGGCCAAAATGACAACCAAACAACTCGGGAGTTGTCAATTACTACCAAATTTTGGTAGCAAGCTTCTTTGTGAGGTTATGGATTCATGGGGAGTACAAGCCATACAGGCCCTGTTAAGATCGACACATAGACTGTGCTGCCTATGGTGTGCAACCTTGGAGTGCACTTCAGCGAATTACCCGCGCTATTGACCGGTGATTTGGCAGTGACTTTGCAGGTCTTGTTCCATATTATATTGATGGAATCAGCGACTTGGAATACATGTTAGCAATTTCCCGGACTATCGACTGGTCATTCTCCCTGTGGATGAGGAATATGTGGAGATACACGTCGCTCGGTATCAGTACAACTCGGAACCAGCATCTGTCCTGTGCATTAAACGACCAATCCAGAAGACCGAATAAACTGCTGCCTCTGGTCTGTCGAATGAAGTTCTTCAGATGCAACGCATACGAAAATTCACTCCCATAACTTCAATGATGCCATAACACCTATTCCAATCAGCCTACTTCTCAACAGTGATGGATCTTCCAAACACGTCCTGGTTTCTACACACTATCTACTATACAGAACAGGCTTAAGCTGGGCGCTGAAGCGTATCATCTTCGTCTTTATCAAGTCTGCGTCAGAAACGCTATCAGCTCATTTCAAACCCTGCGCCTTCTGCTATATGCACGACAGCGGCCTTCATGTCACCCATGCTGTCAATAGCATGATATGACTCAATATAGCATGGGTTCTCTGACTGAAACTACGAGAGTACTCATCAGAGGTACATTCAACAGTCCACAACCATTGACTACAATCTCCCGCAGGGATTTACATAAACAAAACAAAGAGATCCAACACAATATCCATGAGCAATACCAACAAGCAGCTACCCTACCTACCATCTTCAACAGTGAACCACCGTTCCTATCGCCTTGAATTAAGAAACAGAATGCCCTACCATGAGCCAATCGTCATCTCACTGCGACTTCCCACTGTCTTATGCATTGTCCGCTGGGCTATATTATCGAGATCGAACTGCCTCTTCTCTTCCTGAGGTCACTGGGTTGAGAATTAAGCCGGGACTCTTCTTACTCTATCCCCGCTGCAAGTCGGTCTTGATGGATGAGGGTTCTCTTCCTATATAAGAACCTTATCCTAACATACACTTTATTTATCCTATGGGTTGTGTCTATAATATGGCAGCAGGAGCAGAAATCCATAATCCATGCATTGGCTGCGTCATCAGATGAAGTATCATATCGAACTCCATCATCAAACTTCATCAGCTGCTCTGCTCGTCACACGCCCTCCGATGACCTTTCTTCCATTCAATCCTTCCTTCTTTTGGATATACTCGCAGGAATGCTGCCACTGCTGTCGCTGCCTAAGACTCAACGGAGGATTCGGCTCAGATGTCATCACTGGGAACAGTGTCGGGGGGGACTTGTTACTGATGTTATTCTCAAGTGCTTCAATCTAGCAGTTTGAATATCCCTCCACGGAAGGGTTAAAGTATGCATTTGCCCACAGGCAGGCTAGTTCTCGATTATCTTTGTTAAAGTTGAAGATCAAAACCTGGACGATGGAAGAGCAAATGGCATAAATCCAGAGAAGAGCTTGCACATTGGATGAATAACAACAATCCGCGATGGAAGAATAAAGACTATCGCCATTGACATCAGCCGAACAGTCTGGGATTTCTCTAACAGATCTGGGAGTATTTCATCTATACACAATATCCACCAACCAATCAAAACTATACCACAGCTCACCACCTATACTACAAAAACAACAACAGTGACCAAACACCAGGCTCTTATACAGAAACAGAGACATTAACTTCCAGACCAATAACCATATCAACAGGATAGTCTTGAGAAATGCACCTCAACTTAAACGCTATAGCCAGACACTGTGGAAGGGATACATCCGTATAGAGCAGCGAAGCGTCAATGCAGGATTAGATCCAAAAGGAGCGATAAAGACGGTCCTAGTCACTGGTGGGCGTTCGGTCTGTGATTAGTGGACTATGTCTTGTTGTGTATTTGTCTCCTGGGAGTATCTCCACTTCATACTCTTCAGATGGCTTCACATATGTGCAACGAACACGACGAGTTCTCTTCACGCAGCATCACCTCCCATTCAAATTTGCGAATGGGCGATATATAAGACAGAACGGGAAAGAGATAACTGACGTTGCTAAGCTTGATGGATATGTCTGTGGGCTGGATATATACCCAGCTCTCAGGTTTCATACTAGTATACATCTATCATCTGGGAAGTTGTTCTATCGATGATAAAGCGTGTGCCGAAATGAGAAGATATTCAATTGTTCGGGCTTATTTCGATTCGCTGTGGAGAATGAGACGACGGTCGGTGTCTCAGTTCTCTTATGTGTTTTGGTTGTGGTGTGGTGTGGTATGCGGAGAGGGAATATTTTGGTGGTATTTTATTGTTGTCTGGCAGTGTATTCTCTGGTCTTGTAATGGGCGGGAGGATGTAGGTTTGAGGATTGGTTTCTGCGGTCTTTCATGGAATATTTGATTAATGGTGGGTTTGAGGTTGAGGTGGATGGGTTATGTGTTGTGTGTTTCTGGTTGAGATTGTGTGGTCGAGAGGAGTAGGTGATTGACGTTGGTACTTTGGGGAATCTTCTCTGCTACGGATATCTGTTGGTTGTTAGTAGTCCTGCTTGCGAGGGGTTGATAATCAAGTCACGTGAAATATATTTAGTATGGTGTTGACTATCCCAAAAAAGCATAATTTCTTGGCTCATGCTGATGCCTGGAGCTAGTAAACTATCACGGGTTCTCAAAGTGTGAAGTATGCAATGAAAAGTTCCGCAACACAGCCCGGGAGAGATGCTGGGGCGGGCCGGGGGTACAAACCATGATTTTCCTTGGCAGAGGTGTATGGAGAGGGGTCAAGGCAGGGTGATAGGTCGCCTGTGGCTGATGGCCATGGGCATTAGGGAGGTCAACGGGCTAATGGAACACGACCCCCTGTCCGCCTACACGCCTACTATGAAATCATGATTCACTGTATCGACCCTGTTCAATCATATGAGGTATAATGCGGCCGTAATAAGGAAAAATAGGATTATACTAAAATCAGGTCTGTCAACACGTATTACAAAGCAAATATTAAGTAAAAAGCAAGATAGATATCTTCTTAAGTTAAAAGATTCTATAAAAATCACTATAGGAATTTTTTCAACTTAAGAAGATATTATGATATGGCTGAGATATGATGAGGTTCAGTTACAGTTAAATAATGAATTTTTTATGTCGATGAATTAAAACAAAGCATCTTTAACGCGACATATGGGAGTAATCTGTAAAATAGAGTTAGTTGTATATTCTTATATTATTAAAAACCTTACCTGAGCAATTTAAAAACGATCAGACATATAATAAAGAAGAATGGTGAGATTGAAGTCTTCGGAGTCAAAAATTGCGCGGAGTGTTGAGGCGGTTCGCTAGGGTCGTGTTCCATCAGGCTGTTGACCTCCCTGAGGGCTGGCCAGTGGACAGGTGATTGGATCTGCTCGAGATCGAAAGCCGCTTGAAGGTCACAATCGGCGGAATGTGATTTGAGGGCACCGCAGGTGGGTACTACTATCAAAGGATGCCGGGCTGCCATGCACCAGGGGCCCTTGTCTAGGGCTGCACTACTAGTACATTATGTAACGCGGGAACTGGTTTGGCTGCCCGTGTATCGTTTCGTCAGGATGCTCATGGAACAATTCATAATTTTGCCTTACCCTGTATAAATAACCCCCTCTCCTCTTCCATGGGAATTCTATTTCTCAACAAATCATCACACTCACTTCCACTCTCTACACATCACCAAACAATGGATCAGTTGCACGGCTACTCCATGGACTCTCCCCTGAACATCCAGCAACGGCCGGAAACCACGGCAACCAATAGGATCGACCCGGGTCTTTGGCTTGAACTCATGTCAGCCAATGAAGGAATCCCAATGGCCGACCCAAATGATTCACACTCGACCCCAGCCCCGACCATGTTTACTCCAATCGTCGGACCTAGTGGCAGCCAAGTACAGGTGCCGGGTTTTCAATTTCCCGCCTACCGGGCCCCCGTGCCCTTCAGTCCACCACTGCAAGACAGTGGGATGTTCTCCTCTCATGACACGATCCGTGCAAGTCATGTGACGGCGCAGGATCGTCAACCTCCAAGGTATGTCTCCGATACGGCTAGAAGTATCATACCTAACCTTAGCATAGAACCCCTCCAGGCCCCTTCCAATGCAAGTGGGAGGGCTGCCACTACTCCGGTTACTTCAGCCGCGAGGCAGACCTCATACGCCACCTCAGAATGCTACACATCAACCCTCGTGCTCATCGCTGCTGGTGTGGGACCGTCTTTAATCGGCGGGACAATCTTCAGGATCATGCTCGACGCCATCATCACCATCGTCATCATGGCTGACATTTGCTCTCTGATGCTCCTCTTGCTGGGTTGATTTGATACTTTTGATTTAGAGAGGCGCTATAGCCACACTTTTCACATACCTTTGCTTACTATGTTGTAATGTCTACTTCTTATAGATACGCAGAATCTTCACCCTTTTTATATATACATGAGGCACTTGATTTATATCTAGAATGTTATGATCATGTTAAGTAATTACAGTATTCCAAAAAATAGAGACTCTATTGGAAGCCCTGCTTAAGCTATTTGAAGTCCTACTTGAGACTTTATATAATATCTAGTGTGAAGCCCTGGTGGATATGTCCCCGTTTAGTACCATGCTCAGAGAGGTTAGTATGGTATTTGCTTTGGGGGATTTTTTTATATGTCATGAGGGTTTACGTCAGAGTCTATAATTTGATATAGATGGGTGGCTGGTATATATGATCAAGGGTTGGGCATTATGGTGTTTGTTATAAGTAAGGTGAGTAGTACTATATTATGAGCTCGTAGCAGGGGTTTAGTGGAGGATTTGGTATACTGGGGATTGATTGTGTTGTTCATATATAATATTGGGTTAGGCATAGGTTCGATAATATTTAACGTGTAAATGAGAACTAGAAAGGGTTTTGGTGAACATGGTTGTATAACTTCAATGAAGATAGATCTTAGAACCTTGATGGCTTTCGTAAAGAACACTGAGGTGCTGTTGTTGTTGGAGATCCAGAGGGCATAACCAGAGCATACTGTGGTTACGCCATCTTCCAAGAGAAGGTAGTGTTAGTTCAAGTATTCGAACAGTCGAACCTATATCGAAGTTATTAGTATTGGCGAGGGGGGAGGTATAGAAGTGGGTCATGGAAAAGTAGGGTGGTGATTGTATTAGGTAATCACAGTAGGGACGGAGCGGGAGATGGACGGGTGATGAAAATTTCAGAAGGATTACGAAAAATACTAAACAGGTCTCTGGTGTTGGAAAAAGCAGGAAAAGATGTGAGTGAAGCAAGTAGTTTGTGGCGAGACTAAACCTCCATGTGGGAATAGGGAAGCAAAGCAGCGGAAGTCCGGTAAAGAAATTGAGGAGACAGGGGATGGGCAGATATTTGTGTGCCAGGGTTGTTTTGTCATACTGTCTGATATTCTGGAGCACTTCCTGGGACCGTGTCCCGGAAGCACGGTGAGTATGAGGTGTAGTAGTTGCGGGCAGATGGAGGTAGCAGGGTACTCAGTAAGTCAACAGGAAGGTGAAAATATGCACGTACTGAAAGACATAAGTGCAGGCCAGTGTTGAAAACCTGGTCCAGGAATAGTACGAGGACACGTACGAGCGACTGTTCACCTATGTACCGCACAGCCTATCCTTGATGAGTAAAGGAGGGCCTGGGGAAGTACGGCTCATGCAACGGAAGTTCTATGAGCTTTTCAAGCAGGACGCGTTGAGCCAGTTCAAGGAGCTGGAAATTCTGCGGAGAAGCAAGGAAAGGAGAGTGTATAATTACCGGTGGATGCTACGTTTGGATGAAGATTTCAGGCGCCAGACACTGGGTCGAGTGTATGAACTCTTCCTGGCAGATCTTGATAAAAGCGGGCAGAGAGAGGAATGGGAGCATTCACGAGCAGAGAAAAGAGCCCGGAGGAAGCAGGAGGAGGAAGAGCAAGAGAGATAAGAGAAGCGAATAAGAAGGCAGGAATAAGCCCGACATGTCAAGATACATGGTCTCTATAGTCTCGTATAGACTGATTCTTTTGTCCCTCTGCCTCACTATGATTTGTGGACATTGGTGTCAAATTATGCATAGGATATGTGGTATCTACTGCTTAATCTATATAGATGGCCAATGTGGTCCGTAGGTATTTTATTCAGGCTTCAGTAGCCATTCCATCATGTTATACTGCTCAATTGTCTACAAGTGTCACTGGACGTCACATCCTCTTATACAGACACCTATATCAACCCTTCGTATCAATTCTCACTCCCCAACCTCAACCACCAACTTAGCACAACTCACCCCCCGTCGTATCATATCCAAACCGGCATCAATCAACCCCAAGCCCTTTCCCAGGACCCTGGGCTCTGGACTCGGCCTGATTGTCTCCTTGGCCAGGTTCTCCCTCAATGTACCCATCCAGTATCTAAACTGAGTCAATCTCTGTTCTTCGTCCATCGACGGCATCACAAAGATGGTTTCCACGCCGTCCACGTCTTCTGCGTCCGGAGGAATGATGGGCGCCGACCCGATCTTCGCCTTCTGATCGTCCCGAGCAAAAGCCTTCAGCACGGCCTGACAGGCCGCTAGTTGCCCTGTCGCAAGAAAGCAGTACCGAATCACTAGACCGTCCTTTCTGGCCGCAGAAACAACGGCATCCACCACCTGCGGGTCTTTGTAATCGAAAACGCGATCTGCACCTAGAGAGGCGACGTACTCCTGATTCGCCGCGCCAGCTGTGGCGTATACAGCTGCGAACGAAGAGTTATGATCGTCCCGTAGTATCCGGGCGGTTTGCACGCCCATTGTGCCGACGCTTGAGGAAGCACCCCAGATCAATAAGACATTTGTCTTTTGTCTAGAAGAAGCAGAGGAATCTCCCACCCGTGGAATGCCCATCATATCCCACGCGCTAAGCGGTACCTGTCCCGCGACCGGCATGGTTGCCGCGTGGTTCCAAGATATCCCCCCTGGAAGAATCAAAGCATGCTGCCAGGGAACAAGACACCGCTCCTGAAAAGCACCATAGTTCGGATCACAGGACTTCCAGGCGGAGGCGGCATAGGCGGCGACGCGGGTGATGCCCGGCTGGAAACAAGGGCCCGGATCTTCTATGGGGACGTTGTCGCCGACCTCGACGACGAGCCCTGAGAAGTCGAAGCCGATGACTGTGGGGTAGGTGGGAATGAAGAGGCCTTGGTCCTGCATGATGCCGTCTGCTGGGTTGAGAGCGATGGATTTGACCGCGATGAGAAGCTCGTCGGGACCTGGTTTTGGCGTGGGACGGGCTTGGATCTCGAAGGGTGTACCTTTGGCCTGAGAAACAGCAGCGAGATGGGTAGCCATTGTCTGCTTGTATGAGGGAATGATGTCGAGGTGTGGGATCTTGTATGGATGAAGTCTAGTAGTCAAGGTGAAACTGCATGCGTCGAATGCCACTGTCAGTAGACTTACTTGTAGGATCTGGAGATATTCTCATCTTCTTATAACTTCAGCTCCCACGCCTAGTGAATCATTTCTTGATGCAGTGACGTTGATGGTATAGACCTTGCAGCCAATCAGAGCCTTGTGTAGCCGAGGAACAGTTAGCGTTGAAGCTCCGACCCGAAAGCGGGTTAGCGGATGACCTCGGGCGCCGATCATGTGAATCGACGGATCCATCTTTCATTCCCATCCCCCATCAATGTCGGAAATCCCTCACGCAAGGGCGTCAGGCATTGGATAATTAGCCAGGCATGGCTTCCACAGGTCCAAGGCAAAAGCGGGAAGCTGCAACTCGGCGGAGATCGAGATTTGGCTGCCGAAATTGCAAGCTTCGCAAACTCAAGTGCGACGAAGGCAAACCCCACTGTAAGAGATGTCGTTCATACGGGGTATTATGCAACTTTGTGTCAAACATTTCCGATCTCCAGCCTATCACTGCTGATACAGGGCGATCATTGGTGGTTCAGCGTCCTCTCACCAATGCTGTCTGGACCTCTGATGCATCCATTTCCTACCAGCTAAACGCCAAGTGTCAAGATTTCATCACCAGGTACCTGGGACGAAGTCTCATTACCCCAAATGATCCGAATATGATCCAAATGAATCGTAAGCTCCTGGAACTAGCTTTTGCCGTAGGCTTATCATACCGTCATGGGCTGAACTCGACTAACATGGTTGACAGTACCCCTGCTTAATGCACGCCTCTCTAGCTGTGGCGCTAACATATGACCGCCATCTAAATGGCTTGTTAGATCGTCCTCGCACTCTAGAAGAGTGTTACCACTGGGCTCAAGCTACCGTTCTCTTCAACAAACTGCTGAGGCAACCGATGGAAGCAAAGGATAAGGATCCAATCTGGGGCACTGCGGCGGCTCTCGTTATCTTAACTTTCTCATCCCCTGAGGCATCTACCCCCGAACAAGCGTGGCCTCTTAATTCATCCGACTCCGACCTAGACTGGCTGCGTATGAGCAAGGGCAAAATGTCCTTGTGGCACATGGTGAATCCGCTGCGATCAGACAGCCTTTTCCGCGTCATGGCGGTGACTTTTGCTCATATGCTTTCACCATTCCCAGAGACAGGTATCGACGGTATACCCAGGGCCTTGGCTGCCGTGTGTAATCTCGGAGATACATCAACGGCCGACAATAATCCGTACTTCCATGCTGCCCACGCGGTATCCCCGATCTTGGATCTCCCGGATAGCGAGGTCACAATGGGACCAACTCAACTCTTCATGCGGAGTATCCATGGCCCTTTTGAAGACTTGCTCCGGAACAGGGACCCTATTGCGCTGTTGTTGCTCTATCTGTGGTACCGCAAAGCAAGTCGCAGTATTTGGTGGATTGAACTGAGAGCTAGAGTGGAATGCCCTGCAATTTGCCTCTATCTGCGACTACATCATGCAGATAATGGTCCTATTCAGGAATTCCTTCCGGGAGGAGCTCTTACTCAAGTTCCCCTCTGAAACCTTTGACAGGCATTGCAGCAGTGATTTCTATCCCATTGTCGAATACACCTGTCATGAATCCTTCTGATATTCCTTGCCAATGTCGGGTATCCATGTCACAGGTGTTAGGAATCAATCTCTGCACGTGCTGGTGGCTTTCTGGTGGCTGATCATTCCCGTGACACGATGGAACCATCTGCAGCTAAGGACTAGCCGGATCACGGGATGCGGGGTCATCCTCCAACCCGTAAGCTCAGTGCCTTTAAACAAACAACGATTGTACTCCAGGTCCACTACTGGTTGACAAACTGCAGGCATGCGGCTGCAATTCAACTTGCCTTTTAGGGCCAAGACACCAAACCCAAGTATTAGCGCGGACGTACCGCCAAATGCCAACGACCATGTGGACCCACCTCTGTGCGCCAGATGTCGCGCCATCGACTTTGATGCCATTCTCCGGCTCAACGACGAGGTCCGTTATGCCCGGCTCGAGGGGCTGTCGATTTTATCCTTGGGCAGACTACCAACACCTGAACAAGTATCCCCATGCCCAATGTGTGATCTATTCAACCAAGTGAAATTTGATGGAGCAGCTACCACTCAGACGGCCTGGAATACGAGAGAATACCATCTTCGAGCATTCAGCAGCATTGTGAAAGAAGTGGGAATCACGCGTGAAACAGCAACAGGCGTCAAGGGACGCGAGCTTATCGAGGCGATCCGATGGGGCGATGCGTACATGAAAAGCGACACTGATTGTGTCATCCTGGCGGTATTCCCAGGCCAGGGCGATGATGTGCTCAATACGAGCGAGGCCAGAGTGTATGATACCTGCAAACACTTGGAAGAGAGTGTCATAATGCCAGTTGGGGCTCCCAGTCCCCGGACGCATGGTGGTGTGGTGCGTCCGAACCAGATCAATTACGAACGACTGCGAAAGTGGTTGACGGACTGCCAAAGCCATCACGGACCCCAGTGCTCCGAGACCCCGACTCGCCCGCATTTCGCCTTGAAAGTCATCGACTGCCAGACTCGGAAGATTCTTCCGTTGAAGCCAAATTGGGACTATTACGCTCTGAGCTACGTCTGGGGGCCACCACGCCCAGAAGACGGCGCGATGGACCAAGTGAAAAGCCATAAAATGACTCTATCAACCCGCGTACATCCCGCCATCGAAGACGCAATAACGGTCGTCAAGCACCTCGGGGGGCGATATCTCTGGGCCGACAAATATTGCATCAACCAGGATGATGCTCAAGAAAAGCACGACCAGATCTCACGCATGGACATGATTTATTCTGGCGCATATGCCACCATTATCGTGGCCGGCTCTGATGATACCCAGTCTGGATTACCTGGAGTGGGTGCTGTCCCGCGCCTGCATCAACCGCAAGCTGTCTCAGGCAAGACTCGGCTGGTGTCCACGCTGCCATCCATCCGACGAGCTCTGACCCGCAGCCCATGGATCACCCGAGGCTGGACATTCCAAGAAGTGATTCTCTCGCGTCGATGTCTCTTCTTCACAGACTTCCAGGTCTATTTCATGTGTGCCGAAACCGCCCATTGCGAATCCATCATGATATCACGGCCCCTCCAACAAGCCAGCCACAATGATGTCCTCGACCCTGATCGCTTCACCAACATCAGCGCCGGACACGCAGGGTACTACTCCTGGATGCCTCCCCGACCATGGGAATTCCGAACCCATCTTACGCACTATTCAAGTCGAAACCTCTCCTATAGCACCGACGCCATCAACGCCTTCCGCGGCATCCTCGCCCGCTCCACCCACACCACCTACTGGGGGATTCCCTTTCTCTTCGAAAACTCGCCCTACCCCCTCGCCCAAGACATCAACCTCCGCTTTGCGTGCGCCCTCGCCTGGGAACCAGTATACACCCAGAACCCCCTCGCTCAGGAATCCCACCTACAGCGACGCCCCGACTTCCCCAGTTGGTCCTGGGCCGGTTGGATCGGCACAGTCTCGTACAGCTACTTTCTGTTCCGGGTCCGGTTCACCTGCGATGAGAGTGACCTACTTCCTCAGCCTCTTTACGACCATCCCCCAGTGCGTATCTGGGTGACCACAAGCAAACACCACCATAAAAAGAAACCCCCTATCCCACTCGACCAATACCTCCTCACCCACAACGACAAAAAGGTCCTCCCTGAAATGACCCCACATCTCCTCATCGACTGCCTGGTCCTCCGGCTGAACATCGTCTTCGCTAGTCGTTTCGGAGGCGATCCCCCTGCATTCTATATCGCCGTGAATGGGGAATACTCTCGGGCCCCAATCTTGATCTGTTGGCCGATGCCACGGGAAGGGGAAGACAAACATCAGGAATTTTTAGCGGAGTGGAATGGACTTATTCTGTTTGAAACTCTGCATAATATCCAACGCTGTGCACCATGGGATCATATTGGTATTTTTGTATTGTTGGTAAGGCCGGTAGGGGGGACAAATGAGCGGATAGGATCGGTATGGTTGACCAGGAAGGAACTGGGGGTGTTGGAGATGGAGAGGAGGACGATGCTTGTTTCTTGAGTACTTCTGAGTATATTTCGAAAATACACACATACTATATCGATACCATCTTCTATATACCGTACTACATAACAACAAACCCACTGTAAAGACGGCTAACTCAAACATACAAAGTCTGACTACTACCTACCTTGAACCAAGTTGACTAAACCATCTAGACATACATACATGCTACATCCCACCTCCCACATAACCCCCATCAACCAACCAATAAACCAATCCAAGACATCCCCAAGAAACAATCCATACATCCACAAAACCCCTCATCCCCATCACAAAAACAATCTATAAATCACTCCTCATTACATAGAACACCCTAAACAAAGATAACCCAACCAAGACCGAAATGCAATTACCTAATCGGGTAAACCTACAACCGTCATAGGTACTACCCTAGGTTCAATTTACCATTACATGACTACACCGTTACATAACACACCCAATCAATTCTTTGGTTTTATGGAATGAATTACTATCTTTTACCGGTAGCCATAACTCGCAGACCATATGCATAACATGCATAATTCACCTAGGGAGTAATCCACGGATATTTATACAAATTATGCTAGAAAGTATGGCCTGATAGTGGATCCATCCCACTGACACGCTCCACTATTACTTAGTGTGTATTCTCTAACCCGGATCTTGATAGTGAGTGGGGTACATCGTGGGCTTAGTGTTTGGTTTTATTGGTTATGTTTGGGTGGTTTTAAGACGGTCTGGTGTTTAGTGCTGATGTTAGCTGGATTGTTGTGTTGATAGGGGGTTGGTTTTGAGCGGGTTTTTTTTGGGGGTGGATTTTGGGGTGCGGGTTTGGGTGATGGTTAGTATGGATAAAGGGGTGAATCACTTAAGTAGTATTTTTTTTATCTGATCTAACTGCAGTTAACTTATTGATTATACCCCCTGGCTATGTGTATGTCGCGAATGTAATGATCTAATATCCCAGGAAATGTCTTCTTGTACCTTGATTCGATTCAAAGGATATTCGTCCGCGTCAGTTTCCAAGTCTGATTGGCTCGGTTGAATGTGGTCACTAGTTTTGTTATGATTCCACGCAGTCGACGCTGGGTTGGTAATAGTCGAGTCGTCTTGTCGACGAAAGATGTGCTCTGAGGTAGAGGGAGAGCTTTTGAGCAAACCGGGGAATAGCGTCCGAATCAGTGGGCGGAGAGTAGGGAGACAGGCTGAGATGATTCCCGATGAAACTTCCACTACACACCATGCGTTGGTCCGAGCAAGGGTATCTGGGATTGTTAGTCCTTCGGATGAAGATAATAAAGAGGAACACGCACAAGTCATATCTTCAAAGTCCACTCCGAAGAGAGTGACGAATCGATAGATGCTGGCAAAAATCACACTAATCGATGTCAGTTTTATGTCTGCAGACGATGCGGCGAGACTTACTAGGCACCTAATAAGAAGATGCTGATAATGGAAAGCCGTTCACTGAGAGATGCTTGAATGCGCCATACACGGCTCACGGGCAGGGTTAGTATAGCGATATCAGTAACAATATTCGGCACGGCATTGCCAATGAATGATCCCTTAAGGTTGATACAGTGCCCCGGGATGGATTTGTCCCATGCCCGCGCAACGGGCGTGCACTGGAAGATACAGGCAAAGATGATGGAAATTGCCCATGAGATGGTGATGAAGCCAAGAATATACGCACCGATGCGCGTGGCTCGGTCGATGAAGATGCGGTGGTACATGGTGAGAATCGAGGTTTTTACAAAAACGATGGATGTGCAATAGAAACACTCCATGCAGAGCAGCAGCTGGGAGCGGTTAGAGAGAGCCAAGACAGTGAGAAGTAGATTGTACCTTATTGATGATTACGATGTCCGCGTCAGAGACGATACTCTGATGCAGCCCAAGCCCGTGCTCGACCACTGCCACGTCAGCATAAGTCTAGGAGATTCGACGGGAACATACTCTCGATGTTGATTGCAAAAACAACAAATAGGTTCACCTGGGATAGTTATAACGACCTCAGTGGTCAAAGTCCATTTGACAGCAAGAGAACATACCAGGGCAATCAGAATGAGGACATCTTCGGTCCCCAGGGGCACATGCCCCAGATGCCGGGACAGAAAACGCAGCCCCACGAAAAAGACCCCAAGCACGGTAATGGCAATGGAAGTCGCGTGGTTATAATACTGCCAGCTCCCTGGATCACCCATGGTCCCATACAATTATGAGCATGCGTCTGTGAGAGGGTTCACGGCCCTGGGGATGGGCTCCGTTGGCCGAAAAAGCTACAGGGCGGTTATATAGGGCGCCACCGTAGTGTAGCCGTGGTGCGCCCGCACCTAGCGTTCCTCCTTGAATTGGGGGCCAAGTTGCAATCCTGTGCTCAGGAGCAGTTATCATTGGCCCAGGAAACTAAGCATGTACGCCACACATCGGACGAGGCCCTAGTCCGCCTTATAGCTGCAGCCGCGTGCAGGGGCCACGGCTTTGCTGCACACTCGACCAGCAGCAAATTTTGAACCTGGGCCCTAGTTGCGAGGTGGTCAGAAATTAGTGTGTCCCCTTTTGAACCTTGCAGCCCTGTAGAAGCATGCGATTAGTCATTCGGGCCACGCGAAGGAACAGGGGCTAATCACGCTGGGTGGGACAATGGATGCCCTAAAATGCGCGTTATAGACAGTAGTCGATATAGGGGCGGGGATAACCGGACACTAACTAGCAACGGTTAGCGACCATCGATCCACGTCAACATTGGCAAATTCAGCATGCTTCAAGATTTGATTCCCCATACTACCTGGCCCAACAGATTCTGCTCATGCATAGCACTCTATGTACTATCTGCTTGGACTTTTGGTTGTCAATTGGCCAGGATGACCCTCGGGATGATCTCGGGTGATAACCGAGGAATGTGGATCTGATCCTTACTCGGTCTGGATACTGAACATCAAGCACCTGTCAAGTATTTAGTGCTTACTTGGCCAGTCGATCTGGAATGTTGAGGAGCCTATAGGATAGTTCATGGGGACTTATCCAACGCCCCATATAAGACTCTGAAAGGCCTGGGCAGGGCCTGTTATGGGCCGTAACTGTGCTTTAAACCGTCACAGGGTGTAACCGGAAAGGCGAAAGAAGTCGATTGTTTTCCACGACCCACAAGAGGTCGAGATGACGTGAATGAGTTTGGACAACACGAACTGATATCTGGGTCAATTGATCGGCCCGACGCCCCGACCCGCAACCAGAGATCGGGCATAGACTTGGGTTTCAACCACGAGGGGTTTCCAACGCTGTCTGATTTTCTCTGACTGGTCTTAGGGCACTCAATCCAAACCACCTAAGCCCTGTGCTTGTACCTTTTGGCCCCAACTGAACTGGACGTTGATTTATCTGTGTTGGTGAATACAGTGAATGCACGGGTTCTCGGATCGCATTGCGCCATTCCAGCCGGTTCTTGCTATCTTTCAGGAGACGACTTTCCGATGGGAAACCCGAGCGGCCAAGGTGTGTTGTACAGTACGCAAGCGGCTGTGTGATTCAGGATTCGGTCTATAGATAGAATCAAATCGATTAGCACAGGCCAGACTTGGGATCGAGAAGGGAAAAAAAAAATGCAGGGATTTGCAGGGGATCTGCAGGGGATCTGCAGAATGCTCACTGCAACACAGAGTGAATTTCAATACCATGTTGACCATGGTTGGCCATGGGAAGTGGTAAGCGACCACTTTCCGCTGAATCTCCCAAGTGGAATCTGAAGAGTAAGGACCAAACTCGATTGTACGTCGGGGTAGCTGCTCACCCGGGCTAGACGCGTTGAGTGTGCAGATGATGCTAATGATGCTAGTGAACGCCTCCCGACGACGCCATGTGGGAGCCATCGGCCCTGAAGGGTTCCGTATGGCGACTCTCGGCCGCCGTAGTGGATCATTTGTTGACAGTGACAGGAACAGTGGCAGTGGCAGTAGCCTCCGTGCACATTACTCTCACCCCCACCCTTCCTTCGCTTTCACTCGTTTTTTCCTGTTCTTTTCATCATGGCCAGCCACGCTGAAGGCCAAGTTAACCCATCCATAACCTTCGATGAGTTTGTGGATAGCTGCATCGAAAACCAGCCCGCCTTCGCTGGCCCCTTCTCATCCACCGCTTCGAGCACTTGGCTCCCACCAAGCCCATCCTCATCCATCGACCGCAGCCAGACCAAATCCCTTCCCAATATAGTCCCCACCCTACCTCCGCATGTCTCGATACATCTGGACGAATTCAAAGACCTCGATGACTGGAAATCTGATGTGGAAAAAATCCTCAAACAAATACATCTCCTGGACTTAATACAAAATGACGTCCCCAGACCAAAATCTACCCGCCCCGAGTTCACAAAATGGGAGTTTTTGTCCGAGATGGTCCGGGAGTGGTTGTATAACCAACTCTCGGCCACTCTCGCCAATCGGGTCAGGGAGTCCCATTACCCTCAGCGGTACGCCGATGACGTCTATTCGGCTATCCAGAAAGTCGTCATCGGACATGGGCATCAACGCTGCAAGGAGATGTGGGCCAATCTGCATGGTCTACGAAGGGAGGACTATGAGTCAACGATGGCTTATATCGACGATTTTCAACATATGTTCGATTTAGCCGAGAAGTTACACATCGCCCCAACCCCATACGCTTCTGAATGGACTCAAAGATGACCTTCCGCGCTGGGTGGAGACCGTGGAGGATGATCCTATGTTGGACAACCCAGGAGAGTATTTTCATTATCATCGCCTTATTGGCTATATTCTAATGGCCAGGCATTGGGCGCGTATTAAAGTCTAGGAAACTTCATCTTGGCTTATGTGTGGTGATAACTGGTACTTTGTTGACGGACTAGATGGATATTAAGATGTCTGTGGGCGCTCTAGACTTGGTTTATTGGAATCTGTTTGATCTTGATTTAATATGTTGTATGATGATCTATGGTTTATGAACGGGGGAGAAATGTTACAGATGTTATACAGTCGCACTTTTGATGACGATTTGCGAGGTTGGCGGGCTATCATATGGTGGAGTCTTCAATTGGTTACCTTGGCACATAATGAGCAAGTTCCTAAAAAAGTCACCGACCATCATGCAGCCTTCAAAGCACTTTAATAAGCCATTATAGCTACCTATAGTTCTACTACTATAGATTTAGGGAGCATCATATTGAGGAGATTCTACGGAGTACGTAGACAAAACCGAGTTTTCAGGGTACTGCGCAAGTCGTAGAAACTATAGTTTACAGAAAAGAAAAGTAAAATAACAATATCTAATCATGACTTAGATAATTATATTCTACCCCTTTTCCATGTACTCTCAGTAGCAGCAAATGAGCATAATCTGGACTGTACTCAGATAGTAACATTATAAACCGACTTACATCTACACCAAGCCTTCTCAGCATCAATGGTCTCGTTTGCATATAACTTTCAACCCATGTTAAATTAATTCTTCCATGCATGCTACGAGGTCACTACAGCCAGATAAGTGAATTTAACAGATTTGTCGAAAATTCAGAAGTAGAGCTAGACAATAAACAAACACCAGCTAGAGATCCCACAATCGCAAGACCCCGTCACCCGGAACGACAAGAAGCTGTGAGTCATTCGAAACAGCCATGGGTGCAATGGGAGGTCCTTCAGGCTGATTGTAGTCCTTAATAAAAAGCTGCTTCAATTTGCGTTCGAAGTCATACGCCACAACCGATCCGTCTTCGGTCTGGAAGATCAACTTCTTACCATGTTTCACCAACTGCACTCGGGTGACTGGAGACAACTTCATGTCTTCTTCCTGTAAGGACCATGTTCTCTGGGCCTCCCTTGTGACTGCACTCCAGAGATATACGACAGCATTATCTGCTCCGCCTGCTATGTATTTTCCGTCGGCAGTCCACGCCAGAGAAGGCGCTAGTTTCTCATAGACCTTAGTGCCACAGATATGCCGTTTCTCGTAGATATCGTAGATGCGGATTCTAGTCTCCAGGGTACTTTGGACCTCTGAATCCTCCGAATCCTCCCAGTCTTCCGAGTCTTCCGAGTCTGGTCCGTGTGGTGTCCACCTCCACTGAGTCATCTGGCTCTCCTCGTGAACTGCAAGGAACCTGCTATTCGGAGAGAAGGCACCGCAAGTACCCCGGTCGCCCAATAGCGACAGTTTCCTATATGGCAAGTCGTAATAACGCTCGTCCCAGACCTGTACTACTCTTCTGTCACGCGAGGTAGCGGCGATGTCGCCGTTGGGGCTCATTCCAAACCATCCTATGTTTTCTCTATTGAACACAGTATTTGGCAAAGCAGCGTGTCCCTTATATAATTCCGTAAAACGTAGGTAGTCGTGACCATTATACTTTTCGAGATAGAGCAAGGATTTTCCATCTGGGGTAAATGAGAAACCATCCAAAAAGGCCAATTCCCCTTCGGAGCGCTGCTTGCTTGAGATGAAAAATTTGTTTTCAGTGCCTTGTCGTCTGATGGCCTTGATGAACGCATCTTTCACATCTAAGTATAGATCCCGGATAATTTTTCCCGGTTCTTCCCAGCCGAATTTCGTCTCCAGGTCCGACACAATAGGTTCTAATGCCTGTATCGCAAGGCTTCTGGCATCAGGTGACATCGACTCATAGGATCTTTTCGTCCAGAGCTGCCACACAACAACATCCTGATGGGTCTGTAGGCCATAGGGATTGTGGACGATTTTTGATTCCTCCATGCTCATGCTCAGATTTTCATGGATTCGACACAAACAATCCCCGTGCGATACCAATACATATGTAACTCCGGTCTCCCAGCCCCTCGCAGGCAATAGCGGAGCGAATTTTAACACCCTCACCACTGTCTTATGTCCCCACAGCTTATGAAGACACTCCTGCGTATCCGCATCAAAAATGTATATCATACCTCCAATACCAACGGCAATAATCCGACGATCAGGGCTGACAGCAACGGCGGTTGGTTGTCCGTCCAGTTCGATCTTCGCCCTCTCTTGGCCCCAGTGTTTAGGATGGCCAGGCGCAAAGTTTTTGGGCTGCTCGAATGGGCAAGAATCCTCATTTCTGTCCGTGGATGCCATTTTTCGTTTTTTTCTTTTTTTTTTTTTCTTCCGTGGGTTGTAAGAATTTGAAGAAGTGATCGGGAGAATTCAGGACGAAGAGATTCAAAGCCAATTTGAGTATCGAATGTGATCAGTTGAATGAGTGAATGGACGACTGGTCGGGTAGTTAAATAGGCGAAGTCATGTGCTAGATTTTCCATCTTGGTATGGAAGCTCCGGCATATATTATGTTAGATCCTATAAAATGCAGGCATATTCCCTATATCAACAAGGGCCTTGAATTGCAGGCAGCCATCGAGATAATCACGGCTGGTTCCATTCTTGTACTAGACATTATTGGTTCGATAGCTTCCTACCGATCGCAGAGGATGTATAGCTCGCTTTTGATAACGCACATGTTTTCCGGGTCAGCCACCTATTTTGTACTGGTTGGAGTTTGAGCTGGCTGTTTCTGATCTGGCGAATACTGCCCATATTATCACTTCTTATCAGTTTCGGGCTATTCCCGGGGACAGATGGGAAGATTATGTCTTTTACAACACTTTGACAGGTCCCAAAGGAGATCTGGTAGGGTCGGCCTTTCTTCAGCATATGTGACGTTTTGTTTTTCATCTCTGGGGTGCTCAATTGATATATTTCCTCGGCAGGTGGATAAAGTACTTGTGTAGGGTGTCTCAGCTATAATAATAGGGAGTGAAAGAGTGGGGTTGACTGCCTGGGCGTTGATAGCCTAATTCCCAAGGCAGCCTGTATGCCTGGGTGCCTCAGAGGAACAATTACATCCCAGAATCCGGCCAGCAATCTGCAATTACGCCATCCTCACGCACAGCCACCACAACTGAGCCTTCTCCACGCAACGGGTTACCTTCCCACAAGACAAAATCCCCCTTGTACGCATCGTCATTATCGACAGTGCGACCAAGTCCCAGAATCTGCTCAATGTTGGACGATACAAGCGCGATGGCTTGCTTCTCACTGAGCCCGGCTTGCTTGGCGGCCCAGCGCGCCTCCCGCGCCAACCCATGGATTTTGGAATCGCCTCGAACGGCCAATCCCAGCTGAACACCGGCTTCAATCAACACTTTCGCTGGGCTGTCGCTGAGTGGTGGTCCGGGAAGAGCGTCCTTCTTCTCCCACTTATCTGGCGCTCCTCGGTTACCGGTCAAGATGACTGGAATGCCGGCTTCTGCTAGAGGTTTGGCAACCTGTGAATGGCATGAGTTTAATGACACTGACGGGGACGGAAGTGAGTTTGACTTACTAAAGCAGCGCCATGACCTCCATAGACAATTAAATTGACGGCAGGGAACTCTCGTTTCACCAGAATCAACTGAGCGATATCGTCCTCGTTATATACCTCGATCACCAACGGAAGGGAGCCATTCGCTGCCTGTGTGTACACGCTGCGCTGCTCAGCTCCGTTCTTGCTGCCCTGTTGCAGTATCCGACGCAGGTAATCGATTCCTGAACCAATCGTCGGAGTGTCTCCGTCTGAATGCCTTTGTTAGACCCTCTTCTTCCATTAGAAAACCTGACTACTCACCTTTGGCTCCTTGTCCAATTGATAGATGAAGAGCCACGTCGTCCTTCCAGATCCCACCATCCAATATAGTCGCATGCGGCCCGGTTCGTAATCCTGTACTGACACCCCGAATAAGACCAGTGCCATGTGGCGGAGTAATGGCTTTCGTGACTCCTCCAATTCGAGCTCTGTCAAACGCTTCACCATGAAGATGCACACCATATTTGGCAAAGTGGACATTCTTGGCTTCGTTCAGAGGGTCGCCAGTTGTGCCACTTGAGCCGTCACCGGTCGAGCTTTCGGGCGGGATCGCTTGGATTCCAAGGTTGTTGCCAAAGGCCACGAGCCCGGGAGTGATATAGCCGTTCTTCAGCGTTATCTCTGTTATCCTCTCCTCGTCCTCGCCTCTGACACACGCCGACTTGGTACCAAAGCACGAGACTCGGTTGTCCTCTACCACGAAAACCAGATCCTCGGGTGCTTGTTCAAGTCTCGGGCTATCGATAAGTGCTGTCCGAATACCGGTAAAAACAAGGCGCGACTGTGAGCAGACATCATTCCGCTCTTCGAGATCAACGATTGGTCGCGTCTCGGGTGCATGTTGATCGATATCACCGGAGCTGGAAGGAATTAACTGATCTGTTACATCATCCTTCAATAGGGCACGTCCATCAATGAAGACCTCCACAGGAGTGGCTCCGACCTGAAGCGGATGACTGTCCCAAATGACTATATCTGCATCATAACTCGGACGAACGTATCCGATGCGGTGACCTTGCTGCATGGACTGGGCCGGTATCGAGGTAACTGACTGCAGGGCTTTATCGGCCGGCAAGCCAAAGGAGTGACCGATAGAAGCCTGGTCGCTATAGCATTGTCAGTAAGCTTTCTCAGTAAATGCTGCAGTACGACCGACAGAAGATATTTCGCATAGTTGCCTTCTCCGGTATGATCCTATATTGACATCAGCAAGCGCAGCCATGTCACCCAGAGCTTCATTTACATACCGACTTGAAGGCTACCCGGACACCATGGTCATTGAGTACCTGGGCTGCTCGTAGGTTCGCTCCGTACGCCTCGGCCTTGAACAAAGCATTATCCGCAAAGGTAGCGATCGTGATATTCCTGCGTTTACCAGTCATTATTTAAACGCAAAACAGAGGTTATATACTCACGGCTCTTGGCGTTTGAGAAGTTCGGGAACCTGCCAGGCTTCCAGTGCATGATGAAAAGCCTGGGGATGGATGCCAAACTCATGGAGTACGGCAAGCATGCGCTCCAAATCCTCCGGGGTGTAACAATGAACGTTCACGTTCAGCTCCCCCCGAATAAGGGCCACAAAAGTTTCCAGTTGGAATGAATCTGGTCGTCGCCCCTGTCGTTCAAGAAAACTCGCAATATGTTGACCCTGTCCGAATTTGATTCCCTCGATCTCGAATGCCGCACGACACCAATCCGACTGACGCTCGAGTAGTTCCCGTGCCTCTGCCAGCTTTTCTCGCAAGAGCCAGGCAAGACCGAGTCGGGTGTGATGGTAGACGCCTTTGGGGTTTTCACCACAGGCCATCTTGAGATACCGCTGTCGATCTGGCTCTGGGATGCCATGTTCCAACAGTAGTTCCTCAATGACGGGTTCGCGGTCTGCCCCGGGGAAAAGCAGGTTTTTCACCGGGTATGCCTCGCCGCCGACGATGTTTGCTGAGCCCGGTAGAACAAGAGAGGAGGTGACACCACCAGAAGCGATGATTCGAATGGCTGGATCAGATGGCGTGAAACCGTCGATGGCGCGCACAAAGGGCGTAATGGGTCCGAGCAGGGGCCGCTCATTCACATCACTGGTCGCCGCCAGCTGAGGAAATGGAAGCAGCAGGTGGTGAGAGTGCAAATCCACCAGACCCGGTGTTACATGCTTGCCATGCACGTCGATGACATTCGCGTTTTGTGGAGTATCATCGCCTAATCCAGTGGCACTAATGGATGTGATTACACCAGCCTCGAAGACGATGTCCACGGGATCAGCGAGAGTCGACTCGCCATCAAACAGGGTTGCGTTCTGAATAACGACCGGGGTAGTCTGTCCTGCGACCGGATTCCATCGTGGATTCTGTCTTGTGCTATCTCCAGCACGTCGAGCTTGCTGTTGGCGTTCAACGTCATAACATTGATGTAATCCGTCGTAGAATTCATGCCGCGTGGTCGCATCTGTTGGCAGTAGGAGCTCTCTGGGGCTCGCTCCGACCAGCAAGATTGCTGCAGCGCAGATTCCGGCACAAATTGGCAATTGCCAGCGCCTAATTGCGCGACCTTGTGGCCGTCGAGATGACGGAGTCCGATGCATTGGAATTGAAAAGTCCCCTTTGGCAGTCATTTTGGAGTACACAAGCCACTCAATTGGACTGTACTGTCGAAAGCGAGCATCTGCGGCTATCGCGGGGTTAGATAGTCGTTGGAAACGTTGCGTGACTGTAGGCCGGAACGACGTCAGGTGGGCCCTTATCAGCTAAACGCCCTCTAATTAGGGCCCGCGGCATTTGTTGGCCGACAGTGGATCAGTCCCTTATCTTTCTGTCCTGTCCATAGGCTAGACCGGAAATCGCACCATCTTGAACGTTTTGTGTGCTACAAGCCCGGTCATGGTTTCGATATGCGTCGGCTTCTCGTTCGCATTAACACTGGAACGGTGACTATGTATACCAGTGCAGTCCATCTCCGGTGCCGGAGTGCCAAGGGACTCGAACAGCATTGGCACATGAGGACAGCAGTGTCGACGATGATACCATCGCAATGACAGGCACCATCTATACACGCCGATTTCAACCACGATGTTTCTGGATGAAAGAAGCACATCGCCTCAGTCTCAGGCAATCGCAGATGGAAACCATGTCTGAGAAGATCGACCGGATCGAGCCTGCAGTTGCAGTTGCGCCTGTGGTAATCTGCCTTCCGTTGAAATCAGCTCTTCCCGACTAATGATGATGCCAGCAAGAGGATGGCCTAGATGTGAAACTTGAAGCGGGAAAGCTCGCTCAGTAAGTACAGATAAGTCTTCTCCCTGGACTTCGAAGTAACGAGACTATCTAGACGCCACTCGCCACGGTGGACGAGCTGCTCACTGCACACGGACAGACGGAATCACTGACACTGGATGATGCCCGCGAAGTATGCCTAATCTACAAGTTCATTTTTAACCATGATGCTACCAATATATACGTCAGCGGGCAAAGCACCTTGTAGACTCCCATTCAGAGGATCCAAACTTTTCTCCTGCCGCCTTGGAACGCCTGCATGCGTTCCTTGCCAATACCACACTGCTTGAAGAGCCGGAGAAGCACCGAAGAACCGTAGAAGAAGCAAAGATTGAGGTCTTGTTACTTACAGAAAATAGTCCCTACCCCGAGGTTCATGCGGTGGTCGACCCGTACGATGACCCTGATCTTCCATGTGGCACCATCCGGGCGTGGGTCATCGGGCTGGGGTTTGTCGCTCTGGTTGCTTTTGTCAACCAACTGTTCAGCGTGCGCCAACCTTCCATCAGCATTGGCTCTACAGTTGTTCAGTTCCTCGTCTTTCCAATTGGCAAGGCTGCCGAGCACTTCTTACCTGATGTTGGCTTGATCCTGTTTGGCACGCGCCACAGCCTGAATTCTGGTCCGTTTAACCGCAAGGAACATATGATCATCTCCATCATGGCAAGTGCTGGAGGGACCCTTCCCAGCTCACGATACATCAGTAGGCTTTTTTCTTGGTCACGCAGGGTGGCGGTTGACCGTTTCTAGTCTTCACGCAGTGGCTCGATCGGTACTTCGGTCAGCCGTACGCCAAACACTTCGGATATCAGATCCTTCTTGCGCTCTCGACTGACCTCATGGGCTTTGGACTGGCCGGGCTTCTCCGTGGCTTCATTGTCTATCCTTCGTTTTGTGTGTGGCCGAGGTCGTTGGTAACTATCGCCTTGAATACTTCCTTGCATAATGGTGAGTGAATGCTATCGAGGCTATTATGTGCTGCTAACAATGCCAAGAGGAGAACCACTCAGTGCTTGGTCCCTTTCAAACCATCTTCAACATCTCGCGGTTTCGATTCTTTCTGGTAGCCTTTGCGCTAATGTTCGTCTACTTCTGGTTCCCCGATCTTGTTTTCAGTGCTCTGAGTACCTTCGACTGGCTTGCGTGGATCGCTCCAAATGATTTTAAACTGACAGCCATCACGGGTATGAAGAAGGGGCTGGGATTTAACCCTCTGCCTACCTTCGACTGGAACATCGTCACCCACGCCTTGGATCCATTGACCGTGCCTTCGAGTGTTACGATCAATACATTCTTCGGCGTGCTGCTCGGTGGCATTACCATCATTGGACTCTATTGGACCAATGCCTATCACACTGGCTACCTGCCAATTAACACAAACAGTATTTTTGATCATTACGGGAAGTCCCATAATGTGTCCAAGATATTGGACGACCGTGGATGGCTCGACGAGACCAAATATCAGGCCTACTCTCCAGTATATCTGGCAGCTAGCAGCCTGACCATGTATTTCTTCTTTTTTGCAGTGTATGCGGCCTCAGTGTCGTATGCCTACTTGCATCATCGCCGGGATATTGCTCTGGGATTTCGCAGTCTGTTCAAGAACTTCAAGCGCCGTGATACAAATGACTTTCCGGATGTCCATAGTAGACTCATGTCAGTCTATAAAAAAAGCAATCATGAGCTTTTGTCTTTTCACAGTTCTCGTATCTGACCAATACAGTCCCGGAGTGGTGGTATGCAATTCTAAATGTGGTTGCTATTGTGCTGGGAGTGGCCGCAATTGCAGCCTGGCCGACTTATGTGAGTGTCGTTTCGTCTACAACATTACAGTGCTCATCTCTCAATGCAGACCAGTGTTGGTGTAGTCTTCTTTGGTATTGCGCTTGCCCTGGTGTTCGCCATACCTACTGGCATCATCGAAGCTACCACGGGAATCTCAGTCGAGTTTAAGTACGCTGCTTCCTGTTCCCGCTTCCCTCCTTCCCCGTGTCGAGATTAACTATGTTTTGAAGTGTCCTCGCTGAGTTTATTGGAGGTGCATGGAACCCTGGTAACACACTAGCAATGAACTTTTCTAAATACTTTGGGTAAGCCCCGATATATAATAAACAAGATCATCAACTTATATATGTTTAGTTATGTGGATGATGGCTCATGTGCTTGCATTTGCTAATAACCTGAAACTGGCATATTATGTTAAGGTTCCACCCTGTCAGACCTTCTAGGCGCAGATCATTGCGGTTGTTGTGTCTGCTATTGTGGCCACCGGGGTGATAAACTTTCAGAATTATGAGTATTTCCGGAATTTGCACCTCGTGAGTATACCTGCTTTTATTAGTAATTGTACTGATAAATTTATCTATACAGTGACCAAGTGAACCGTTTCACATGCCCTGGTATAAACATTTATTTTACTGTTGTAGTGCTTTTTAGTAGTGTAAGCATAAAGCAGATCTTCGGTACCGGAGGACAGTATATTGTGCTTCTATCAGCATTTCTAGTCGGATTTGCTTCCTATTATCATATATTTTCTACAGTGATGTGTCTCTTGTATATACTGGTTCAGCAAATTCTATCCGGTCATGTTTTTTAATGGGGATATTCATTAGTCTTCGGTAAGTTTATCTACTTCATTACTATTTATATACTGACATGTGCAGTATAACATCGCTTATATGTGGTCTGCTGTAGTGCTTGTATATATTAATAGTATGAGCTATTTATGTTTCCGGTATCTGGCATTCTGGTCCAAGTACAACTATGTCCTTTCGGCAGCGTTTTCCACTGCCATTGCCCTCGCGGGTATCATCATTTTCTTTGCTGTCAATTAACACGGTTATGAATTCACCTGGTGGGGAAATGACGCTGAGACGGGCCGCGAGGCGAAGTATTGTACTCGATTGACCTTGCCAGGTGGTGAGTATTTTGGTCCTAGGCTGGGGAGTTTTGCCTAGACGCTGGGTGCCCATGGGGCTTTGCTTTCAGTACTCAGCAGCCAGCATTATGACTATATAGGTATTCTGCTAGTATAATACTCGTATGTGGCATTGACAGGTTAGACACTCTACAGTTAGATTTGAATAGACAGCTGTCTCTTAGAAGCTGCTTGCAATAAACTTAACGTGCACGAAATGCAGCGCCAATGATCACTGTCTTAGAGGCCATATTTGACACATCGTAGGGAACTTCCCACCATTAACCTAATAACAAATTGACACTTCTTATGTATTATTTACCCAAAGAAACTGTATACATTCTCGTATGATATTGCCGTAGGCAGCATCACCGCTCTTGATGGTCTCACTAACAGAATACCCAATAGCTACAAAGCCTTGGTCACACCTATCACAGACGTACCATTTCTCCCTTACTACGTCTAGTAAGAGCATATGCCCTGCTATGATTTTGAAGAGTCATTCAGAGCATGTCAGCTAGGCAATTACTTCTCCTAATATATATTTTCAAAGTTTCTCATGCATTCTTTCTTATTGAATAGCGGGTACGATATTATTTCCAACGGTGAGTTAATCACTTGGCTTACCTCACTCTTCTTCTTTCTTTCTTTCTTTCTTTCTTTTTTGGTGGAAATATCTGAATCAGGGTAATAGGAATTTCTCAAGGGAGGGCTTTTGGATGTTGGAAATAAGACCTATGTAGGATTTAATCGTAGAACTGTATATTTCCATATTCAAGCTTAGGGGTACTAGCTTTACTAGGATTCTTTAGATATTTATCCTTACAACAAGCAGGTATGAGTTATATGAAAATCATACTCATAATGTGCCATATTATATTTGTAGATCTATTCCATTTTTCTTATTCAAGATTAAATTCTAAACTGTTTTCCAAATGATATTTACTGATTATATTCAGATAGAATATATAGAGGCAAGTATCAACCGTATTTGTATTCATTTCAAAAGAAAAACGGAAAAAAGAAAAGTGACGCCCTCTATCTCTTCTTCAAGAGTAGGACTTTCCTTACGATGATTAACTGATGCACCACTACTGCCGTTTCTGGACGATGTCCTTCCTGCCCATCCGGGATCTGCAGGCCCCACGTGGTTTGGTTCTCCCCACTTGATATTTCATCGTACTACTTTGGTATATAATGCCTGTATATTGGCAGTGATATGGGAGGCGATATACATATAATATAAAGGGATATTAAAGGGATACTATTGTGTATAATAACCTTCAAGGATGTCATTCATCGCTGACTCACTCGTTCATTTTGTATTTTGTTACTAGTATATTGTATGGATCTATAGTTATTATGTACGTGCTATCAGAATCAATCAGTTGTATGAACTAAACTGTATACTTGTGGTTTCAGATGGTGGCATTGTACTTGATAATGGATCCCGGCAAACAAGATCACCACCTATGTATGCATGAGGTGCATATAAGCTTAAACTATAAAAAAGAAATATTATACTTTCGATCACATGGCTCCACTTGCAGGGTCAAAGGGTCAGACCACAGCTCCACTTATCCTCGTCGATAAGATGCGATATTATCTTAATCAAAATATACAGCTCAACATTCAATCATAACTAACACTTTTCATCTAATCCCACACATTACCCCAGAGAAGAGTGTATCCAACCATCAAGAACAAAATATAACACAGAGACCAGTGATCAAGACCCGCCCAACCACGTCTATAACAGAACAAGGACAGCACTGCACAACCCATCTACTCCTTCTTTTCCTCCTTCTTCTCCTCCTTAGGAGCATCCTTCACCTCATGAGCATGATTCCCATGATAGTCCGCCTCGGACAGACTCATTTTCTTCTTCTTCAACCTCTCCTCCTCCGCAGCAACCATATCCTTCCACAGGTCTCCCGTCTCATGACCCTCCTGTACCTCCTCCGTCACCTCCTGCACCTTCTTCACCCCCTCATCCTTCTTCTCCTTGGCCTTCTCCAACAAGCCTGCCCTCCTAGCCCTCCTCTCCGAGATCTCAAACGCCGCACTCGCCACCAACACCGCCAGCGTCAATCCCTGAGCATAAACTCTCGCCTGTACAATCTTCTGACTCCCACTCAGATGCTTATTCCTCGACACGAGAGCAAAGCTGCCCACCATACTCGCCACCCATGTGGCGCCCACAATCTTATATTTCTCCCGGCGGGCCCACTGCAACGCGCGATCCGTGAAACTCAACTGCGCGAGCTGTTCCTGTCGGAGACGCTCCTCCCGGTTCTCGTACCATTGGCGAGAGGCATTCTGGGAGGCTTCGAAGTCGCGGGAGGCGTGGTCGGCGGCGATAATACCCACGAAGGTACCGGATGAGGTCACCAGGAAGGATTTCATGGGGAGGGTGAGATTGCGGATGGTGGAAAAACGTTTTTGGGCCAGCATGACGCCGGCCGCGCCGCCGAGGAGACCGAGGACACCGCCGATGGTACCGCCTTTGAGGACGGAGCTAATGGAGGTGTTAGTTGGGAGGCAGTGAGAATTGGGGTGGCGGGGATGGGGCGGAAGTACCGGTAGTGGGCATCTTCTTCTTCTTTGGTGAGAATCTTCATGGTGATGGGTTTGTAGATAGATGGATAGTTAATTGAGTGGAATAGAGTGGAGTGAAGTGGATGGTTGGAAGTGAGTGAGTGAGGGAGAGAGAGAGGAAAAGAGAAAAGCGAGAAGTGAAGCTAAATATGAGCAGAGACCGGGTGACGTCGCGCACGTCAGAGACCTTATTATTACTAGGAAAGAGCGACCGGGGTCTGCGGAGGAGGCTCGGCCCACCCGGCGTTTGCCCGGGATTGTGAGTCCGAACGGGCCGGCAGGGCTTGAGAGTGGCGCGTGAGTGGCTCTCGCACGAGAACTCCCGAGCCTGCCTTATCTAGTGCATTCCCATTCGCGATGGCATGATCCAATAAGACTTAATACATTCCGCCTGCGCCGCCCCCCCGAGTTAACTACGAGATAATGCCTGACATACACAGTGCATATGAGATGAAAAATAAAGCAAGATAGTCCAGCCCGAAAATCTACCGACGTGATCCCTTCTGCGCCGCAATCTGTCGCGCCCGCATCTTCCGGAACCGGTCCTCGCCGCTGGCGCCCAAAGGTCGCGCAAACTTGCTCTCCTGCACCATCGTCGGCCGCGGCACCACCGTGTAACTCGTGTGTGTCATGTCAGCGCGCGCCCGGTTCGCCAGACGAGGAGGCAACAATGCGCGAGCCCGAGCCTCTGCAGCCGTGGCCTGTACGGATTGGGTGCGGGTCGTGTTCAGTTTACTGTTCGTCTTCAGTTAGCACACCGTACCAAAGACCGGATAAGAGTAAATTCCACAGAAAAGCGACTTACGTAGGATCAAAAGCAGCCTCCTGGTACACCCTCTTTGAGTAATCGTCGCTGCGCTGGAGAATCGGGCGCGTCCATTCGGCCAGCAGACGCTCTGCCATGCGCTTGATGCCCGGCTCGGGACGCTTGCTCCGCGTGTAGAACACAATCACCTTGCCGATGCCACTGGCAACTAGGGCCTCCTTGTTGATCGGCAGCTTGCCCAGCGCGGTCATCAGGTCCCGCTGAATGTTGTACGCCGGCAGGGAGGCGTCATCCAAGGGCTCAAGGAAGAACTTAACGGCCTCGAGCAGGTTGATCTCGGGGTCGACCAGACTGTTGACGTATTGATTTCGGTTAAGCAGGGAGACGACCTCGGGGAGCATCTTGAGCTTGTGCATGGCGGGCTTGCTCTCGCGACGGTTGATGGCGTCCATCTGGGCGGCGTGGGTCATACGCTTGCGCATATCTTCGATTTCGGCATCGGCCATTTGTTCGAGATCCTGAACAATTAGCCACACCCCAACCTGTAACCCAACATAATACGAGAACATACAATGCCATCAGCCTTTCTAAACCGTCTCTTCGTAGGCTTCTTCAACGCCTCATCCATCGCACGATCCAGCGCTCTCCTCCGTCCTAATCACATTAGCATCCATCCCATCCCCATAACCCTAACGGAGAGAACTCACTAGTAGCCGGATCCAACAACTCCTCCTCCTGCATCGCGGCCTCCTTCCTCTTCCTCTTCCGACTGGCCTTCTCCTCATCACTCGCGCCCCCATCCTCAAGCTCCCTCATGCGACGAGTCTTCTTCTCGCGCCTCCCCTCCCTCTTCCTCTTCGAGCGCTCTTCATCGCCCCCCTCCGCGCGCTTCCGCTTATGCCGTCCAATCAACTTCAAATTATCCTCGTCGATGGCTAGCTGCGGGCGATCCTCGATGTCGACGTTCTCGGGATCGAAATCCTCAAACTGGGCTTCGTCGACTTCTGACAGGATGGATTCGTCATCGGACTGCTTATCCTCATCTTCTTCCTCAACTTGCTCCTCTGCCTCTACCTCTGCCTCACCCTCACCCTCTGGTTGTTGCTCAACTTCAGGCTGTGCATCATCGATCTCCTCCTTGGCGGGCTCATCATCCGAGATAGCGCCGCCGGGAGTCGGGGGCGCTTGGTCGTCTGTGACCGTTGGCTTGACCTCGAGCTCGGGCTCAGGACTGTGTGTTTCGGACATTTCGATCGTGGTTGTGGTGTTGTGGATGGAGAGGGAGATGGTGAAGGTCGGTCTCCTTTTACCCTGCTGGGTGGGTGGTTGGTGGTTGGTCTAAGACCAACTCTCTCGTCAAGGACTTTGTCTCCGGATTCGTGTGTATGTCTCTCACGGCAACTCTTCCGGAAGAAGACAGGTAGACAGGTAGGTAGGTAAGTAAATAGATCAGTTCGATAAATGTGGAAGAGAGAAAGAACGCAGCGAGTCGAAGGTATAAGTAGTCAAGCAAGTAAGTCAGTAGTAACACAGCAACCAGCCGAGAAACCCAAGCAAGACGCAGATTCCGCCTCCGCGTGGTCCGTGCGCGGCAGAATCGAACTGTTCCGGTCACTCATCATTCATTCCTCTCGATTCATTCATCGATTTCATATCTGCTGTCAGTGCCAACATCATTCTCTTCTCATACCTTTGACGAAACTTTTTCATAACATAACCATACAAGATGTTCGCTCCAGGTATGTTGTTCTTCTTTGTTTATGTCTGGGTTTAAATCAAAAGAAGGATTGGTTACTAACGGATGAATCAAGGCCAGGAACAGCTCTCCAAGGAGGAGATCAAAGTATTTATTCCCCCTCTTATTATGGTCAACTGAAGTCATGCTGATGATAACAGGCCGGTGAAATCCAGGCCAGCCAGACCATCCGGATGGCTATTTCCGGTGGTGTTCTGCTCTACCTCTGTACGTCATGTTTACTCTACTTTTACTGGCGGTGCTAACCAAGTAGCTCCCTTCGCTATCGATTTCGTCAGGAAGTTCCTGTAATCGCTTCGCTTCGGTTCTCGGCGACATGGAATAGGCATATGTATTATATTGTACATCTCGATTGACCAGCTGTCACTTTCATGCTCTATTAACCACGTCGGCAGACGTGCGGATACCAGCTCCTATAAACTCCTTGCTCCAAACAGCCAAACAACCAGACCCTCATATGAATTCAATAACCATGCATCAATGATTCATACCCGGCAGCTTCTGCGCCTCCTCAAAGTCCTTCTTCACCGCGTCCAGTTCCTTCTGCAAGTGCTGGATCTGCGTGTGGTAGTCGTCCAATATCTAGATTCATTAGTATGTAGTCAAACTTCAAGGCTAGGGAACTTACCTTCTTGGCCGTCTTCATCGTCTGCTCATCCAGCTCGTCATCCGCCTGCGCCGCCGCGCTCGGCCCCGCTCGCTCCATTTCCTGCTGTAGACGCCGCGAGTGCTCCCGGATGGCCAGCATGCGCGCCCACACCTCTTCACCCCGGCCGTTCAGCGACGGGTCGAAGACTGACCGCTCCAACATACTGAGCTTCTTCTTGAGCTCCTCCTCCGCATCATCCATCGCGTAGCCCCGATTCCGCAGCACCTGCGTCTTGGCCGCAAGCGCCAGGCAACGCTTGCTGAGCACGAGATGTTTCCGACGGCAATCGGCAATCTTGACCGAGATCTTCAGGTCATGTCTAGACAGCAGATCCGACAGGCAGTTGTTGATCTCGTGCAGACGCGTCTGCATCATGGTGAGAAAGTCCTTCTGGCGCTGCGCGCGCTTGCCCAACTCGAAAAAGCCCTTGACGAGCACGGGCACGTATCCCGTATCAGGTCGCTTGCGCAGCGCATCCTCCCATTTCGTCTCGTCATCCTCCGGACCCGGCTGGTAAAACGGCGCCATCTCGTCTCCGACATTGTTATACAAGTACGCGCGGAAGGGCGAGGCACGGCTGGACGCATCCCACTTGTCCTTGACGATTTGGATCTGCATTGGTACGGTGCGATGGACTAATCGGTTAGCAACAACTTAACGCACTCGATTAAACATTTGAACATACCACCTGTAACCGCCCGACCCGGTTCCCACAAACTCGACCCCGGCGCCGTCGACTGACCCAATTGAGTCTGTCCCATCTGAGTCTGACCCAATTGAGGTTGCTGCTGCTGCTGCTGCTGCGCCTGCTGCTGTTGACCTCCTAGCAGAGACCCCCCAAACAGACTCGGTTGCTGTTGCTGTTGCTGAGGCTGCTGCGTCTGACCCAATCCACCAAACAAACCACCACCCTGCTGCGGCGTCTGCTGTTGCTGCTGCTGTCCGAACATGCCAGCGAGAGGTTTCTGACCAAACAAGCTCCCTCCAGTCTGCTGCTGTTGTTGCTGTTGGGGCTGCTGGGTCCCCAAATTTCCGAAAAGACCACCAGTGGCTGGCTTCTGCTGGGTCGCGGCACCACCACCGAACAACCCACCGGATGGCTGCTGAGTCTGCGTATTCGTAGCACCACCAAACAATCCGCCCGATGGCTGCTGAGTCTGCGTGTTCGTAGCGCCGCCGAACAATCCCCCAGAGGGCTGCTGCGTCTGCGTCTGCGTATTCGTAGCACCACCGAAAAGTCCACCCGCCGGTTGCTGAGTCTGCGTCGCGCCGCCACCGCCGCCGAACAATCCGCCCGTAGTATTCTGCGTCGTGCCTGTCGTGGCTGTATTTCCGAAGAGACCACCACCGGTGGCAGCGCCAAACGGACTGGGCTTGTTGGCCGTGGCAGGTTGACCGAACAGTCCGCCGCCTGTGGCCGGGGCCTGTGTCTGTGTTTGACCGAAAATCGACATTATGCTGATGTGCTGCAATGCGTACTTGCAATGATGGGGTGGGGTTGAAAATGCCGAGCTTGAAGAAAGAGAGAGGGCGTAACACAATAGACAATAATCAAGTGTCGCTCTCGGAGGGCGCAGGTAACACCAAGGGAGGTACCTCGCGGCAATTCCCTATTCAGTCGACAGGTAAAAATACTACAACACAGGAACCTGACAGATCCGCCCTAGAGAAAGACAAAGAGGCGCGGGGGGAAAAGTAACCGACAGAGCAACGCAGAAAGCAAGCGCAGGCGCAGTGCGGCATCAACACACAGGTGCTGTGTGCTGTGACCATGGAGCTTTGTTTTTCAAGTCACGTGTGAGTTTGTTCCTCCGTGTTGCCTGAGGCCTCACATAGCACACACCTCTTCTGCCTGACAAATCCGGCAACAACAACCCCATTACCTAATTGAAGAGATCAACCAATCAGCAAGTAGCAAAAACCACCCTTCCAAACTCGCAGCTTCAACATTCCACTCGGCTCCGGCGCCCTCATCATCACCACCCATCCAGCTCCCCAATTCCTCCTCCACCTCCCAATCCGGCCCATTGAGTCCGCGTTTCACCCGTCACCATGGCGCAAAGAGAGCCCCAGTACGTCCTTCCCCCCTCAACCGACCGACCCTCCACCGCAGCACCATCCCCACGACAACATACAACCTCGAATACAACATCCATGACATGAGACGCAATGCTAACGGAATGGTCACGGATGATATAGGTTCAACCAACAGTCGTTGATCGACACGACGCCGATGCCCGATCACATCCCCAAGGTGCAGGAGATCGGAGCTACATCGGCGCCATTGTACAGTGCGGCGTACTTTATCGGGGATAGGTGCAAGGCCTACAATGATGATTTCATGAAGTGTAAGCAGGAGTCGAATGGACGGGGTGAGCTCGATTGTTTGAAGGAGGGGAGGAAGGTTACGAGGTGTGCGGCGAGTGTGTATGTTTATCCACCCCCTCCTACACCCCCTCTTGGTTTATTAATTGGGGTATATATATGCTTGGGTATTCAATGGGTTGGATATGGAGATATCTACTCAATTGGATATGAACATATAATACCTACCCAATTAAACCAAAAAGAACATATGCTAACAAGAATATTGGTATAGGATCAAAGACATCAACACCCACTGCCTCCAGCAATTCACCGCTCACTGGGAATGCCTGGAGAACAACAACCACCAGCTCTGGGAGTGCCGTGGACCGGAAATGAAGCTGAACAATTGTGTGTTTGAGAAGTTGGTGAGTATCCCTCATCCCTCCCCCAACCCCAACGCATACTAATAAGGAACTACAGGGCCTCAAGAAAGAAATCCCCGGAACCCCCGAAAACGTCGTCCCCGTGCACTTGCGTCCCAAGCAGATGTACTCTAATCATATTGGAAAGCAATGGTAATCTCTCACTCTCTCCCTTGTTCTTCCCCTCCCCTGTCACATGCTCTCTGGTGGGGAATATGTGGAAGGGAGGGATGGGGGAAGTAGGGTGGTTTTTGCTGTGTTACTTTGTATTCATTCTGGTGTTTTTTCCCTTTTCCCTGATCAATCGATGGAATGAATGTGCTTTGTTTGTTGAATTGTGAATTGTGTATATATTAGCATCGGTAGGTAGGTAGGAATTTTATGGTTCCGGTGGGATTAGATTATTCTTTGGTTTTTGGTGTCTTTGGTTTCTTAGGGTTGAATTGGATGGATGGATGGATACGCGTAATGCATATATATGCAAGAGGCCAGATCTAAGTACCTAGAATACAGATACAATTGTACAACCTCCAACACCGTGGTAACATGCAACGGACCAACCGGAAGATAAGGAACCGAACGAACGAACGCGAAACAAAGAGAGAGAAACCTCTAGACTTAAAAATATATGTATACGAAGAAACAAAAACGACTGCATCACGGGGTAGACACCCTCCGCAACACCCTCCATCGCGCCAATCGACTCTTCACCTCTGTCCATCCAACCTTCAACTTCTCTTCCAGCCGACGGTCCCCGCGCATCCTCATCCACACGAGCAGCATGCCCAACAGAGCCAGGTCCACCACAATCTGCCGCGCCGTCACCCATACCAGCCACTTGAGCCAGGCCCAAATGCTCGACCGGCGTCGATGGGCCAGCGCCCGCGCTTCCATCTGCTCGCGCACGGCGGCGATCTCGGCCGTCATCTTCGTCAAGGCCTGCTCGACTCGGCGACGCCATCGCCTATCATCGACTGGCGGTCGTCTTTCCCCGATCTCCTCATGGTGGCTGTGATGGCTGTGGTGGCGATCACTCCCCTCCCGATCCGGGAGATTATACGATTGATGTTGATATTCATGCGCTTCGTCACGGTCGTGATCCTCATGCTCATTATCCTCCTCTTCATTCTCAAACAGATTATCCTGTGCCTCGGCATACACCTCCTCTTCCTCCTCTTCCTCACCCCCATCCCGCTGCTCCTCCATCTGTCGCCGAAACCCTCCCTCAGGCTGACTCACCGGACTGAGAACGCGTAACCTCGAGTCCCCTCTCGCCGAAGCCAGCAACTGCTCATACTCCGGGCGCGTCAAGCTCGATTGTACCCGCGCATCCGACCCGTGACTGGTCAATTCCTGCGACGACAATGAAGACGGGCTCGACTTGATCTGATCCCAAACAAACTCCAACTCGGCGACAAGCTCCCTGGCCTCGGCCGTCTGCGAAGCGTAGTTATGCATAGTCTCGATAAGAGTAGAGATGTAGCGCCGTTTGGCTTCGGTACGAGACAAATCGCGTTGAGCGTACCAGGCGTCCCTGCATACATTAGCCACCCCTATACAGCATCACCATCACCTCAACGACAAAGCGAAGCAATAAGAAAAACTCACCACTTCTCACACTCCATATACACATCCGCCGTATTACCGACCGGTCGATCCATTACACCCTCAACATCGCCCTCTAAACCAGACACACGTCAGCATGCCATACTACCCCCATAGATACATCCCCCAAAAGTGAAAAAAGTGGTATACCCATGCTCTGCTTATACAAGCCATAAAGCTTTAATCTCTCCGAAGCCGGCGGTCTGGCGGTCCCGGTGCGGGGAATGCGTTTCACCGTGTTGAGGGCATGGACGAAGACTCGGTCTGCGAGAATCAGCACTTTCCCTCTTATACTCCCCTACCATACAAGGAAACGAAAGTATAACAGGTAGGAACGACAAGAATACGCACCCACAGAGTCCGACATGGTGCAATGATCCACGACAAGGCGGGCGGCTTCATGAGAGCAAGAATGGGCGGGAATCCCTCATCGAGTGGCGCAAGCAGTACTGGGTTTAATTCCAGTTCCCTCAATATCCGGGAGATTTGTCCGAGACGGGGCGTGGTGGGAGACAGGGAGTGATGTATCGGGCGCAGAGGAGAGAGCGTCGGAGGTGTTGGAGCTTCCCCGGATTTCGGCCGCGGTGGTCGGCACGGGAGTCCTGGGTTCGGGAGGAATGGATTGGATTGGGTATATAGAAATAAGGTGGTGCACAGAGTAGTGGTCGGTCGCGTGTGTTTGTTTGTGCGTGAGACGTGACTGGTGGTGGTGGTGGTGGTTGTGGAGGAAGATGAGTGGTGGTGGTTGACTGCTTGATGCTGGAGCGATTGAACCGCGGTTGTCGGACTTGACTCGACATCAGCCAACCTGTGATCGGCCCCGGCAGGCACGGCTTACTACAGATGTACTACAGCATATACCACGGCGTTTGTATACATTGAAAATCCATTGTAGAAAAAAATAAATCAATGTTCGCTAAGTTATCTATATACACGGCTAAAATCATAATTAATGAACTTATGGGTCAATTCTTCCCCTTCTCATGCTCTGCATATAAATTCTCCGCATCCACCGGCTTCCCCGTCATCACCCCCGACATATCCTCGTCGGTCAGGGGCGGCCCCGTGAAATGCTTCCGCGCATAGCCCACATACCACGTAATGCTAATGACCGCAAAGCCTGCAAACACCACACTCGCGTAGTTCATAGTGCTGGCATCCACTGGCAGCGACGTCGGCATACAGAACAGAACCACCGCCAGCACGATCCAGCACACCGACACGATGTTGATCGCGTATCCGAACCGTCCCAGCGAGAAGCTGGAGCCCTTGACGGCCTCACGCCCGCGAAGCATGAGAATGAGAATGGGCAGACCATACGACGTCGACAGACAGATCGTAGCCACACCCGTGAACGAGTTGAAGGCTGCTGATGATCCAAAGTAGATCAGACCCAACAGACAATCAACGCCAGTGGAGAGAATGATAGCCCACATCGGTACGTCCAGCTTCTTGTTCACCTGTCGCCAGAGACGGAACCCGGGGATGGCTCCATCGCGGGCAAAGGCGTACGTACATCGACTCGCAGCCGTCAAAGCACCAATGCCGGCAAACATCAAAATACCCAGGATCAGAAACAGCAGCCCGAAACCGCCACCAGCAGACCCAGTGGCTGTCTTGAAGATGAGTCCGATGGGCTGGCCACTGGCTACATTGAGCAGGGTCTGCACCGACGGCAAGACAAACATAATAGGGATGAGATAGACCAGACCAGTGATACCAGCAGCCACGACGGACAGCACAATAGCCTTGGGCACCTCGCGATGCGGATTCTGCACTTCCTCACACATGGAAGCCACCATGCCGTATCCGGTCAACGTGTATGCGGCCTGCAACAACCCGACGAAAAACGCCCATCCGGAAGGCCTAAAATCTCCGTCAGCACGGGCCCAAACCACTAGTCACAGAAAAAAAGACGAAACCTACCAACCACTCTGCGAGGCATCATAGTGCGTAAACACAAACTCAGCATCCCGTCGCTGGTCCGACATGGTCAACAGCGTGACAAGGATGATAATCACACTGCCAGCCGTCCAGTAGATGCACACCTTGTTGATCAAGTCGAGCCACTTGGCGCAGAAGATGTTGACCAACGCGCAGACCAGAATGACCGCCCAGAACATGAGAATAGTCTGCCATGCGTTGGCGACAAAGTCCTCATTCCACAGCGAAATAGCACTCAGGATCAACTGGCCTCCCGAGAAGGTGATACTCAGAGTGACCGTCCAGTTCCCGACCAGAGTCAACCACCCGTCAATGAAAGACATCATCGGAGCCCATTTCTGCGTTGACAACATCGCACTCCAGTAGTAGACTCCTCCGGCGGTGGGGTAAACGGCGCAGATTTCAGCCAGAGAGGCAGCGATGGCGACGGAGATCAAAGTGACGACGACCCAGCCCCAGATGACACTGACAGACTGGCCATCGGTAAGGGTAATGGAGAGGGTAGTGCTGAGACCAAAGGGGGCAGCCATGATAGCAAAGGACCTGCAAAACACATCCAATTAGCAACCCACTACCAACCCTAGATCAAAAAACTCATAGCCAAGCAGCCAGAACAACATACAAGCCGAGAATACTCATCATACTCAAGTTCCGCGGCAATTCACTCTTGTAGCCCATCCTCGCCAACGCCTCATCGGCGCCAGCATCCACAGAAGCCTGTCGCATAATGCCGGGTAATACACAATCTTCAAGATACTCAACCGAGCAAAAAGATCTTAACGATCAAAGAAAAAACTCCTCAAAAAGGGTCGAGGACATGCCGGAGAGAGATCAAGCCAAATAGACATGGGATGAGCGGGAGGGGAGGGCAGGGGATAAGAAGGACGACGAAGACGAAAACGAAAGGGCGACGACGGCACCGCAATTGATCGATCCCCCGCACGTCACCGTCTGGCCCCCCGGCATCTTCACAGTTCACTGATAATACCCTCTCAACCATCGCCCTGTTGTTCCACTCTGTGCCCCCGACACCCGACCAGGGCCCATCCAGCGGGCTTCGCCATGCCAATGAGCAGCGTCTCCCCCGCGATAAGCTCCAGAACTAAGTTGCTCCGGTGTCGGGCTAGTGGTGGCGGTCCGGGACCGCGCTGATAAGCCCGGCTTGCTATCTCGCCCATGACCAGCTGCATGAGTGATCCTATCTCCTTAGCTTATCGGTTTCAGATACTGACCAGCACCAGCCTGTGATCAGGTTCTACATAGTATATAGCCGGACGCGCGCTCCACGTATGACATCGTCTTTAATTCTCCGATGGTGATGATGATGATCATGATGCGGGCGATGGTTCTTGCATGCAGTCCTGCAGGCCTTGCACATGGCTCAACAGCCCGTGTACAGCGCCCTCGCTCCGGCTCGTGTCACCAGGTGATGACTCGGAATTTCCCCGGAATGACTGGGCCGTGCAGTGGGGATGTTCTCCATCTGTCCTCTTGGAACCCGAACCATGGCGCCCCTCAGTCCGGCTCGCGGGGAATCAAAGCCTACGAGACTGCCAATTTCGACTACGCTCCCCCGGATTTTCTTAACTACAGCCTATGTTTGGCAACTGGCTATCTTCCTCAGGTAATATATTTCTAGTTATTCGGTCATTCACAGCTATCCATTCCAACGTACATCGACGGGGGTCACTATGCAGTGACGGCTGCCACATCGTTTGACCGCAGATGCCCACCAACTGCAAGGAGTGGACTGGGCATGGGCAAGGATGAGCGCCACGGGAGTAAAAATGATGAAAGGGGAGACAAGCGGACAGGAGGGGAAGCACAGGGGGAGGGGGGATAACAGGCACAAAGGTCGACCGAGAGGGAAGCATCCGAACCAAAGGAAACAGAGGGGCAGTGGGGGGGTATCAAGCAGGGGTCACTATAACAGAGACAAGTCCATCGCCTTTGTGAGAAGTTTGAGTGGGCTGAAAATTTTCTTTTGGTCTTTTGTCTTTTTTTTTTGTTTGCATCTAGTGTACGCTCGGACCAGAAGTAGAGGGGCGAAAGTAGGCCCCAATGACTCTCCGATAGACATTCGAGAGAGGGTCCAGGTAAGGGTAAGGGTAGGATAACAAGGGAAGGGGAGTATCGAAACAGGACAATGAGAGAGGGGAAGAGGGGGAGAGGGCAACAGGGGAGAGCGGAAGAGGAATATCGACAGGGGACAGACAACGAGGGAGGAAACGGCGGTGGGGGGGCCAGCCGGGCATCAAGACGCCTGGCGTTGGGTTGGTATGGCGGATGGCCACCTGGCCAGCTCGCCCACCGCCACTTGAGCACAGCCGGTCGCTCTCCTTGATTCCGTGGACTGGACTCCTTCACCTTCACCTTCACCACCACCACAGCAACAACTTCAATATAGTCGCAGAAAATGAATAACATCATGCACTGCCTCCAGTAGACAGGCCTCAGGCTGAGTCGCAACCAGCCAGCTAGCTTCAACTCCGTCGTCAAATGATCATCGCCCAAGCGATCGCGAAAAGAACCATTCAAAAGCACAAAAAAACAAAGATCTTTAAAACGCCCAGTCATGCAGTCGTGAATCCAGATAAGTCGTTACAGGAGGATGCAGTGGTCACACGCAGCCCAGAATCACGGGCTCAGTACGGCACAGATGTCGTCTGTTCCATCCATCCCAAACCCGGCCATGTCCACCGAGTGCAGAGATCCCGGACCGCCACGTCCGAGGGAGATGTCCGACGAGGCATAGTCATGCTTCAGTCGTTCATGAGGTCCAAAAAAGGGCCGAGTCTCCTCGTTGGGCGTGTTCCCATCGCCAGCGGCCCACGGCCCATGCTGCCAGAACCTCGTGTTGGCTTGTTGGTCCCCGAAGAGGTCGTGATGGTCGTGGTGGGGTTCAGGTCCGTGATTGACAAATTCATTGGGAGACTGAAACCGCAGATGCGGCCGGCTGAAATTCGAGCATGGGGAGTCTGCATGTAGCGGAAAGTCCAGGTTGGTGAAGTGCATGTCCTCAACCGTGGTGATATCGATGGTCGGGTTCTCTGTCTGCTGAGCCAGTGCTGATGCAAGTCGGAGGTTGGAAGCGGAGCTTTGCCGGCTATGGCTGGTTGACCGTTCAATGGCCCGTTGCACAAAACTGCCACACGTCTTCAGGATTTTCTCCTGATCCTCCGGCGAGAGGCTGGCAAAGAAGTCATTTGCCAGAGAGGGCTTGGGCAATTCGGGCTCATACGGAGTCAGGCCAAAGGTCTTCTGTGCATACTCGGTGAACCCGGAAGGCATGTCATACGGGGACTGGTAGACGGTCGGAGCCTGTTCACGCTGCTGCTCAAGATAGGCGTACTTGCGAGGCACCTTCATGACGGCAAGGCTGCCGCCGTTGGTTGGCTCTTGCTTGATATTCTCCGACTCCTTCTTGTGCAGCACGTCCAGTCGATCCCGATGACTCACCAGCGAGAACCGGAGCATCTGCAACAGCCGGGTCACCTCCTCGGACCGCATGTTGAGAGGCTGTAGTGGTAACAGCGTACCATCCGGTGCACGAGGCTGCACTCGTTGTTGGGCCATAGCCAGTTCCAATTTCTCCAGACCGGCGGGTGGCGGGACAGAGCCAAGGGGCCCCAAGAGCGAGTCTACGACCACCTCGGGGCTAACAATGGTGTACCCGGCGAAGACATTGGCATGGTCGGTGATCTGAGCCAGGCGGCGACGGGCAATGAGCTCTCGGACATTGGCGAAATTATTGACGGGGAGATTGCTGGCCTGTTGTTGTTGTTGCTGTTGTTGCTGTTGCTGCTGTTGTTGTTGTTGTTGCTGCTGCTGCTGGTGCTGATGAACTGGCTGGGAGCGAGAATGGGATTGAGAATGGTGTGACTTGGTGATTTGAGGGTAGGGAGCATGGCGGGCAGATTGACTTGGCAGGGATCGGTAGGCAGACGGCATCGCAGCAGGGGCAGCAGAGGGCGCAGGACGAGGAGGGGCAGGAGGAGCGTGCTGCAACAGGGAAGGGCGGGAGGCGGCGGCGGCGGCGGCGGTGGTCGTGGTGGTAGTGGCGGCGGTAGTGGCAGCGGCAGCAGCAGCAGAGGCGGTCAGAGGCGACAGGTGGTGAGGGTGGTGAGGGGCGGCATATTGATGAGGAGCAGCGAGATGGTGGGGGTATGAGGGGAGTCGGGCCATCACGGCGCCGAGCGACTTGACGCTGTCCAGGAAATTCGAGCGCGGGTTGTGGACGGGCACGCTAGGGCTGTGCGTATACTGTGCCCTACACTCCGTGGAGGACTCGCCCAGGTAATACCACATCTGTTCGCCCTTGGTGAGGTCGACCTGCGTGGGTGGTGGGGCGGCCTGGTGGTTAGGGTGATTAGTGCTGTCCACCGTCTCGAACTCGGCCCACTGATACGGAGATCGCCCATCGCCAAACGGATTCCCTGCCACCGGCACTGCCGATTCCAGCTCCTTCCGCGCCTCGGGCTTCCGGGCTAAGTGGGCTGGCAGTGGCCTGGTACCTGGAGCCAGCGGTGAGAAATTGCTCCTGCGCACCACCAGCATCCACCGGTACGGTAACTCAATTACGTCCCTGCTCATGCACGTTAGCCTGGCCGACATCATCATTGCCCCATCGGGAAGTTTCCAAACAACCCTGGCGGGGCTCTCCATGCGTTGTTCGGTGGGTTCGACTTACCCTCGTGGGAGGACCTTGACTAGTAACGCCCGCTCCTCGGGTCGATTCTGGAGCACGATAGCGCCATTGATCTCCTTGTCCGCCTGGAACTGGACCAGATCCCCAGCCACCAAGCCCCGGGCGGTCTGGATGAGTTTGCGGTCATAGTCAGGTGACTCGCCGCTGGCCATCCAGGACGGCTTCTTCTGGCGATGGTATTTGCACTTGAGGTCGACGCTGGGGATCGAGTACTGATTTCCATCGTCCGCAATCACAGCGACCAAGCCCTGCTCCACCTGAACCCCGGCCAAAAGGGCACAGGTGGCGTGGTACGACCGGGCACACTTGCCAAAGTTGCACTGGAAGCAGGCCCCGCGTACTTCGCGGCAGAAGAGACACTTGAGACCCATGCGGGCCTTGGGGATCTTGTCCACGTCACACACCACTTCCTTACCACTTTCGTCACGGAGGACGGAGGTTTCTTCGGTATACAAGGCACAGCGGCGGTGCGCATGAGATTTGCCATCCTCTGTTGGCAAGAGGTCCTCGTAGTCCAGGTTATTTGGACACAGGACACAGGGAATCTTTCGGGGACCTCCATGTTAACCCGCAAGCGTTTGGCCTTGGTGGTTTCACCATCATGCTTTCGCTTACGGACACGCGTCGATGGCTTTTCGGGGACACTGCGGGGAGGCGTCAGAAGATCCGAAGCGCCTTCCATCCCGTCTAGGTCACTCTCAAATTCGCCATAATACTCAGGCGTGGCCTCGCCCCGAAGTTTCCGTTCAATTTCATCAACATCAATCCAAACACTATCAGACTCGCAGTGGCACTTCTTGGCGACCCGACCGTAATCGAGCCACTTTTCGGTCGCGAAGTTGACGGACTCGGCACAATTGTACCCCAAGTTGTAGCCGGAATGGTATCCATAAGGGTAAGTGATGACAAATTCACCCTCATAGTGTACCAACTTGTTCACTGTGATACCGTACTGGGACTTGAGCAGATTGGGGGAGACCAGGTAGGTCTTGTGACGAAGGAATTGGTCACAGTTCTTAGCGTCACTGGGCCAGATACCTAGTTGGGAAAGTCGACATTAGCGCCGGGAGCCCACCTAACGTCTCAAGATTTGGGGGCGTTATTCTTACTCTTCATGGCCTGCTCGAAGCGTGGAGCATCCTCCTGCGAGATGCTATACCATTGTTTGGGGGCACCAAAGTGAATGTAGTTGATGCTGTAAAGATCGACGTCTTCCAGATGCCATGCGAAAGTCGCCTTCCACATGCCCAGATAAAGGTATGCCGTATTGACACCGGGCACCTTCTGTCCCAGAACATCCAGCAAGTTCGGTAATCGGGCCACGTTCCAGGAAGTGGTGATGTTGTCATCGAAAAGAGAACCCGGCATATCCGCACCGTACAAAGGGTTATTGAACATCAACGATTTCCAGTAGTTGGTCTCAAGTTCCTCGCATCTTTCATAAGTATAGTCCTCCTTGTCATGGATGCGGTAATCAAAGTCTCTGAAGGCCTCTTCATCCACGTAGTCGATCGCATCGCCCTTGTTGTGCTTTCGGCGCGAGGTGACCGACTTGGGCTGCCGTCCTTTGGGTTTCGGGCCGGGCAAAGATTCGCCATCGCTCAGCTCTTCTGTTTTGGCTTCAACAGGGTTCGATTCAGGCGACACGGGGGTCGGTGGGCCTTCCGGCTTGATCTTATTCAGGCTCTCATCGGCTGAAGGCTCTTCCTTGACTTTGACTTGATTCGCCCGTTTAGGCGGGCGACCAGGGCCAGGGCGACGTTTTTGGGAATCTGACCGAGTTGTCTGAGCCTTGGGAGCAGGAGCCCGGTTCACTCGCTCTTGGTTCCTGCGTCGCTCGCCCCTCCGGGCAGGCGGCTGGTGGCTGCTCTCTTCACACAGTGCTTTCCACTGGGGCAGATTGTATGATCTTTGTCTCTCAATGTTCGCCTGGGTATAGGTTCCGTGTGAGCCGTGGAATTCCTGCATGATCGGATTCTTCACACGGATCTTCTTGACCGCTTCATCGAGGGCAGGTAAGGAATCGGTCCTAGAATGAACACACTCGGTAAGCATCCTGCAAAAGCGATTGCCCGCAGAAGCGCCGGAACACACCATTCTTTAGGGGGTATAACTTTGATGATTCCGGACCGCATGCCGTACTCCTCCACCTTGTTGATGAACGATTGAAAATCGCGAAACTGGTTCATCGTCTATGGAGAAGCCCCATTAGCCCATACCCTTGACACCGAGGCCATCAGAGCTGAGTAAACAGGATAGAGGACTCACCGGCTTGAAAACCGGAACCTTGCCGCCACCATAGTAATGGTCCGGCTCGATCTCCTCGTCATCCGCCTCCACCGATGGTATTTCCTGGGCGCCGGTGGCATTGGGATCGAGTTCGAGATCCGACAGTTCTGACGGAACCCCATCCGGAACCTCTTTCTTGCCGGTCACACTCTGCGGAGGAGTGATTGAGGCTGTGTCGGTCGCAGGACCGCCCGCGATCGACTCGAAAAGGGGTTGATCAAGCGCTGCCGCCATCATCTCAAGACGAAAAGGACAAAGGGTGAAATTGGTCAGAACTCGATAAGGATGCCGTCGTCGGAATATGCGACCGCTGATCGACGGCAGGAGAGGGATTCCCAGCGGTCGGGGGAGAAGACGTTAAGTTCGAAAAGGACTTCAGCTATCGGGACTGGAGATCGGTCAATATCGCGCAGGTACCTCCGTTTTGCAGCGGGTTCCGACGTGGTCAGGAAAGAAAAGGATAAGAAAAAAATTAAAATTTTAACGGGCGAAACGGAAAGTGTTATTTGGGGGTACAAGATAAGAGTAGTAGTGATGACGGAGGGAGGGAGGGTTGGTGGACTGCAAGGCTAGATGATCCGAGCTCCCAGAAACGAATTGCTGGGTATAGGGATCATGCGAAGCAGAAACCGCCGGAACAGATAAAGATAGGGACCGGGTGGAACGGTGGGTGTAAGTAAAATTAGCAAGTGGATGATGAGATCGGTATCAGCAGGAGTATCGGTATCAGCAGGAGTATGGCTAGCATTGGCAGAGGACCAGCAAGCAACGCAAGCCCCTCCTCCAGGTTGAGCCTTGAGCCTTAGTTGAGGAAGAAGATTTGCCGGTGGGTGCAGGACCAAGCAGCACAGGATGTTCAGCAACGAGGGCGCTAGTTCGCCAGCAATGCAGAGGCAGGAAAGACTAGTGCGAGGGCAATGGGACGCTAGCAGCAGCAGGAAGCAGGAAGGCAGGGGCGCCAGAGCCAATCCCAGCATCAGCGTCACGTCGGACGGTTCGAAAGGTGGACCCGGCCAGAGCACGATGGCCTGACTCTCGACGGACTCAGTGGGAATGGGAGGTGTGGAAATGATGGAATGGATTGGGAAGGGGTGGTGGTGTCTGGTCTCACTGGTTTGGTCTCTGGTCTGTTCTGGTCTTTGCCGACACAACTCCAGTACGTAGTGGCAGTAGTAGTAGAGAACACCTGCAGCCTGAGCGCCTGAGACTAAGTTGCACTTTTTAAGGCACCAATCTCAGCTCGAGTCAAGGCACGTATTTTTGCCCGGCCGCGAGCAGATCTCAGCACGTCTCCGGTGTCGGGAAATGGCGAAGGTTGAAACACTGGTATGAGGGAATAAAGATTCACTTACGATCAACCGCTGAAGACGAAGTTGAAGAACAAGAAAGGGAATGTACTGCTCCACGTCAGTTCTTCGATGGGAAATTCCCGTCCAGCCTGAGTGGTGGTGATGATGATTGTCCTTCCTATCAATAATAATACTTGAAGTAGCAGTAGCTGTAGTACTTCGTCCTTGGAATCCTGTGCTCCAGCGAATCGACGACACCCTCGAGTCGCTGCCGGGCGAGTCACGTGCAGCACATGACTGGCCGGGATCAGACGGCGCCAGACCCGATGGAGGCTAGAGCCATACCACGCCCAGTTACGTACGGTACACTGGGAGGCAGAATACACCATGCGGTAGACATGAGCACGCTGTAGGCTGTGCAGGCCCCCGTTACGTTACCTGACTAATTGCATGCAAACTCGGATACCGGCGGACCGGCAGAAATTCCCTGGAAGCAGAAGCCCTCGTCGAGCTTCTCCAACTGCAGCCGGCGTTGGACGCTACTGTTAGTGAAGATCCCCAAACATGACTACTAGATACTAGGTAGATACTATCACTAGTTGTAGACTAGACTAGGGGAAGGGGTCTGATCGGTATGATCTCACCAGCCGAGGTTGTTATTGGATGGCCTCATTTAGCCGGGGGTAAAGGCGGCTGTTTCTTTGTTCTGATTGTTACCGTAGGAATGGATACTATGTCTCCTCGATCATCACCATATACCTACCTAGGCAGGTAACACACTTTCTAAGTGCTTATATCCAGTGCTCAGTATACTTGATAGGTACTAGGTAGATAGTGTTTATGAGCAGTACAATTCCAGCAATAGCCAGACAGCCTACATAACCTACCCATACGACCTCGTCAGATATGCCCAACTCCGGAATAATATCAACAACCACTGCTATCGACTATACACCATCGCCAACGCCCCCCAAAACCAAAAACACGATCAACCGACCAACTCAACACCTCATAAACCCTGATTGGGTCATCCACATCACATCACCTACCCAGATAGTGGTGGTATCTCACTTATCTCTCCCTCCCTCCTCCCTCTCTCCCTTCCCCCTTAAACAATGTATCTCCCACCACGCCGACCGACCGACATATACATGCATATGCACGACAAAACCCAACCCAACTAGACACCTATGACCTACCTACAAAACCTCACTCACATACATCCTCCAACATACACACCCTACAAGCGGAGTAATCTCCCTCGCCCATCTACTGGCCCAAACACCTTCCCCAAGCGACCATGTGCAGAACAAACTCTATCACGCGCCCCGATAGGCTCGATACCACCCCGGATCAGACCCTCTCATCCGCCCGAAGCAGGTAAGTTAGTTGTGTTCCCCATCGGTATGCAGTCTGCAGTCAGGTCCAGTTCCGTTGGGCATGAATCTGGGTGGCGTGGGTGCATGGTCCAGGTCGGGGATTGGTAAGTCGTAATCGGGGGGGTCTGACTTGGGTTTTCATGAGGAAATTGAGGGGGGGGAGGTGGGATGGGGTGACGGTGTGACTGGTTGGTGGAGGGTGGATTGTGGCATGATTTGATGATTATCTACTCCATACGGAGTACGGTAGGGAAATTAAGTTGGGGACGGACTGGATGGGATCGTATTGTCGGGCCGGTGTTGCGGATTGTCCAGATCGTCAGGCTGATTAATCGCGACTCGCGAGAATAATCCTACGGTATGAATGAATGAATGAAAACTCGACCGGCGCGTGGCGTGGTTGAGGGTCTGCGTCGGCTAGTGGCGTACAGTACGCATGTAGGACAGCCGTCGACAGCTGTTTCATCGCCATCTGGATGCAGTGTACACCCGAGGTTTATGCACCTCATCCGAAAGAGATGGTGGGGAAACTGGGCGCTCCGGCTGCAAATCATCTATCGCATAGGTATCGACTAAAACTATGTAGATGCGCCCAACTCCCGTCATGGCTAATCAGAATCCTTATAAACAAAAATAATGCAATCATGTGCAGCGCCAACTCAATCACCGGGATTCCATCCCTCCACCATCCTCCTCAAATCTCAATAGTCATTCAGCCGCAGCTTCTTCCCGACAAACCGACGTTTCTCAGGCTTATCGGCGCCCCGCTCCCGGTCTGCATTCAGCCCCTTGAGCGCGTGGAGCAGCATCCCTGCATCGAAGAACCCGTCTGGTTCGGTTGTCAGCAGCTGTCGAGGAACGCAAGGGAACACAGTCAGGAAGGTGCACTTACATCCGCCCATGCCATCATCCTCGAGTTCTCCGCTGTCCGTCGTTGGCGTCTCGGCACCCCGATTCAGCTGGCCCGGGTCGCCCCGGACGATCCGGCCCCGGCGGTGATCCCCCTGGAGCCGCTCGGCAATCATCTCCATCTCGCGTGCCCTGCTCGTGCGCGGGCTCGCAGGCCGGTTGTTGGTGGCCCGCAGCAGCTTGCGGATTTCCATCAGGTACGAGTCTAATGTGTACATCAGACGGGCAGTCTGCCGATGCTTCGATGAGGCGCAGAACGAGATCGAGTCGTCCTTGATTATGTAGCCAATTCCGAAACCATCTGCAGACGTGGGCCCAAAGCCAAAGTGCCGCAGGCACGGATTACCGCAGTTGGAAGTCGACAGCACGGTGGTGTTGATTTTATCCCAGCCACCATCGCTGAAGATAGCGGGCATGGTGCGCATTCCACGCACGCTATAGCCATTAGATGACAGTCCGTCCTCCGACATCGAAGAAGAAGATTTAGGCGACTCCATCGGCCCTGTCTCAGCAGGGCTAGTGTACCCATTGGAGCTGCTGACTACGCTGTTGGACGCGGACACCGCGCCGTCATCGAAGGATCGCTGCCATAGACAGTATAGCGCATACAGATGCCGGTCTTGTCCCTGGCCTTTGGAGCATTCCTTGGTGATGGCCGTGTGCTTCTCGGTTGCTTTCCGCAGCGCACTCACCTTCTGTTCTGCTGGGTTATCTCCCCAGAATGTTTTGACAAAGTCAACACACTCGTTAGTCACCGTCCGGATTGCTTCCGTCCGACCATGCAGGAAGGCTTTGGTCATCGCCGGTTCGTAGGTGTTCTCCATGTGCCCGTAGAGCCCGTAGTACGCGGCTTGGAATGCCATTTGCACAAATGCATCGGGGGAGAACCCCATTGAGGTGATGAAGTTCTTGCCAAATCCTTTGAAGTCGAGTACTTGGAACTCGTGCTGCTGCAAGAGATCGGAGAGGTGAGACTCGGCAAACCGCAAAGCAATGCTCAGTTCAGGTGCCATATCCCACTCCAGTTTGCGAGGTGTTGTGTTGACATTACCGAAGCTTCGAGGGTCGCGTTTGGAAGGGTCGGGACTGGCCGTTGCCCAAAGCGTGGGTGCTTGGCCGTTGATCGTCCGGGCAAAGCGTAGTATTGTGTCTGTGTAGACATCGCTGGCAAAGCGAAGTACCGTGTGACCGTCTACACCGGTATGTTCGAAGTTGATCCCCGCACTGCCATTCTTACACACGATGATTTGCAGTTTGTCGTACCATCGGTTGGTGCAGGTACCGACTTGCACGCCTCGGACCACTTCGCTCGTACCGCAGAGCATATTGGCGCAGAGCTCAGACGTGTTGTGGGGTTCGGTATAGTCCAGACATAAGACGAACAAGGCTGTATCCACAATATTCAGACATTCTGCATTGTTTGACCCCTCATCCTTGGTGAGTATATCCCTCAGTCCTGACCAGACCTTGCGGTTTTCCGTACTCAGAACACCAAGAGCTCCCTTCGCAGCGTCGTGGATGGGCGTCTGTTCAGCATCTCCAATGATCACTTGGAGATTAACAGCAATATCCTTTTCGTTCATGATCAAGTCATGGTTGTCATCCAGCACATCGAACCAGTAAAACTGACCCCGACACATCACAACAATATGCTTTGCGTGGGGTTCTTGGCCGATCACGCACCCATTATCCGTCGGTACACGCGCCGTTCCGAATAGGCGGGAGTATTGATACATGCAGAGGGGCGTGCCCCGAACAGTGTCAGGAGGGAGTTCTTCGCGTCGAACGGCACGAACAAAAGACAGGGCAGAGACGACAAGGGAGGCTGCTCTGGTCACTTGGTTGTTTCTCGCAGGGGTCGGGTCATCTTCCAACAAGAAGAAAGGATTCAGGTTCAACACGACAGCTATTTGAGTCAGTAAAATGTGTCTCTCAGTCTTGATGTATGTCGCTGCTTACGGCTATCGTAGTTCAGATATGAGTCGTACCCTAAATGGTAACGCAGTCAGCCCTAGGTCGCCGAAAAGCACGAAAGTATAAACACCGTAGGATAACGTACAAAATTGCTCGATGTAGCTTGTTTTTGACGAGGCATAGGTCTTGAGCTTCTCTTGGAGGATAGGCCCTTCTGATTTGAGGAAGTCTTGCACAGCTGCTCTGGTCTCATCCTGCTCTCGGGGCGTTTGCAGTGGAGCCAAAGCATCAAGATATCTCTTGCATGTTTTCTCGAGGTCTGGGATGGGTAGCTTGGGTAGGGAATCCTGGTTGGCGAATGTTATGCCCTTCTTGGACGGCTCTGACGTTACCCCATTCACCGAAGCCGAGATTGTAGACGGCCTGATCTTGGTCTCAGAGGATAGTGGCGAGCGAAGAGAATCCATTGCGTTTCCTATGGGCTTAGGAGCCGTGAAGTGGCGGACTGCTACGGACGAGTAGGACATGGCGTCAGCACGATGCAGCTCGTCCAGAAAACGTATAGACTCTATGAAAGACAGGCTAGGAATGTGTGGATTGACGGGATAGGTAAGGCGCTGCAGTAGAAACTAGGACAATTTTGCGAGTAGAGGAAGTGCGCTGAGGGATTATCTCATGACCACGGCCGAGTCACGGGAGAACTGTGATCACAAGGAGGATGAAGGCATGGATAGAGAAAAGCAGATACGAAGATGTGCAGAGAAAAGGGTATCATATATAAGTGGCCTCTATTGAGGGTACGACAATTCATCATCTCGTATCAGTTCCCGGGGAGCAACTGCAGGCCGCGGGGTGGGAACCCAAAGGTACCTTCGGGATAAAGGGAGCTAGACGGAGGAATGGACACTCACAGCCTAGCTGCCAAAAGCAAAGCGACAGTCTGCGCCCAGATGAAACGCTCGAACCACGGTGGATCACCTCGCCGGGCCTAACCGTCCGCGGCTGCGCCTAAGGCAATGAGGTAAATGTAGTATCGGGGGAACGGATGAAGTCTGGTAGGGGGGAAATCGAGGAAGTATATCCAGCTCGGTTTGCCAAGAGATATGCGCGATAGCCCGGTGGGCCGTATACGGTGAAGGCGGGGCAGCGCTGCTGGGCAAGTGCACAGCTAGATATACCTAAGCATCACAGCAATGGTATGAGTGCCAACAATCCCGGAAGAGGGTGACATTCCTCTCCTCAGCGAGGCTATTGAGAGTGCCTCTCTTGTCATGCCATACAGATGATGGGAACTGCGGGGAAAGAAGGGAAGGATCCAGCAGGGGAAGACATCATGTGAAGCCGAGAACTCAAGGCAGACAGCGATAGCAGTGGAAAAGAACGAGAGACTGGGCAGAAATACGTACAGGATGAGAAGCACAGCCAATAACGCACCGCGCCCAGCTGAATTAGGTGAAGTGGTGAGGATGGATCACTGCAGGTGCAATGACCGCATTAGACAGTAGTTTAATGACAGATAAAAAGGACCTTAGTGAGACGGATCCCGATCTGTAGCCTCGCGATACGACAAGGATTGGGGGCATGTGGCGACAATCCGCGACGAGACCAGGCCAATGGATCGACGACAACGACGAAGGTTGCAGCGTGGCTGGTGACGTTTCGGGCGAAGGGAGGCCGTCGAGGTCTGGTTGCGGGGGAAAGCTTCCAGAGTTCAGAGCAGAGTAGTCACGTGGGTGGGTCGGAGGCCATCTATCGCTCGTTTGCTCGCGCCCACCGCAGCCTTATCGCTACTGGCACTAAGAATCTACTTAAGAATTAAGATAGATCGATACCGGACTACCGCTCTGATTATTACTAGATAGGTACTCCGTAGATATCTACTCGGTCCGTCGGACAACTACTCTTCTCCCCATCCACGGCTCACCAGGTGTCATGGAAAAAAGGTCTCATCATTTGGCTTTTGTCATCCAGATCCAAGTACCGTCTCTAATCAGGGCGCCCATATCCACACTCGCTTGCAAACATCCGTATCATAATCACACGAAACGAAGAGAAGAAGGAAAAAAAGGCCAATGCGTCAGGTGGCTGTTATTGGGATACCATCCACAACTCACACGGGGCAAATATTCACAGATGAAGGAAGATAAACAAGGTCACGTCATGTACTGACTGCTCTGGCCCTCGGGCTCTGACCGGGTGGGGGGACCCTCGGTTCCTCGGGGGAGCGGTGGTGCAGATCTTCCCCGGATACTCGAGTCGTCAGAGCGCCTTGGCGATCAGGGCGTGGAACAAGCACAGTGTGTTCTCAGAAGAAGCTTATTATCGAAAATAGACAATGCGAAGTCGAAATGAAAATTTAAATTGCAAAAAGGACTGACGATCGTCAGGTTCTCCATTGTTCGGCTGGATCCCAGAGAACCGCCCTCGCACAAGATGGGTCACGGGCGGTGTTTACTTCCACAAGCGGCACATCCACCCCGTAGCATCGATATCCCGATCCCCGTCATGGCACGTCGGGTGTTGGGAAACCGGTGGTTCCTTGACGTTGTGCAAGAGCGACAGTCTCCAGGTGCAGTCGGGAGAAGGCATCTCTCGTCGTTTAGGAAGCAACGTACATAGCGTATCCGAGAGGACGCTTGACGTTGGTGCCATATTCACCCTCGTAGTTTCCTGAAAATCAAACACGTCAGCAATTACTATCTCTAGGAGTCGGGGGCGCTTGTACTAACCGGCAGGGCTGTAATTGCAGACGGTGAAAGGCAGAGCTTCGGAGGCATCAACGTTGCCAAGGCTGTTGCAAGTAACCGTGGCGCAGCCGACCTCGGTGGTGGCAGCCCAGACGATCTGGGAGAAGTGACCCCAATCATCGAAGTAGGTCATGTCGGGGTCCGCCTCTCCGTACAGGTCAGTGTAGTAACCCATCTCGTCGTTGTACATCAGGTTGGTGATCATGACGCCGATATCGTCCGCAGAGACACCATATCCGATGTTCTGGCCATAGCCACCGCCATCAATGCTCCTGTCATTCAAGTTAGCAAAAAGGAAAACACGCCCTACCGAGAAACAGTGTACTTACGTGTCGTGCTCATAGACACACTTCGCGGCCAGGGTGTAGGCGCTGGACTCAAGGTCGGAAGACCACGTAAGGGAGCTAGCCGAGTGGTTGCTGCGGTGGACGTTGTGGTTGTACAAGACCGCAGACTGGTAAGCGCTGGTGGCGGTCGAGGTGGCGCTAGACGAGGTCGTGGTCGCAAGAGTGGTCGACTCCGCAGCAGAAGCAGTAGAAGACCAGGAGGAGGTCCAGTAGGAGGTCCAGGCGGAGGTCCAGGCAGTGGCAGCGGCAGCCTCAGTACTAGAGGACGTGGTGACGACGGCAGCAGCGGTGGTCGTAGGCTCGACAGCAGCCACTGAGGTAGTAGTATCAGCAGCAGCAGCCACCGACGTGGTGTCAACGATGGCAGCAGCCACTGAAGTGGTATCAACAACAACAGCAGCCGCCGCTGAAGTGGTAGCTTCGACGACAGGAGTAACGACGGACGAGGTGGTGGGCTCAACGGCGGCAGCGGCAGCAGCAGTGGTGGAGTCTACAGCGACCGCGACGGTGGAAGAGGAGGTATCAGCGGCCTCGGCCGCGACATTCTCGTATACCGTAGGGGTACTGGGGTACTCGGTGATGGTGGTGGTCACGGTGACGACGGTCCAGTCAGTCACGTAGGAACGCTTGTCTACGTTGTGGGCCATGGCACCAGCGGCGCAGAGGGCGCCCAGAGCGTAAGAGTAGCGCATGATTGCCGAGTTTGCTGTGGGTTCTTGTCTTAGCCAAGAGTCGAGATATGATTTACAGTTCAACTGTGTCCGACTGCGAGAGACTTCTCCAGGAAGTTATCCGACCAATTGATCAACAAGCACAAAAGATGTATGAAGAAGTGGATAGATTTCTGGCGATTGGCAGATCGACTGCGATGTAAGGGATCGATTTGGGGGCGAGGGAGAGTGTGTATGTACGAATAACCAGCACGTATGGACAAAAGAATGACAGCCTTGAAGGGGGGAACACTTTTTGAAGGAGTGGAAAAAAGTGCACCAACAGGCGATGTGGTGAAGTGAAAGTTGGGGAGGGCCAACGGTAAATAACAAAGGTAGTGGCGAAGAAAGCCGAAGGGCGAAGTGATAATATAGTCTGGAGCAAGCGCAGCTTGCTGGAGTTGGGGCGGCAACTTAATCACGGAAAGGAGAGAGTCTCCAGCGGGCGGCGTGTACCCAGTGGGGTCGGCGATCTTTGATAATTAAACGCAAATTAATTCGGATGGGGGAGCTTCATATACGAGTGGGTTCGGACGGATCTCGACGTCGCGATGGGTCATGGATGGGGGGTTGATGGGGGGTGCCTGTCCCGAGTGCGCAGACACACACGCCTGCATCCTTTCACCAGCACGAATGATTTCTTTCACATCTCACGCTGAAAGGCTGTTTGGCGCCCCCGGCGCATTAATATCGGTCCAGCTCGCGTGTACACCGGTGTGGTACCACGGAATGTCGTGCCCTGGGGCCTATTCCCAGGATTATTCCCCTGAATATTCCCCAACCACGAGCACGTACCCGCGAGGAGATCGGCTACGAAGCTTTCTTTGCTCTCCCACAGGCTGATACATTCCCGCCCATGGCGGCTGACAAGGAATCTCCCAGCCAGGGTCTCTGACCTCCGCGTCCCTGAGACCTGAGACGACGTTGGGTCCAGGAAGCGGATAGACGCTGAACAGAGTCATGCATGGCCCAGCATCAGCATAAGGCGCCGTCCGGTGCCGGGGATCGACTTTTCCAGCAGCGACGATTGTTGCCCCTGGAAAGTTGGGATTTCAAGCCAACCGACCAACCGTCGACGATTCCCGTGCCCCTGGGCTGCCGCTAAACCACATGGGGGCAAGGCCCATGCCGCCCGTTTCAGGAACCGGCCGCAGTGGGCCAATCAGCGATCTGTTCCAGGCTGATACGGTGACGGGTCCCACGGTTGGCATCGCCGGCGATACAGTGTTACACGCAGCCTGAAGACTTTCTCTTTCATGGGTCTCCCAGTTCCTGAGTTCCTGAGTTCCAGAGTTCCAGACCTTCGCTTTTTCCCCCCGGTCGGGTATCTTATCCTGTCAAGGGATCAAAGCGCTAGACTTGTCGGCGGATAGCATTCGTCATGCCCAGGCCAGACCAAGAAACTAGTCGAATAAGTAGAGTGTGTAGACAGGTACCGCCGAGGAAACCCTCCGATATACCCAGTAAGTAGTACCTCAGTAGGTAGTACTAAGTATGTATCAAGGCACAGATAATAATCTATTTCTCCATTACTATTAAACTCAATAAGGACAAATGATGACGGCAAGGACAAGGCACCTTCCTTCCCAGTTCCCACCACTCAGCATTCACCGCAAATTTGGGGGTTGGAAGACCACTAACAGACCCGACTAGATACCTACTACTTAGTACTCTTACTAACTGCCCACACAATCTTACCTGCACCATCCCAGGGGTAGTGCAGGGTCGCTAAACCGACTGACCAGCGATTAACCACCAAAACTTGGCAACTGGCCGCCCCACCCCATCCAGGATGGCGCTCGCTAACGTTTCACTTGCGGCCTTCCATCATCTTTCGGAGATTGGGTCACTGTTGCCCACTGCCGCCTCATAGCTACCTCTTACTACCTAGTATTCTAGAGTCTAGCTAGGCCTTTCCCGACCGACAAACAACCCTGGATGCTTGTCGTGGAAATATCCGTCGTGAAGCATCGAGTCTAGAACCACGGATGTGCCGTGCCTGCGATGGAGTCGCGGGACGGCTTTTCCCCTTAAGATTCACGTAGTGGATTAGGGATTTAGTATCGAGCCATTGCCGGGCAATCTTTGGTACAAACGCCAGTGACACTTTCAGAGCTTCAGACCCAGACAAACAGATACATCCCTACCATAGCAATTGAATGGAAGGGGGATAAAGTCTCTCGCCCAGGCTGACTTCTCTGTTCCGTGGTTCATCCGGGAAAAAACACCATCAATCCCATTGAAATTCATCATCGTTTTCTTTCACCACCAACCGCCAAATCCAATCAAATCCAATCCCCATCCCAATCAATCCATCAATCAATCAGTCATTGTCCACTGCAGTGATTGAAAGAATCTGCCCTATATTGCCACCTCATCGATCCTTGGATAAGGTAGCGACCGTCTTTTTTTCCCCTCCGCAGACGTAAGCAGAGCCAATTCCGGCCATGGATACCCTTCGTCTTTGTCCACGGTCGGCATTGAGGTATTATTCTATCACTATCTAGAAGGTTACCTATCGGAGGCTGTGTAGCTGTCAGGTACACGTGTATGCAGTGCGAGTACCATAAACACTCCGTGTACTACTACTACTACTACTACTATCATCTAAGTGGCTTGAGTTGATTTGATTATTAAAATCGCCGGCCGGATGGATTCCATATCCTGTCATCGATCGGGTATTTCGGCTAGCATGGAGCTTGGCGGTTCCGATATACATCAACTACTACTTACAACTGTACCCATGTCCATATCCATAGGACAGTGGTTCTTGATTGGATGGGATGAAACTTCTACCATCTAGAATGTTCTGGTCTCTGTAAAAGTAACGTTGTGCCATGGAAGGTAATCATCTAGGCACCAAGGATTGTCTGTAGGTACTTACTTAGTCTGTATCTACTAGGCTCCCATATATTCCAGAGCCACACTGACACGAGGGCCACGAGGCCACGATTCCACCCAACAGTTTGTGCAACCCATCCAGTAACACCAGACCAACACTACACTACGGCGTAAGTTGGTACTACCATCTATCGGATAATATTTGGGTGGCAATAGGGGAAATATAGTACTCCCCTATCTACCTATCTACAACCGGACAACCATTCCCCCGTCCCGCAATCAGCTATGAAATTAATAACTATGTAGTTAATGGAATAGCAATATCACGTTATTGTCGAGCAGATGACTGACTACTGACTACTGACTACTGGCTGACTACTCACATAAGAGAGGAACCAACCAACCGAGTCAAAGTAACCCCCCCATTACAGTAAAAAAAAAGGTATGTACTTGAGGCTCATGAAACACCCATCCGATCCCGAGGTTTAGCTGAAACCCAGAACAACAACCCAAATATTGATCCATCACTTATTGATTGCCCTATCATCAAACAAGAATGCAACATCCATGTAGATTCATTTTGCTTGTGGAACCTGGATGTGACTGTATTCACCCAACAGATGAATAGGATATTCGGAAGCAGTAAGTCTGGTAGGACACATGTCAACGGTATGCTACAAGGTGTCGGACGAGTTCCAGACCCATCAACGAACTGAGCAAGGGTCGGGAGATCGGTGTCTCAGGTGTCTGAATATCTTGCATATCTCTTGCTGCCCAGGCAGAGTCCAGACAGGGCGGTCGTGGTAAGCAAAGCTGAAGAAGTGGATGATGAGCAATCACAACATATGCACCCCAATGAAACCCAGCCAGGGCATATGGTTCACAAGACCTCGCTAATCATTGGTCCCTCATGTCATACAACACTCATTTAGCCGCTCAGGTACGGTTCCATTGAGAATCCTAGTAGTATTTGTGCCAATTGGACGACCAATCATATAAATGACCTATCACCTGCAAGCCATAACGCATGAGTAAATAACGTTTAGATTTATTCATTTGTACAAATCATATGTTCACCATCCGGCATCGGCCGCTTTCACAAACCATGAGATGATTCTTCGCCGTTTCCGACGGCTCCAGCTCCCTATACATTGCGTTTCGCGTCCGTAGCCAGAATGATTGATTGCCTACAAAATCACCCACGTGAGAGGGTCGGATATCCACAAGAGAGGCGGTCGTTGTCGCAGTCGAAATCGCCAACCCGGCTTCGGCTCGGATTTTTTGTACAATCAGGTCTCGCACACAGACGGGCTCATCCGTCTTCCGGATCACTCCCTCCGAAGCTTGGACGCTACCTTCAATGACGGCAGTAGAGAACACCCCGGTGACGTTGCGCGTACCAGTCTCCAATCCCACAATTGCATCCAGAAGTCCAACAAAGAGGAACGGATGCTGGAGAATTTCCACTGAAAATGAGTGGCAGGTTAGCCGGGCAAGCCCTCTGTATGCCTCTTCCTCCAGAATGCTTGCGAGACGCAACAGATTGCGGGCAATAACTCCATTTACAGATGGCGTGGCCGACTCCGTGCCAGTCTTCAAGCGAAGAAGGGGGCCCGGAGTCCCCGCTGTCATCGTGGAGGGCGTGGTATAATAGCCCGCTGGTGTCGATCCTACATATGCAAGAAACTGTCGGTTGAGGTACTCTAGCATAGTATCAGCATCACACGGCTCCAGCTGAGACGTTCCGTGAACTTACTCTGTAATTGTTCGGCGAACTGCAAGTAGCTATCGTCAAATGTAGCCTCGTACATATCCAGCAGCCCACCGATCAAGTACGCGTAGTCGTCGGCGAAGCCGGGGGTGTTGCCTTTACTGCCATCACGATAAATTCGCCAGAGTTGCCCACTAGTCTTCTCGAATAAATGTTCTTTGATGAAGCTGATCGCCTTGGCCGCTGCCCCTCGGCATTGTACCGCTTTGGAGCGCTCAATGTCTTCGAATAATGTACTGCACTTGGCCAGTGCGCCGATAGCCAGCCCGTTCCAGGCAACAATGATTTTATCGTCCAAGTCGGGGCGTACGCGCGTCCTCTCCCGGTAATCGCGGAGCTTCTGCTTCGCTGTTCTGATAATCCGCACCACCTCGTCTTCCCCGAGTCCGAATTCCTTTGCAAGTTTGCTGGGAGTCACCTTCACGGACAGAACATTCTGATTCATGAACTCGTCATGGGGGTCGTTCTCAGGCGCGATGTTCCCATCAGGAAGAACACCCCAGTGACGAGCACAAACTCCAGCATCCCGCTGACCAAGCACTTGTGTCAGTTCCTTCAATGTCCAGACGTAAAACGCGCCTTCCCGCTTCTCGGTATCATTGGGTGCCGGAAGACTATCGGCATCTTCGGACGAGTGAAACGCACCCGTTGGTGACTGAATCGGAGCTGTCGTCAGGTAAGTAGCTAGGTCATAAACTGCACCTAGCAACTCGGGGTTATGAGTGATCTTGAATGCATCCACATAGACATCCAAGAGTTGTGCTTGATCGTACAGCATTTTTTCAAAATGAGGCAGGCCCCAGTCAGCAGTGACACTGTATCGTGCAAAGCCATGTCCGATATGATCCCGTATACCTCCACGCGCCATATTAATGAGTGTGTTAATGGCCATGGCGGTTGCCTTCTCGCATTCATCCCGCCCCACGATGTCGGAAACTGCACTGGGATAGATACCCAAGCGTAATAGGAAACTCAGGTTGGAGGGAGTGGGGAATTTCGGTGTCGTGGAGAAACCACCATGTATAGGATCATATCGAGAAACAAAATGTTGGTAGGCTTCCTCCAGAAGTTCAATGTCCAGGTCCTCGTCCGCTTGCCGATCACCTTGGTAGGAATGGGTCCCTTCTTCTGCGAATTCCCGAAGTTGTTTGGTGATTTCTTTTGCGCTTTCGCGGCACCGAAGTTGTTGGGTTTCCCAAACGTCTCCTAATTTCTCAAGGATCTCGACGAATCCGATTGTCTCGGTTCCTGTCAACGTTGAGGAGTTTGGGCCCGGCCAATAGGTACCGCCAAACACAGGCTCGAGATCTGGAGTTAGGAAAACGTTCAAAGGCCATCCCCCAGATCCGGTAGTGGCCTGCACGTAGTTCATGTAAACATCGTCGACGTCGGGTCTCTCTTCCCGATCCACCTTGATGGGAATGAACGACTCGTTCAGAACCGAGGCCACCTCCTGCGACATGAATGATTCCTTTTCCATTACGTGGCACCCTGGTTTCGTGTTAGGGCATCCGCCCGCCGATGTGCGACACCAAAACTTACAGTGACATGCTGAATACCCGATGCTCAAGAAGATCAGCCGGTTATGGCGCCTGGCTAAATCGATGGCCTCCGCATCCCATAGCTGCCAGGCCACCGGGTTGTTCATATGCGCCCTAACCTATCCCGTAGGTCAGCCTTCGGTCTGAACGCCGAGGGCCGTTGAAACTCACATAAGGTGACTTGCTATCGCGTAGTCGGTTGACGAGTCTCGGACCGGTAACCGTCGCGCCATCGTGATGCATGTCTAACGGGGCAGCCATCGTGAGACTGAAGGACACCACGCAGCGGGTCGCTTTTGTTGGCAGATGATTCGTCTACCCCGACTACAAGGTACAGAGCCTCGGATGCGCACGTTGGAGAGAGGGGAAGTAGCTGATAAGATACCACCTGGCCACCCAGCTAGCTAGTCAGGGGGGTGTTGCAAAGCACGACCCGAAAGAGCGAGGAGAGTATGGGTCAAAATGACAGGCCACGAGTCGAAGTGGCAAGGAGGGTGGACTTAGTAGCTACACGGTCGAGAGCAGCAGGCAGACCAGCTAGTGGGATGAGGGGAGATGGAGAAGGAGCGAGGAGGAAGCATGTGCCCGCGTTAGACTGGCCCGCATCCGGGAGATCGTCGCCCGCAGTGCGTCATGGGTGCATCAAGGGTCACGTGCACCCTCACATGGCCCGGACGGATGGGTAGAACTTGTCCTCCCATACGCTCCACGTACTCCATACCGTGTAGGAGGCCTACGGAACTCTCTATGCTACCTAGATCCTACTGCGTGGTATCTTCCTCCAATGACAACATCTGGGTTCAGTCCTCTCCCATCAGCTCCGCCAGCTCCCGTTCCTCTTCCTCCGTCAGCATCGCCCCCGGATTCTGTTGCGGCTCCTCATCCTCGGTGGTATTCTTCGCCTTCTCGACTGCGCTTTGCAACTCGTCGGGCTTCAAGGACCACTGGCGAATAGTGGCATCTATACCAACACTGACAACAGTTGATCCGAGGAGCACGAGCCCAGTAACCTCTTCGTAGTGGCCGGAGAATGTATGGTAGAGCTGTCCGGTCTGTACAATAGGAAGTGTTAGCCAAGTTATCGTGGCACAAAGTAAAAAGGCGGAGATGATGATGGGTATGTACGCACAGATCGATTCCACACACGAACTTCCTCATCGCGGCACGCAGTGACCACCCAGCCCCCTTGTTCGTGGACCACCACGTCTCGCACATAATCTGGGTGAGCTAGTGTCAAGTTGGGTTTCCAGGCATCCTCTCTCACAAGACACTTGGATGTTTTGTCCGCTGAGGCGGTCCATAAATCAGCATCAGCATCAAAGAACAGCTTGTAGACGTTGGTATCATGGGCGAGAAGAGCATCCGTGCCAGTAAGGTCTTTGCTGCCAGTCGATAGATCGAAATGACGAATCTCTCGGTCGCTGCCTGCACTAAATACGACCAACTCGGAGGTATCGGAGGCGACGGAAATGGGATCGAGAATGAGATCTTGGATTCCCTTTGCATGACCTTTTATCACCGAGAGCCGTTGGCCGGTCGCGATGTCGAAAACGAGAATTTGCGCGTCGGCGCCTCCAGAGACGAGAACATCCTGGTCATGCAGCCTCGTGCTGACGACGGATCTCACGAAGTCGGTATGCCCCTCGTAGCGCAGCCTCGGTTCTTTCGACGTCACATCCCAGCTCCAGACGGTCTTATCCCAGCACCCCGCGAACAGCAAACGGCCATTGGGGCTGAAACAGATACTCGTGACGGGGGCGGTCGGGCCCTTAAAGACGGCTGCGGTTTCACCTGTCTACAATATAAAGACGAGAGAACGCAGAACGGCTTAGTCCAGGTTCTATCAAGGCGTCCAGCAGCAAGGATACGGTGCACCTACTTCGAGGATGACCTTCCTGACTGTACCACCACTCTGAGCCACATAGACAGATCCAGCACTCAGGGGGTCGGCTGCAACAGCGAGAATCTTACTCTGCAGCCGAATAGGATTGCCATTGGTGTTTTGGGATTTCTCGTCCTTTCGCTTCTGCTCGTCAAGGGCGGCTCTGGAGGCGAGGGGCATCAGCGACTAGCTAGCGCATGCGGACAGGAGCTGGGCGGTAGATAGGTAGCATGACGAACGTGGTTTGGAAGAAATCGTCCCGGTGGGAGGATTGAGCCATGATGGTGGTGATGGAGAGGTTTGCGATCCAGGATACAAGAACGAGAATGATTGGAATCGGGACCAGCAGAGGGGCAAAGCAAGGAATTCGATACTATCCGCAAGCTAGTGAATCTGTTACGTAGCGCAACAGCAGTTGCTTCCCCGCCGGCGGCTCACGTGGGATCCGTTCGGGCAAAAGAGACGAAGAAAACTGCACGGTAAGCTTCTGCCGCCCACCGGAGCCCCAGCCTTTCCCACCACAAAACCTCCGTCTTCGATTTTCACCTTTCTTCTTTCTTCTCTCTTCCTCCCACTTCCTTCCCCCCCTGCCTCCCTCCCATTGAACAGAGTTTTCCCGATTCTTCCCCCCTCTCCCTGTTTCCTTCTCCTTCATATTGCGCGTCAATCGCGCACACTCCCTTGTCAGCATGGATATGAACCATTTAATAGGGTCAGTCTTCTATGCCTACTGTACTGGTCTGAACCAGGGTTTGTGCGGCTAGGCGGGAGTTAACACCTGGCAGTCAGCGTTTCAACCTGATCTCCAAGAGTGACATTCGGTATGGCCTACCATCGCTTCCTCAATCTCTTTCTCCTGCCTGCAGCAGCTCCATCGTTGCACCTGGCTGCCTCCTTGGCTGTTACTGACATGGCCCCGTCAGTTATGTTGGAACGTTGCATGAGATCAATCCTGAAGCGTCCACCATAGCCCTGGAGAATGTCGTCTCATTCGGGACAGAAGGCCGACGTGGCAATCCCAATGAAGAGATTGCCCCGTCAGCCAGCGTCTACGAATACATTGTCTTCCGTGGCAGTGACGTAAAAGACATTAGCGTAGCGGAGGACACGAAGGAAAACTCACAGCCTGAACCTCCTCAGGTGCCAGATGATCCTGCTATCTTGGGGGTAAGTCCATCAAAACACCTCTTCTCAAGTTTCCTTCCCCTTGACCTTCCGGGTGCTTTGTGTCCACGGACTTGTTCCGTTCGGACTATCGATTCAATGATGAAATATTTCGGATGTAAACTCACAGACCTGTTCCGAATTGCGCAAACAATTCATGTGGATATTTTCCGTTGCCTTCCTTCTGAATGATCGAGAAACAAAGCACCTTGTCACTGCACTTTCTCACACTTGCTTTGCAAACCATGATACTAATTTTGGTTCATCAATTAGAGCATGTCTCGTCCAGGTCCTACTCCTCAGGGTTTGCCTCAATCACAACAGTCTCAAGTGCCTCATCCGGCACCTCCGGGTTACCCCCAGCAGCCGCAGTTCCAAGGCTTTTACCCACCATATGGACAACGCTTTGGAGCTCCCGGTTTCCCACCTGGACCTGGTTTTCCGAATATGCCGTATGGAGCCCCGCCACCCGGATGGTATCCTCCCCCGGGTCAAGGATTCCCCCAAGGACCAGGCCAGTTTCCCCCTCAGATGCCTATTGGACCCCCTGGTCAGCACCAGACCCCTCCTCCGCAGCGACAGGGGGCTCCTGGCGCAGGCCCCGTAAATGTCCCTAAACCTACCTCGGAGCTTCCCGTTGGTGACCGGCCATCCAGTAAGCCAGCCAGCCGGAATGCCACACCCGCACCTGCAGCATCTGCTCAGAATGCTCCTCCGCCCCCTGTTGAATCGAAACCTTCTGTAACGGAAGCCGTACAAGCCTCCAGTATTCCTGCTACTGCGGCGTCCCCGGGCCTGACCAAGATCCCTCCTACTGGACCACGGAGCGGACGCGTTCAGCCGGCGATTCCAATCACCGCTCCCTCAAAGCCGCCTGTCCCTGCTGTAAGCAATCCTATGGTTGGTGCTGGAAACAGCGTGCCGCAAGGTACCGCTCAAGCGGCTATCACCGAAGCTACGCGTGCTGCCACTGCTGCTGTTGCGGCGGCCATGGCCAAGTTGCCTCAGCCTAATGGGCCGAAGAAGCCTGTGCACGGCGATGCGTCAGTTGAAGGAGTAGCAAGACAGTTGGCGGAAATGAAGCCCTACGAGGGCAACCGCGCGCCCCGTGGTGGCCATCAGCATCCTCGCGGTGGACGTGGCAGTCACCGGGCCCCTTACCAAGGGCAGTCCAAGAAGGTCGAGGTTCCTGAAGCGGACTATGACTTTGAGACTGCCAACGCCAAATTCAACAAGCAAGACTTGGTCAAGGAGGCCATTGCCACCGGTTCCCCTGTGCATGAGGGGGAGACCGCTTCCATCACAAATGGTGACATTGAAGGTTCTGATGTCGGCGTCGATTCATCCGTGACTACCTACAACCGGGCAACATCCTTCTTTGATAACATCTCGAGTGAGGCTCGTGATCGTGAGGAGGGCACAGGAGCCCGTGCGGGTGGCCGGGAATGGCGTGGCGAAGAGGAAAAGAGGAACATCGAGACCTTCGGTCAAGGCAGTGTTGACGGGTACCGCGGCAGCTATCGTGGCCGTGGCAGAGGCAGAGGCTATGGCCGTGGCCGCGGTGGCTATGGACGTGGGTACAACTCTCGAGGCCGCGGTGGCCTTCGTGGAGGTCGCAATACCTCGCAAGCGACCGGGGTGCCGACACAGACATAGTCGATTACCATTCCGCCTTTGTTATTTTCCATGTTGAAGCTTCGTTTGCGTTTAGCGGTGACTGTCTATTTCTGTTCTTTAGGGAGTGTTTAAACCCTCCCTCAGCTTTCTGCTTCTGATATCCCTGGCGTCTGATGGAGCATTCTGCAAACACTTGACCCTGGCATTGTTCATGGGGTCTTTCTGATTGTGATTGGGATCCTTATGGGTTACGGTGGGATTGGTGAGTAAAGTGCCGGGATGGCCTATTGCATCTGGTGTCAAATTTGGCGTTAATATCCGCATGGGTTGGTCATGGGCCTCCATTGCATCGCTTATCTGGACGATGGTGACGTTTTTTATGTTGAAGCCCGCCTGCTGAAAGTGCGAGGCCTTTTTCCGAGTCTCTTGATCCACGGAGCAGCGCTGCTGTTTCCGCCTGCTCGATGTGTTCGCTGTACTCGAGATGCCCTCGAGCATAGCCTGATGACCGCTTTCTGTATCATACACCACGAAGATTCCCCTATGAATACAAAACACAAAAAAAGGAGGCCAGATGGTCTACCACAGTCCTGTCCATCGATCATGTTCAATCAGCTATACCTGATAGTCTTTCTGTAGGAAGTATGCAATGTGCGGGGAAGCTTTCCATCTTCACTCTTGCTGCCCGGTTCCATGGAACAAGCGAACATCCTCACTGCCTCTGATTCGTGCACTGCTACTCGCCATGTCAATCTATTCCCCATTTTCGGCGGTCTCCCGTCCATCCTCGCCTTGACCAGGCTTCCAGAGGGTCTATCATGCCAGATTCGATATCTCGTGGGGCCCAACCCCCCATTATGACGGTTGCTTGAAGCGCCACGGCCTATGTATGGCCTGGCAGCCAAGAGGCCATTGGACTCATTTTTGGCCGAGGTTCCACGACGCTCATCCAGTCCCACCCTCGCTCCATTATGAACCAGACCAGCACTAGCCGAAGATAAGAGGGACTCGGCAACTAGGTAGCCTATATAGTGAGGGGATTCACCATGGCGGGCGCATCGAGACGTCTAACCAACCTAACTCAGACTCTATCAACCCCTCGTGCCTGTCTTCCTTGTCTATCAGTACTACTATGTCTACCCCCGGCGCACAAGTCCCTGACCAGCTCCCCTGGGATCCGAACTGCACGCAGTTTCCCTCTCGCAAGGAGTTGCCTAGGATTCCAGGTGCCCCGGAGGATGCTGCTTGGGTTTGGGGAGAGGATGACTCGGTAAGTGCTGATGAAGAACATACTATATATATAGTATACATATATACCACTACCATGGCTATATATTGATGCAACTACTACTACTACCTAGCTCGGACGTCTGAACTTGCTCACTCCGGCCAGAGTGAAAGCAGCAGCTAAGGAGATACAAACAGGAGAAATGATTCGATTGGAGTGAGTGTTGCTCAGTTAAGCACAATTACATCGTATCCGAGAAGGCTCACATCCAGCTCAGTCTCCCGCTGAATATCCCAAACCCACCAGCCTTTGGCCGTGAATGTTTCCAGCACACCATCAAAGAAGTCGTCAAGGACGTCGTTTACGATGATACCTATACATTGAACACACAGAGCGGCACTCAATGGGACGGGTTTCGTCACGTACTATCTATCCCGTTTCTCCCCCATCATCCACCCCTACTCGCTAACATACTCATACTATATAGTTCGCCCACCTGGAAACCAAAACCTTCTACAACAACGTACACCCCCCAGCCCCCATCAATAAAGACACCCAAACTAACTACTAACCCCAAGACCAAACCCACCGACATCACCGGCCCATCCCCCCCAACCCGCTGCAGCATCCACCACTGGGCCACGCACGGCATCGCCGGCCGCGCCATCCTCCTCGACTACTGGCATTACGCCCTCACCCACCTCCCCTCTCCCCACTACGACCCCTACACCACCCACCCTATCACGCTCGCCTCCCTAACCGCCTGCGCCCGTTCCCAGGGGATCGACCTCCGCCCCGCCTCCCAAGGCGGCGACATTCAAATCGGAGATATCCTGCTCATCCGCTCCGGCTTCGTCGAACGGTACCACAGTCTTTCCCCCTCGGAGCGCGAAACCGTCGCAACTCGCTCCCACGAACATCTCACATTCGCTGGCCTAAGCCAAGAAGAATCTATGTTGGATTGGCTCCACGATTGCTACTTTGCGGCTGTGGCGGGCGATTCTCCGACGTTTGAGGCTTGGCCGCCTGCTAATGAGGGCGGGTACATCCATCAGCAGATTTTGGCGTGTTGGGGAATGCCGCTGGGGGAGATGTGGGATTTGGAGAGGTTGAGTGTCAGGTGTAGGGAGTTGGGCAAGTGGGTGGTTTTTGTGACGAGTGCGCCGGCGATGGTGGTTGGTGAGTTGTTTTTTTCTTTTCGCTTTCTTTCTTTGGTTTTGGTTTGTGGGATTGGGTTGGGCACAGGATGATGAAGGGTGGGTCTGGGATGGATATGTGAGTGGGTGCTAATGTGTATTCTGGATATAGGTGGCGTGGGATCTCATGCGAATGCTACGGCTATCTTGTAGATGTCAGGGTGGGATTGACATCTACATGATGTTTCAACAGGTAAGTTATAACATGATACTTCAGGCAGTGAATCAGTCAATAGGTGGTGATTATGACGGCATATAAATACGACAAATATGTCTACTATGTAGTCACGATAAGCAATATTTCAATATACAGCACTACGATCACGCAGCAATCAATCATCCATGTTCATTATGAGTCATTAGTCGTTACATTCATTAGTGAGGAACAATAGGAAATAAACATAGAAAATCCCCCCTCACCCCTCATCACCACTGCTATCCAAGCAAACAGACATAGAACGACCCAAGTATACACATATGTACCCAAGTCAATCCATGTGTGGATAATCCAATTCATCATCGTCATCGTCATCGTCATCGCCACCTCACTCTTATCCTTAAACCCCTCTGGTCTATACAAAGACCATGCCAATATATTAGCCAACAGTAGCAAATTCCGGAGAACAGCAGAGCACCAAGGCTTAAAAGAAATCCTCCGGCCATTTAAAGCCATTGATCTCCTCTGCGTCCTCCATTTTGGCTCCGGCCTGTGCCATGGCCTTATTGCGCGCCTCGCACTTCTTCACCATCTCCTTGGCGAGGCGGCGGTCGACCTTGGCTGCCGTGGCGGAGAGGTCTTTCGGGAGGGGCGGGACAGGAGGTATGTATTCGTAGCGGACGGGCTTTTTCTTACTCGGGGACGGGGAGGTGCCCTCATCCGGAGAGCTTAGCGCTTGGGGCTCCTCGTTGCCGTCATCCGCCTGGGTTGTCGGCGTGGTTTGGCGGTTCTCTTTGTCATGGTCGTCAAGTGACTGGATGGGCTCGCCGGTACTCGCGGAGCGGAGGTCAGCGCGGCCTTTCTTCATGCGAAGGCTGGGCTGCGCGCGGTTGCACGAGTTCGAGGCTCGTCTTCGCCCGGAAGGAGACCGCGTGCTTGCAGATCGGAGAGGCTGGGAGCGTCGTCGTCCGCGCTCTTCGCTTGGGGAACGGCCAGTGTCCCTCGATTGCTTCCGCTCTACGGAGCCGGGGCTATCGCTGGTGAACATCTTCGGTAACTTGGCCCGTCGGGGAGTGGTGGCCTCCTCGGAGCTAGCGGGCTGGTCAGCGTGAGGGGTCGGGTGCCTTGAGTCTGTTTGGGCAGCTTTTAATGACTCCGGATCGGGTGATTTCCGCTTGAGCGAGGGACTGTCTGCGCTAAGAGAAGTTTGTCCGTGACGGTCTTTGGGGGCTTTGAGCGTAGTATATGGCGTCCCGGCGAGTTCGTGCGGCCCGCTGCTGAGCTGGCGTGTTGTCTCTCGCTGGACATTCTCTGCCAGTGAGGTCAATGGGGCCGACGCAACTCGAGGAGACGCCGGGGATACGACCCCATTGTACAGCAGTCTCTCTGAAGGAAGTGAGGGAAGCGCCCCTGGGACAAACTTCCGGGAGTAAGGCTTTTCCAGATAGGGGGTCGGTGCCAGCACCTCCTCCTCGCCCACGAGTGCGCGCAGTTCTCGACGGGCCCGATCCAGCTTGACCTCCAGGTCGCTGACTCGCTTCATCAGCTTGGCTTGCCGTTGGAGCTCCTTGCGGGACTTCTGTCGTCGGACGGCAGACCCCTCCAGCTCCTCCAGGAACTTGTTGGAATCTTGCCGTTTCACAAGTGGAATTCCCAAAGAGGACTTGGCTTTCCGCAGCTCCTGGAATGACGACCGAACTGAAGCCCCCGATTCCGTGATGTCGCCCGAATTCTGTCGTGAATGGCGCCCCACAAGCCCATTTTCCATCTGCTCAGGTATCGGGTTCCACGATCGCTGGGGAGTGTTTGACTCTGCATGCAGATTCTGCAAATAGCTTCCCTTGACGGTCCCCTTGTAGCCCGACTTCTTCAGCTCCGCATACGCTTTCTCCGCCTGACTGAGAGGGTCGCCTGTCTGCTTGACTCCTTCTGCAGGCGGTTTTGACCCCCAGGCCCCGAAAGGATTGAATGCCGATGCGATCGCTTTCCCGAACCGGAAAATCCCCGAGGGTCGTTGGCCAGCAGCATTCCGTGCGTCATCGCGCATGAAGATGCTCGGCGGTTTCTCGCTCACGCTGTCACTCATGCTTCCCTCGACGAATCGCGAACGTCGGCCACGAATGGACGGACCAGCCTGGCGTGCATATCTCAATGTCCGCGGCGAGCCATTGCTCTTGAGATTTGCCGTGTGAAACGGCCTGCGATATCCCGTAGTGATACTAACGCCGGGGTTCTCCTTCCGTGACGGAACCTCATGGTCCGTGGCATTGTCGTGTTGTTGCAGCGGCCAGTCATTCGAGCGACGTCGTTTTGTCGAGTGAACGGAGGGAGACCTGCTCTGGGCGGGGGGGTGGTCCAATTCCTCGGCGTCATCGAAGCGACCGGAAACGTCGGAGGTAGACCCGGAATCGAGGCTGGAATCGAGGCTAGAATCGCTGGAGATGTGGAAATGCTTGCGGACGTGAGATTCGCGAGCAGCGTAGTCGGCACAGGTGGACTGGAGGGATTGCTCGAGCTGGCGATCTGCCTCGAGAGGGTCGAGGTCCATGGTGGTGTTGACGTCCACGAGACACGAGGGCAACTGTCGATCGGGAAAAGATGTGTCAGGCCCACTGCGCAAGGGACGGAGGCTCCGGGAAGAGACCGATAAGAGGCATCAAGCAGGAAGTAGGGAGAGACTCACCTCGGCCGCAGCTTCGCGATCCGACATGCCGTCAGCTACGACGATCCACTTCCACTGGTTGGGTCGGGGAGATGATGGTTCATCGGAGGCAGCAAGACGGAGCGGGCGGAAGAAAGAGAGGGAGGTTAGGAGGAGGAAGGGGAGGAAGAAGAAGAAGCGCGAGTGGGGGGTGGGAACGTGGTGATGGGGTCGCTGGGTGACAGGTGGATAGCGGTGAGTGGAAGGAAGGAAGCGTGGATTGTGAATGTTGTGAACTTGTGACTTGTTTATTGTTTACTTACCCCCGCCGGAGTTCCTGGAGTATGCGCCAAGCCGCGCCGCCCGTTGGCGACCGACCCGACCGACCCGTCCACTCGGGTGACAGGTATGCTCCGTTGGCATGCTACTATCAAGAACAATGCCCTCCATCTATGCACAGGCACATACGCCGCGCCTCCGTTTCACAACATAAGACAATCGGCCCCGTCCAGAACCCCTCGAACAAGGAAGGTGGTATTAACGGCTCCCGAGGAATGCTCCCCGGGATAACAATGGGGGAATATGTATAAACAGAATGCAAGGGTGAGAATCATATACAGAAACACGGCCAAAATGTGAAGGCCAAGGTGGTATAAACGTCAAGTCTGGTGTCATCAAAGATACCCCGGGGACCTTGTTCCCCATCCCCCTAATCCCCCGATCCCCCGATCCCCCAATTTCCCAATAGAAAACAGACCCAATGGGCCAACCATACGCCAAGACGCCACCGTGTATAAATGTGCCAAATACGTCGCTTCAATGCTGCAGATTTCATGGGACCACCGGGGAGATTTTTATGGCCATTCTCCCATTAGCTCGTCGGTATGCCATCTCCTCCCCGTTGTTGAGCACCGCCGCCCGGTGCACGTCCGACGGTCTACGGTTCATATTAGGGTGGAGGTCCGAGTCGGGGCGCATGCCATTGTATAGTGCACGTTCACTATGCCCAAACGCATCTTCGTGAGGTCGCTTCGATGAAGCTGCCGTAATCGTTTCCCAGAAATTTCTCCTTCGGTCAAGGTTTGGAGTCGGGGCAATGTGGCTCGGTGGTTGAGGTGGATTGTGCGCAGTTGGGGCAATATGGTTCGGTGGTTGAGGTGGGTTGTTCAGCTTCGGGGCAATATGGACCGGTGGTCGAGATGGGTTGTTCGGATATTCAGTGGCTATGGATGTGATGGGCGGAAGCGAAAAGGCTGGATTCGTGGGTGTTTGGGCACGAGGTACAAAGGGATCCACGGCTCGATTTGTAGGAGGTTCCGAATGATGCCACGTGCGGATAGGTGGCAAGAGCTTGGGATACTCGGAACGCTCGGTTGGCAGCCGAGAAGACGGAGGATAGCCAGGGGGTGCAGACTCGACCTCGGTGCTTGTCGACGGGTTTCTGGTGTGGGAGTACGACGGGTGCGGAGAGTATACTTGCGTAGGGGTGGTTGCGGACTGAGGAGTTCCGGGTAGCTGCGGAGCTGAGTATTGGGCCCGCGTCGCGCCGAACGAAAGATGTGAAGTATATGAGGAACTGCGAGACGAAGGCGCAATTGGGGCAACTGGCGTTGGGGTCGAAGACGGCGGAGGTACAGCCGCAGGCGGGACCTGACGCGGATACGTCTGAGAATTCGGGAAGCCATACTCTGTTGCAGATAGCCGGCGGGGGTCCTCGCCCCCGTAAGAGGAAGCAGGACCAATGGAACCAATACTGGTGGATCGAGGACGCTCGGCAGGGTTGGGGTAAGCATCATGAGCCGAACCATGATCTGGCAGGGGGCCGGGGTAGGATCTGTCGTCATCAAAGTCATAGTCGTCAGAACGCTTGTCTCCCCGTCGTCTCATCCGGACGTCGCGCCTAATGCGAACCCTGCAACCCTGCTCTGCAATGACCCGGCTCAAGGAAGTGCTGGTGGTTAATCCGGGGAATTTCTTGGCACTGAAAACCGTGAACGGGACGGAGACAACTTCGAGACGGAAGTTCAAGAACGATCTTGGCGCCGAAGGCTTAGAACCGTTCACCTTCATCACAGGTGACAGAATTGGAGTTCCTTCATCCGCATCCTTGCTGTCCTTGGTCTCCTCGTACAAGTGGAAGCTTAACCGGTAGACACCCTCGTGCCGGACGGAAAGATCGGGGAAAATGAAGTATCCAGCCGGGACCGGACGGTCCAAGTATGCCACGCCTGCCACCGGTACGCCTGTGAGAACTGGAAATGTCGGGGTCGGAGCAAGTCGTCCTTGAGCCATCGGCCGGGCCGTTTCTAGGGTAGCAAACAGGAAGAAATTGGCGTTGTAGGCGAAGGTGATGTCTGTCCTATGCCGGTCATCCTTGGGGTCGGACTCGTATATATGTAACTGGACAACCGGTGGAGGATCAACAGGGCGACGGTCCGCAGACGCTGGCAACAGTCAAGCACGGTCAGCCTCATCTCAAATCATGTCCACATTGCATGCGGGGATCGATGCGTACATTTGGCGCCTGCACCGCATGCTCGTGCACGTTCGGGTTGTTGGGTTATTTTGAGGTAGTATGTAATCTTCTTTCCATCGCGAGTGATCCGGCTGGCGGTGTGCTCGGTCTCATTCACCGGGGGTGAAAGGGGTGGTCTGGTAGCCATATTGTACAGGGAGCTCAATCAACCTGCTGAAATTAGCATCTCAACCACCCAACCGGTGTACTCCCCGCAGTAGAAAGAATCTGGAACCCGCTGCCCAACCCAGCCAGATGACCACTCACTTTGTATTGAATTGGGAAAGACTATGTCGAAACATGCATCGAAAAGGCCATGCAATACTTTTCAAAAGCGGGCCTCGTTCTCTTCCTGCACCAGTATTTTGACGCGACCGAATGAAATCTATGAACCGATCCGGCGGTTGGAAGACACCACACCGAAGAGAAGACTTTGCGAGTGCAAGAGCGATGATCGACCGATAAGTGTCGCAAAATTTAATCGACCGCAACAGCCAACATGGAAGTGTCCGACCGGGGGAATGGTGAGGATAAGATCAAAGGCGAAGGCGAAGCAAAGCGTGGGTCTGTCGTGGGACGGATAGAGGCGACGGAACGATCGAGAGCCCAGCAGCAATTGACCCCTGCAGGCGATGGAGGGAAAAAGGGGAAGGAAATAAAAAAGAGGAGAATTGAAGATGGATGGGACCCGATCAGATGGAACAGGATAGAGAGAAGGATGGTGAATGGGGGGGGATGCCACCACGAAGACCGGCGTGACCGACCAGACGGAGCCCAAGAGAGGGTGGAAGAGTCAGCCGTAACGACGGTCGAAGGCAGATGCGCTATAGCGACAATACCTACCATGGGCCAGTCGCCCACCCACCCTTTCCTCTGGGTAAGACGGCCCCGACACCCTGGGTGTAATTGGGTAAAATTACCCTGCTCGCCGGACGGCCCACTCGTCGGCCCTGGTTCTTCACTGCCTTTCGAATTTCCAGTTATCGAACGAGAAAATTCCCTCCTCCTTCCCCCCTAGGGAGCTTATTCAGTCAGTCGGAATGCTTTCCGACCACGTCATGGATAAACAATGATTTTAGTGGCGGTGGTATCTACCTACTATGTACTATGTACTATGTACTTCGTGATCGGAATGGTCATGATGTCGGTCTCGTACTTCCAATCTTCCATAGATTACCCGGTCACTAACTCACTATTGCACTACTGCGCCGGAGGGGTGGGTACTGGGTCGGACTGAAAAGGAGATGGAGCCAGAAGAGGGGAAAGCAGGCCCGGCCGATCCACTGGGAGGCCACGCCCATGCTTTAGCCCGCCCTAGGGCAGCGGTTAAGTTCAACTATGGGTCATTGCAATCGCAACTGCGACCGGTCCTGCCATCTTCGACCTCGGGAAGGGGAATCGAATCGAGGGGGGTACTTTTACTTTTCTTATTTTCATTGTTTTTTTTTTTGGCAACACTTTTTTATTTTTAATTATTCTTCAAGGTCAAAAAGAAATTCAGAAATTATCTACGGTATCGTGTACAATCTCTAAAAGCGGTGGGTCTGTCTCATTCTGGGGGCTTTCCGGCCGGGCGGGGAGGTCAAGGCCCGTGATCTCAGAGACAAGCACGACGCATTTTTCTATGGAGTTGGAGTATACGAGAAAGAAGGCGCTCAATTGCACCAGTGAAGGCATGGCGACTCATAATCCCGGATTTCCTGCTCGGATCTTCGTCAAGAAATTACTACTAAGCCTTCTAGCGACTAACGGATTAGTTACCTAGTCTAGTTCTTACTTAGTTAAGCTGCCATTGTTGTTAAGCGACGCAATTTGAATGGATGAAACCTAATCGAGGCGGAGTTTCTAAGCCGAAGATGGGCTAGGGCATTATTACTTCGGAATACTGCCACTTGCAAGCCCTCCAGGGGTTGAAAACCGGAGGCGATCTCACGTCAAAGTGGAAGGTGATGTCCTGGCGGACACTGCTATTGGGTTCTTCTGATAGTCCGTCGATGAGATCTGTCGGGCTGGAGAAGAGTCCCTCACTTAGTAAGGCATTTACTCATTACTGATCTAGTCGTATCTACCTAGTACCTGCCTATATTTAGGTGGTTCTGCAGCAGCCCGGGATTTGACCCTTCGGGATTCAGCAGAGAAAGGGACTAAACCTTTCTGTGAATGGCATCGTCAGCTGGCATGTCCCGGGACGGCGTAATATTAACCACAGGGTTGGTAACCCACTGGATTTCGATCCTGGGTGAATATGACGGGTCATTGGATTCCGAGAACCCTTCACATGAGACAAGTGCTTACCGGACTGCTCCCAACCCCTGTAGGTCACGTATAAAACCGTGTATTATTGGGCTCACGATACCCAGTCCAGCGGGCCGGTTGCTTATCCCAGATGCCTGGGAACTGGAAGAAAGGATTTTTGAGGATAGCGGGGTTGGCCCATGCGCCCTTTGTCTTGCTTGTCTACCTGGTCCTAGTGAGGTAGCCTTCACCCTGCAGGTTGGGCGCTGCGCCTTGCGGCTAATCGTTTTGGCGGGCTGGTATGGGGGTTGGCCCGATTTGTCAGGTGCATTCGAAATTATGCTCCTCCTAATGCTGTTATGCTACTTGAAATATTTGCTTACTAGTACTTGGCCAAAGACAGTCTGTCACTAGACCGCTGGTGGAATGGACATGGAGAAAGATGGCACCATTTTTGAGTTTGGCTACATCGTCAGTAACTCTGGATGTGTACGTGCTTCGGGCCTGAGGGCCAATGGTCTCGAGGCAGGAGATATTAATCTTCCCTGCACCGAGTGAGACTGGTGTTGTACGGTTGTAACCGGAGTGCCGCCGTACTTTGGTACCAAATTAGGGCTGGCCAGCGATGGCAGTCGTAGTTTTCTCGTAACTGTAAGAGATAGGTAGCTAGCTGGTGGAGAGCCCGCCCGTAAGTAAGCGTGATTTCCGGTACCGGCCGAAGAAAACCAAAGAACCCGAGAAAAGCAAATCTGGCACCGATCGAAGCACTGACGATCTTAACCGAAAACTACAGGAGCCGGGGGGTAGGTGTGTGCCATCCTGTCGCGCGCCCCCTCTCCAAAATGAAATTAGATCTGCAACAGTCGCCTCGAGGCTCGAGCAGAAAGGAAGCCTGGCGGGGAGGGGGGCCGGGACTGTTCACCAGTCACCAGCGGTCTTCAGGGATCCCTGGAAAATCGTCAGCTCGACAATAATGGTGCTCGCTGGTCAGCCCCATCCCTGAATTGGCATCCTTGGTCCTTCAAGTAATGTTAGCCTTATGAGCCTAGATACACAGTAGCGCCTGCAGGCCCGTCTAGGCCGTGGTCTTGCCTACTTGAGTATGGCATCGACTGGCGTGTTGTTAAATAACGAGGTTGCTGAACGAATCGGAACCGGGGCCCTCCCCACCCCCATTCGCACCTGCGGCATGATTCGAGGAGGAGGACCCAGTCACCCAACAGGTGGTGCGCCCTGGGCTAGTAAACCCGAGCATCAGGCGTCGGCTTGACTCATTGGCGAGCCCCGAAGACGGTGGTGCAAGTGGAAGGTTTCAAATTCGCCCCACCACGACGGTCCGCACCGAATGAAGCGGCCCCATTCCACCCAGATTGACAGCTTGGTTCAGGCTTTCAGCACTCAGCAGCTTGATGCTCGGGCTTGTTCTCCGTTGAGCTATCTACAAGGCTAGAAGCATACTTGCTTAGTATAGGCACTTAGGCAGGCATCGCCGCCAGTCTGTCAACTCTGCCAGCAATGCCCTACATATCGCACTAGTAGGTCTGCAGCCTGGGACTTTGAATGGTCCAAGCGGATGCCATTCAGCCTGTTCCGCAGTGTAGAATGCAGCATGCACATACCTACGGAGTACTACTAGATAGATACTTGGGATCCATCAATGACATCTTCCCCCCGAGGTTTACCCTAACGAAGCATGTCTCGGTTTCTCAGGGGGTGGTTTACAATAAGTTGCGGGATAACGGCGAGGGACTCCTCGTGTACCTGCTTAGACTTCGACTCTGAGACTCTTAGACTCCTAGACTCCTACTACATTAGCATTAGAGGAGATTCCAGGGCCCACCGCGCACCTTCCCCGGGGTGACTATCGCCCCTGCCTGCCGGGCGGGAATCTCAAAGAGGAGTTTTCTCCGGAAGATCTCCATGTCAATCCCCTTCCCCCCCGATACCCTCATTCATCTCATCGGCTTGAGGATCGCAATGAGAATAGTCAGGACCCGTGATGGGAAGATCCAGGTTGAATCATGTCGAGCTCCTTGCACCAAGAATGGTTACTAATTAGCTAGGATGTGCCGAAACCGACGATGACAGCTATCTATCTAGTGATCACCATCGCCGATGGCGTATGTATGTCTGTATGTACATACGTATGTACTTCAAGCTCCTGGCTCGAGATAGATACGTGTTCCCCTCTGCCACCGTTGCCATACCGAATCCTACCAGTGCTTACGTGCAGCTGAGCCATGGAACCACCACGCCGCATGGATTCCAGAAAACTGTCAGAACCAAAGCGGTGCATCGCACTAGACCTCTAGGTTCACGATTGACGTGTCCGCCCAGGCTTACCGACGTTTGTAATCGAGGCAAAGAGCATCGCCAGAACCGTGAATCCGACCATGACATGCTTTGGGACCGGATGGCGAGGGTGCATCCGGTGGTGGTGGACTATCGAGCGCAATTGCCCAGTAACCACCCTGTCGGGTCTACCCGCATGGATCTTCCTGGTTGGGCTGCATGGGTCATGGGTGGTGCTGGAATTCCGGTATTTGAGAAGACGTAGGGAGAGCTCCGAGAGAGAGAGCATTCATTATTCATTCATCCATCCAAGGATATCCCCCCAGGTCGCGCTAACCCGGCTGGGAAACCGGGCTTCGATGTGGCAATAATCATCTAAATCATAATAATAATGAATGCCACCTCACCTCACCACATCACCCCACCATCATTATTATTTGCACTATACGGGCTATCTGAAGTGAGCCCGAGTCGGCCAAGCGGCGACACTCGGTCTTAAGTAACAGCGCTTGTACGACCCTGATCGTTGAGGGGATCTCGGGGATTAAGGACCATCCATCGACTGCTCTCTCTCCAAAAGCAAGTGGTTGGTTGGCAGGACGTGTGTGTGTGTGTGCATTCCTCGCATCTGCAGAAGATTTATCCCTGTTCATTAACCCCATCGATCGTGTCCGAGTAATCTCATTCCCCGCCAAGTTACACCCATCCCACCCTGCCCTTGGTCAGTGCCTCGGGTGGAATCCCAATAATACGGGGTAGATTGCCGGGTAGGCAAATCAACTGGCTGGGTTTGATTGCCCTCAACTGGCGCGAGAGAGAGAGAGGGAGGGAGGGAGATTGCGGTGGCTGTGCGATCAAACCACTGAGTCTCTCCCCACGATTACCTTTCGGGGACCATCTACGTAGCTCCATCCAACCCTGTGCCACCACCACAATTTGTCACCCAATAACTCTCAATATTCTCCCCATCTCCGGGCCATTCTGCAGGATATGGTCGTTTGGACCACCCCGTACCCCGTACCCCGTAATGAACCCAGCAATCTCTGCACCCAGTCTGTGTCTACATATAGTGTATAGTGTATAGTAGTGTATACCGATTGTCTACGATCGACTTCACCTCTTTATCTACCTAGTATCTATCTATATCCCATCCCGGCATATCCTTGCGCAGATCTTCATTACCGACTCCCCTCCGTGGCTGGGCGATAGTTCGCCAATATACATACGTAACTCAGGTATAATAGCTGATCATAAGGTCTCTTCTCTCTCTCTCTCTGTCTCTTATTCATTCGATGGATAGAGATTCCCACCTCCTATTACGGAGCCCACATACATCCAAAGTACATAAGTAGTAACTGCTGGAGCTGCCAAGCACCAACCCCATTTTAGGAGGCGCCCCTCCACTCTCCACAACGGAGGAAATAGTTTATCTATCACGCTGTCATAATATTGAGCACGGAGCCACCTGCGTACTCACTAGCTAGTATCTAGCTACATCCATAGCTAGAGTATAGTACTTAAGTAACTGACTAGTTGCGAGCTACGAGCTGACTAGTCTGATTTCGTTCTAGCTGACCGTTATTTTTTTCCCAGGGTACGGGGCGACGCGGTGTATCCCAGCCAGGCCCAAATGTGATGCATCAACTCCCCTCGTATTTCCGGGACGGGATCAGGGGCGGGGCCTTCGCAATTCCGGACCATTGCTCATCTCCAATCACGGTGGTTGGACGAGGAGACTTTGCTTCGTATCATCGATGGATGAAGTTAGTTCCACCTTCAGCATGGAGTCAAGGTCTGCTAAGTTGGTAGCACCATCGGTACCTAGTTTCCTTCTTCCTGGGCCGCCGTTGAGCTTAGGCTCGGATGCGGATGCTCGGTCGTCTGTGCGTACCTACGCGGGCGTTCCCATATCCTAGGGTGGGCTTGTGCGGTGTTAATGCATATTGGATGTCTCCTTTGCACTTGCATAGGGGGACCAACCGACGTCATCTTCAGAGATTAGGAAATCGGGTAGTCCAGACCTCGTCGGATTCCCTGGTGCGCCCACTAGATTAGGTTAGACAACTCTAGACAGTGTGACTAGTATGAGATCGAGGGCCTGGATTCTTAGTCGCCATTGTCCTGGAGGTCTGGAAAGAGCAACCATGGTGGAAGTCTCTTCCGCCAATGAAATGGTCGCTTCGGCTCGAATAATAGGTACGAAACTTGGGGCTCTTCTAGGCCCTTTCTTCCTGGTCTCCAGGCTCAGGGCTGTGCTCAGAGGTACATGACTCTTTCTTGAGCCTGGCCTGTGCATAATGTGGGGGGATGTTCAGCTGGCCGAGGAGGTATATTATCTTTCGTTATAGGTGTAGTTGCCTTGCTCTTTGTTGAGGCCTCTGGTAGTCCAAGAGTAAAGTACCCACTGCTGCGTGATCTCCAGCCTCAATTAATTCCAAAGATGCGACCAATGATACATCCCTCTGACCTTATCAGCAGCCAACTTTGGACCAGGCTCAGTAACCCCGACGGCCCGATGGTTCTGTCAAGGTGCATCCGTTTAGTTTCCCTTACCGGGAATCGTCCATCCTCGACATCGTTTAGGACACCCTGCGGAGACATCGATATCGGATTGAAACTTAGGTTTAGATATCCTTCAAGCACTGGTTCTGCAGGGATGGAGAATATGATCTCCTGAGCATGAGTCAGGTCGGCAATCCCGGAGATGTTGCCGGATTTGGGATTATATAATGGGCCCATCATATATTGGAGACCAAAGTAGCTCCAGGCTATCGGGAATGCGCATTGGCAGATAGGTACCTTTCTGAGCGTTCTCATTGCTGGAATCTACTGTGTACATGCCAGCTCAGTAGGTAGTAAAGGATCACCATGGATCATCGCCGACCATGCCTGCTAGTGAACAATGACGAGATGATATGAAGTTCTAACATACCTCATGACATAAAGCCCTTACTTTTCGGACTTAAGCCTCCCCCGTCCGATATCCGATTAGGGCCGTCATTGCCGCAGCCCATCCTTACCTACCCCAGAAGCATCACACCGGACGTTTTGAGCTCCTGACGCAAGGAGCGATGACCACATTTCCATTCATCTCTCGGATATGTCCGTCGTTATCGATCTGCTATCGCTATGCTGAAGGGTTGTTCACTATTTACGTTTGCTCGGTACGTTCATCCGGGGTGCAACATGTGGCTGCACACAGGTTTCATTCCCTTGCTTCTTCCATGGCGTGAGTCGGTCCAAGGGTTTCGGCACAGAATCCGATGCCAAATACTCATCTAGCAGACGAATGACAAATATTTTGCGAATAGGTCGTGTACGTATAGTTTAAAAAGTGTGGGGCTGGTAGGTATGCATGTTTGCGTCATGTGCATGATAGGGGCTGGTATCTCCTGAAGAGGGAGAGCGATTTTTGTGTGTCTGTCCATTGCCAATGTATCTGTTGACGGCCAGCGTGTTCTATCCACATTATCACCGGACTCCTGGCTGGGGGTAAGCAAAAGCATGCAGATGATAAGGTAGTATATCGCTGCCCGGGAAAAGTGGCATTGTTGGCAGCCCTGGTGTGCAACTAGGCCATTGGTGCTCCTCAGATTCACCCCTGGTAGCTGGATCTCTTGAGTGGAAGATGCATAGTCTTGTGACTGCACTTCAATCGATGCTGATATGGACTCGAGGCTTCTGGCCGAAACTGCCAGCACACTGACGATCCCTGCTCCTAGCCATGGCAGCCGACGAGGTGATGCAGCTAGACCGGTTTGTGTTCGTAAGTTTCCCGATCACGACTCTGTATCTCATGGGATTAACCCTCACTCCTCGATTCAAGGGGTCATTCAGAGTGTACCTTGATGTCACTGGGACTGACGCTTATTGGGTTGGACGCATTGCGATAGTCATCCTCAGAATGTCTCGGGATGTGCTCCGTGCGTCAGGCATACAAGGCTCCTGTTCAACATTAACATCTTGTTCATTCAAATATACTCCGTACGATCAAATGTCGCATCGGTCATGAATTCCACGTAAGTATACGAAGGGATACGAACTAGATCATGGATGGTCACTGTTAGTGTAGTATTCACGACTTTTGCTGCATAGTCATAGTCCTGCAAGCCAACTAGAATCGGTCAAGGTACATTTGTCATTATGAGCAGTATCCTAAGACAGGTAACGCAAGGTTCGGTAGAACAAACCTGATTGAAGTATTTATAAGCCGGTGGCCTGCACAGTTCTGGGCGGTTGATAACCCTGTTGCAGCGCCAACCAATAGTTTCTGGCCTTCAACATTCTGGTTTTGGATGACGGTGTTGGCTCAGTCGGTGAGATCTATACTTGTTGTTTATTCTAGCTATTCCCGACCAAGCATGAAAGGATATATGGCGTCAAGTTGTGTAATTACCCAGAATCCGGGAGGTCGATCATCACCTCACAAGATATCCGAAGAGGGATCTCATTACCAGATTCTTGCAATATCATATATTGTAGAGACTAAGATAATTTCTGACGAGCAGTTTCTCGTGAGAGGCAAGGTGGTGATTTTAGCATTATGCTGACTCGGTATCATGAATGTGAGGTCAATATATATATAACTGCCACCTAAGGGCAGTATAGGAGGTGAGAAGGACATACAAAGTATATTTCGGTGAATGAACATTTGGTAAGCCAGGCGTAGCCCTTCTATTGATGTGACATGGACCCTCAGTTCACAAATTGTCCAGAAGATCAGGGTGGAGGAGTGGCGGACCATGAAGAAGATTGAGGAGGTGGTGAATGGTGAAGCCGAGAAGGAAGGAGCCCCGGCTGGGGAGACTGAGAGCACGTGCACCCGCGTTTTCTCCGCGTCGCCCACGAGATGAGCGAGTCTCGATCTCGTCCTCCTTGACCCCTACGCTTATGGATCTTTTATCGGTCCTTCCGGACTTTCCGACTAAACCATACGCTCATATTATCCCGCCCCTCGAAAGAAGTCACATCACCACCGTCGATTTGATTACCCTCGATACCCTTGAAGTCGCCAAACGTGCTCGTGTTCCTCCAGCCGACGTCCGCCGACTGTCCGCCCAGATTATCAGGGCACTCCACCATGACGTCGGCTTCGAGGAGAACAAAGATTCCGATGCCGATGAGCCAAGCTCTAGCCTCGGTGTCGACATTTCTGTCTTCCCGGGCCCGACGATTAGGCTAGATCTATCGCAATGGTGTGCGATAAGTACACTCGACCCCACGTTGGATGCGCTGCTCGATGGCGGGATCCCGACTGGTTATGTGACGGAAGTGACTGGTGAGAGGTGCGTACCCTCGCTCTTCCATAATCAATAGCCAAGGGGGCTAATCAATCACAGTGGGAGTGGCAAGACCCAGTTCCTTCTTACCCTTCTCCTGGCTACCCAGCTTCCTGCGCCTCGTGGCTCGGGGAAGCGTGCCATATACATCTCTACAGAAGCTCCATTGTCAACACCACGTCTTTCGCAGCTCATCGAGTCCCATCCATATCTCTCCACCCTGTCTCAAGATCAAACTCCCTCGCTGGACAATATCTTGTCTATCAATGCCATGGACCTCGAGACCCAAGACCACATTCTCAACTACCAACTTCCCGTCGCAATCAAGCGATACAACGTTGGACTTGTTGTCATTGACTCCATTACCGCCAACTACAGAGCGGAGCATGTGTCGCATAATCTATCGGGCTTGTCCACACGATCTGGTGAGCTTGCCAGACTAGGTCAAATGCTAAGGAACTTGGCCGCGAATGAGAATATTGCAATCGTTGTCGCAAATCAAGTCTCTGATCGGATTGAAGCTGCTGGTGGCCACCCAGCCCTACTCCGTCCAGGTGGTGGTGGTGTCTCACCTATTCCTTCTACGCAGCAGCAAGCACTGCCGTCACATCACGAATCAGGAGCTGCGACACCGTTACCTCGAGGCCGACCTCTCGAGTCTCGAAACGTCGAGCTAAACCCACACAACCCTATCTTTCCATCCTCGCCTTCTAGTTTTGCCTCATCGCCATATCCTGCCGAGGACGATCTGCAACAGCAGCCGTTCGACGGGTCATACCTGATTGGCAACCCTGTACGGAACGAGATACTGAGTCTTCACCATCAGCAGCGGTTCTTCACCGGGTGGGGTGATACGCCGCGAACAACATCCTCAAGCTTTTACCCTGCTTTTCAACAATCCTCACAGAAGACCCCGACGCTGGGCTTGGTTTGGTCTACTCAGATTGCATGTCGGATTGCACTGAAAAAGGAGAGCCGCACCGTGGATTGGGAAGCCATTCTCGAGGACACCTTTGCGTCCAGTGAGCAACACTTGCTGCCCACTGAGGAGAGACAGGCCAGTGAGCCCCCTGCTATCCCCGACAAATTCAATCCAGTCGACGAGCAAGAGAAGCCTGTTGCTCCGGATATTTCCCCCCACACAACACCGACAAAACACCCTCAATCATCATCCCCGCAGGCAGTTACACGGGGCGTACGGAGGACCATGAAACTCGTATTTGCCCCCTGGACTGCTGGGCCAGTCACAGAGCAAGGTGAAATCCAAGACGAGGCGGAGTTTGAAATCTGGAAGGGCGGGTTAAGAGGCTGTACAGAAGATTTCGACACCATCTAGCGCTAGATATCCCCCCGATACGATTAACGACCGATATAACACTCCCTTCTATTTCCTCCCCTGTAAACCCCCCAAGAACTCCTCCACATAACCCCAAACCCCAGCCAAAACATCAGGGTTGCAACCTCGCCCCTCCATTCTGGGACTAGCGTCTCTTTTCGGCCTCTGGCGGAACTGGCGCCCCCGCAGTTGGCAATTCTTCCCTGCACCACTGGCAACCCAAGGTTAAGCTCTCCCTTGACTTCCCAACGCCCCTCCCCGACCTTATTTTTATGCTTACTCCCTTAGTCTTATCTCGATCTAAGGGGCCTGCGGATCGGACATTTATTGTTTTTTTGAGCTGATGCAGTGGGGCTGGGCTGGTCTGTGTGTCTGCGTCTGTCAGATGTCAACATGGCATTTGCATTGGCATTGGCAATTCAATTCGTCGGTCAGTTCTTGAATAGGGGCTGGGCTGGGTTTTATCATACGATGCCTGTCGTCTGAGGATCATGCAAAATTCACGAGATGTACGAATTGATGAAGCAGGTTCAGGTTCTATATACCGTCTTGAAAGCGAAATGAGAGCAGAAATCGCATCAAAGGAACACCTCCCCGGATTAATAGTGGACGATTAAATCAGACATGATGGCCTTTTTTACATCAAGATCCTACCCCCTTTCCATATACGCCTTCAACTCGAATTCGAATCAACTCGCAGTTACTCTATGACAGAACAAAGTGTCATACCGTGGCCATATCGATCCTGCGAGAGAACCACGAGACGCGGAAAAAAAGAAAAGAGAGAAAAGAATTCCAAAAAAATCACACGTTCTATGTACGACGGACATGCTCTATTTCGCAAGCTTGGCAGGGGGAACTCCGATGCCGTTAGTGTTACGGTAGAAAAGCACTCCGGAACTTTCGCCCTGGGAGCCCTCGGTGGGCTCAACCCAGTGGCACACACGGGCACTGGTCCAGAGAGCCTTGAAAAATCCGGTCCATCCGGTGTGGGCCTCGGTGCGGTAGTGGGAGCCCATGACCTTCTTGATGGCCTCGCTCGCCTCATCGGCGTGGTAGAAGGGGATGGTGCTGACATAGTGGTGGAGAACGTGAGTCTCAATGATACCGTGGAGGATGTGACGACCGACGAAGCCGAAATCACGGTCGATGGTGGCAGCGGCACCGCGAGCAAAGTTCCAGACTTCAGGCTGGTAGTGGGGAAGGGTGGGGTCGGTGTGCTGGAGGTAGGTAATGGCAACTACAGTTCTCTCGGTCAGCTTTGACTCCAGAAAAAGGTACTAGAGCAGGGGGAAATGACTTACCAAGCCAGTGGTTCACCCAGAGATAGGGGATACCGTACCAGATCAGAAGGTTCATCCAGCCGTACTTGGAGCCGACCAGGTACAGAACGCTTCCGGTAATGGCGAGACCCAGGTCACTCAGGGCGATGAGCTTGGCATCCTTAGCCTCGTACAGAGGGCTGGAAGGGTTGAAGTGGTTGACACCGCCGAAGTAGCCGTTCTGCTTGCCCTTTCCACGGCCCTCGGGCTGACGCTCATGGTTGTTGTGACCGGTGACGTTGGTGAACAGGTACATGGGCCAACCGAACAGCTGCTGGAGGATCAGGTTTAGGGCGGTCGCAATGGGAGTCTCCTCCATCAACTCATTGAGCTCGTGGACAGCCTTGCCGACGCGAGTGGCGTACTGATCCCGGGTCTTGGGAACGAACACCATGTCACGGGCGATGTTGCCGGTAGCCTTATGGTGCTTTCCGTGCGAGATCTTCCAGGAGAAGTAGGGGACCAGGAGAGCGGAGTGGCAGATCCAGCCAACGGTGTCGTTCAACACCTTGGATGGAGAGAAGGCCTGGTGGCCGCACTCGTGAGCCAAAACCCAGACACCGGTACCGAACAGTCCCTGCAGAACGGTGTAGAGACCCCACAGCACAACTCTCGCGGGCTTGGAAGGAACGGTCTCGGGAGTCACGTAGTTGTGGAAGACATAGAAGATGGTCGCGAGCCAGAAGACATCCCGGAACACATACCACAAGCTGGTCAGGGCCTTCCGCTCATAGCAATGGGCGGGGATGGCATCACGGATCTGCTTGATGGTGTAGTCCGGGATCTGAAACTCGTTTCCATAGGTGTCCAGCATCTTGCCCTTGGATTCGGCTTCGGCCTCAGATGCCAACGACGACAGGGAAGTGGAAGAGGGCGACTGGCGAGGGCTGTCCAGAGGAGAGGGGGTGACCGAGCTGGGGACGGAGGAATCCGTAGCATTGCGGTGCAGCGCAACGCGCTTGGGGAGAGCTGTGGAAGACATTCTGAAGCTTGTCCCAGGTGATCTCTGGAGCTTGAAGACGACGAGGGCTAGAGGTTCGCAGCAATATTAGCCAATGCAGCTTGTGTGATGCGCGGGAACAAAGCCATCTCGTTGTCTCGAGTCACACGGCCCGTGCAGAGGACCAGGGCAGCACAATGCAACATACCAGGAGATTAGGACACGACGCCAAAGCTATACCAGCTCAAGGTAGTCACTGGATGGAGTGAGCTCCCACGCAACGAAGGAGGGTGACAGGACGGGGTCGGAGAGAGAGAAGGGAAGGTGGTGAGGTGACAATCGGGAGGATATAAATGGTCGCCTCCAGAAAGCCTTGGCCGGATAGAAGTGGGACGGGGGGAGGGTCAAAGGAAGAAAAAGGACAGGCGAGGAGAGGCAAAACGAGTGAAAGAAAAATAAGGGCGATTGTTTGATGATCAGCTGTTCCGCGACGAGCAGAACCCGGGGGAGAGGAGGGGGGCGCTGGTCGAAGGCGAGGGCGAACCAGAAAGAAAAAAAAAAGAAGGAAGGAAAGAAAGATGGAATGAAAAAATTGCAAAAGAGGAAAAGGCAAGGGGGGGGAAAACGCATGAACCCAAAGAAGGCGGGTTTGATTGGGGAGAAGTGAATTTCCAGTGCAGTCGGAGAAGAAGCCCAGAAGAAAGTCATCCAGACAACTCCCGATCTGGATGCTGGCCCGCCGCCCCTGGTCTGGTATTTTCGCGTTACGGCGGATCTCCCGTGAAAATTTGGTATCCGGTGGGCCCCTCGCCATTGGCCAGGACCCCGTCTTCCAATACGGAACCGCGTCCCGACTTACGCGAATCTTACGGCCGACTCCATTACATACACGACTTGATGCCCTTCTTTATTCTGACTTTCCAGAATCTCAGCTAAGTCGGCGCTTACTGGGTCTTGTCGCTGGGGGCCATTCGCCTGACATGCCCTACATTGTGCTTCTGCAGACGCTCCCTCGGATGACTTGATCGACAGAGTTAACCTTCTTTGCTCGGGGCAGACTGGATACTGGGGGGTGGATGCTCTGAGCAGAGGTCGACGCTGGGCCTATGGCTCGCCCGAGCTGCATGACCGACCCAGCTGGCCGCATGCCTATGAACATGAACGCGGGTTCACCTGAGTTTCGGGCCATCTGTGACTGGTTGACTCGACGAGACGCCACCGGCTAGGCTTGCAGCTGGAAAACATGCGGCTGATTGGTACGACGCGAGCGACGAGAGACTGTCGTCGCATTCCGGGGTGTGCTGACAACGGCGCGCCTGATGGATTATCTTTTGCCCCTGATGAGCCCTCCTCATCCGAGCTCACCGCAAAGCAGAAGATCATAAGATGCAGGATCCTGGAGGTTCCAGGCGGACAGACATGCTACTACTTTCCTACATAGTACATACTTACAGGCTTACCGACCATGTGGCTGGGTATTGCAAAATACCCACGTTCCAGAAGACGGCGAACGGTTACCAGGGACCATGAACCGGGGAGGCTCACCGCCCCGCTGGACCCAATGGGAAGGTATGGCTGGGCCCCACCGCCGGGTAAGAGGGAAATTTGGCTTCTCAACAATCTTGGCAACTTCCCCCTCGGAAACTGGGAAAATTGAGATGGGGAAGGCCCGGACGAAGAATCATCGGATTATTTTTACCGTTGCCTCTTTCAACTCTCTTCCCCCTCCGAGGTGTCATATGCCATCTGCCACCGGGCTCTGCCACAGGCCACACTGAGTCGTAATGGATCGGAGATGATTCGGGCATCTTATCAGAAAAAGGATCCCGGTTTGCCATGTAGGGATCATCCCTCCAGCTCAGCTCTCACACCCCAAGGCCCAGGGGCATACCTACCTAGTACCTACCTACTGGAGCTGGAGCCCATCTATCTAATGGTCGCCCTGACACGATGTACTATTCGTCCTTCACATGCCATCCATCGAAATCCGATCCCACCAATCAACCCCCTATCCTGGCGCCAGATCTCGCGCCCCAATGCGTACGCCTACATTAGAACCTGAATTTAGAGATCATCCTCATCACCAACTTCCCAGCTCCCAGACCCCCAAACCATGTGATTTGCCCAGCATGCAGGAATCCACGTATTTATGTAGTCGGCACCTGAATAATGCCAATCGCATCTCAAGTGGAGCCAGCACCACTATCAACTCTGAGTCCTGAGTAGGTACCTAGGTAGTATGTACTATGTAGATACTAGATAGGGCCTAGTTCAACCCATCGAAGGCGGCGCGCGGGTGGAAAAACTTTAACCACAACTTGCCACATCAGGACCACCGGTATTGCCAATTACCGATAGGGTGGTACTTTAGGGTAAACAAATCATGATCTGTCTAGAACTTATCTTCCTTAGTCTTACCTACTTAGATACTATACTAAAAGCGATGTATGTGATTGATTGATTGTTTTTAGTGTCTTCCCCAACTATCTCTAATCTCCATTCCATACTTCCTCCTTTCTTTCCTTCCTTCCCCTACGCACATCTACTACCTACCCAACCCCATATCTTTCCCCTTCTTCTTCTTTTTTTTTTTTTTTCTTTTAAATATAAGTGAAAAAGGAAATAACTGGAAAAGAAAATAACAAATTCCAATTAAATCGTTAACCTAAATAAACTACTTCACACACATACACACATCTCCCAACCCCATAAAAATGTATATACTACTGCACCCAAGAAAAGTAGGTACAATGTCAGTCAGCATCTGTTGGGACACCAGCCATTTTTGTTGAGATTGGGTCCCGGTGGGGCTGGCTGATCGGGACAGGGATGGGGCAAAGACTGTCAATCAATTACCGACTCATGAACCACACCCGGTGTGAAAGGGGAAAAGGAAGGCTAAAGGGAAGGGTACTTTGTAAATTGTATTCGGGACGTAATTGGGGGGGAGGGGAGGTGGAAAGTATGTATGTATTGTTATGTATGGTGGAAATTTTCAATTGGGTGGGTGGGTGGGTGGGTGGGTGATAGTGATGGGTTGATTTTGGACGGTGGGTTGGATGTACCTCAGTATCTACTAGGTTATTATTGTTGTTGTTCTTGCTTTTAGACGTGTTGGAGTATTCTTTTATTTATTATTATGAGACTTAATATGCTTATTATTGGGGATGTTGTACTACGTAGGGTCTTGATTTGGGAGTCGTCTATAGGTTGGTTATATTTACCTAGGTTCTAAAGTATGCAGAGGTCGGTAGGTGCGTGGGATGTATGTACGCAGGGTGGTGTCTATGTGCTTTGAACATGCAAGCGCTCGGAATCAACCAACCATGCCCCGCCATGACTCCCCCCAGACAGAGACAGGCTCACTGTTGTCGTGCGCAGATCAGGTAGTACCAGCACTGTCTCGCCATGGTTCCGGTAGTCGACCTCGCACGGAATGGGTCTGCGTTGCAGTGCTGCCGCTGCCGCTGCCGTCGTGGACCCAGCTGCCACGGGCTGTCCAGGACTGGGACTCATTACTTGCCCCCCTGCTGCGGTCGAGGACGGTGGCGGCGACTGTGACAGGGACGATGATGTTGACGACGATGGTGGTACAAAAGTCCGGATTTCCAGCCCCGGCAGGAGCAGATGCCCGGCTTTTTGCGGAAGAAGCATGATCGCAAAGGTCTTGGTTTCGCCTTCGTCGGCCGTAAAGTTGCCGCGACGTCGACCACCGACCAGCCATGACTCGGGATTCGCGTGGATCTCGTACGAGAATTCGAGAGGGCCACCTTCATTCTCGCGGTGCTCGGGTGAGCACCATCGTCGTGTATGACGTATGCTGAGTTCTGCAGCGATCATCTGCCCAACTGCCGCGTGGGGAGGCTGGTCGGCCAGGTTGGAAAGGCGGAGCTCGGCTGTGTGCACAACTTGGATCTCTGGGATATCGACGGGGATGATGATATGTCTGCTGGGTACAGCTGGAGACTCTGGGAGACAGACGACCGGATGGTTCTATGCTTGTCAATATCTTCCGTTACCTCGAGCGGGGCGTCAATGGATGTGCTGGGGACTTACCTTATGCCATTCCATAAGCCAGGGCTTTAGTCCCTCCAATGGCTCTTTCAGGGCGCCCAGTAGCGTCTCCCAGTGGGCATTTGCATACTGCAGAGTTTCCACCTCCCGGACTAGGCCGACGACCTCCATGTCAGAAGTCGACAACTGCGAGCGGAATGTCTCAACAATGTGAGATGTGAGTAACGCGGTGTACTTCTGGAATTCACTAGCGGCGATGCTTGATTTGAATGTCCGTTCGACTGCATCCAAGCACTCGTCGTCCACGCAAGTAAATTCGACGCTTAGTCGCAGGGAGCGCCTTGACCCTGGAGTGGCAACGCTGTCTGCCCGCTGTCGGATTTTGTAGAGTAATGATGCTGGCTGTTTTGCAAACACGTTTAGCGCTGCAGAGTCACCAATGCTCGACTGCACTTCGTAAACGTCTGATCCCGGAATCTTGCACTTCAGGATCCGGAGGGGAATCAGCATGGCCGGGCTGATGGTAAACCGGGAGAATAGCACGCTATCTTTAAAGACGTCCTGCACGTTAACACTAATCGGCAGGCCTGAGATGATGTTGTGCACCGACGAGTAAGAGAACCGCCCGCGGTCTGTTTCATATGCTACTTCTGCCCTTGCAGAGAGCATTGGGTGGTGTTCCTCGACCGTGTAAGGAATCCGGAACCGGACAAATGAGTTCGGCTTCAATTGCGTGAACTCGATATTCCCGGAATCACTATGGGCTTCAATCTTGATGTCTCCCTCTACCACTTCGGCTTCGGCAGTTCTTAGCCGTAGGCCAGCAGTGGCAGGTCTGACTCGAAGAGTTCCTGTTTTAATATCATTCCATCCGCTGCTGAGTTCCAGCTCAAGCGTCCGCAGCTCCTCCAGGTTGACGGAATGTGGCGACACAATCTTTGCCTGAAGGCCGTCCGGCGGCGGATAGCAATAGATGTATGGCCGACTGTCCTCTTCCTCGGCCTCTATCACCTCTCTAAAGCCCACTGGCAACGACGCATGTTTTCCGCCCGCGAAACTGAAAACAATATTTTTCGCGCGCATCTCGATACGGTCCACATAGTATTTACCTTGCAGCGTTATCTACAGCAGTCAGCATGTGTAAAGATGGGACAGCAATAGTAGGTGAGAAGTAATGCTCACCGGAGAGTCAACCAACACCCTTGTCGAGGATGATTTGATGGTCATTGCAATAGGTGCCTCTATCCAGTGCTCATTACTTTGAGAACTGTGTGCACCGACCAATCGTAGCTTGATCGAATCGACATCGATGCGCTTCCCAAGAGTAAACCGTAGGTAGAGTTGTAACTGGAACCCGTCCTTGTCCGCATAATGCAAGATTGCAGGCTTGACATTGATGTCCGCAAAGAAATCCGTCATGGGCGCCGTGACTTCTTTCTGAAGAGGGCTCGAAACATTGAACAGCTCCTCCACGTACTCAGAGATCAAGGCATTTTCCGCAAAAATATGCGATGCATCTAGCGTCTTCTGTCGCTTCGATAGGTTGGACTGGGTGTATGTGGAAAACTTGGCAAGAAGACGAAGGATCACCCGGACATACTCTTCACTGCGATTAAGTTCTTTCAGACACCGTGTATACATCTCCAGCATGATACCTTCTAGAACAACCCAATTCTTGCTACCATAGAACGGGGCAAGGTGATGGAAGTATGACGCAGCCGCCCCATAATCGCTCTGTCGATATCGTATAAGAGCCATATCGGCAAGAGCGGCCTGAGTGGAATATGTGCGGTTTGCAGCAATATGATGACGATACATCTGATCGGTCAGTTCTTCGTAGTGAGCACGAAAAGCCTTTCTGGAGTGAAGAGCCAGCTTCAGGCCAGGGAGATCAACTCCAGAAAGAGGATTGGTGCCTTGGGATTTCTCTGCTGGCGCGGGGCCTCGTCGTCCAGGGATACATCAGCCATGTCACCATCGCCAGATCCTTCGTTAAAAAGGAGACGCAGATCGTTCCACGTCTCTTTCCAACCGCGTCTTGCAGAAATTCCCTCTAGAAGTCGGCGGGCCATCAGAAACAGCTCCCCTCTTCCAGAAGCTAATTGTTCAGAACCAGTTTTGGCCGTAAGTTTCGGGCCCTCAAAACCTGGTCGAGCGTGGACAGAGGAGAGTGCATCTGGAGGTAGTATTTCCGAGTTTGCCAAACGGGGTGGACGGGCAGGAGCTGAAGTAGCAAGGGAACTTGAGCGTCGGGGGAGCTCTGACGGAGCCTCTGAATGTGTAGCGGCGTCTGCTGCCTTAGTGACAGCATGTAACGTAGACTCGGGAAGCGTAAGAGCAGGAGTATAGGTTTGAGAAAGTACCTGGCAAGCAGCAGCGTAGGCCCACGATGAAACTACATTGTTCACCACCTGGGACTTGTTGACATTTTCCACATCTGCGAGCCCAGTTTCTAAGTCGATTCTGAGCGTTCGCGCCGCAAGACTGATGAATTCAGTTGATCTTTGGCAGGTTTCAGAAAGGAGCAGCAGGTTCTCGGCCTTCTTGTCCTTCTTTGACGACTTCAGGTCTGGTTCTGCTTCGTTATTGAGCAAGGCGGGCGCCTTTGCCGCCCGAAGGAGTAGCGTCAATTGCCTAGAGAAGACATAGGTGCGGAAATCAAAGATGGAAATATCACTGGCCAGGATCTTCTCTCGATAGGGTTTCATGGTTGAGGAGATGGGAAAATCCTCGACGGCAATCTCCACGACGGGATCAGGCTCATCATCCTCGTCCTCGTCCTTGTGTGCTACTTCTCCTCCAGACTCCAGAGCCGCTTTTACTTTGTCTTGCCAATCCTTGCTGTAAGTCAGAAAGGCGCCCCCGTGCTGATCACCAGTCCCTTCAAGTTGTTCTTGTATTGCAGTGTCCAAGCCGACGGCTAACTCATCGTACCCGAGCAGAGCGTCCTCGAACAACCCCACATTTTCAAAGCCCCTGGCAAGGCCCTCCTTCAGTATAAAGAAGGTACAGAAATTCCATCCGGGCAAACTGCGCTGTGAGTCTTTCTCTTTGATATCTTCTTCATATTGTGCCACGCGAAGGTCGAAGGACGCCAAGATTGCATTCTTCAGCTTCTCGATAAAGTCCTCGATCTGTTCGGCCAGCTCAGGTGACTTCACATTACTGCCTTGCTTGGGGAGCCGCAGCTGAGCCACGCGATCTATTGTTGACTTGGAAGCCCCGTTGAAATCCGCTTTGACCTTTTCCAGTACTGTCGTGGTTGTGCGACCCCATTTGGAAGCAGGGGCGGCCTTCTCTGCCCCATCTCCATCCTGCACAACATGTAGGATGAGCCAGTCGAAGGCGTCGTGCTTCTCTTGGCTGGTGGCCGTTGCGCTGGATGACGAGACCGTGGCATGAGACTTGATCCAATCCCGTAGCGCCTTCCGCGCCGTGGCCTTGTAGGTGTCATTGTCATCACAGCGCAGAAGGTAGATCTTCAAGTAGGGTGTTTGGCGCAGGCCTGGAATTTGGTGTCGCCGATGCGGTACAACGCCGCCAGTTGTGTCGACAGAAGGCTTGCGCTCAACCGACTGCTGGGCAGGGACGAAACCGATACGGAGGGACTCGATGGATCGAACGGGGCGGGTCGGGGACTTCCAGTGGAGGTTCTTCAACGGTAGCTTATCTGCAAGAACATTTTGGACGCTTGGAAAGATACCGGATGGATCGGTATACTCGACTGGGATATGAATCTATAAGTGAGCAACCAGTGCCAATGATGTTATCGGGGGTGTTACCAGTGACACTGCTCGAGCCCGCCTGGGGTGATGGGTCCATGGTTCCCGAACACTATTCGGGGGGCGAGAGACCACTCGCAAAGGGCATGCCGCCTAACCGACCGGGGATAATAGCCGATTCCTGGCTAGATGCGCGGCGAGCAAAGGAATTGGCGGCGGACAATGGACAGGAGGGAGGAGGGAGGAGGGAGGAGGGAGGTATATCCGGCTATCAGCCACCACGGCGATGCGGTTGTTTTGGCCGGCAGGACGAGACCGCCTTTCTCCGCGCATTATTGTGGCTGGCTCCTCCCGCCAAACCTTCCCGAAATCGCTTGGCCGCCCCCCGGGAACACTCTAGGACGAAGTGGAGGAAAGCTATATTCAATTCTATGCACAATGGTTATGGTTTTGATATCTAAAGCTCGGCAGTATGCGTGACTTGGGGTCTTCATTAGATCAAAGAGAATAGTAAAGGCATCGCCTAGGAAACACAAATCTGTACAGGAACAATCGATGGCAGCGTGGCTCTCCAGAAACCAAACAAAGTGATCAAAACAGTCATATCCCGTCATTATGGAACGATAGCTCTTGAACAAAAGAAAAGACATGCCCATTGTATTACCGGCCCAGAGGACAGAACGCCCTAGCTTAAAATTGACGAAGGAACAAAAGGAGAGAAAGAACGCAAACAAGGTCAACGGCCAACTTCTATCGCGCGCTGCGCATATTGAGCCTTGACAAATTCATAACCGCTAGAAAACCCTTCCCAGATGCCCGGGACATAACTCCGGGCCCAGGCGCAAATCACCAACAGCAGGAGTGGAATCTAGCACAAGTTAGCAACAGCTCTCAGCACGATGACGCAATTCGATAAACATCTCCACTTACCCAGATGAAGTACAGATTCCGATCGCTACCAAGACCCTTCATCCTCCGTGCTTGCTGCTCCCTGAGGTGTTTTTGCTGTTCACGAGATATAACCTTGCGGCCAATCCGAATGTCTTTGATGTCTTCGCTCTCCGGCTTGGCCCGCGGGACCTCCGAGGTGCTGGCCAGTGCTTCGAAATGTTGATCGAGAGCCGCCTCTGTCGCCGCCTGCAACATGCTTGACTTTTTCAAGCGCGCTGCTTGCTCCTCATCTTCGGTGTCTTTGTGAGGATAGAGCTCTTCATAGGACGGAAGCTCTGTGCCCGTGGGGGCGGAGTTGCCCGTCAGCATATCCCACCAGCCATCTTTGGCCGACCGCGCCGTGCTCGGCCGGTGTGGAACAAGATTCGTAATGCGACGCATCATCGGATGAGCCTGGTAATCAGGCAGGGCGGGCATGGGCGGTAATGCAGGAAGATTGGGGAACGCGTTGGACACACTTTGCTGGAACTGATTAATCTGTGCTTGGAGTTGGTTACGCCAAGCAACCAGCGCCGCGGGAGGTGAGAACGGTCGGGTATCGTCAGTTTGCGCTGCCTGCTCCGGTGAAGGGATCGGTCCTGGTCGCTCATGGTGCATACTTGACCGTCGTGATACGGTATAGTCAATCACGCCATCCCCATCATCCGAATCATCCGAGTCTTCGACCGCATGGTCGAATGAACCTGATGCAGAGGAAGACTCCCAGAGTGAATGCAGGGATGCAGAACTGCTGTGCCTGCGCCGCGAAGAGGACAATGACCCAACACTACGTGAGCGATAGTGGCGTGCAGGTATCAGGGCGGCCTGGTGAGCTGGCAACGTGGTAGCAAGGTCTGCTGGGGTAAAGCCCCTAATGCTACGGGCATTAGAGTTGGCTCCCGCGAGACGAAGCCTGTTGACGATATGCGCGTGACCGTTCAAAGCTGCCAGATGCATCGGTGTGTTCCCGGTGTTATCCTGCAGGTCGGGATTGGCACCTCGAGCAAGCAGGCCAGCCACAAATCGCGTCAGGCCCAACGAAGATGCAAAGTGAAGCAGAGTCTGCCCTGTCGCAGATCGCGAGTTGTATCTGGGGGGGCGCGGACTGTCATCGAGATCGACAAACTCCAGGTATCTCCACATTCTCGAGTCAAGGTCGCTCAGTTTGACTTGCGACTCCAACCCGGGAACCTGCCGCTGGTGACCCCCGGATCCTCCTGGGAAGTCTTTCTGAAGGTTGAATACGCTCTTCATATCACTGCCCATGATTTGCTGGGCAGTTTGGAATGCATCGGCTTGACTGCCAAGTTTCTGACCAAGGATACCTAAAGCAAGGCGATACATCTGCAGCTCCCGGTCGTCAACGTAACGGAAGAACTGCTGTTGCTTTGGCATCAGAGGCTGAGCCGGCTGCATCTGACCGAACGTGGGGTGTTCATGCTTGAAAACCACCGCCACGAGTCCGGGTTGAAGTGCAGGAGGCGTCAAGCAATTGAGACATTTATCACCCCAGAACGTGGTGGTTGTGGCAAGAGTATCGCCAAAGACAACTTCCATGCCGGGGTAAAAGCCACTCCCTAACAGTGTAACCTCCGTGCCTCCTGTTATAGAGCCTTCCGCAGGAACCAATTTGTGGATGACCGAAGGAAGCCGGTTACCCGCATTTGTAAGTGGCGGCCACATTGGGGTGGATGGAGTAGGACCCAAAGAGAGATTGAAGCTCGGGTCCTGAAAGTTGTTGTTCCGCGAAGAACCACCGGGTGTTCCAGGGCGGCTTGGTTGAGCCGAGTTCGGTGCAGACATCAATTGCTGTTGTATGAAGTTGTCCAAACTCTGTTGCTGTATAGTATTAAGGAATGGGTTCGTATCGGCGCCGTTTGGAGTCGGCGGTCCGTTAGAGAATTGATTAGACAAAGCAGAAGTCGTCACGAAAGGCCTCTCTACCGGGGAAGCAAATCCACGGGAGCTGGGGAACTGCGGCTCGTTACTCGGAGCTGAAGAACTAGAGGCGCTGGCAGATGACTGTGCATTCTCTAGTTTAGTCATAGTGAGTTCGGACGGTAATCTCCCCGAGTTGCTGTGCTTGCGGCGCTTGCTCATCGGCCCTTGAAAGTCGTTCGGCGATGTTTGTCGTGACAGACTCCGCGGCGTCTGCGAGTTGGGATTTGTGCCGTTCGTTGAGGTCTGTGACACGGCGAAATTATTGGAGGTCAATTGATACTGGGTGTTGAATCTTTGCTGGAGCCCCTGCAAATCCGTGGCCGAAGACGACTGAGCTGCTTGTTGAGAGGGGGCGGATGATTTGCCTGTATCAACACTGGGGCTCGATGGGAACACACCAACGCCCGGAAGCTGTGTCCCATCAGGCAACGAGGGGGAGGGGCCAGGAGCCGGAGGAGCCGGAGGAGCATGGGTCTTGTGGTCATCTGTGATCATGATCGAGTTCGTTATCGCTTGAGCAACAACGTTGTCCTTATAATCCTTGACGGTGAAGATGACCCTGAAGAATGAATATCTGAGTCAGCAAAAGGAACAGATACCGCATTCGAATGGAGGGATTGGAGTATACGCACTGAAACCCGAGCTTCTCATTCTGATGCCTGCAGTAACATGCAATTCGCATCGGCAGTTCTACTTGCATAGCCCCTGGAGGAATATTCGGCATGGGAGCGTCTCCGTACCCGGGAATAGCATTCTTGGACGGCTCGGCCCATTCCTTAACTTCATTGGTGTTGAAGACGATTACCCTCTTCTCCTCGTCCTTTTGGAAAAGTTCATCCTCCTCCGGTTTTCTTTGCTTTTTCCGGAATGCCCGCTTCCGTTCACGCTGAATACAACCAGGGCAGATCTTTACTTCTCCACCATCCAACGGTTTGTCGTCTTCCTGCAAGTCTTCGGCGGACCGTGGGCTAGCGCTAGATGGACGGCCAGTATTTTCGCCTCTCGCTCTCGCAAATGCCTTATTCAACTTCTCCTGATCTTGCATCGCGCTCGTGCAAACAAGACTAGTATGCAACTCCACGATTTCCGGGGATCGTTCAACGGTTGGCGGGGCAAGAAATTTCGGTTTTGAGATAGTATGGCTCGGTAAGCGCACCTTTTTGACACCGTTCGGCAGTGGAAAGAGGGTCAGTCTGATTGGAATTTGAGTTTCCACGCGCGATTTGAGCGAGGTGGGATGCACAGTCAGCATGTGACGCTGTGTCGTTTCTTGCTTCATGGTACTCGGGGAAGGGGATGGAGCAAAATTGACACCAAAGGGAAAGCTGCTCGGTCCAAAGTTGAGTCCTGGGGTGAGCGGAGAGCCACCATTCATATTGATTCCGCCGAAACTTTCTTCCAAGATTGATGAAGGCGAATGACCTCCCCACGGACCCAACGGTGACTTCGCCTGACCAAAGCTTCTCGAGACCGAAAAAGGCGAGGGCTCCTTTGTGTTGCGAGGGAAGAAAGACGGCCCGGGGATCTGGGTTCTTCAGGTCAGCAGTGCACAATGGCTACGACCGAGTGAGAATATCAAGGCAGACTTACCGATGAAGCAGAATGCCTGGCCGAGGTGCCAGAAACACTTCGTAGCTGAGATTTTGATCTCTTCGGGAATTTTGGCAAAGGGGCAGACTCGGATTTCAGAGGGCTGGGGCTACTGGCAGCACTCTCGAAGTCAAAAGCGGCATCCATCGCCTTGTTACTCGACTCGAGGTCGGTATCTGTGGGGAAAGCGCCATCGAGATTTGGCAGGGAGAGGTCAAGACCGAAAAGCGATTCCTCCTTGACTGATGCCAGGTCTGGGTTCATCCAATCCTCCATCGCATATCCAAAGGGCATCACGGTGTTTTCGCTATGAACAACCGATGCGGAAGAGGTGACCGACGGGTTTCGGAGATGGTTCCGCGGCGATGTGGAAGAGGAACTAGGAGATGAACCGTCTGGCGACTCGGCGGGTGAATCAGACGACACAACATTCACTTGTCGCAACGCATCCTGGTCTTGGTAAGACCGTTTGAGGGACAATTCCGAGGGCGATAGACACGATGGCTCCGATTCCGCGACTGGGCGGGACGAAGTGGCGCGCGAGAACAGGTCGTCAAAGTCCCTCCCTGCATTTTCTGCCGACATCTGCAGCCTGGCGGTATCCAGAAAGTCCATATCTGTGTCCTGGTAAGGGTTCCCCATCTCGTCGTCAACAACAATCGGGTCCAGAAAAGGGAACGCAGGCGAAGAGGCAGCCTCTGCCGATCCCATCATTCGATCCTCGCGGCAGTATCTAGGAGACTAGAGGGAGACGCCTGCAACTCTCCCTAAAGAGCCTCACAGCCTGCTTTCAATTCCGACTTGATAACCGCGACCCGGATTATTGGTACGACTGACGGTGGGAGCGAACAAAGGACGGTCGGTGGGCTGGAAGTGTTGTGGGCGGGCGCAGTTGTGTTGCCTCCGTTAACAGTACCCCTCGTCCATCAAACTAGGCGGAAGCAACGTAATAGATCCCGATTACTGAGCGAGTTGAGGGGGAAGCGTGGTGGTTGTCCGGGGAGGGGGCAAAGTAGCGTTGTTGAGCAAGGGCGGCTGGCGTAGGGGGGCGGAGGCGGAGGCGCGGCAGAGTTGGGAAAAGGGAGTAAAATCCAGGCCGGGCGTCGGAGCAGACGAGTGCAGAGGTTTCGAGAGGGTAGAGTAGACGGGTGCCCAGCAATTCGGACAAGGCAGCGACAGGGTGGAGAGGGCAGAAGGAAGATGTAGAAGTTGACTCGGGAGACGGCGTCCGGCCGGTAAGTGAGCGCTGGAGGCAGAAAGAGGAAGGGAAAGGAAGGGAAGGTGATGGTTATCTGCTGACTGGGAGTGACTTCGCTGTAAAACGACACATTCGACAGTCGCGGTGAGGCGGCCCCGGAGAGGCGCTAGTCCCGATCAGGCAGAAAGTCAGCCAGGGACGGAGTAACTAGGCCGCCGAGTTTCCATTGGCCGGGGGACGATCCTGGAGTGACACGAAGACGCGAGCAGCAACTATCAGTAGTCAGTTGCGCCTTCCCCATTATTATTACTCCGGAAGTTACCAGCCCTTGACTACTACTACTACTACTACTACTATTATTCTCTCAAGTACCGCACAGTCTCGACTTAGGTACGGGGTACCTATCTAGTAGTAAACACACTCGGTACCGTCCATGGATGATCCTCTTCCGATCACCATAGTCATTTATGGATCATCGTCCCGAAAACATTAATAGTATCTAGGCGGGCGATTCAGTCCCTAGCCACCCACATCAAGCTGACCGCACCGCATTATGACACATCGTGAGGAAAGCCCCTCAATCAACCCAGAACTCTCCAAGAACCTATTCAGACTCTAGTAGTCGGGCGCCCATGCAACCAATCACAAAAGATGGGCAAGTAGCGGATCTGAAAGTGGTGCTTGGTTCGCGGATCATTGAGCACCTCGTCGTCGATTGGTCCAGATGTCTGTCTGCGTTTTCCATTCTTAGGGAAATTGGGCATACCACTACGTATCTCCAGTAGATAGTAGCCCCACGAGCGAAAAGAAAAAATCGGGAAAAGAAATGATAGAAGAAAAAGCCATGCCATTGAGTTCAGTCCGAAGAGGTAACTCCGAAGGCGTCGCAGCCACTAATAATAAAGTTCCCTGGATTCGTCGTCCATTAACCCTCGGATCCCGACCATTCCGCATCCTGAGAGGATCGATGATAAGCATTTTGACAGCATTCGACCCGGGTTCGTCGTACGGAGCAGATAAGGTACCAACAAACTCCCAAATTTTGAACCTCGTCGGCCAGCGAATCAGCCACGGTTAATAATGCATTAAACCTGGCAGCTCGGCCGGCACCGGCTTCACCGCACTAGTTGCTTCCCAGCCAGCCCGTCGGCCACAGCATCCATCATTCAACATTCATCACGCTTGTACGCAGGACTCTTCCATACATACCTGTGGGTCAAAGATCCTTGAATGGAGCAGAAATGGCGGCGATCTTTGGCCAAGGACACCATCTGAATTAAGCGAGGCATTTCTCCCCAAGTTAATTAATCACAGGGCTTGAAGACCGAAAATACATATATCTGCACAATGTGATTGTAGATCCTCCCGCGAAGATCTCGCGGCAAGCCGATCTTCACTAGTGCAAGGACATTTAGATTGGGAGTGTTCGGAAAAAGCAAAGAGGCGGACAGCAGCTCAAGGATCAGAGAGGATTGACATCGACCCACGGGGGCTTTACAGTTCACCGGGTGGCTTTGCTGCTCTGACCAAGAGGCGTCGATTAGGAGATCTCCCAAAATAGCAATGTTCAACATGGCATATTTCGATCAGTGTATCTTAGAAAGAATCGCGCCGCTAGGTACCATGGTACCGCAATTCTCACTTCAGGCTTATCTTTCGAACTGCGGCATACGCACCCAATCAATGAGACACCACAGGTGCAGAGCAACGAGGTTCTTTTAAGTCTCCCCATCTCAGGTGGCTGTGGTTCCTTGTCCAGCGATAGCCGATTCTGTTCATCAAATAGGCATTCCATCACTTCTCCAAATACTACCGCAAGACTTAGTAGATACTACCAGCAATCCATAGGCTGCAACATCGATTTACAGCCAATCGATCTGTTTTCTCTTTTTGGACCGCTATATACATAGCATCATATGCCCTCTTGCTCGCAAACATGTTACGGACGCATGTGCCTATTGTTTAATCTCGTGTAACCCGTCTGACCTGCCGAGAGATACCGATAACGTGCAGTGACACAATAGACCCCAACCTGCAGGTACGCACTGAACGGGTGAGTAGGGCTGCCTCCTGATCAAGATGCAATGTAGCACAAGCCACAAACTTTGAACACATGATGGATACTATCTTCAGCAGGCACAGGTGATCAGGATTTCTCGATGCTCGCTTGTCGGGCAGGGTTTTGTATCAACAGGTAGATGTGTGTGTCATGAGAGAAAGTCAGCAGTGGCATTATATCCTAGAATATGTTTGATTCGCCAGATACCCCGAATCGATGAATGGCAACCGGCTGATAAAAGGTGTTTTCTGTAGGCCGAGGCCCTGAATGTGACAGTGCCGCGTGGGACATCCATCAGAAAGCTTACCACCGCGGTGGTGGGTATTTCTGCTGCGCCTTTTTGCAGGGAGCCATTGACAATATGGATAGGACCACAGCTGGGGAAAGTGGTCCATTTAACATAGTAGTCTCAAATGGATGGCCCTATCTACCCTGCGGGAATGATACAGGAGGAATCTATTCCACAGTACTCCGTAGTCTATCCTCCGCTAAACAAGCATACCGATGCCGTTGAGGGAAAGCTTGGTTGGTCGGTCGGTACATGCGGATAGAGAAGGGCTCCGCCGATGGGTGTTTCAGATTGAAGGCTCAATGGTGCAGCGACCTGGATCCAAGTCCCACCTATTAAGACCAGTGAGCGTCCAGACCACAGGGCTGGCAGGAATCAGGAAGGGATGGCGTTTTGCGAACGAGGCTGGGCGCTTCGAGAAGCAATGACAGTCCCTGCATGGAGCGCGTGGGCCCTCAGGGTCTTATTGAAACTCGAAAGCGACATCTACGACTGCAACTTGGTTCTCGCGGACTGGCGGATATTTCAGTACCGGCGCGTCCAGCAAAGCGGAATTGGGCTGAGCGGAGGAGGATGGAAGGAAGCCCCGATCAGGGCCGATGACGGGGAACGAATCAATCCAGGATGATCATGATGTTAATCGCCATTGCCAAGACCGAGCCTGATGCCCCCTCCCTGCAATTAAAATCGGCAGTCTCAATCTAATTGTCGGATGGATCATGTCCCCAATTATTATGTGACGGCAATGGTGCCATCCATTTTGTCCCGGAGGTCGGTGGCATGCTAGTTGTTGTGCCCCGCCACGTTGATCCAAGCTTGCAGTTTTCTCCGTCCGAAAAACACCTTGAGAAGCATTGAAGTTGTGGTCAAGTCCGAGTATGAAGAATGGTGCCTGAGGAGACTAAGTAGTCGGCACGTGGCCGATCAATCCTTACCAGTCTGAAGGGCGGAATCTCAATCCCATCCCATCCATCCCATCTCATCTCTTATCCTCTAAAATTATTCTCCGGATTCAACCCATCCCATCCGATTCAATAATAATAATAATAATAATAGACGAAAGATGAAAATGACTTAAACCAGCCACTTCCGGGACGTTGCAAATGGCATCTCTTGGCAGGGCGGAGTTGGAGCCGGCGTAGCTCCAGGTTGAAACCTGCAGCGTCGCAGACTGCCGCCGGACGGCCAGAGGGCCTCGGGGCTCCGATCCACTCCCCTGTGATAGTAAGTAGCTAAAATCGCTGGGCCCTTCGGGCGCTTCTCCGTCTCTCCTGTTTGGCCGACGCTAATGCTCAGGTAGTCCATGGCTCCTCCAAGGGCGTCTCGACCCTCAACTCTGGAACCTGCCGGCGCGTTTGTGGTCTGTGGTCCCGGTGCCTGGCTTTCATCAATCTCAGACTCCCCTGCTGCGGTGGCCCTATCTTAATCATTTCCGCGTCTCAGTCGACTAGGTAGCCAGTGGGAACCTGACAGGTGCCAAGCCATCTAATTGCAGCATGGCCATCGGTGGTGAACCTTTCATTTGTCCAGGTTCGAAACCATTTGGTCTGAGCGTTGGCGGAGACTTGATAGACCACGAGCATGGCTAGCATTATAAAAAGGTGCCAGTTCACGTCTGGGAACGACCTTCTTCCCTCTTCTCTTCATCAACTTCTCATTCCTTTCTTTCTCAGGGTCTTCGAACCATCCATTCTCTTACTTTCCTTTCCAGGCTTCATTGATTGAAGTCCATCTTTTCGTCACTCTTTCTTCCCCACCGGTCCCTCTAACCCACAATCGCGCTGTGCGTCGATAAACTCAAAGCCTGCAAAAATGTCTGTCGCTAAGCTTGCTGGTGTTGTCCTCGGTTCGGCCGCCCTCGTTGCCGGCCATGGTTACGTGTCGGGTGCCGTGATTGACGGCGAGTACTACGGTGGATACATCGTCACCTCGTACCCTTATGAGAGTGACCCCCCGGAGACCATTGCCTGGTCGACCACTGCAACTGACCTTGGCTATGTTGATGGCACTGAGTACGCTGAGGCTGATATCATCTGCCACAAGAGCGCTAAGCCCGGTGCTATCTCCGCTGAAGTCAAGGCTGGTGGCACTGTTGAGCTGCAGTGGACCACCTGGCCCTCCAGCCACCACGGTCCCGTCCTGACCTACCTCGCCAACTGCAACGGTGACTGCTCCGATGTCACCAAGACCGACCTTGAGTTCTTTAAGATCGACGAGAGCGGTCTCATCAGCGACACCGAAGTCCCGGGCACTTGGGCCACTGACAACTTGATCTCCAACAACAACAGCTGGACTGTGACCATCCCCTCCACCGTCGAGGCTGGCAACTATGTCCTGCGTCACGAGATCATTGCCCTGCATTCTGCTGAGAACAAGGATGGCGCCCAGAACTACCCTCAATGTCTCAACCTGAAGGTCACTGGCAGCGGCAGCTCCACCTATTCGGGCACCGCCGGTGAGAGCCTCTACAAGGACACTGACGCGGGTATCCTGGTCAACATCTACGAGAGCCTGAGCTCCTACGATATTCCTGGCCCTGCTATGTACAACAGCACCTCCTCTAGCAGCTCTTCCGGCTCCTCCAGCGCCTCTTCCGCCAGCACCACTGCTGCCGCCGCTGCCACCACCTCCAGCGTTGCCACTTCCACCTCCAGCAGCTCTACCACCTCCGTCGCTAGCGCTACTACTGACGCTGCCTCCGTTATCACTGATGTTGCTACCACCGTCCAGACTGCTGTCGCCACTGCTTACCAGACTTCGACTGACGTTGTGCAGGTCACTGTCACTGGCAGCTCCCCCCAACAGACCCACATCCAGGTCTCCTCTAGCGCCGCTGCCGCCACCCCCAGTAGCTCCAGCGTCTCTGTCTCCAGCGACAGCAACCTTACGAGCTACTTCAGCTCTCTGAGCGCGGATCAGTTCCTTAGCGTCCTCAAGGAGACTTTCTCTTGGCTGCTCACCGAGAAGGTGCACGCCCGTGACATCTCCGCTTAAGCGCCCGGCCAGATGTGGAAATCGGACCAAATAGACCTACTTTCTTTTTTTGTATCCAACGGTTACATCATTCCTCCGACCGTTTGATGCCCTTCTTGTTTTGGATCGGGTATCCTTTTATGTACCTATAAAATAGCATTTTTGGAGCTGTATTATTTCTGTGCTTGCCCAGAGGATCCAATTTGTATCTTGCTTTCGTAGAGAATTACCTGCGACGTCATACTTGTTGGTGATGGCCAGACTTATGAGATAACAGGGTCCTGCGAGGCACTTAAACAGGCCTACGTGATTTAGACATAATGGAAGACTTGATGGTATGTGACTGACAATATTGACGATAATTACCTAAGAACGCAGGATCAAACCTCTTTACATGGACGTAGACGCACCCTATTTTATAGATAGCCTACACCATTGGAATGCTTCCAGTCCTAGGCAGTATCCATAGACACCTCCCGATGTATCGGATCTTTCACAATTCTTCCTACTTGGCAGTTGCTGAGTTTCTCCGAGCTCGATATAGTTCCTTTCGTTCAAAGGTCCTCTTGTGCCTTATAAGAACAACACGCCTGCTTGCCTACTCTGCCTTCTTTTGTTCGGGAACAACCTATACTTGGTACTCTATGGACCCTTCCTTCACGTTGTCTCGCTACTGCCTCGTGACTGATGCCTGCCGGATACTTAAATACCACTAGTACTTGTCTCTCTCCCAGAAAGCCCCCCCCTTCTCTCATCATCTACCTTAATTTTGTTGACCCCAGCTTCGGTACTAGAAGCTCGATTTAGGCCTCCTTCCTCGATATTCCCAAGCATTGATGCCGCCCTCCCAGAACATTTCTCGTCCGTCTGAGAATATTACTCCCAATGAGAAAAGTCAGTATCGATTGTTCAAAGACGCTGGGTTCAACGGCATGCATGACTTCATGCTGTCTTATGGTTTGAAGCCGTCTAATTTTGAGGACTACGATGGAGCACACCAGATCATAGACCCCATGAGACGGTATGATCAAGAGCACTGGGAAGCAGAGCACAACGAAAGAAACCAAGATTACTCCGAAGACGGGGAGGCAGATACTAGTGAACCAAGCCAGAGCTATTGTGAGGACTGCAATATAGAACCGGACAAACCGCAATTCGAAATTTGGGAAGACGGCAAAGATGAAGATGTAGATAAAGAAATGATGGACAGCAACCCTTCCTACGATGAAGGTCATGCGGCGGACCAGAGTGAACCGTGGCAGAGCCACTACGACGAAAATTGGGAGCCTAGCTCGGGATATCAGGATGACTCCTATGAGAACTGGAATTCGGATGACCAGTATGAAAACGATTATGAATGAGGTGGATGGGCCCGTGATTGGTGAGTCGACCTCATGTCTGTTTAGTTCCTGATCTATCCATCCGGGTGTCTCGATGGCTCGGAAGGTTCTGAACTAAAACACTTAGATTAGGGTTGTCTTACCTATATTATGCGGCAGTTATTGTATGCGATGAGCCTGGGCGAAGATTCGAAATATCTGACTACCAGATAGTGAAGGAGTTGAAATTCCATAGTATTCTCAATTCTTAATCCATAAGCGGGAACACCGCGGCCGATTGTTGTTGCGGCAGTCAAACCCGTTTTGTACCCGTTCGTTTCATTTGGTCATCCCCTCAGCAGAGCTTCCCTGCCATCGATCAGCTTCTTCTTCCTCCTCTCCTCCCCCGCTCCCTGGCTCTCTGTTCCTGCTAGAGCTGGCTGAATGGATTTGATCGTCTTCTAATTGCATCATATTGAACAACTGCATCCCTCAGCCCTCCACCATGTTCAAAAAGAAGCCCACAGTACGTTACCCCTCCCCCGCACCAACTTACCATCGATGGTTACGATCAAGCAAAGCTCCAACGTTCCCTTGACGCACTCCACTCATGCTGGTCAACCACAGATCAAAAACCTTTCTCCCCTGCGGTCCTCCGACCGCCGGAAGATTGCCGATCAGATTATCAGCGAATATAAAATCGAAATCCCATCGAGTGTACCAATCGAGACTAGTGACGACTCGACAGCCCCAGGCGCATCGAACCCTACGGCGCCGAACCTCACTTCCATCCGAAATGCCCTTCTTCCCGAGAACTGCTTGTCGGCGCGCTTTACCACAACGGCCGGGCCCCAGCTCCGCGAAGTACAAGGAACTGTGTATGTCGGGTCACATCCCGGCGGCGATGAGCGCATTTTGTGGTTCAAGGCCGACCATGGCCCTGGCGCGGACGGACGCCTCTATCCTACAGTCTACACACTTTGGAACAACCCAGATCTGGTACCATTGCTTCATACCCCACAGATGGTGATGCAGAAGCTGCACGGAGGTGCAGATCTGATGACTCCGGGTCTGGCCAATGAGCCGCCTTTCGATGAGCGTGCCGTCAAGGGCGCAGTAGTTGCTGTCGCCAGCCTAGATAGACACACAGTACCGCTCTTTGTCGGGGTGTGCGAGATTGACATCTCAGCACTCGGAGAAGTTCAGGGCACAAAGGGACATGCCGTTCGAGGTCTGCACTGGGAAGGCGATGAGTTATGGGCTTGGAGTTCCTCTTCCAAGCCGGGTCAACCAGCTCCGGAGTACCTGGAGGGCTGGGATGAAGAGCTACAGGAAGAGGATAACGATGTAGGGGAGATTAAAGGGGGTGTCCAGGACCTAGCTTTGGGTGGTGCAGAGACTGTGGAAGGAGAAGGAGGCGAGGAACCGTCTGATGAAGCATCTGATGTCCCGCAAAAGGAGGCACCTGTGGTTGAGGAAAAGGAGCCTACGACAAAGGGTAAGACTCTCCCGCAAGTCATCATGACTGCTTCAGTACTGACCATGACTAGAGATCGATGAGGCCTTCGAAAAGGCCTTCCTGTACTCCCTTTACAAACTCAAGCAAGATAACCCTTCCGCTACCAACCACGGCCTATCGCTGCCTGTTCAGCCATCTGCTCTAGTTTCAAACATGATCACGCCACACCTGCCCGTATACACCGTAAAGCAAGCCCAATACTACCAGATCAAGAAGACCAGCTGGAAGAACGTCAAAAAGTTCATCAAGTACCTGGACAAGCAGCGGTTGGTCAAGTCCAAAGACCGCAACGGCCAGGAAACCGTCATTCTCGATGTGGACTTCAACGATCGTCGCGTGGAGCAATTCGTGCCCTACCGACTTCCATCCAAGAACGCCGTCGAGAACACAGGAAAACCTGCGGCGCCTGGAACCAACAAGCCCGTAGCTACAGACAGCGATCCCTCGGTCGGACAAACCCTCACCGTTCAGACGCTCTACCGTCCAACCGGAAAACTGACCCCCACCATCTTCCCCTCTCTATCCAGCACCCACCCCAGCAACTACTACAAATACTCCGACGTCTCCACCCACCTCGACCAGTACATCCAATCTCAGAACCCTCCGATCGTCGACCGCCAAAACAAACGCATCATCACCGTCAACCCCTTCCTCGCCAACACTATCTTCACCTCCTCCTCATCCGACGACAAGAGCACCCTCGCCCGCGGCAAAACCACCCGCGATGGCCTCCTCAAACGTCTCACGGAAGACCATTCCTTCATGACATCCCACTACGTCATCCTTAGACCAGGCCAGACCCTCTCCGACGTCAAACCCAAAGCAGGCACCGCCCCTAAAGTCAACGTCATTCTCGAGCGACGCACGGGTTCCAAGACCGTCACCAAAGTCTGGAACCTCGAAGTCTTTGGCATCATTCCAACCCTTTTGGCTGAAGAGCTGCAGAAGAAATGCGCCAGCAGCACCAGCGTAACCCAGGCCACTGGCGCACCCAAGGGCGTCATGGAAGTCCTCGTTCAAGGAGACCAGCGACGCGCATTGGAAACGGCATTGCTGAGACGAGGTTTGAGGACGCAATGGATTGATGTGGTGGATAAGACGAAAAAGAAGAAATAGATCACCCCCCCTCCCCCATATCACTAATATAGCCCAAGCAAAAAAAAGGTCTTGTACGACAGGCAAAGTATATATGTGTGTACGTGTTTGATGACTTGGAGACTGGTTTTGGATATGATACTAGGATATACTATACTAGGTATAGCAGTTGAATATATGCCTGTCCTGTTTATAGCTTAGTTGTCAGAGATGCAGGGGTAAAGTTCCATGGTATACAAAGACCGGTTATGATTGCCAACTAGTATGACAAAAATAGTGGACATGGGATGTTTATGCCAAGTGCTTTCATCATACAAGTGCGACACGTAAACGGTATCCTACAATGCCAACCACGCAAGCAAAGGGGAAAAGCAAATCTCATCGAATCCGATTCGATCTAAAATTGTATGATCCATTGAAGCAAGAAAAAGGAAAAGAAAATGTTAATAAACCAGCAACAAATATACAACGCCATTATGGTATGGTCTTCTTCAAGTCGGGGTAATCGAGCCAAGCCATGCTTTTATCCCATCCATTTCCGTCCCGAATAAAGAACAAACAAGCAAGTTGATAAATAGCTTGAGGTTTCCAACTTTTATTTGACGTGACAACATTTACTCCTTGGCGTCCACCTTCTTGGCCGGGTGGTCGCCGTTTGCGCCGGCTTCGTCGTCACGGGCGCGCTTCTGGCCGGATTCGGCGGTGCTCTGCACGATGGGGACACCGCTGGGGGGTGACGTTAGCATGTACATTTTGTGGGGGAAGGGGTGGTGGAATGAAGACATACCGGGCATCTTTCTGGACCTCACGACGCTCCTCATTGGTCTCGCTCTTCTTGTCGCTGAATCCATTCTTCTGGTCCGCCGCGCGACGCTCCCTCCAGTCACGGTTGTCGCGGTCACGGTTTCCGCCACGGCCACGGCCACCACGGCCGCGTCCGCGACCGTTGAAACCGCGTCCGCGAGAGCCACTGGGCTTCACGCGGCCAGCCTCAATATCGAGCATCTTCTCGTCGCAGTACTCCTTCTTGCTCTTGATGAGCAGGTCCTGTCCCTTCCACTGGGGCTTAGGGTCCAATGCCAAGAAAGCCTTCTGCTTTTCTTCCGACTCGAACTCAACGAACACGCTGCCCTTGAAGGTCTTATCGTAGGTGCGACGCAGGCGGATCGCGTTGACCGGTCCGTAAGGGGCGAAGAATGCCTCGATATCGAGCTGGGTGGTGGGCTCCTCGTCACCGAAACCCTTAGCGTAGACGCTACGGGTCATTGCCTTATCCTCGAACACCTTAGCCACGCTGTGGTCGTGGGTCTGCGACACGCTCTCCGGGAGGGGCGTCTTCCGGCGCACGCAGGTGTCGTTCTCAGTCAGCTCTAGAACCTCGGACGACTTAAGAGCCTCGACAACGGCGGTGAAGGGCTGGAAGCGCCGCATGCGCTTGAAAGAGTGAAGGAGATCGAGAGGAACAGCCCGGTTAGCGCTGCCGCCAACCTTGGAGAACAGAAACTTGTCCATGGGCAGGTTGGAGTCAGAGAAGTAAAACTCGACCTGCTTGCGGATCTGGACCGGGTCATCCGTCACCTCCTGCGTGGAGGGGTCGAACTTGACGTTGTTACGGCGGTTGAAACGGCCCTCGCGACCGCGGTTGTCATGGCGGAACTCCCGTTCCTGTGTTCTTGCCTCCTTCTGTTCTTCAGCCTTCTCAGACTTCTCGCCCAGCTTGGCGGCGGCTTCCACGATGCGGGCTTCCTCAGCGTCTTCGGTCTGCTTCTCGGCGCCGTTGGCGGGAGCTTCGTTCTCGCCCTTTAGCTCGGCGAGCACGCTCTGAACATCCTTCTCGGCCTCAGCGTTGGGCTGGGCGACAGGCTTTTGCTCCTCGGACATGGTTACAGGGAAGGGTCGTGATAGAAGGAGGATAGAGAGAAAATTGAGTTATGACGTCTCTACTTGGATTGGGATGTATCAGTAAAGCTCAGGTAATATTTTGAAGCAGTAAATCACAGGTGATGAGTCAAAGATGATGGAATGGATCAATCCCCTGTCAGATCCATGATACGGACCGATTTGGCCAATGATGGACGGAGATCCGCGCGAGGGCAATGCGGATAATAAGAGAAGCAAGCAGAGTGCTTATTTCTTACCTAGAATACGCGAACGCAAGACAGAGAGGTATGGACGGAGAGAGATATTCGTCCGGAGAGAGACACCTGCAAGTAACCTGACGTGCTCTAGATGCGAGAGGGAAAATCGCCAGGCCAATAATGCGCGGCGGGGGAAATTTTCTGAGCGCCGCGGGCGGCGGAGCGACTGTCGCCTACACCTCAGGCATCACAATGTGGCGGTGCGTGGCGGTGCGCGAAGGCAGTTTGGTAATTGGGACGCTTTAGGAAGGAAGGTTAAAGGTAGTCGGACTAACCCGTCTGGGACAAAGGAGGCCTGCCGGCCAGCCTCATATCAACCAACAACTGGGTTTGACAGATTCCCAATCCTCTACATAACCTGTTTAGATTAGACACAGTCAATCAGCGAGCATGAAGGCCTCTGAGTGCAGCAGGTGGCCATACACCGAATACTGAGCGCAGGTAATCAGATGCGTCTGATAAATCCAGGGAGAACAGGCACCTTTGTAACGGACATTAACCGTGGTGGGTAAGCACCAGCACCGTAGTAGGCACCAGTCAGGCATGCATATGCTGTTGCTGTCTAATTGGCTTTCCAGGTGCGCGTGGGCTATCCCCTGCCTGCAGGGCGGCTGAGCATCCTCAAACCAACAACTGCTTGGTATGTTGGAAGTTCTCAAAGTCGCTGAGACCGCTATCATTCTAAGTATCGTCATGCCTCTCCGAACCCTATATCTCGTCTCCTCCCGTAATAGCCCCGGCCAGCGCGCACATTTCTCATTCTTTGTTCCATCTGCGGCCTTCCCCAATATCGGTACCTCAATACATGTTGTCGGTGCGCCTATGATGGGTTATGAGCTGGAGTTCAAACGGAACCACAACTCATCTTCCAACGAGGAGCCGTATGAAATGGTTTCGATTGGGCAAGTTGATTGTCACCACATTGCGGACTCTTCGGGCGATCGTAATATGTTGGTAGATCACACACCCAGAGATAACCTGGAGGTTGCGGCCAGTCAAGTACCACCCCCTCGGATCAGCGAGAACTTCATGGCTCCTGTCAACGATGTAAGTAACGCTCATTGTATTCACCGAATATGTCCCGATCTAACTGTCGCAGACCATCAACAGAAGATGCCAGGAGTGGACCATGGAATACGTCCATCACCTAATTGCTCGAGGCCTCCTCGGAGAAGAAGCAATACAGATTGTTCAGTCAAAACGTGATCTGCCAGCTCATGGGATTGGATTGCAGCCTGTAGCGCGACGATTGGATTGAGAGGAGTGGCTGGATTGCAAGTAGGGACGACTGGTATCTCTACTCTTTGGATTTTGTGGAAGAATACAATCTAGGAATCACTGCTGGTTAGTATGAGAAAGCGTTGAGCTGGAGCAGAACCCGGCAGGAGAAGAAGTGTGTACTTACACCCTCGATTGCCTGCCATGTGCCCGTGACCAAGAGCGCCTGCCTTTTCCGTTACGAGCTCTCATCCATTAGTGGCTTCAGATTGCCAACAACCCAACCCGTCTTTCTGTTAGTCTTCTTTGGCCTGGTGGTTCCTTTGCTATACTCCTAATATCTTATTCCGCTATCAGAAAGGAGTCATTGGATATATCTTACTCAATTGAACCGATATCGACATTGCTGCATACTACGATCATCTGGTCATTGCAACGTCCACATAATTCATTTTTCGAACCACCATGCTGTCCATTGTTTACAAGTATGTCGAGGAAGTTGATCGATGCCGTCATACTCCTGTTCTTCTTCAATCATAATACTCATTAAGGAATAAGCTAATGAGTCCACTCGCAGCAGCAAAGAGCGTCAATAATCGCTGCCCTCCACGGTGGTTGAAAAGGCCTGCTTGGATTGGATAATCTACAGAACTAATTTTGATTCCCAACGAATACGTCTCGATCTGAGCCGCGCTTGCATCGATCCATTGCAGGCTCCCAATTGTTTGGGTGCAAAGGGGAATTGTGTGTTGATCTGGACCCCACAGCCTAACATGGCTGGAGAAGCATCGTCTGAGGCGCCAGGTGCATGGCCCACCAGAGATGTAAGCTAGGGTATCCATGGCGCAAGTGAATGCACTAATTGGGAATACAGATCATTTATGTCTCGATTCTCGGTCCACTATTGCTTGCAGCTTTATTGGAGTGGTTCCTATTCCTTGCAGCTTTTATTTACTGTCTGATCAAGGTATATCAAAAGGCAGATCACTGGAGTATTCGAGTTCTCGCAGCCATCATGGCAGTCCTCTTCACAATTTTGAGGTGAGTTTGTGTGATGTATGAAGGCAAACGAAAGGAGATATCATAACACGCACCATAGAGGCATCTTCCTTCCGGTTATGATCGCAATTCTCCCATTACCACCCCAAATTACGCAGTTTTTCCCCCGTCAAGTCGTGTCCGTGTTTCAGTGGTTCGCATTTTGGGCATTTTCAGCGCTTCTTATTGTACCTTGGCTGTTTTGTGTCAACAGATTCGTTATTCACTCTTTGGGGAGAACCAAGCGGGTCAAGGAGGCCCTGGACGACCGCACTGCGCCCAAGACCGTCATCGTCATGCCAGTATACAAAGAGGAGCCCCACGTCCTGATAAAGGCGATTGACTCGGTCGTTAATAGTGATTATCCAAGTTATTGCATTCATGTGTTTCTCTCTTACGACGGGAGTAACATCGATGAGCCTTACCTCCAAATGATCAGCCATCTTGGGATCCCGATATCGTTGGAAAGCTATCCGCAGAGCATCGATGTAACATACCAAGGGGCGAGGATTACCGTGTCAAGGTTCAAGCACGGTGGCAAACGGCATTGCCAGAAACAAACCTTCAAGTTGATTGATAAGGTCTATGCCGATTATCTTAAACGCCATGATGACCTCTTTTTGTTGTTTATCGACTCGGACTGCATCCTTGACAGACTCTGCCTGCAAAACTTCATGTATGATATGGAACTGAAGCCGGGAAGCCAACACAACATGTTAGCAATGACGGGCATCATCACTTCCACCACCGAGAAAAACTCCCTAATCACCGTGTTACAGGATATGGAATATATCCATGGACAGCTTGTTGAGCGTACCGTGGAGTCTGGTTGCGGCGCTGTAACCTGCCTTCCAGGCGCGTTGACAATCTTACGATACTCGGCTTTCCGCAAGATGGCCAAGTACTACTTCGCGGATAAAGCTGAGCAATGTGAGGACCTCTTTGACTATGGCAAGTGCCACCTGGGAGAAGATCGCTGGTTGACGCACCTGTTCATGATCGGAGCAATTGAACGCTACCAGATTCAGATGTGCACTAGTGCCTTTTGCAAGACAGAGGCGGTTCAGACTTTCTGTAGTCTTCTCAAACAGCGGCGTCGATGGTTCCTTGGTTATATCACTAACGAAGTGTGCATGCTGACCGACGTCAGGCTATGGAGACGATACCCGCTTTTGTGTCTGGTGCGTTTCATGCAGAACACAATTCGGACAACTGCATTGCTGTTCTTCATCCTAGTAATCTCCATCATCACAACTTCCAGCAAGATCAGAAACCTACCTGTCGGCTTCATCGCAGTTTCCTTGGGACTCAATTATATACTCATGGTTTATTTCGGCTTGAGACTCAAACGCTTCAAGGCATGGCTCTATCCCTTGATGTTCATCTTGAATCCTTTCTTCAATTGGCTCTACATCGTGTACGGAATATTCACCGCTGGCCAACGAACGTGGGGCGGGCCTCGAGCAGATGCCGCGAAAGCTGATGAACATACTACCCCAGAGGAAGCGGTCGAAAAGGCCAGGGTTCAAGGGGATGAACTGAATGTTCAGGTGGATACCTTTCGAGCCAAAGCTGAGGAGAAAGGTGTCCCAATCCGCCCTTCATCCAAGGTTAATGGGCGCCTCTCGGCGGTTCCACAGATCCCGGATCGTTACTATGACCGTCAAAGTGCACTGGGGATCAGCCTTGCCAAGTACATGACGCCCCTTCCAGACGTACCCCGAATCGGACTCCATCCGCATTACTCACTTGACTCAGTTGCGACGTCAGACTCCGGAGCCAACTCAATTGCCTTACCCCAGAATGTGGAGACCTTGATCAGTGCAGAGGAAGGGGCCAACCTTTACACCGCTCGCCAGGGGCAGGAATCGACTGGACCTCTGCAAAGCACGGATGCTAGCCCTGAGACGGACAATGCCGGATATGAGTTACATCATATGGATTCGGCAGCCAGTGTTACGGGCCACAAGCCTTGTGGACCGTCAAATGTACCGGAGTCAGGACCGCGGCAACCAATGGCTGTTCCTGCTCCTGGAGATATGGCTGAGCACCATGCGACGGCCGGAAGTCCCAGAGACTTGCAACGGTCAAGAAACAACCGTTCTAGTCGAATTCCAAAGAGGAAATCAATGCAACCGGAACAAATGGTTTAAACCCGAAAGTAATGCGCTAGACTGTCTCTGATAATATAATGAAGATGGAGACTACTAGAGAAGTCGGCCGAGGTTGGCTGACCGCAGTAGACTCTGTCTCAAACACTCATGTGTAACTACTTATTCGCCTCTCATTCAGTTATGGCTCACAAGCCCTTGCTTACTCGCATCCATTGTACGCAAATAATTCATGCAGCATCGGCTTTGTTTATATCCCACTCTGCTTCAAAGCGATGGATCCTTCTACTTCCCACTGATGCAGCCAGCATCAGCTAGTCAAAGGAAAGGTGCCAAAATGCAGATACAATTACCATGAGATAAGACAGAACCGGCGTGTGACTTACAGGTAGTTGCCTTACAGACCCGACCCACTCCGTGACATACATTGATAAGTAGGAATTCAATGTCAGCCGAGTTCTTTAAAAGAGAGGTGAGGAACACTAGTAGTGCATCATTGCAACTAAGCGTGACAGGTGGGGGCCAAAAGCGGATTGGACCACGCTCTTTTGGCCCCTTTATCTATCCGAGAAATGAAGCCTGACATTGGTAGGACTGCCATCGTCAGGCTATTTGGCCCCTCTTCTTCAGACTCCCAATGATCTAGTATAAAGTCTCAACAATAGGTCCCCCTCCCCCCTCCCCCCTTCCTCCTCCCCGTCTGATATCCATCTCCGTCCTTTTCTGTCTGTACTCATTTTTTTTTCCATCGCAGACCCAGCTCCAATATAGCTTCCTGTATACTACCATTCCGATAGACATTATGGGCTGGACCAAAGTCTCCGAGATTCGCTGGGAGCGCCCCGTTAATGGGCTCGAGGGCTATTACGTCTTTATGGCGAGCGCATCCGCAGCTTTGTTCGATGGTCGCAAGCATCATGTTGTCTTCTGCAAGCTGAAGATCGAGACTGATCGACGCCGAGGACATCGAGGTCACACTGAAACAAGCTTGGATGAAGCTACGCTACGAGCAACCCCAGATCGCGATGACAGTTGAAGGAATGACCATGATATACGAGGTTCCCGACGAGCTGGCCCTCCAGGAATGGTTCGCCTCAACCTTTATTGTCTCGTCCGCCTCGAACGCTGAGGAGCTATATTCCAGCGCTACGCCGATCAAGCAGGCCACACTATACTACATCCCCAAGTCAGGAGAGCTTCTACTCCTGGCTCCCCATCACATGCTTGATGGTAAGGGGATGCTGTTACTTTGTCATAACTACTTGAACGCCTTGACAACGCCATCTCAGAACATCACTCTCAAATTTGGGGACGAATACACACGACTAGCGCCCGCCATCGAAGAGGTTCTGGGATTCCCAAAGCAACCAACATCAGAGCAGGCCGAGAAGGCACTTTCCATCGCAATGAGCTACGCGAGCAGCCTTCCAGGCATTGGACCTGTGTCTAAGGTCGGGCAAGTCCCGCCCGGCAGATGCCAGAGTACCGAACTGGTCTTTTCGACGCAGACAACCGAGATGATTATCAAGGCCTGCAAGAACAACAGCATCACTGTCACCTCTGCCATACACGCAGCATACATCCAAGCAATTGTTAAGTATGCAGACCCGAACTCCCATCGATCTCGCTATGCCAATTCAGCTACATTCGACCTACGGCCACATCTGCCAGAACCCTACAGTACAAGCCAATATGCGGCTTCGGTCTACTTCACACCGTACCCTCTCATAATTGATCTGCTTCCGTTCTGGGAGAGTGCGCATACACTGAACAAGTACTACCAGACCACGATCAAGGATGATCCCGAATTTCTAGAACTAAATGGACACATCATGCGTGTTATGTTGAATGCGATCCAGACACCCGAGTTTCAAGCCATCCCTATTTCTGGCGATGCGATAGTAAGCAGAATGGGAGTTGCTGAGCGGTACGTACAACGCGCATACGGCAACATGACTGTCCGGGATATTAGGATGGGGGTCGATGTTCTTCTGGGACCAAGCGTCCTTTTTGTCTACACATTCCAGGACCAGTTACGGTTGGCGTATAGCTTCAACGATGGATACGAGGATCCAACCAAGATAGACTCCTACTTGAAGGAGATCGAGAGAGTTCTAGTCGAGGAACTTTTGGGATGATGTACTCGAGTCCAGAGACAGCATGACTTGGGAGGGTGGTTTGACATGCAGGAGTTGCGAGTTGTCCCTTAGATATGAATAGTACTGGAGCCTCTGTAATAAGCCGTATCATTTGCTCTTGTGTGATCTATGGAGTATTGAGTGATTCGGTGATAAACTGTTGATGAGGTCATCGGGAATAGTGCTCTCCTAAGCAAGAGCTGCATAAAATGAGTCATCATGCATAGCAGAAAACTCTGAATTATCGATAAGCCCCGCCAACGCGGTGAGACCAGATTCTGCCGGGAGAACTGGAGGCGGTGAATGGTGGGAGGCGTCCAGCAGCAGCCAGAAGGTTCGACGAACGCCCAAAGGCTCGGTGAAGCTGTTGGCCTGCTGGGAGCGATTGTGTCAAAGGCCAGGTCCCTATTTATTATTCCTCTGACCCGAGACACATCATCATCGCTTCTGCATATCTCCTCTGTGCGCATTTCCGAGTGGGACCCAGCGATTCGGCCTGACGTCGACCTATTAATATTATCGAAAAAAACTTGACGAGCCAGCGGCGCCCACGTTTGGACCGGGAACCACTCTTCGATTACCTTCACCGCCCGATAGCTTAGTGGCGGGCCCTGCGAAGCGCAAATTCTCCCCCTCCCCGTCTCGCTCTTTTCTCTGCTCTGGATCCTCCCCCAACCTCCCCCTCAGTTCCATCCTTCTTCTCTTTTACTCTTCAACTTCTTCCCCCTCTCCCCTTCCCCCCCCACTCTCTTCCTCCTATCTCCCTTCTACATAATCCTCATCTAAACAATGTCTGTCGTCGGTATAGATTTTGGTGCCCAGAGCACCAAGGTCGGTGTTGCCCGTAACAAGGGTATTGATATTGTGCGTATCCCGCCGCCCCTCTGCCCAATTTTCTGTCCCCCTCTTAGCGCTGGCCGCCCACTCGTCATCTTAGTCCTGACGGTGCTAACATATCCATTGTGATGGTCCACAGATCACCAATGAAGTTTCCAACAGATCTACTCCGTGAGTCCGCCCATTTCCTCGTTATCTCCAACCCAACCTCCTACTGACTTTTTTCTCCCACATAGTTCCCTGGTTGGCTTCAGCGCCAGAAGCAGAGCCCTCGGTGAGGCCGCTAAGACACAAGAGACCTCCAACCTCAAGAACACTGTCGGAAACCTGAAGCGCCTGATCGGCCGCGCATTCAGCGACCCCGATGTTGCGATCGAGCAGGAGTACAGTACGGCTCAACTTTGCGATGTCAACGGCCAGGCCGGCGCCGAGGTCAGCTACCTCGGAAAGAAGGAGAAGTTCTCTGCGACTCAGCTCGTCGCCATGTACCTGACCAAGATCCGGGACATCACCTCCAAGGAGCTGAAGCTTCCCGTCTCCGACGTCACCATCAGTGTCCCCGCTTGGTTCACCGATGTCCAGCGCCGCGCCATGCTCGACGCTGGTGAGATCGCTGGCCTCAAGGTTCTCCGCCTGATAAACGACACCACCGCCACCGCTCTCGGTTACGGTATCACTAAGGTCGACCTGCCCGGTCCCGAGGAGAAGCCCCGTCGCGTCATGTTCGTCGATATCGGCCACAGCGACTACACCGCCTCCATCGTCGAGTTCCGCAAGGGTGAGCTGAACGTCAAGGCTACCGCCTATGACCGTCACTTCGGTGGTCGTAACTTCGACCGTGCCCTGACCGAGCACTTCGCCGATGAGTTCAAGGAGAAGTTCAAGATTGATGTCCGCTCCCACCCCAAGGCCTGGGCTCGTACCCTTGCCGCTGCCGAGAAGATGAAGAAGGTCCTCTCGGCCAACCCTGCCGCTCCCATGAGCATCGAGTCCCTGATGGAGGACGTCGACGTCCGCGCCATCGTCAAGCGTGAGGAGCTGGAGATCATGGTCAAGCCCCTTTTGGACCGGGTCACTGTTCCTATTGAGGAGGCCCTGGCCGAGGCCAAGCTGAAGCCCGAGGACATCGACTTCGTCGAGATGGTTGGTGGCTGCACTCGTGTTCCCTCCATCAAAGAGGCTGTCTCCAAGTTCTTTAACAAGCCCCTCTCTTTCACTCTCAACCAGGATGAGGCCATTGCTCGTGGTTGTGCTTTCAGCTGTGCCATCCTTTCTCCTGTCTTCCGTGTGCGCGACTTCTCCGTTCACGACATCGTCAACTACCCTATCGAGTTCACTTGGGAGCAGTCTGCCGACATCCCGGATGAGGACACCAGCCTGACCGTGTTCAACCGGGGTAACGTCATGCCTTCGACCAAGATCCTTACCTTCTACCGCAAGCAGGCTTTCGACCTCGAGGCCCGCTACGCCAAGCCCGAAATGCTGCCCGGCAAGGTCAACCCCTGGATTGGCCGTTTCTCCGTCAAGGGTGTCAAGGCCGATGCCAACGACGACTTCATGATCTGCAAGCTGAAGGCCCGCCTGAACCTGCACGGTATCCTGAACGTGGAGTCCGGATACTACGTTGAGGATATGGAAGTCGAGGAGCCCGTGCCTGAGGAGGGCGAGGGTGTAAGTGATGCTTAAATGTTCGTATCAAATAATCTCTTTCTGACGACTTAACAGGCCATGGACACCGATGCCAAGGACGGTGAGCAGCCTAAGAAGACCCGCAAGGTCAAGAAGCAGGTCCGCAAGGGTGACCTCCCCATCTCGACCGGCACCACCTCCATCGAGGAGTCCCTCCGGAACACATGGACTGAGCGTGAAAACGCCATGTACATGGAGGACAAGCTGATTGCCGAGACCGACGAGAAGAAGAACGAACTTGAAGCCAGCATCTACGAGCTGCGTGACAAGATCGACGGCGTGTACTCCGAGTTCGCCAACGAGGAGGAGAAGGATAAGCTGCGGGCTAAGCTGACTGACACCGAGGTAAGTCTCCGCCATGGGCGGTCAGTTTCTGTGCTTGCGCGTGTGCTAATAATCTGTGCAGGACTGGCTCTACGAGGAGGGTGAGGACACCACCAAGTCGGTCTACGTGGCCAAGATGGATGAGATCCGCTTCGTCGCTGGCCCCATCATCCAGCGTTACCGTGAGAAGCAGGAGGCCGAGCGCCAAGCCCAGGAGGAGGAGGCCGCCAAGAAACGTGCCGAGATCGAGGCCAAGCGCAAGGCCGAGCAGGAGGCCAAGAAGGCCGAAGAGGACGCCAAGAAGGCTGAGGAGAAGGCCGACACCGAAATGCAGGATGCCCCGGCCGAGGGCGAGAAGCCCGCTGAGTCCGAGCAGTAAATTGCTCGACTGGTAGATATCGGTGAGCCCAGCTGTGGGATCGCAGCTTGATGACAATGTGGTCACGAACAATACAATCATGTTGAACCCCTTCAGTTGTTTATTTCTTTTATCTATTTTTCCTCCTTATATTGCCGAGTGTCGGCTCTGTGATGTAGAACGACCTGATTTCCGTCTAGTCTTTCCGTTCCCTCGCCGGGTTGTTATGGGTTGTCAGTCTGGCCTGATGGCCAAGTGGGCGGTGGAGGCAGCTGGAGGGACGAAAGACTTAGATACGACATGGCGATGTGGATAGACCTGCTTGAAAAGTATATGATTGGTAATAACAGAATATATCATTGCACATTCCGTCTCACAATATGAACTACCGAATCAAGAATGATTTAGACTACGTCATGCCAGTGATCACGTATTTGATCAGAAGTAGCCCTGCAGAGGCGTGCTCACCCCATTTTCCAGTTGATGGACCTACAAATATGAGATCATTTCATACACAAACCATATATGCACCTTGCAATTGCAGACTGCTCCCAATCCCAGAATAATACCAAGGGAACCCCCTTCCCCATCCCCCCGATAAACCATGCAAATATCAACCCGCATACCACGCTGTATTGTATGCATATCCCCCCCGCGACTTCATCTGAAATCCAATCACTCATTCACGCAATACCCCCGAGCCAGGAATCCGCTGATAGTGACCAATCAGAGCCAGTGTCTAGTGGAGGATTTGTATAGCTTTTGCGAGATGGGGCATTGTCTTGTGATATGCGAGGGGCTCGGCGCCGTGTTGTCAATCGAGGACAGACTCGATGAAGGCTTCGGCTGCGCAGGCGATGAAATGCAGATTGAGGGCATCGGAGTGGGTTGTCAATTCATGGGCCTCATAAGCTTGCAGAGAGCCATGACAGAGGCTTCTAGATGGAGGGGGTTGATTGAATATGTGCGGTTTTTAGTACTATGTCCTGATGATGAGTAGGTCACCTGTCTATTTTGTTGGCGTGGAGTCACCTGACGATTACTTTCACAAGCCTCCCCTCCTTCCTCATACAATCCACTCTGCTACACTTTAACGTATCCCAACACCTCAGACTCTTCGGTCATTCCATGGCAAAGTCTAACTCAACCCGACCAGAACCCCGTTTTCATTCTCGAATGTCATGCTAATCCGTTCCTTCCATGGTCTAGTATTGTAATTGGAAACAGTCGAGAAGGTTTGGAACATGCGAGCCACAATGTATGTCAGCACAATCATAGCATAATGCTCTGCTTCTATGTTAGCAAGCTTATGCCAAGCATCACAGTGTTGAAGGAACGCTTACGGCCAGGACAGGTCCTAGGACCCTTATTGAACGGAATAAATCCGGACATGTCTCCGCTTAGCTGTTCCCACCGTTCTGGGTAGAAAGCCTCTGGATCCTTCCCAAAGTCCTCCCCTAAGCGGTGTCTTGCCCAGGTGGAAAAGACCACTATATCTCCTTTCATGACAAGAATCGGCGAGTTGCCGCCAGACTCACCACCATTTGGCAGTGTTGAATTCTTGTTCGCCACTCTTGCATTTAATACAACTGGGGGGAAGAGCCTCATAGCTTAGCTAGGGTATCAGTGTACGCTCAAGGCCGGATTGTCATGGAGATTCGCACCTTCCTGGAGCACCCAGCGGACATAGTGAAGTCTTCCAAGCTGTCCCCACGTCGGGGGTGTCGATCCGATGGTCTCAAGGATACTTGCTCGCAGCTTACGGACCACCCGCTCGTTCTGGGAAAGACAGAAGAAAAGGCCCGAGAGAGTGGTGCTCATGCTATCGTTTGCGAGTAGTATGCTCAAGCATTGATCGGTAAGCCGTGACACTTGATCAACATTCACGCTGATATCTGTTTTATAATGATGCCGCTCCCCAGGTTCCCCATCCACACGGTTCTGTCTCTGAATCTTCCGGATTACTCGAACCATCACATATTCTCGAGCCCTCTTGCAGGACTGGAGAAATCCTCGCTTGGATGACAAATGACGGAGCGGTCCCCGGAAACCGTCTTGCACGATCCTTTCTTTGACAAGAAGCAGGTGCTCTACAAATTGCACCTTTTCCTGCGATTGAGTGAAGCTGAGTGCATCAACAGACTCCCCTAGCGAAAATAAGGTCTGAATATCCAAAGAGAGAGCAAACACGCGGGATTGAATGTCGAAAACCTGTCCATTGGGTGGGACATGTTGACAAAAGGCCAGGAAGTGTTGTTCACACAAGTTGAGATCGATAGCCTTCCGAAGGTTAGAGAGTTGACTCCGCAACTGCTCCCGGCTTATTTTCCAGTCTGCACCGTCGAGGGTAAAGATGCCATGTGGGGTAATGGGCTCAAACAAGGGCCGTCGCGGTGGAGAACTATCGAAGTCGACAAATGCCGTGGACAACAGATGTTTGATATTTCCTGCGTTGCAGGTAAAGAGAAGCCGGTATCCAAGAACATTGGAAGCATAAGTCTCCCCATACTTTTCGAAAAGCGCATTTGTATATGGCAGAGAAGTTCGATTTCGGAAGTGGAACGCCAATTCTATTGCCTTGACGATGCCAAAGAAATCGTATCGAAAGCGGTCGCTTTCGTTAGGCGGCTTCTTACAGCCATGGATTTGTTCAAGCCCACGAAGCTGTTTGATACGGTGACAGCCTTTCGCCAGAAAGATAATGATGACCCCAACAGCAGCTGCAGCAAAGGCCGTGATAAGACTGCCTGGCACAGAGGTCCCGAATGGCGAATGCACGAGCATGCTTGAAGACTTCCGCTGGGAATCCTGCATTATGTGTCACGAATACTGAATAAGGAACAAATCATATGGCGGTTACACAATCTGTGACTACGTAGGTCACTTGATCTTCTAGTGATGTGTTAAATCAAGGACGGCGCATTGACCTGCCATCCAGAAACAGAAAGGGCCTTTGATCAAGGCGCATGGGATCCACCACGACACGACGCTATGTATATATTTGCATACCCGCATGCTGCGGAGCTCGCAACCTCCGTGGGTAACACAACAGGCACTCAGCTATTGTCAAATTGGGACCACCTCGCTAACATGGCCTCAGACATAAGAGATAACCAGGAGACTGTCTCCGGAAGCGACCACCTTATCTCCCAGGTAGAGCATACCCTGAGGCTTTCAAGGGACCATGCTCTTGATTCGGTACGTTCTGATGGGCATTGGTGCGGGGAGCTCAAATCGAACGTCACGGTCACGGCCGAGTATATCTTTCTTCGACAAGCTCTGGGACTAGATCTGGAAGCCGACCGCGCAGCCTATTGTCGCTATATACTATCAGAACAGAACTGCGATGGCTCCTGGGGCCTGGCGCCCGGATATCCAGGCGATGTATCGACTACGACCGAAGCCTACTTGGCACTCAAGATACTGGGGACGAGCACCGATACTCCAGCCATGCAGCGAGCCCAAGTATTCACCCTCATTGCAGGCGGAGTGGCGAGGGTTCGTGTGTTTACTCGCATTTTCCTGGCAACCTTTGGCTTATTCCCATGGGATGCAGTACCCCAACTACCCGTGGAGCTCATTCTTCTTCCTTCCAGCTGTCCAATCAACATCTACACTTTGGCATCCTGGGCCCGTGGTACGATTGCCCCATTGCTAATCATCTGCCATCATCGGCCTGTTTACGCGCTACCGGACGATTATCTGGATGAGTTATGGCAGAACCCCACGAATAAGAATGTGCCGTACGGCTCATCGTTCTGGGAGTTGCTGTCCGAGAGAGACATTCCCGGGCTTGCATTTACTGTCGTGGACAAGTTGCTTTATCAACTGGGTGGGCTTCGCTCCATCCCTCTGCTGCGATCATATGCCCGACGACAATGCATGAAGTGGATCCTTGAGCGCCAGGAACCAACCGGTGACTGGGCTGGGATTTTCCCGCCCATGCATGCCAGCGTGTATGCATTCATGCTTGAGGGATACAAGTTGAACGACCTTCCAGTCCGTCTTGGGATTCAAGCCATAGAAAAATTTGCTTGGGAGGATGAAAAGGGCAAAAGGATCCAACCCTGTGTTTCTCCCGTGTGGGACACGGCTTTGATGTCCATTGGGCTCTGCGATGCCATGTCACACGACCAGCAGACCCTCGATCACGCTATCACATGGATCCGGAATCGCCAATTGCTTGAAGCTCGCGGGGATTGGCGCGTATACCGGCCCCAGCTAGCTCCTGGTGGCTTCAGCTTCGAGTACGAGAACAGTCACTATCCCGATGTGGACGACACGGCCGCAATTATTCTTGCCCAGGTAAAGCATGATGCTCGGTCCGTTGCTTCGGACTCTGTGATTGCAGCGGCTACATGGATTCTAGGCATGCAGAATCCTGATGGAGGATGGGCCGCATTTGACGTGGAGAACGATAAGCTGTTCCTCAACAAGATCCCCTTCAGCGACATGGACAGCCTGTGTGACACATCTTGTGCGGATATTACTGGACGCATCCTGGAAGCCTTCGGCCTGATGATGACTCATGATTCTGAAAAAAACGGCCTTTCTCCAATGCTGCGTGTAGCCTGCACCCGCGGGGTGACTTACCTTGCCTCCACGCAAGAGGATACCGGAGCATGGCTCGGACGATGGGGATGCAACTACGTCTACGGAACATCTCATGCGCTGTGTGGCCTATCGTACTTCGTCGGATATGATGAGCGAGTCACCGGGTTGGTGAGCCCGGCTCTGCAATGGATGAAGTCAAAGCAGAATGCTGACGGTGGCTGGGGCGAATCCTTGCTGTCTTACCGATCACCCGATGAACAGCAGCATCAGCAAGAGTCAACAGCGTCACAGACTGCATGGGCGTTGATGGGGCTATTGGCCCACCTGTCCGTCACGGACGCTGCTATTGAGCGTGGAATTCGGTGGCTGATATCCTCGCAGAGACCGGAGAAAAGTACCGGAGTTTCATGGCCCGAAGCGGTGTACACTGGAACAGGATTTCCAAATCACTTCTACTTGGGCTACGACTACTATCGCCATTATTTTCCTATGATGGCCCTGGGGCGGTATCTGCAGGGGGCTCAAAACCGGATTTGAAGGTGCTTGGAAGTTAGCCATGCATTCGGGAATTTGTAGAAACTAGAACGACAGTCCATGCGAGAAGCTAATCTCGCTAGCCACATATTTGGCAACTCTCCAAATTTTATCTGCAGCCATCTCCACATTCTATTGCAGTATTGTATTTACAGCTAATCCCGATTGATTGCAATTTCATATAGCAGCTACGTTGTCACTTACCGTATAAATAACCGAATAAGTAAGTATAGAAAGTCTAGATCTCTAGATCCCCCACTAGTACGGAGTAGGCTTTAGGAACTTTGACTATGTTTGAAAAATGTGAGGAACAAAAATGGTAACACAATGCAGCGACCCGTCACATTCCCTATCACATGTGCAGGTGCTACGGGCTATTTCGAAATCTCCCTGCTCCTGAGCCAGGAATACGAACTTTCCAAGGAACAATGCCTGTATCGAACGCATCACAAGCACCCCACCTCTCCACTCCCCACACAAGGGAAAAACAGGATGTATACCTACCTACTTCGGAGTACTGCATTGTGACTTCCCTCATGGATGCCTCCCACTATTTCCCCTGCAGCAACCAAACACTTTACCGAATTAGAAATTCAAGACACATACATATCTTTCCCATTATTCCATTATACAGACCAGACCATCTACCCTCCTTCTTATCCTATGCTCCAGTCGAGCACAAGTAAATAAGCCATGAGTCTCTTTTCATTATTCAGCCGCTCTCGACAACCAGCAACTGTGCCGACAGATCGAATCATCCAGCTACGATACTGGGATGATCTAGATTACCTCCGTCGGCTTTGTCATGACTTCACGTTTCGATTTGATGATGTGTTGGATGCTGCGAAGTTGGAGGGGGCGTTGGCGCGGTTGATGGAGATAGGGGATTGGGGACAGATGGGCGCGAGGTTGAGGTTAAATGTATGGGTGGCTATCCTTATCCCTTCTCCTTTGATTCGATGTTTCTAGTTGGGGTGGGATCGGGGGGAGCTGGTTAAGGGAATAATTGACTAATGCGGGTGGTGGTATAGGATGATGGACGTCTTGAGTATCATGTTCCTGCGGAATATACCAAAACGCGACCCGCGTTCAACTTCACCACGACGGAGTATGGGTTACGGATTGGTGAGCATCCGCTGGGCTCGCAGTTACCAAAGTCAGGACAGGATCAGTCGGTTCTGTCGCCTTCGCCTGCTGTTTTTGCGCCTTTGGTTCGACATCCGGATAGTCCGAGGGAATTGGCGGATTGGATATACTCGGATCGGCCTCAATTGCATATTCATGTTGCGGTGTTTCGGGATGCCACGCTGGTTACGATTAGTTATGTGCATACGTTGTTTGATGCGATAGCACGGACAACGTTCTTTAAGGCGTGGATAGCGGTTTTGGGGGCAGGGAGGATGAGGTACCGGCATTTATTCCGTTCGAGCATGATCCGCTGCGGACGTTGGGGTTGGATGCGCCTGTCAAGGGGTATAGTAATTTTGGACGGGTGGTTCGCGGGGTTGGTCTGGTGGTTTTTGGACTGAGGTATTTGTTCGAGCTGTTTTGGTTCCGGGAAGAGGAGGAGCATCCAATTCGTTTACCAGGGCGATGCGTGGACAGGTTGAGGGAAACGGCGCGGAAGGACCTCGCTGCTGCGACTCCGAAAGGCAAGGAGGTGCCCTTTGTGAGTGAGGGTGATGTCGTAGTGGCCTGGTGGGTGAGGACAATGGTCACGGCCTTGAACCCCGGCCTGGATCGGACCATCATGGTGATGAACGTTTTTAATGTATGGGCGCTGTTTGACGAGTGGTTCCCAACTGGTGGGGCGGGATTTATCGGGAATGCCTTCTTCTATTCCTACACGTTGTTGGTCGCAGGCCAGGCTCTCCAGGATACCAAGCTCGGGCATGTGGCATCCAGGAACCGTCAGGCGCTCATGGAGCATCGAAACAGGGAGCAGGTTCAAGCCATGACTGCCATTCAGAGGGCATCGTTCACAAGAACGCCGCCGGTTGTTGGAGATGCAAATCTGCTCTTCATGGCATGCACCAACCAACATAAAGCCCGATACTTTGAGTTGGACTTTTCAGCGGCTGTTGTCTCCCCTGGTGTGCCGTTGAGTGAAAGGCCGCATGCCCTGGGTAGACCGTCCTATATCAACGATATTGAGCATTGTCGGTCGTATCCGACTCGTAATGTGGTCAGGATAATTGGGAAGGATGCGGCGGGAGATTATTGGCTCTTGTTCAAGACTCGAGCTGGGGTGTGGCCCGCGATTCATCGACAGTTGATGGCTTTGCTTGAGATGGACAAGTGAGAGAGAGATAGCCCGCTAGGACTCAAATATGCTGTAGATCAGTCCGCAAAAGTGAATGGTGTAGAATGCTTTGATCCACGTGATGAACGACCCTACAAGTCCCTATAAATAGTCCTATTCCCCTGAAAGCAAGAAAAATCCGCATGTACCTTTGACAAACCTGAGGATGCCTGGTCAGGCAATCCCACTCCTTACCATCCAGTCCACTGCTGGCACATCTCACGTGGCAGAGATAATCGAGTCCCAGATCCATGTTGAGCGCAGCACCGCCAACTTCTTCTCCATTTACCGATATGCCAACGCCTCGCAGTTATGTATGCTGTGCGTATCAGGATGTTGTGCGGTAGCCGCCGGTGCAGCAATGCCATTGGTGACCGTCGTGTTCGGCGCATTGGCAGATGAATTCATCAACGGAGAACACCATACATCGCAGGAGATTCGAGACCAGGTCCAGCATCTCACGCTCTTCTTGGTATATATCGGTGCGTGCACTTTCCAAATCCATGTTCTCTTCTTGTTATCTGACACAACGGGCCAGCAATCGGGTCATTGGTCACCACCGCTATTAGCACACTAGGCTTCAATTTCATCGGAGAGCAGATAGCCCGCCACCTGCAGCAGAAATATCTTTCTTCGGTTCTGCAGCAGAACATGGCTTATTTCGATGTAGTCGGAACCGGGGAGCTCACATCCCACATAGATCAAGATATGAAATGGATTCAAGCTGGCATCTCGCAGAAGATGGGTGACCTTCTGTCCGGCCTGTCCGGCTTCGTGGTCGCCATTATCTGCGCATTTGTACGGAACTGGCGCTTTGCAGGGATCATGTTATCCCAGCCGATCACTTTGATTCTACTCGTGGGATTGATGGGGTATTGGCTGAGTGTGGTGCAGCAGATGGGCTTGGCTGAACGTGTTCAAGCGGACAATTTAGCCCAGGAAGTATTCAGTGCCATGAGGAGCGTTATTTCTTACCGAAGCCAGGAAAGGTATGCTAAGAAGTATCGAAAGGCCTTGGGCCGCCCAGCGGCCTTGGACTTCCGGGAGCGGTTAATATTTGGAGTGATTGTTGCGGGCTCTTTCATGACATTGCACTGGGGAAATGGGCTAGGTGTATGTCAACCGCTTCCCTCCACCCCTGGTTCGATCTGAATGCGATGCCTGCTAATGCTCCTCCAGTTCTGGCAGGCTGATCACCTCGTCCGTCAAGGGCGTTGCACCATATCAGAGGCTTTGACTATCTTGTATGCAATGTCTGTTGCAGGTGGGATGCTATGCCAAGCGTTGCCATGTGTTGTTAACGTCACCCAGGCTCATGCGGCAGCCAGTCGCGTTTTCTCAGTCATAGAGCAGGATTCGCCTATGATTTCGATGGTAGGTACTGGGAAGACATACAGTCAGGTCCGAGGGCAGTCCGGCTAGAAGGCGTACACTTTGCGTATCCTTCGCGACCTGAGCGGACTGTTTTGAGAGGCGTCACTTTCGACGTGCCTGCTGGACACACAGTAGCCTTGGTGGGACCATCAGGATCAGGAAAATCAACCATATTTGCCTTTTAGAACGGTTATACCACCCACTCGGTGGCCGCATCACTCTGGAAGGTGAGCGGATCGATGAGATGGATGTCTCATGGTTACGGTCTCAGATCGGATATGTCGGCCAAGAGGTTACTCTGTTTCGTGCATCAATGCACGAGAA